AGCTAAACGCACACCGCAAGCGATGGATCCGGTACCAGAATCACTCCAGCGAGCAAGGTGCTGCCAGTAGTTCGACCATGGGTTTCGAATTTGTCGAAGCGCCGCTCGTTCAGGCTCTCAGGAACGGCGACTGGGTTTTTCTGCGGCACATCAACTGCGCGCCACCAGAAATTATCGAGCGTCTCAACAGCTTGGTAGAGGAGCGGCCGAGTCTGAACCTGTTCGAAGTAGCTGACGGCAAGGGAGAGCTAACAAAAGCCAATGGCGGCATCCACCCGGATTTTCGACTTTTCATGACCGAAAACCCTTACCGCGTTCAATCGCACAAGTTGTCCGGCGCTTTCCAGAACCGGCTCATCATGCTTCACGTGTCGCCGTTGGAGAGTTCCGCGCTGCAGGTTCTCGACACGAAGAAGAAACCGGCAGCGCGGTCCGCGATTCGCTTGAAGTCCAGCCCAGTAGTGGGCACAGACTTTTTTGACTCCGTAGAGCAAAGCTTTGCAAACATCAGCGGCGGGTCCGAGCTGGCGCTTGTGTGTGCAGAATTTCACCTGCGCGTGTTGAGACTGGTGCAAGATGGCAAAGTGAAGCCTGTCACAGAGGCCGAGTTTTCCCGTCGGACGCTTGAGCGTGTAGTTTCGTCAGTGCGAAAGGCGCTCCAGGACGCCAAGGGACTGGAAATGACCCCCGCAAAGGCGGTTCTTGACGCGCTCGTCCAGGACTACATCCTCGGAGTGCAGTCTGGAGATCAGCAGGAAATGCTGTCGCAGGAGCTGGTTAACATTTTTAGCCGCCCCGACCTGCAGAAGAACTTCTACGATTTTCCGTCCAAGAGAAGCAATAGCTCCAAAGCAGACGCTTGGTCGGAGGAGAGACGGGAAATCGAGCGCTCGATGTCAGCAGTTGAAGCTCTTTGCGGTGCAATCTTTGTTCGGTGCGTGATGGGACTTGGCGCAGAAAAACTCGAAAATGATGGAAAGAGCAGGCTTTACGACGTGATTGACAGCTGGCTTGCAATACTGATGGAGCCACGGTGTGCGCACTTGGGAGAATCGCCGAGGCAGCAATGGGAAGCACTGCGAAACATGCTTTTGGGCGACGCCCGAGAGCCGTTGAAGACGATTATCCAGAAGGTTGAGCAGCTCGCGAAGGAAGTGCTTCCAGCTGATCTGATATCTCGTGTGTGCAGCCAGTCGCAAGCAATACGAGCCAAGCCTCTGGTTGGAGACGAACTTGTCAACGCCGGCAGAGTCCTGTCGAAGGCCATCACTGATGCCTCCTACGTTGATGCTGCTGATCGTTCTTGTCTCGTGCAACGAGCGACACTAAAACTGAAAACCATTTATGAGCACGTGCTGCAGCCGTTGCAGAAGTTTTTCAAGCGGGACGGGAAGGCGATGATGCCGGATGGCGATGCGATCGATGACGCGCTCACAGAAATTGCGAGGCTGTTTCGAGAGCTGGACCACAAATGTCAGTTTTTTGCTGATTTGGCTCGCAAGGAAATGAGGCAGTTCGAGCAAGAGTTCCAGGAAGAATGCGAATCGGCCCAGAATCGTAGTGCGATTGTAATCTTGCAGCGTGTACTCGCACAACCTGTTCTCGAAAACGAAAAGGCACTCGCCACGGTTGCCAACGCTCTTGCTGAACAAGAGGCACCTCCGCTGCCTTTGGCACGCTTTCGTCTAGCGCTGGACTTCGTGCGATTCAAGTGGAAGGCTGCGTTTGCCGTGGGGGAGGAAGTGCAGTCCACCGATACATCGTTTTCAGAGAAGGAGGTTCGCATGTGGGACCAGCAAATGTGCAGCCAGCGTGTCGCGGAGGAGTTGACCAAGCTCAAGGACGCCATCAAGGGACGGAGGTTGCGTCATCCAAACCACAAGGACAGCCCGAAAAATGAGACAAAGGATCCACTGTCGAACGCAAAAAAAGAAGTAGGAAACAGCGATACGCCAGTATTTATGGAAGTTGATGCAGAGCTGAGTCCCCCGCAGCCGGAAGCCGAAGACAGCGATGTCGACATGTTTGATGCTGAGCAGCAGCAAAAGTTTCCCTCCCCAGCGCGGGCACGCACCACTGCTTGCAATGCTGTTGCTCTTGTGGCATCCGACACAGTCGGCACGTCGCTTGCTACTATTTCGCGCGGAGATGAATTCAAGAAGCTGCTGGAGACCGTGCGGTATCGTGGTGCGCAAGTTCACGTCTCATTTCTGAAAAAAGTTCTTTCCGCTCGTTCCAGTGACAATTCTGGAGAAGCGCTCGCGGCCATAGATTTTGACTGGAGCAGCCATGGCAAGCACGTCGCGGGGCATCCTTTGAGCTGGCTCTGGGCAGCGTTCGGGTTTCTGGATGAACTTTGCCTGCCCTGGAAAGAGTTCGAAGTGCAGGTGGTCTTTCCGAACCGGTTGAAGCTGGAAACCGCAATACCGAGCGATGTCGAGCAACGAAAGAAGTACTACTTTTTCGTTTTCTGTCTCGATGGTACGGGCCGCCTTGATGCAGCGAAGCCACACAAGTTTTTCTCGTTGTCTTTCCTGCTGGCGGATTATTCCGATAATTCGCACACCGAGGAGGCTCACTTGATGCACTACGTGCCGGACGTAGAGGACGACGCCGAGAGGTCCAAGCACAATACATTTTTGCAGAATTTCTTGGACGCAAACGAGGACCTGCTCGTAGATTTTCCACCCGCTGCATTTAAGGAGAAAAGCGCCAACGCATCCGATGCGGCTTCCGCATTTTCACTGCGGCCGATCACCGTACACGGTTTCACGGCTTGCCGCCCGAAACTACATCCACGCACGAAGATAACGGAAAGCGACATCACTGCAATGTCTTGTGCGCTCTCGATCTTCAGTTTGGTCTGCGAAGCAAACGACCCGGTGGACGAGCTGAAGTTTTCCGAAACTTTGATTCCCCTCCGAGACGAGAAACTGCGTACGAGCAAACATGGGGGCAGAGTGCCAGTGGGCGAGTTCATGCGCGTGCAGGCCGATGCGTGGCAGCTGATAACTGCTTTTGCCAAGATGCAAGACGCGTATTGCAACTTTTTATCCGACTACCGCGAAGGCAGCGTCGCGGCGAAGCAGCAGGCATTCGAGGAAGCCCGGTTGCAGCTCGTGGAAGTGTTATTGAATTCCAACTGCAAAGAAAGTGACACTTTAATCCGGAGGGAGCTACAGAATCGGCTACCCCGTTGTACTCGCAAGCAGGCCCAGAACAACTTTGCTCTCGTGAAACGAGAAGCGGGTCAGGGTCACGTTAAGGCGGTTCTTCCGGTTCTGGGCAAGCACGAGATTGTGGGCGGGACGGAATCGGGAAACCAAAATGCTGAATTGCACGCTGGTAGATCCTTCTTGACTAGTTACAGAAAGTTTACGAGTTTCGTGGCCGATTGGGCATTGCAGTTAGGCCTCGCTCGTCTCTCAGCCGGAGACGCAACTGCAAAGCAAAAGGCGCTTGCCACAGTGCAGCTGGCCGTCGATAGTTTATCAAAACTCGTAAAAGTGACGGACGACGACCGGGTCGAGATTGTGGGAGACCCTTGGAGCTTCACCGCAGACTTCTTCAATCAAAAAAATCGCCAACTAGCCAAAGCTTTTGAAGATCTCGGTATTGATGCCGCAGTTGCGGCGAGGAACGACTTGTCGGAAGTTTTTGACATCGACGCAATCGAGCCACTTTTCCGACTTGCCAACAACCAAGCTGGGCGTTTGCGATCTGGGTCTGGCGATTCCGACGAGAGCGAGAATACGCTCATGCTGCCGGCTTCGGAAGACGAGGGTACACGAACAAAGACCGCACCGAATGCCGTCCGCCAGAAAACTGGAAAAAACCAGATTCTGACCAAAGAGGAGACTGACAAGCAGCAACTGGTTTCTCGGCTACAAGTGCTCCTCGCTGCAATTCGTGATTGTAATCCAGTTTCGCGAGACCTTCAAGATACTGTCCGCAAGTGGCTCGTGGATTCCGAAGGATTGAAACCCGGCGCAGACTTCAAGCACCATATGAAGATCCGGCAGCTGGAGATAAAGCGGGCGCAGAGATGTCTAGATGATTACAAAAAACATCTGCGCCGCGGGAATGTCTTATTTCGCCGGGTCGAGAGTAACTTCACCGAAGCCGAATGGAATGAGTTCCGGCGTGTGGAAAACACAGTTGCGGCGCAGTGTTCGGAGCAAACGCCTCTGGAGTCACGTCACAAGGATGCCATACTTGCCAAGCTGGACCTCTTGGGAAAAAGCGCAACCATCGAGCAATACACAGTTCGAGGACAGGATTTGCCCGTAGTAATCGATGTCCTGTTGCAATTGAATATCGCGACGTCGAGGTGGCAGGAACTTCTTGCACAGTCTGACACTCTGGCGAATAGCGGAGACACTGCAACAGAGGAGCCGCTCACAATCCTCGAGACGATGGCATCGCTTGCTTCATTGCTCCAAGTGCCAGACGCGCTTGTTCTAAAGATTGAGCAAGTGAAGAAGGCGATCGAAGATTCAGTTGACAGTCTTCCGATGGGTCCGTCTCGGTCTTACCAGGACTTGCGAGCCGAGCTTGCACTGAACTACGTGAAGCAGCGCACCGCAATGATATACAGGATTTCCGAAGAATCCGAGTCGCGGCTCGTGAAGCAGGTTTCCAAGGATTTCGTGCCCACCGATTACAACCTGATCGCCGAAGTTTCAAAAAAGTTTTTCGTTCTGGATCAAGCTAACGGATGCGCTGGCGTTTCCAGCGATAGCAAGATGCGGTGGCTAAACCTGTACTCAACGCTAGAACTCTTTGAAAATTGCCGACGCAACGTTGAGGTGGCGCACCAAAACAAGATTAACGCACAGGAATGCGGATTCGAGCTGCAGCCCCTGCTCTTTCGTCTTGTAGACGTGGTTGCGCTGTTTTCCCCAGACAATGAGCGTATCGTGGTGCGCGCTGAAGAAGTGCAGCGACTTCTTGCTGGCGGTGTTGAAGGGATCATCGACGACGAGGTTGTAACATTGCAGATGCAGTCGACAAAACGTGTGGTCGGGACACTTTCGGAATTTACCGTTGGGACGGAAGCGTCAGGCCCTGTTTTAAGCGGGGAACAGAGCTCGTTTGCATCACAGCAGATCCTACGGAATTCTTGCAAATTTTGGGCCTTTTGTACACGAGAGCATACTGATGCGGCGCGGCTGGGCAAGGTGGACGATTCTCCATATCTTCAGTGTTTTCTGGCGATGTCGATGACCGCTGGACTAGCCTCAGTGCTGTGTGCGGGGAGCAGCGTCGATATTGCGGACCACGTGCCGAACGTTTCTACAGATGATTTTGAAGTCAAAAGAGTCGTCAGCAATGTGAGCAAACTGCAAAGTGATATCAAGAATGCGGACCAGTGTATTTCAAACTGTCAGCAGCAGATTGAAGATGCTGCGCGACTAGAGAAAGCACGCAACAACGACATGTTTCAGTACCAGGAAGGCGGGCTGCATCGTCTTGCGGATGAAGAGGGACAACGAGCTGAGCGCCACAGGATAGAAGGTCTGAAGAAGCAAGAGGAAAAAGCCGAGGTACAGAAGCAGAAAGAAGCGTTTCAGACTAAGTTGGTGGAAGCGAAGGCTGGACAAGGCAACACTATGCGGAAGGTCTGTACAGCTCGGCGGTCGCAGATAGAGCATAGTCTCGTTGTCTGCTTATCTGATATGATATCTGCGTTTGCAACTTGCGAAGGTGGCGCAGATCCTGTGCGTTTGGGAGGGTCTTTGCCGGGCTCCAAGGAACTCCTGATGGATCTCGTAGGCGCCATCAGCAGCGGTTTGTCCCAGCTCAGGAAAGGCAGCAAGGCTTTGCGATCTCTCGATGTCATCAACGGAAAATGGGTCAAGGAAAAAACCGCAATTGAGAAGAAACTCAACGTTTTTTCGATCGAAGACCCCTGGCGGCGGGCAGTGCACTTTGTGATTGACCGCGTTGACTTGTTTCTCCATGTGACTTCACGGGCTGTAGAACGGATCCGTTTTTTGGCGCAACGCGAATCTCTACCAGGACGATCTGGTTCGGTCGGTGCAGGCCAGCAGAGATCGTCGTCCTTAATCGCAAGTGGAAGCTTCGCAGACTTGTGCAAAAACCTCCAGGCCGATTTCGTCCGAACTGCCACAAATCTGTTTTCCAGCACGAGGAGCTTCAGCTCCGAGGACGCAGCCAGAATCGAGAACGCGGTGAAAGAATTCCTTCAGGTTGTCCCGCGAATAGATGTTTTGCTGCGCGAGAAACAGGATAGCGCTTCAGTCAGTTCTCAGCTCCGGTCTCTGCGCACCTACGCGCTTCAAGTTGTACACGTGGTTTCTCTGTATTTTTCGGAACATCACCAGATGCAGCGCGCGGTGTTTGCAACGGTGCGGGATGACCTTGAACAAGTTGCTGACGTGGTTGGACTGTGGTTCGAAAGCGAGGAAAAGACGGCGGACCTGAACCGGATCCTTCGCACTCTAGAATCTCAGCTGCAGACATGGAGCGCCGGAATCGCAGCACTACCTACAAACGACATTGCGGGAGACGAGGCAACAAATCCGTGTTTTCTATCGCACCTCGTGGCGCAGCGCATTTGCTCAGCTTCCATGCTCTTGCCGACGGCATACGCGGTGAAGCACTTTTACATTCAGTTACAAAAGTGCACCAGCGAGGAGCGCGGCGGTCGGAAGCGGCTAAATCTGCCTGCAGGAGGTGACGGCGGCTCTATTCCGTTCACCGACCTGCTTGACAGTTTTACCGCTTTTGCGTTGACAGATCCGCAGTCGGCATCACGAGTAGAGGGAGGAAAACTGGACTGCGAGCAAGTTGCAGCCACGTACTCCTTTGCACAGGCGCTCGACAATGATGTGACCGACATAAAGTTTCAGCCCTTTACCGCAAACAACGTGCAGATTTCACAGATTTGTGCGAAGGAGTTTTTCAAAGCAGCAGCGAGTCGAAGAGTGACTTCTACAGCATCAGAGTTGACCGCGACACGGAACGCACGTCGACATTTGCTGGGGGACTCGGATGCCATGCTTGAGGAACAACTTTTGGACCTGGTCGATTTGAATCCTGCATTGCGTCGCGGGATTCGTGGAAGAAATGGATTGCAGCCGGAGACTCTGGACAGATACGAATTCATCGCGACTGCTGCCACCGCAGTTCTGCAGAATATCTGCACTGTACTAGTTGGTGTTTTTGACGCTGCTGCAGATGTCGGCAAGATTTCGTCCTTGCTTGCCTTTCAGCACCAGTGCTGCGAGAAAATTGACAAGTTGTTGCGAGGAGGAATCGAACATGCTGACACGGAGGCCGAGGTAGTGCTCACCGACCTGCTCCTTGCGGAAAACGTTTGCATCACGGATTTCCTTCGTTCCCAATTGCACGACGCTTCCACGGTGAGGCTCACAACATTAAACATGCGACATCTCACCCAGGTGGAAGCTGGTATCAAAAATTTTGTCGAGAAAGAGCAGGGCCATAAGGATGCAGCGACGGTCTTCATCAAGCGTCGGCATGAATCCCGGAAAAGCTCGCTCAGCACATTATTAAGCGGCATCAAAAACTTCCTCTTTTCAAAGAAAAGCGAGCGCGACAAAAAGGAGCAGGAGCTCTTACGAGTGAAGAAGCAAATCGCAGACTTGGAAGAAAACCAAGAGCGACTGTGCGAAGAGTTACTTTTTTGGCTTTATAAAGCTGCGCAACAACATGGGACGAATAGAATTTCAGGGCAGGAACCGGAGGTCCTGACGTGCTTCAGTTTGATTCGTACGGTCCACACCGACGACGCTGACCATCGTGCTTTTTTGCAACGCTACGTGTCCGAAGGTTCGAAGGACAAAATCGCGAATGTGCGAGTCACGCTCGGAAGTAGCGATCAAGATTATGACAACTATCGTCGTGTCTACAACAGATACGCACATAGAGTCATAATCTCGCAGATGGAGGTGGACCAGAACAAAAAACCTTACGCAGGCAAGCTGTTGCGGGAAAAGCTCGTCCCGGTGGAAAGAAGTGCTAGAGGAGATTGGATTTACGACTTCACCATACCCTTCTCAGAATTGGAGGGACCTTCCTGCAAGGGCGTGTATGTTCTTCTCGTTGGGAACTGCCACCTACCTGATCAGGCGGCGTGGTGGTATTACAAAGCGCCAAAATTTCAAAAGGGATTCCAGCGTCCCTTTTGGGGTAGCTCGGAAGTGCGTTTCAGCCGGCAGGATAGAGACGATGCCGTGGAGTACACTTTCTTGCCTTCTGCAGAAACAAAATTTGTGGGCTTCAATCCAGAGTGCTCGTGTTTAGAGCAGTGCCTCGATGAATTGGGAGACGCAACACGATCGTACTCCGCGGAAAAAGGAGCCCGAAGTGCCATCGAAAGACATTTAGGACATATTCAGTCCGAAATTAAGACCAAAGAGAGCGAAGAACGGAAACCGGCGGACCCAACTACGGAATACGACCGTGATGTTCAGGACTATGAAAAGGGAGACGTCGCAAAGGCTATGGAGAAGTATCGCAAGGATTTGAAAAAGCTGCATCGCATGCTTGCTGCGCAGGGCGATCAAATTGCTGAATCCCTTCGGCAAGGTAATGAGGAAAGCGCGATGGAGCGCATGCAGAGAGCTATCACAGAGATCTGTAACAGTAAGCTCGCGGAATCTGAATTGGCGAAAAACGCGTTTTCCGAAGGGATATCTCCGGTGGAGGCGCCTGCTGATGATCCATGTCCTACACGGTCCGTCAAGCGTGTTTGGAGTGCAGACATGCTCCGCTTTTTCAAGGAGATGCTGCATATCGCCGAAGAAGAAGTTGCGCCAGCGCTTTGGTCTTTTGTGGAGGATGTGTGTTTGATTGGAAGCCTGCTCTTGCGTGCGCAAGCGCAGTCTATCAAGACCAGCCACGAATTAGACAACTTCGAAGTGACAAGGGACGTGTATGAGAAGTTTTGCGACGATCTGGAGAAGCGGTTACCAGCAGGGCGAGGCGCGAAGCGGCGGATCGATACGATGCGGGGCCCCTTAAAGACGATACTTGCACGCAAGAAACAGCAGCTGACATTGCTAGCAACGTTGAGTCAGCGAGGATTACGTCGGCCAGACATCTCCAAGATTGAGCACTGCCGGGAAGCAAAGATGATTGGAAACTTGTTTGCGCACTTTCCCACTTCTCCGAGCTATGTGGTTCTTACGCTCGTCGATAATCAATCAGCAGGGCATGGCGTTAACGTTTCTTGGCAAGAGCATCGCTTTGACTTCGGGTACGCGACGCGCGGCGTTGGAGTTCTAGATCAGAAGTACCTTCGGGTCGAAAATAAAAGCGAAGAGACTGTTGACATTACACTCTCAAATCACGCTGCAGGTATAAATGCAATCTGCCTGATTTTTAGTTTGGATTTTTGTAGCCATTCTTTTCAGCTGTTTGGTTCTTCCTCTCCGGAGTGAATTATGCATGGGCGCAGCAGTTCTGTGAGGCTCCTGCTGCTAGCGCAGTGATTGGTAAAGCATCTTCACTTCTATTTAAAATCTAGGAGGAGCTGCTGCAGCGCCATTCGTCCTGAGCCCGTCTGATATTCCCGGTCTCCGACCTGGCGAGTCTGGAATCGTACACGTCGATCTCGTTTCCGACAATGTCGGCGTGGGACCCCACAGTGCTGTTTTCGACCTTGCCATAGACGGTCGCAACCGCTGCATCCTTGTTGGAAAGGTCACGTTCGAAGATGCAAGTGTTTCTGTCGTGGACCTACCCGGTGGCACAGTGGATTTCGAGAACCGCATCGCGTCAATCGAGGGACTGAAAACGGTAGACTTTCGACTGAAGAACGAAACGCATGGCCCACTGCAGATTCGTGCAGAAATAGAACGGGACTCACCTTTCCTTTCGCAGCTGTCAGTGGACCCGCCGCGATTACTGCTCGATCCCCTTGGCTCGGCTCTGCTTGAACTGAAAATGCTGCCAGGAATGGGAAAAGAGGAGTCGGTCAGGGCAACACTAAAAATAGCGGTCGGATCGACTAGCAATATCATCACACGCTCGATACGTGCGGAGGTGGTGAAGCCGAAACTGAAGTTCTTCCTAGAGAACGGCAACCAGCGGACACGCCTTGCGCACAAACAAGTGATTCGCTTCCCAGACATGCGGATCAACGACATGGCTCGCAGAACCCTGCGAATAGTGAATAGAGGAAAAGTCGATGTGAAAGTAAGGGTTGATCTCAGGGACCTGAGAAGCACATTCAAACTCGATCGAAACGAAGGGGAGCTGAGCGCAGTTGGGGACCTTTCGACGTGGCAGGCAGAGTTGAGCATTTCCCCTTACAGAGCAGAGCACAAACGTGTCGAGATGACCGTTCACTTTGGCACTGAGCATTGCTGCTTCACGCTGGAGGTCCGAACTGGCGTTCCGGATGTCACTGTTCTGCCGATTAGGAATCCGCAAAATGGCTATGCAAACTCGACGTCAGGACCAATCTTTTCGCTGGATGCGAGTACCGCGCCTGCGGGAAATTTGGTATCAAACAAGAAGCACGTAACTTTCAGAAATAGCGGGTACGTCGATGCGATCATCGGTCTCGCCGCCAAGCAGAGCAGATTTCGAATGCAGCCACCGGTTGTGAAGCTCGAAGCGCAGAAGAGTCAGACGGTGATGCTTGAATACGTTCCCTTCTCGCTAAAGCCGTGTACTGGACGGATCAAATTTCAATGCAAACCAGAACCGAAAGCGCCACTTTCGGTAGAATTCCGCTTCAATCCGAAAAAACCGGTGCTGAAAGTTTCCGACCAGTGCAAGATCCTTAACTTCGGGCGCATAAAGGCCACAACACCGCTGGCGTATCGAACCATTAACATCGAGAATAGTGGGAACTGTGATGGCGACGTAGAGATGTGCTTCGATAACGTTCCACAAGGTTGTAAATTGGGCATCGTAACGCGAGCCGGCAACGGCGCAGCGACAGCCACAGCAAGCGACCCCTTGGTGATGACTTTGGAGCAGGCGAGATTCCACGAGCCTACCACGTTGCAGGTCCGATTCGAACCAGAAGGCGCGCCGCCACCGGGATTGCATGTAAGCTCACTAGTTGTGCGTTGCACAAACGAATACGACCTCTCTCCTGAAGGCCAGCCGGTGCCCCGGGTGGTGCGAGTTCCGATACTTGTTGACGTAGCTCCCGAGTGTGCGGGGCCGGAAATTAACACAGGTATTGCGCTGAGCACAGAAGCAACGAACGTTGCTGCAGCGGGGGTGCGGAGACGAGCAAGCGCTTCTGAACTTCTGGAGGGATTTTTTGCAAAAGGACTCCATGCATCCGTCGTTTTCCATGCCAATACTTCGTCGCCAATACATCCGTACGAACGTGCTGCTGCCATGCCGTTGTGCATCGTGGAGGATCTCGCGAAGACGAAAGAAGAGCAACCGGATACGCAACCCGACGCAGATTCCATGCGGCGTCTTGTCGTTACTTTTATCCAGGGGAGCGAGTTTGTAAATCACACCGCAGCGATAGGAGAGCTCACTGAGAAGATTGACGCTGTTCAAGAAGATGCGATTGCTTCTGCGCTTGTTTGGCTAGAGACGCCGGCCGGAGAGCTAAGCCCAGGCAGCCATGTGTTGATGTCGGTCTACCGCCTTTTGCTGGCAGACAGCAAGAACGGGCCCGCGACAGTCAGCGAGAAAAATCTCCGGATATGCACCTCGCTCCTGGCAGGCATCGGCTGCGATAGCAATAGGGCTCGACCACAAAACCTCGACAGATTCTGCAAGATCTTGGAGGCTGGGATAGGAGCAGAAGGAACGACTATCACCGAACGCTGCACCGTGTCCAAGTTAGTGCAGCAAGCGCTTGCATCGTTGATGAGCGTCGAAACTTCTGAGGTCGGTCGGTCCTTCTTCTCCGCAACGGCTCTGGAGGTTCTGCAGCAACTGCAAGACGCGCACTGTTCTGATCGCACCGAGAGTGAGCGCGTTCTGGAGGCGCTGGTAAAGATCATTAACACATGCCGGTCATCCGTCAACGCCGATTGGAAGACGCATCTCACTTTTCTCCATGAACTTGTACAAACGTTTCGCTCTGGAGGAGAGCCAGGCATGTCGACCGTGGCGCGTTTACTGAGGTGCGGTGCTGGCCTCACACAACATGATGAGGCGTCGACGTTTGCAAGCACGGTTTTTGAATCCTCAGTGGCGGAGCTATTCCCCGAGCTTCTTTCCATGACCGGTCAATGGGCGGAACGACATCTGGAGAGAGCGGAATACGAGAAGTACCAGGCTGTGCAGAGCAGTATTCTGGATGCGCTGCGTTCGAAGGAGTACCAGCTGCAGACGTCACGAAGAATTATCGCCAAGATTTTTGAAGGAGCAACTGTGTCAGGTGGAGCTATGGCGGCCCAAGCTCTTGGACATTGGTTACCGTGCTCTCACCATCAGCAGGGCACACCAGACAAGATGCTCCAGGCGTTCAAGCAGATTCTGGAATTCGGATTTCGGGATTGCTGCACAAGCCTGAGCGATGCTCAGGATGCCGTTTGGACCACCTTCATTGAGATTCTAGATGAAGAAATTGGCGCTATGTTTTTACAAGACTACACGGACAGGAGCGAGCGGAAAAGCGAGGTTGAAAAAATTCTGCAGAAGTACAATCTTACCAGAAATGAGGCTAGTGTCGGCGCGATTGTGACTTCCATCAAGGTTTTTGGTCGCTCTGTCTCGCAAAAGAAGCACAAACACGCATTGCTAGCAGCAGTGACGGTTCTAAAGGAAGTCGCGACGGGAATCACTGATCACGAAAGTTTCAAGCCGCGGCACGAGGCACTGACCGCCATGATTTGCGAAGTTCGGGAAGGAGGCAAGGTTCCTAGTCAGCGTCTTTTGGCCGCTTCGTGCGAGTGCGTTTCCGCATTCGTTGACCACACGACTAAAAGGAACGCGTTTCGTTTCCTCGCACAGTCCTTCAATCATGGGTTGGGTGACCTGGATTCCTTCAAACTGGCTAAAGTGACACTTGCTGCCGTGAGTCGCAATCAAAGCAACAAAAAGCTACACGATATCTGGGACGAATTGGAATCCGCTATCCATTCGGACAACGGCGTAAATGTTTTGCGCAAAATTGCAAACATGAAAGATTTTACAGAAGCCGAAAGCGAAACGCAGAAGCACGCCGCGTTCTGGGTTGAGCTCTTTGATAAGTGTGCCGCGGAGCCTGGAAAAACTGTGGAAATACTAAAATCTGTGCTTGAGGAAGGCGATGCAATGACTGCCCTCGCGTCTAGCAGTTCGGGACCGGCGCAGGTCTCTCGCAGCTTCGTGGCGGAGGAGGTCTTACGCTTGGGGAGCAGCTTTGGCCAAGCAATGCGCGCAACATCAGACGAGGGCGACTTCCTCTCTACGGCCTTCGAGCACATTGACGAATTTGCGCGCGTAGTGAACATGGCCAGAGCATATGGTTTCCCGCGTCAAGTCGTACACGGGCTGAAGGCCGCAATCTGCAGCTGCTGCGCCAAGTGCAACTTCGCCAAGGTTACTGCGCAGTATCTACGGCTGTTGGCTTTCTCTGAAATGAACAAACTTTCACCAGCCAAAATGGGCAACCAGGTATGCCGCGAACAAAAGGACGAGCAGCAGGCTGCTGAGAGCCTCGTGCACGATCCTAGCATCGTCGAGAAAAATCTCTCAGACCTCCTTCAAGCAGAGCAAATCACGCAAGACTCTATAACTCCAGCCAGGTCTTTTGACGATGCCGCGTCTGATGACGAAGCTCTGATGAATCTCAATGCGGACTTGGGCGGATCATCAAACGGCCACGCCGTGCCCCAGAGCGCGGACGATGAGGGGAATGCACAGCAATCACCGCAGGACCAGTTGCAGCCGGAGCCTGACGATGAGGCTGCGCACGATGCCAGCGGGACCGCGGACGCTGGAACGGCTGATGCAGCAGGCCCACGAGACGACACTGCGAATAGTGTGGCGATGGAGCCGGACGTCGAGCCAGAAGACAACAACATTCAAAACCCCGCTCAAGAGAAGGACAGGCTCTCACTCGAGGTCGATGACCTAGGAAAAAAGCTGCTTGCAATAGCACAGGACTTCGGGGTTGACGGCGCGGACTCGCTCATGAATTTGTCTCTACGTCCGGGAAAAATTTTGAGCATCGAGGCAATTCTGAAGCACGTCGCATCATTGACGTCTTTGCCTGAGGTGTGCTCCGAGAAGTTTTTTCGGACGTGTGAGCTTTCCCGCACGGGTGTGGATCTCGAATTCCTGCCCGCGAAAATGGTGCAGTGCTGTATCAACGTCATTTTCCTGTTTGATCTAATTGTTTCGCAGCTCCAGCGCGGCGGGGGGCAAGAGGCACTGATTCGAATGCTGCGTGAAAAGAAAAGCGGTTTGACGAAGAACCTGCGCGTTTTTCCTACAACGAAAGATGCAGTTGGTCAGCACTTCTCCATCGAGCTGAAGGAGGCATTGCAGTATGTCGCCGGCGACTCGTTGACGCAGAAGGGCTGGAATGGTGAGGAAACCGTCTTCGCTCAGGGCGATGCGCAGAACACCGCAGCAGGCTTCGATGCTGCTCCGCAAACGGCTCGTGGTACCGAGCACGTCGCCGACAGTTTGCACACTGGGTTTGAGTTGGCCGATCTCGCAGAACTGGATGACTACAAGTGTGGCGACGCAGACGAGGATGATATCGATTTCCAGGAGCAGCCGCATGATGCCGGCAACGACGCACTCGATCTAGCCGAGGGAAACACTCTCGGTGCGGTCGTGAAAGGGATGAAACTCGAGTTCGATTTTCAAGACGATGACGGCAATATTGGGGACAGCGCGACGGCCGCTCGTCGCGCTGGCGCCGAAAACCCTGGTGATCGTGCAAATCAGCAGCTTCAACATCGGAGTGCGGGAGGCGACACAAACCATCTTCGGCGCTTGATAGACAATCTGGCAAACCAGAAAAAGATGAAGCGTGGTGCTCGCGGCGGTGCTGCGGGCGCGCCTCCCGCTGCAGTGGCCGGAATGGGTGAGTCGGACGATTTGCAGCTTGGTACGTATGATGACCTCGCACGGGATGCCGACGTGGACAAAATCCACTCGAAAGCCATGGACTTGAACTGGTCACGGGAGCGCCTGCAGAAGGAGGCACAGAAAATGGACTTCAGCGAGTACTACAAGAAGGCGAAGAAAACGACTCGAGAAAAGAACCCAGCCCAGATTCCGGACGTACTGCGTTTACAGGCAGCACGCGAAAAGACGGAGAAATACACTTACGAAGCGCTAGCGCAATCTGGACCCTTGGGAAAGTTCTCTCGGCGGCTCTACAGCATGGCGCGGCAGCAATTCCAGGAGATGTATCAGCAGTCGGGTGCCGAACTCCCGAAATTCGAGTGGCTCCTGCTGCTCGATAATTCCGGGTCCTTCATCAGATTCGCCAACCAGGCCGCAGAGGCTTTCGTCGTGCTGCAGGTAAGGAAGTACGTTCACGTTGTCATAAACGCTTAATGCATTCTTACTCTGTCGTCCACCAATATCTTGTTGACATTGTGTGCCCGAATGGACGATAAATTGCCAGCGGCTGAAAGGAGCAAACCAGATAAAGAATAAGAATCAAATTTTTTTTGAACAGGAAACTCTACGAAAGCTCGAGTGCCGAACTGCGGTCGGGCGACTTGGAAACCAGAAGAACCAGCGCCTTCTAAAAGACTTCGACGAGTCGTTCAGCGCCTTGGTTGGCCAGCGCATTCTCGAGTCGTTCAGCTACGATGAAAGCAGTCACCTTGCAAGCGGGCTCTGGGCGCTCACCAAGAAAGTTTGGGGCGGCAAAGAGAAGCCTTCCAATGTACACCGTGTATGCCTGATGATTACGGACGGGCTTTCCCAGGAATTGCACAACGAGCAGAATTGGACGGGCTTGTGGGAGAAGTACAATGTCCACATGTTGTTTGTGACGATTCGGGACAAGAAGACGGCAGGGCAGATGAGTGAGATCCAGGAAATGATGAAGCGGGTGGGAATTCTGTCGAAGTTTCTCGATCACGATGAAAGTGATGCGCTCCCCCAGCTGCTTGGCGATCACATGATCAAAGTATTTAATCACGTCTTTCTCTTTTTTTATTTTTCAGCTTCCTCTCCTACAAAGGGAAAGGAGTGAGAAACTGAAATGCAATAACGTTTATCAATTTTTGTGCGTTGAGGACGCTGCACAAATTCAATTTCGCGCACAGGTATTCAGCAAGATTCTGAAAGAGATGCGGCCCCGGAACAAAAAGGTGGGCAAGACGAATAGCAAAACAGACGAAGCCGAAGCCGATGCCACTACGGAAAAGGAAAGCGAACTGGAATTTTGCGAAACACAGACTCCGGATTTCGATAGCTCGACGTTCCTGCGCGAGCTTCCGAGTGTTTTGGGCAAGCTCAATCTCGCGGATGCCCTCAAGAAGAAGAGTGACGAGGTGACTTTGCTGTACGAAGCGAGTTCCCCGGGCGCTGCCATTCCGTTCGCCGATTCTGCGCGTGGGATGTTGACTGCCTCAAGCACGGGCTCTAGTGGATCGTCTACAGCCACGGATTCCGCGAAGATGCTGCAGTATTCCATGGATTTCTATGCACGCTCGAGCAGCGCTGTGCCCGAGCTCCTTGCCAAAGCGGGGGAGTCCTGGTCTCAGGCAATGCACATGCTGCGCGAGCCAGTGGAGCAAATGAAAACAATACTGGAGGCCGATATACTGCCCGAGAACACGTCCACCCGGCACCGGCGCGACGTAAAAGGGCCCACTTTGCACATGCAAGGGCTCGCGCGAGCGATCGCCACGGACTTCAACGACAAGAAGTTCTTCAGTAACAAGAGCGCAGGCGGCCGGGCGAAGTACATGGTCTCGATTCTCATCGATGTGTCGCAGTCTATGGATGGCGCGGGTTCATTCGCAGTCATCGAGGCGGCCACCATGTTGATTGGTGCACTTCTGGAGATGCGGCTCGACACCTTTTCAATTGCGGTTTTTGGGGAGAAATTCCGTCTCGTGAAAAACTTCGACCAGAGTTGGGATCGTGCCGCGATGTTCTCCTTCCTGCACCACCTGCGCTTTGACCAAGATTGTGCTTCGCTTGATGCCAACGCCATTGATGCTTCAGTTGACCTGTTCGACGCGGCTGGCGTCAGCCTGCGGGTTCCACGGAAGCTGTTTGTGCTTACTGATGGGTACGGGTCCTGCGGTTTGAAGTTGAGCCAGGCACTGCTGCGCGCGCAAGACGAGGGCGTGGAGGTTGTTGGTATGATTCTGTGTGCTGATAATTTGTTCTCATGATGCGCATATAAGTGTAGCTTTAGGTCAATGGAATCGCTTCTATAGACGGATGAAGATGAGGATAAATCCCACAAGCATCATGTTTGTGGCACAAACATCATTTTGCAATGAACAGGTATCGGGCTCGGGCTTGAACGTTTGTTCGTGCAAAAGTGCTACGGGAAGTGGGTCCTGGCCACTGTGCCTAGCGAATTACCAGCAGCTTTGCAAACACTGTATACGCAGGATCCAGATGCTTCCGCGGATTCGAAGACAGAGGATCCAAGCTGGCAGGGGCGCGAATTGGATAACAAAGGCAGTTACAGCACAACGGACGGCATCTGGCGCGACTTCGACACAAAGAAAGTACTTATTGACCCGGAATTGAAATTTCAGATAAATCTCGATGTCACATGTTTTGATGCATTTGGATGCGAATGCATATTAATCCCAGTCTCTGGTGGAATGCTGAGCGTACAGCCTTGCTGGCCTCGGGTTCAAGACTAAGATATTGCAATGCCACTAAGCTGGCTCCGGTGAGATACTTAAAAAAAAACTTCTGAATTAGGTTTTTACTGGGTACCTGGACCAACTGCGAGGGGAACGTGAAGCGAAATTGGTTCGGGGAAATGCGCCTTCGGTCATAACGATTGATTTGTGCTTTGTCCTCGATACAACGGGGTCAATGACGCCCTGGATGGAAGCAGTCAAGACCCAGGCAGAAGTCATCGGGACGAAGGTAGTGGACAAAATCAAGGAGAAGCACGAGGGTCTGGATATGGAAATGAAACTTGCCGTGGTTCCTTACAAGGACTTCGGGGACCAAGACCACTTAGCCCCCCGCACTATTTTGGACTTTACTTCTGATCACGAGCTGTTCAAGACACGCGTGCGTGGCCTCCGCGCGAGTGGCGGTGGAGATGAGCCAGAAGATGTCGCCGGCGGACTCCATACTGCGCTGGAAAAGCTGAGCTGGAGCTCAAAGGTAATTACGGCCGCCGTCGTTGATCACTTACTGTTACTGACTTTGACAGAGCCAGATGAAGACTGCATTGCTTTGGCAAGAAAGAAATGCCTCATGGTAGAGCCAGACGAGAGAGAGCAAGTTTACATGTGAAAGGCGCCCTAGTATAATCAAACACAAAACCAATTCACTTCAATTCATTCAGATTCGCTTTCTGGTCTTAGTGACGGACGCCCCGGGCCACGGGCAGGAGCTCCACCCTGCCAGTGTCAATGATGACCACCTGAATCACAATCAAAGAGGACGCCGGATGGAAACAATAATGCAGCGAATGCGAGAAAAGCAGATTGAGTTTCTCTTCTGTCGGCTGAAGAAGGAAGCAACGAAAATGATGGAGGACGCGATGCGAGTGTGGTACGAAACCAAAGAGGATCGAGAGCGAAGAATGACTGCCGTGGACATGTTCGACACAGCGGTGGCGGATCGCTTTCACGTTGTCTTCGTGCTAGACGCTTCTCATTCCATGACGTGGCCAGACCCGAACACTGGGGTCACGCCATGGATAGAGCTCATGCAGGCCTATCAAGGGTATTTGCAAAAGCGAAACGCGAACCAAGGACTGCAAGACTTGGTGTCCGTTGTCACGTTCAGCAACCAGGTCCAAACGCACTTCGAAGCTTGCCGTCTCTCGCAGGCCATGCGGACCCAGGTAGCATGTAGCGGAGGAGGTACTTGCTTTTCGCTCGGCTTGAATGCTGCCCGTGAGATTTTGCAGCGAAACTCAAGAACAGGCTGCCAGAGCCTCGTCGTCTTCATGAGCGACGGCGCTAATCATCATACGGACGAAAGCGATGCCAACCAGGCAGCCCGCCAGTTGGGATTTGTCAATGGTGTTCACTACGTCGCTTTCGGTAAGGATGCTAGCAGGGATCGCCTAACGCAACTGGCGAATCTGTCCAAGGGAACCTTTCATGCTGCAGCACAGGGGGCCGACTTGCTTCGCGTGTTCACTGCGATCGCAGCAAACGCCGACAGAATGACGGATGAGATGATACAAAAGTTTGGGAAGAGGATGGCGGATATGGTCGTCAACAAACTGATCATCGACCACATGTAGTGCTGAGTGGGATGACGAGGGAGCAATCTTCAAACTACCGGCGTTCAAAGAAACACGCGTACAGGGCCCCGGGTATGCGCTTCTCGGCAGTAAGTATACCTCCTGGAGCATGGAGCTGAAGTTTTAGTGTCTTGCACTTGCTTCAGTTTTTTTCTATTAGGACGCTGGAAAATAAAACTATTTTGATATTCCAGTTTCCGTAACATTTCACGGGTCGTTTTTACCTAGAGTTAGCCCGTCACGAACCAAGTTCGCTGGTGCGCAGTTACTGTGTGCTTGATAGATGAAGAATGGCCATGACATTTGCTCCCGTGGTACCGGAGCACCAGCAAGTTTAGAATTTCTCACTGTAACGTAGAACTGTTTTTTCAACTAGATATACTTTTTTCTGTCCTTTCAGGCACAACATGATGTGTATGCCCATTACCATTAGAAGCATCTGAAGACCTTTCTCCGTCACTGTAACTTTTTCGTTCGCGGTCTTCGTATTCCAAGAAACTTGATTCGGTAATTTACGAATGTTTTTTCATATCACGCTCGCATTCATCATGCGGTTTCTGGCCGCAATCTGTGAAACGACATTTCTGATCTTGTTAGAACACTAAAACTACCACGTAGGCCGGTAGACAACCTACAAGTTCTAGCATCCACGTTACTGTTGCATTCGGGGAAAGGAACAAGTTCATCATCATCATCATTTCGTCATCGCTCTGTACCATCGCTCTTCGCTCATGATGTGATTTCAGATCGTGGATTTCGAGTGGGATTTGCATCGTGTCATGAGATCTACATGGTAATTTGATCTGCATGCCTACAGATCTTCACACTCATTCTCACCATCGACTCAGAAGAAGCAAGCGAAAAACGTTTGACTCATCTCCTGCCCGCGCCCAGTCTTTCCCTCGAAAGTTCTTGAAAGGTCAGGTGGCGTCTAGTTGCTGCGCTAAACTCGTGACTCCTGATTGTTTCTTGGGGGAAATAAGTGCAAATGAACTCTCCATCAAATTGAAACTCTGAGGGTGCGCTACCGGGATGACGAGAGATCAGCTGGCTGACTTAGTGAGCGGACAAAAACGCATCGCCGTCAGAGTAGCAAGAGAGCAGAAAGCGTTGCCTTTCCTATTGCAAAACTGTATCCTGCTCCTGTGGTCCGCGTTTCACAAATCTAGTTTCCGTTGGTGTCCAGATTCTCAATCGACAGCAGATTTTAGAAACAAAATGCTCCTGACGTCCGGCCCCGCGACCGAGGACCGGTTTCTCGTGCAAAGGGCGTTTACCAAGGAAGAAGTGGCGAAACAGGATCACCTGCTCGTCGTGAACGACAAAATCTACGATCTGAAGAGGTAAGGGGGGAATTTGAGATCTCAATGCTACTTCTGAGATAGAAATCTCATTCGAACCTAGTTGCACTTGCAACATGATGCGGACGAAAATGATAAATATTTTTCCATCCCCTCCCTTCAGGTTCAGCCAGCGAAACGAGGGTGGCGCAGAGGCACTACGATCCATGGCAGAGACCGAGGAGAAGGCGGACCGGTATGTGATAGGGAGAATACGCGACGACAAAGCGAGTTCCTCAACGTCCTCTGCATTCGGTGAAGCATCCAGAAGTGCATCAACAAACGAAAACGCCATGGCACGACCGGCGCAACATCCCATGGACACGATGAACCGGATATTTGCCAAGCAACCCTACGACACAAACCAGCACCCGACAGTGGACACGAGGTTTGACCAGGACAGAGGGCAGGTATGGACAGTTCGTCCTCATCGTTTTTCTCGACATCATCTGCATGAGCAGCCTGTTTTTCTTTTGCTTAAAGGGTTCTCCGCTGATTCGGTCTGCATCTCCACCCATATCACTTCCAGGCAACCACGGCAGCGGGTGGCAGACCCGAGGCCAGCCGGCCAGAGGAGAATCGGAATGTCTTCACCCCCGGACCACTCCTCTTGACCACGACAGCCGAGGAGCTGCAGTTAGTGGGGAAGGGCGGGAAAGACGACATTTGCACGCCCAGCACGCAAGCGGCTTCTTCGGTTGCCTTTTCCTCCATGGCCTCCATGCCGTCTATGTCCTTTGCCAACTCACTAGCCGGGGGTTTCGCGTCGATGCCGTCCCACTGTGGACAGTAGGGTGCGGATGAGCCTGGCCCTACTTTTTTTTTTGAACGCGAACAGAGGACGGGACGTTTGCATTCCTTTTAACACTGTTCGAACCACAAACAACTATTATCCACAGCAGCACAACTACCTAGTAGAGAGCATTAATTAATTCAGAAAACGCAAGTAATTTTTCCGTTGTCACAAATCGAATGAGCAGCATAGGCGACTGTCTATCATTTTGTCATAAACCAATATCGGCTTGTCTGAAAATGTTTTAGGCGACCGAAAATCGCGAGGCTATCAGCAATTGGCAGCGTGCATTGATGTTTTTTTCGCGAATCCTCTCAGACAATGATATTTTGCACCATTTCATGCTTTTTTGAAGACCTAGCTACAAAGATTCTTTTTTTGTCCTATGCAGCCTTTTCCCTGCCCTTACGCAACGCGGATGACCGAGTAGAGCCAGAAAAAGAAACATGCGCAAATAATGAACAACCATAAGATGCATTGAATAACGCGAAGCACATCGGCATTTCAATTCTTGCAGCAGCGGGCTTTGGAATCTTGAAAGGTAGTATGGAACGAAGTTTTTTGCAACTACGAGAGATCGTTCAAAAGGTCCAGCTAGATAAGAGGTTGTGCCCTGCGTTTGTTTGCTTCGTTCAGCATTGTTGTCGTTGTCGCTGTCGTGCCAAAACTGACCGTTCCAAGTCGATCTGATTGTGCTGTCATTTTTCTTCCCTAACACTCTGTCGTTTTTTGCTAACACTTGCTTCTTTTCTTCGTGCAATTTTCGAGTGCGAGACGATCAAGTCGTGAGGTACCAAATTTGGAATCAAATGGTCGTGAAGAAAATCGTGCAAGTTTCGCAAACCAGCGCAGATGTCGTCTCCGCAAAATGTCGCCAAACAGGCCATATCTATAAGCATCCCGCCTCTTGTTTGAACTTGTTTCTTTGCGAACCACCAAACTGAACTTTTTAGATTTGTTGTAGGAGTTCAGTTTTATTCTGAAACTGCTGCACTGCGTGATTTTGATTTATTGTGTTTTTGAGGAAGGAACCGCGTGCAGTACTCCACGAGATCCTTGGCGATCTCAAAAAATTAACTTTTAGATGAAGAGCCCTGTCAGCGACAACACTGGACTACTAGCTTGACTTTCGGCGCCTTGAGTAGTCCACCCAGAACTTTACCAGAGCAGAACCACAAATCTGTTTTGCCGTGCCGAGACCGATTTCGAGGTTTTCATTAATCTGAAAAAAATTGATAAATTGTACAGTAACACCCAAAAACCTCCAGAACTATGACGGTCAAGGGCCTTTGGCCACTTCTGAACGACCACGACGTTGTCCGGCCCGTGAAGGGGGGGCAGCGGCTTTCCGAGCTCTTGGAGGACCAAATTCTGATTGTCGACCTCGCCCGCTGGATTGTGGAGGCAATCTTCATATTCCACAACCAGCCAAACCTCGGCGGTGGAAATACGATCGCTAACGCAGCAAGTAGTGTGACTGCTGTTGCAGAAAGTGCCCGCGTTGCGAGCGAAAGTTTTGCGGAACAGCAGCGCCAGTGGGGCAGTAACGCGCAAGACAAGTTCGTCATCTTGACCATTTTTCGCAAACTTTGCCGCCTCGTTACGCTGGGCGTCAAGTGCGTCATCGGCGTTCTTGACAGCAGAGAGGTCCCCCGGGGAAAAAAATCGGACCCTTCGCGGGTCCGCAGGCGATTCAGCGAGGACCTGTACAGCGATATCGTTGCGCTGTTCCGGGCGTTCGGCCAGGATGTTTTGGAAGCTCCTGGGGAGGCAGAGGCACTGTGTGCCGCGTTGCAGACAGTCCTGCTGAAAAAGGGAGTTGCGTCCTTCGTCGACACTCCCGATGGGGACGCGCTGCTCTACGGCGCTTTTACTCTCCTGAAAAAGCTTCAACCAAGGAACAAGCCCAGTGAAGTGGCGGCCGAGTTGGTGCAGATGCCAGCGCTGAAGGATGCAATCATTGCGAAACCAAGGTCGCCGAAGACAGCCAAAATTTCAGCAAGTACTTCCTCGACGTCGGCAGCCAGCAGCAGCAGGCCTGTGAATTTCACTCCGGCGCCAGTTTCCAACAAGAAAGGCTCCCTCTGCCGCGCAAATGTAGACAACATGTCTGCAGTACCACCACCCGGGGAAGCGAAAGCCACTCTTCCGAGTACCAGCTCTCGCTCTTTTAGCTCCACCGCAGCAGCGTCGGCCACTGGCCCAATTATTGACTCCGGAACCGATTCCCTGCTCGAAAGGCTGATGCGAGCACGCGAGGAGCTGCGGAATAATAATGGAGCGGCAGAACAGATACCGCTGGTGAGCAGCCACGGCCGCGACGAAGAAGTGTCGCCACTAAAGAAGCGAAAAATCGACTTCGAGGAAGGTGTGCTGGAAGGTGCGAACGATGCAGCAACGTCAAGCGTTTGTGCCGTGTCTGCCCCAAGCACGACGACGACGACAAGTGCCATTACGGTCGACATTAGCAGTCCGGGCAGCTTAAATCGCTACGAGCTCGCGTTTCTGGCCGCGCTCAGCGGGTCCGACTTTGACGGGGAAGGTGCCAGCGGCACGGGGCCAGCCAAGGCGTTTGCCTTGATTCAAAACCTTCGCCGCGGCATCTCCGAACTGCAGGTCAAAGAGCAACAAAAGGAAGTAAAGAAAAGAAACCGCGCAGCAAAGAAAAAAGGAGAGCCGACGGAGCCGGAGGACCTGGAGTCGGTCCGGAAGAGGTTGCATGCGTCCGAAGAGGCTACGCAGTACAACAGAAATGTGTACGAGGGCGACTGCCTGCAGCTGCTCCGGAAGAGACTATCGGAGTGCGCTGGAGGTGACGCGGGGCACAAGATAGTGACAACATTCGACATGTACACGAAGCTCGACGGCGGCGCTGACGCTCTACTCAATAAAGACGCAGTAGCGATGCGAATTGTGGACGAAATTGTAGCAAGAAAGACGGAGCAAGGCTGCGCGTTTTCACTGGACAGGAAGTTACTGGAGGATTGTCTGCCACAGAATGCGGAGAAAACAAGCAACGGGCTGAAGACTGTTCTCGCCGAAAAGTACTTCCGCGACGCGATCGCGGCCCGACCGTCGAGAGAAGATGTCCCAGTGGCGGGGATGCTTCCTCCACCCTCAGCCAATTCAAAAAATGCGTTTCACCTGACTAGCATCATGCGGCAAAGGCAAGAGCAAAGCGCAAAGAGCAAGCAGCAGGAAGAACTTCTTGCACAACAAGCCTTGAAGATGCAGCAAGAGCAACGCACCACTGCGGACTCACAATCGTTTTGCGGGCTTTGTCCGCCGACAGGCCGCCTGAACCTGAAAAAGAAGACACAAGACGGGGAACATTGGCTGTGCTGCGTCGACTTCGGGTTCAGTGGTTGGATCGAGGTAAGAAAGTCTTTGGTACGCCGGTTCGACCCAAGTCGGGCGGAAGAGCTAGACAACCTGAATGTGCCAAAATCCGCAGCGGCGAAGAAGACGCCCAGGAAAACGTCCGCAAAAGCGAAAGCCAAAAGCTCCGGGAAGCTCAGCAGAAAGAGCAGTTTGCTGGTCGCGGACGATGATGATTTTGGAGAATCAGCGGACGTTCTGCCACCTGGGACGAATAGCGAGCCTGTGCGAAGTGCATCACACGGAGGTGCAGACGGGGCAGCGCAGCAGCAAAACGCAGCAAGCAGCGGATCCACTACTAGCCAACAGAAAACAGAAAAGAAGAAGGTCGCCCGCCACCTTTCCCTCGACAAGTGGCTGCACATACCGGGAAAGAACCCGGTCGGCGGCATGGCGAAGAGCTCCTTAGCTCCGTCTTTTGCGGCGAAGAACACGACAGCGACAGCGCCTCCTGGTCGAGGTAGCAAAATTACCGCAACATCCTCGTCGCAGTTGCATACGGGAATCGCCGGAGCCGCTGCTGGAGCCGCTCCGGAAACGGCTGGCAATACGACCTTGTTGACACCGGCTGCGGAAAAAACGGGGTCGGCAAAAACGTTTGCGCGGGACGTACTGAGTTCGACAAAGAAGAGACTCACCTTCGAAGAAGGAACGGCCGAAAGAGGTCCTGCGGTGAAGAAAACCAATGTTGTTCGTGAGGAAAACGAAGTTGTCGTTATTTCGTCATCTTCAGAGGACTGAAAAACTTTTGGGTGTGACCTATGCTCCTCGACTGCTCTGCTCTGCGACTGACACTGACACTGACTTCTGGGAGTATCCATGTCTTGTTGTCCTCTTCGTACATCTGCAGTTGCAAACGCTGTTGGAGAGCGACGAGGACGACCTTGCGCTTTTCGTCTGAGAACAAGTGACTAAGTGTTCACATTCTTCCACGTCGCCACTGTGCGGCAGAGAGTTTTCTTGGATAGGCAGGCAATACGTTCGTGTGGTAACGCCAGACGTCCTGTTGCTGTTTGAGCAGAATCAATTTTGGAACTGACACTGAGCTGTAGCAGCTCTGTCTACAAAATGGTGCGTGTGTTTCCTTCGGTTGGCGGTCCTCTCTCCACATGGTTGTACCTATCGAAGACTTTTGCTTTTTGAACTTACGACTCTCATGAAGTTCGTTTTGTTGAGCCCGTTAGTGTACGATAGGTGAGCGTCACGTCTGACTTGTTGAGCATGCAACACAAAATGTTGCGATCGAGGAAAGCGCTTCGATGAAGTACTTAACCACCCGTCGCCCGCAACGCAGGAGCTAACTTCTACCCAAAAATCATGGTGCGCGCGCCCCCGCCAGGGGAGCCGACCGGCCGGGGGCTGTTTCAGTGCCCCACATGTCAACGAACCTTTTTGGTGCAGCAGTCATTCGAGAAACATGCGAAAAACTGCAAGAACGTGTTCCGCTCCAAGCGGCCCAAGTTCGACGCGCGCAAGATGGACCGGTCCTTCGTGATAGAACAGAGCTTTGACGCGGGGCCTCCTTTGGCGGACGAAGCGCCGCTCGTCAGCCAGTCTTTCCACTTCGGTCGCGCAGGGAGGTTGGACGAAGAGCGCGATAACGGGCGGGATGAACTATTAAAACCGCCGACGATCTTCAACCGCAGGCACGAGGACCAGACCGGACCGGTGGCCGCAAATGGAGATACTTATACCGGCACGAAAGAGCAGCCATTGCTCTTCTACCCCGATCGCCGAATCGCGGCGTCGACCTCTGCGCTGGAAATCGGCAGCAGTGGTTCCGCGTCGAGCACGGGGCCGATGGAAAGATCGAAAGGCCTGGATCCGGACAAGCGGGTAACAAGGTTGAGAAAATTTAGTGAGATCTCGAGGTTCTTAAGTTGTTGCTCTCTCTGTCCCCTAGATAGTTTTTTTGATTGGCGTTCCTCGATATTGATTTTCAGTTACTCGCCGCGCCTTTACCGGAGCAAGCAAGGAGCGCAGAGCGGACCATCAATGGCACGCTTTCCCAGGGCGCCTCTTCGAAGGCAGAGGAGACAACATCACCGGATAGCATCAGTCCCTTGGTAAATCGGCGCGCTGTCTCGGTTATCAAATGCAAAAATGTCTGGGTCTGGAAGACCGCAACTTGTGCTGCTGAATTTGGATTCCAAAAAAATCTGTATTGCATGAGCAGCAAAGGGAATGCAATTTTCGCTACGCGGAGAGGGAATTTGTCATGCGGAATAGGCATCGCGAAGCCCTCAAAAAATAAAAATCTGTGATGCTAGGGCATGCATCACAGACATCACGGCCAATGCAAAACATGCATGACAAGTCTCAGAATCTTCCAGACCCAGACATTTTTACATTTGATATCGGTCCGATCCGCAGCACCGGAAACGCTTCTCGAACCTCCGCTGAGCAAGACGGCCGTCGGGAGTTGTAGCAATGACAACGCGCCGCCTTGGTCCTTCAAAGCAGCAATTCCAACTACGAGCACGTCGCACCATGAGAGAAGACTTTTGCCCGAGGTCCCTCTGCTGCCGGAGCCGAAGTTGCAGTCACCGCTGCTGTGTTCAAGTCTACTTTTCTCAACGAGCAAGTCACCAACCGATTTTCTGGCCTCGTCCGACCAGCGATCCGAGGCCGCGCGCTCAGGCCAATTCGACGCCCAGTCCATGGTCAGCAGCAGCCCCGAGGTTGTTGTGGTTGAAGAGAAGAACACCAGCCAAGCCCCTGCTTTTCTTCCCGAGAAGCCCCCGAAGTACGATCCAGGCTCCGTGTTGACGCAACAGGACCTCGTGGAAACCTTTGGGATCCCCGACGAAGTGGAGGCCGCAACCATTTGCACGCCGACCCTCGCGGATGACCGAGTCATCAAAAATCTCGCGGAACGAGGTATGGAACCACTTTTCTTTGAATTCAATCAACAGAATGCAGATTCAAGAATCTTAGCACTAGTCGCTGCGTCTGAGTAGCAAGGCTGTACGTCCATGGATGCTTCTCTTGTCTAAATCTTTTCACAGCGCACGAGCTTGCGGCTCAGGCGGAGGCGGAAACCTTACTCGCGGAAGAGAACGAGCCCACCTTGTATGGATTGTAAAAATGTCTGGGTCTGGAAGGTTGGAACTTGTAATGCTAGCTTTCCATACCTAGAAAATGAAAATCTGTATTGCATAACCAACAAAAGTCGCAGCCTCTTTTGTCATGCAAAAACGCAGTTTCTCATGCGGATTGCCTATGAGAAAACGTTTTGGGAACTTGTCATGCCGGACTGCATTAGGAAGTGTTTTCATCATGCACATCGTAGCGTCACAAGTTTCCAGACCCAGACATTTTTGCATTTGATACCTTGTTCCGGTGCGCGAATTGCTCCCGCAGTTTCAACGCCGTGTCGTACAAAAAGCACGTGACGATTTGTGAGAATGTGTTCGGGAAAAAAACCACGCCCACCAGCAGTAAGGAGAAAACAGCGACGACGTCGCAGCAACCCGCACGAAGTAGCGGAACGCACGCGTCTCAACCGCCGTCTCGGTCTGGCAGCGCAAGTTCTTCGGCCCGCGCTGCCGATCGCCCGGTTCAGGTGGTCACTGCCGGCACGTCGAAGACAACGAGTACTTCTGTAGCGGCTCCGCAGGAAAGGCCATTCGATGCCGCTGCATCGGCGGAAAGCAGATCTACCGCAGCTGCTCCTGGTATAGCATCGAGCACAACTACTACTACACCAGCAGCACCTGGACCCGTTGATGCCGCAACAAGTAGCAAGAAATCAACTTCTTCAAGTGGCGCATACGCCTTTAAACCAACCCTGCGAAAGTTTCCATCAAAGAGCAATGCGGGAAGTAGTACGGTTAATGGTGCTGCTTCTACCGCACCATCTGTGCACGCCCAGTCCTCCGCTCCTCCCCCGATGCAGTTCGGCAGTACAACATCGTCCTCCTCCAGCAACCCGGCCGCGCCTGCCCTGGTAAGTCGCGTGGTGCAGCGAACGCAATCCTCCCGGTCAACGAATGCCAACGTGTCGTCGAAAATGAGTATGGTGGCGACAGTATGCATTGCAAAAGTATCGTACTAGTATCAATTGCAATACACATTTCCTCACCATGAGAAATATTGTAATACGGATTTAACTTGAGAAAGAAATTTGTAAATGCATGAATGGGATGAGTACGATACTTTTGCACAGGATAGACAGCCTCTTTTTCGAACGGTCTTCTTCCGAATAAGTTTGTGCCGAAACCGCGAACGACCGGAACGTCGAGTCGCGTGTCGCTTGACCTTTCCGCTGCTCCTGCTGGGGTTGTATCAGGTTCAAGCCAAACCGCAACTTCCACTTCCGTCCCTGCTGCGACTGCAGGTCTTACTCCAACTGCAGTACCAGCGGCAAGCGCTTCCGGCGCTTCGAATTCAAGCCCCACACAGGTCCCCTCGGTCGTGAGCAAATCTAGTACTTCCGGTCTTACCTCGCTTCGTCAGAGTCCCACACTGGCTACGCGATCGGCGAATTTTAGTGCGGCCTCGCAGAATTTGAACAAAACCTGGAACTTTTCAACCAAAGTCGCGTTAAGCGGCAAAACGAACCTCGACGCGTCTTTTTCGCTGGGAAGCACAGCTTCGCATGGGGCTGCATCAAAGATCCCCAGTGTAGGGGGAGTGGGAAGCGCAAGTGGTGCTGGTAATTTTTCCACTATTGTAACACCGTCGTCATCCTCGTCCTCTAGTAACTCTACAGGGCGGCCCGCGAGTGTCAAGCCCGATCTTGCACCAAGTGGCCACGGTTCGAACCTGCCAGGAGTAAGACCAACTACTGCAGCCACTTCTTCTACTGCCAGCGGAAAAATGAATGTCCGGAACAGCACAAAGGACAGTTTGAGTGCTGGGTTGTTAACAGCGCATCAAGCGTTTTCCTCCAGTACGGGAGATCAACACACTGGTTCAAACGCAGTAGGAGCCGCAGCAACCGTACGACCTGCCGCACAACAAGAAGCGGGAATCGTGAAGCAAACCGCAGGACGCGCAGATAATATTAACCCTGCATCTACTGACCCCTCTGCTCATCATCTTGCCACATCGAGTTTTCGGCGAAGCTCAAAGGGGGCCGCGCCACCGCCCCAGACTCTGGACAAATCGAAGTCGAAGCTACTGGCTTGCCACCGGAGTGCAGCGAACTTGCGCAACTCCTTTTCACAACCGGGCACAGTAGAGCAGATCTCAAACGGAGGAAGTTCCAGTTCGGCTTCGGGGCCGGGGCCGCCCACTCCCGCCGAGGGGAAAACCAAATCCAAGTGCGACCCTGGTGGGGGCACGGTGACGCCCTCGCAGCCGGTGCACGCCAACTTTCTGCGCAAGGGCCAGGGTGCCAACGTCCTGCGGCGAAGCAGCAGCGAGCTGATCGGGCTCAACGCGTCTGTGAACAACATCGCGCGAAGTAGCCAACAGATGAGACAACGGAGTCCGGCACAAAATACCAAGCCGGGTAGTAAGCTTGGACATCAATTTGAGCAGAACCGCGTCGCCGCCGCGTCGTCCCCACTGGAGCAGAAGCGTCCGATTCCCGCTGCTCTGCTCCTGCAGCAACACCAGCAGCGCAGTGCGAGCCGTACACGCGTGGGCGGCCAGCAGCAACAGCACCTGCAGCAAACGCAGCCCGCTGCGGTTCCGAAGCCTCTTCCGGTGGGGGGCAGCAGGGGGAGCAAGCTCCTCGGCAGCGCCGGGGGTGCTTCTGGTGGGAGTAGAGTCTCTGCGAACGCGGCGGATACTAGTACCAGCTATACGGGTAGGCCACTGCATGGCGACATTGCGCAAGAAGAGGACAAAAGTGCTTGTTTTCAGCCCGCCCGCCCACCGGGTGCGGCGCCAATAGCACTTCCGGATCGAAAAGATCGGCTTTTCCTCGCACGAGAGGAGCGCCGTCGAGCCAAGGCCTCCAGTCCGGCCTTTCCCAACCTCGACTTTTTGAATGGCTTTTCTACCACATAGCATCACTCGATCAAAGAAGTTCTGCCACGGATTCTTCAACATACAAATTGGCATGCATGGTGAGCTGCGAAGAGCAGAATTTTCTACTTCGTGATAAATGCTTACACGTGATTCGCAGTACAAAAAATTCCGAGTGAGAAAATGGAATTTTGTGGGAAGATCAACAGAGCTATCATGTTCGATGATATACTACATGCAAACCTCAAATACAATTTTCGATCGGTCACTGCGTTTTTTTTCATGATGAGAGTGTGTCGATCTAAAATTTTTTGCACAAGATAAAGCAGAAAGAAATAGCGGATCTGCAAATCGATCTGGGGCTGGAAATATGGAATTGCTGCTTGGTTACTCATGTTTGGTCCGATCTATATACTAATGGGATGTTGACACCATTTTACGAGGAAAATAAATGCAAACAGGGGGTTAATCAGAGCCAAAAAGCGCTAGGATTTACAACTACAATCGCAACCATTCTAATCAGACTACTACACGGTGTGTCAGTCTAAAAAGAATTTGCGCACCATGAGACATAGAGAAGCACAATCACAAAAAAGCAAACTCAACACATTTATTTCCACCATACGTGTATTCCGTAGTGCGCGCGTTGCTCCATAACGTCGCGCTGCTTAAGTTCTGCACTGTCTTCATAGCTTCCACGGTAATTGGTATCCGTCTGGAGGAACGAGAGAAGAAGTTGCCAGAACACACAACCCTAGAAGAAGCCTTAAATTCATTTTCGTCAGAACCAGGTCCACTTGTAAAATTATCCCCCACATCAGAGCAAGAACCCTCGCCAGCCACCTCTTTTTTGAGAAGCAAGCACCAGCAACCTATCGGTGCAGCGCAAGCAGCAACAGCTGCTACTGAGACTCTAGATACTACAAACCTAGATACCATTACACCCTCTTTATCAGATTTGGAAGCAGTTGCTCTAGTAACTGATTCGTTCAGCAAAAAGAAAAATACAATGGGCCGCGAGGAGAAACAGCAAGCCGGCTCAGCTGGTTTTGTCGGCCACAGCCCCCAGCAGCGGGATGGAACTACAGATAGCAGCGAGACGAGGCAAGATCAGCATGAAATAACTACGCCGAGCAAACAGCCAGTTTCATCTGCGCTTCCAAATAGTGCTCCCAATCTTGGCAAAATCGACCCAAAGGATGTGGTCGTTTTCTGTGACTATGACGCCACGATAAGTACACGGTTTGTCACGGTCCAAAACCCCAAAACCGGCCAGCTGGAGAAGCAAAAGGGCCTCACCGCGGTCCAGCTGGTCGAGCACTGGTCGCGACTACCCCCTTCGTACCACGACGCAGCCCTGAAGACGCACAACCACTACTTCGCGATCGAGAACGACGCAAGCATGAGCAAGGAGGTGAAAACCCCGTTTATGATCGAGTGGTACGAAAAAACGATTGACGCGACCGTGGAGATAGCCGAACAGATCAACTTTCGCGAAGGCGACCTGCCCAGCATCGTGCAGGACAATTTGGACAAGGTGCAGATTCGCCCGGGGATGCCGGAGCTCATCAAGATTTTGAAGGAAAAACAAATCCCCTTGGTCATCATCTCCGCGGGCTACGGAAACATCATCGAGGAAGTGTTGTCGCAGAACGGGATTGCGAGGTCGGACTACGTAATCTGGAGCAACCAGTTCGAGTTCGATACAGCAGAAAGAACAACAAACCCGCGCGGCGGGTTGCTGAAAGCCGTGAAGCCGCCTCTGCTGCACATGTACAACAAACAACTCTGGAAGAGCGGTGAGAGGAACCCGGCCGTACCCGAAGCGGTTTGGGCCGCCATCGGGCAGAGGAACACCGCGATTTCCATCGGGGACTCGCTAGGCGACGCACAGATGGGCGACGCGCCGCAGTTCGTGAAGCGCTGGAAGTTTGGTTTGTTGAACTACAACGAGGACGAGCTCCGGGCGCAGTACGAGGCGGCTTTCGACGTCGTGTTTGCGGGCGACGGGCCAGCCTGGCCGATCCTGGAAAAGATCAAGAACGCGGTGGAAGTAGGACATATTGATACAACGAGGAGAACACCAGAAGTCGATGTTGTTACAACAGCTACGAGTAGTTGTACTTCTGCCATTGGTAGTACGCTGTCACCAAAAATTATTCCAGGAAAAGGGAACAACATGTTGGATGAAGAAGAAAACGAGAGTAGTCCATCGGTCACCACCGACGCACAGAAGTTGCTCAGTGAGGAACAGCGAAATGCGGGCCAGCGGGGCGTGGTTGCCGCAGCGGCAGCGGACGTGTAAAGGGTGACGAAGGGAGGTAATATGCACCTATCGAGCGCAGGAGGATGAGAATCTTGTTCGTTGTAAATGCGACCACTACACCGTTTCATGTAGTATACTCCAATGTTGGTGTTGGAGGATTTGGAAAGAAAGCATATGCACCTGTTGTTTCAAAGTAATTTTTCAGGAGGTAAGTTTGCTTCGAAAAAATGAAAATGAATCTATCCGATGTAAAGTTCCTTCTATTCATCTACATGAGAGTGGTTTCGGAGGTGAAGGAGTGCGATCGGGAAACGTAGACAGAAAACTTTTCACTACAATTCTTGGTCGTGGACAAGGGTGGGCGATTCAAATTCGACGAATGAATGAACGTCTTTTTTCCCCATTTTTTTTTTGAGTATTTTCGAATACTACGTCTACGGGTAAAGATGAGGCCGTTTGTGCCCACGCAGGATCGACGCAGACCGGGTATTTCTCTCCATTGATCTGCTGGTGTAGCTTGATGTTCTCTTTTGTGCACTAATCCCGGTTGCTTCTATTCCCACAAAAGCTGTCATGTGTTTGAGAGATTACAATTGAATTGCGCTGGAGTGAATGAGAGCTTTGGGGTCCACTAATGACAATCCAATTACTATAAAGTATAAACCAGTCCTGAGCTTGAAGGCTTCTACTTTTCCGAAATAATTTTCAAAAAATTACACAATCATCATCATGCTCAGCCTCGATCCAGGCGTTTTTCTTCGCTCTTCCTTCGTTATTGGTCCGGACACGTGCTCTCATCAGGGCGACGTGGATGAATAGGCGGCCGCAAAGAGAAGTAGACTGTCACCTGTTTTTATAGTCGGACGACTTCGAGGACGCTGAACCTGAAGCCATGAGTGCGTCCAGCAAGAATGCGGACGTGATTGCATGTGCGGCCGACACGGCGACGTCTCCTGGAACGAAGCCGGTCGCATGCCTCGCCCAGTTTCACTTGTTACTGTACTGCAACAGCTATTTTTGCTACTTTTTCTTTTTCACCACACTGACACTCCTGCTGTACAAAAAAGCGGTGCTCGACTACCCAGCGGGCCGGGTGGAGGCCGAGGTGTTTCTGCTTTTTCTGTACCTCCCCGTGCAGGCAGCGCGGTACTTTTTCGCGAACAGCGCTTTCAGTTTCGAAAACGCCATGAAGAGAAACAACTACTTGCTCGCGTTCGGTGCCTTGACCATGCCGATGCTGATGTTCCACGGCTACTGGATGCAAAACCAGAGTTACGTCCTCCGACTCGACGAGGCGCTGAACGGCGTCACGATAGGAGTATTGGCTTCGTAGCTTTGCTGAGATTTTACTAGTAAAATGATGAGGATCTTCGCGATGTTCTATGAACATGTTGCTATTGCTAGTTCATTTAAACTTGGTTTGTTCAACATCCGGAGTTAGTTTACTTATTCAGTTCGTGTTCATCGTGCCTAGGTCGGTTGATAAAGTTGTGTCCCCTTTTTACTTTCTGCCCTGCGCCTGTATTTTTGACACTCAACCGAATCAACACACTCATCAGGTGCTACTGGTGGAGCTCTTTCTCGGGATGCTCGAGGCGTTGCTAGTGCTCCCAACGGCGCGCCTGGACGAGGTGAGTTGCATAATACGCGTGGCAGTAGTGATCGCCTTGAACGTCAGTGTTTTGACGATAACTCTAGCAGTCGGAGAAAAAATGCTCCCACAGAAACAGCCACACACGACGTGACACAAAGGAGATAGGTACTACTTAGCCACTGCATCCGACGCAATACTCCAGGAAAAGGAATAACTGCAATAATGCTCGAAAAGAAATGCGCCTGTTTCCGATCTTATTTGTTGTCACAGACACGATCAACCGTTACTGATCACCCCGATTACGATTTTCAGCAAGTGTCGATCAGATATTTAAACTAGAGAAACATACGCAAAGTACAGAAAAAAATCTCTCGATGCGATCCCGATCTCGTACCTGAAGAGACGGTTTATCTTGATCCGAACGACGATAAGGAGAAGGACGAGCACGAGGTTCACTTTTCGGATGCAAGAATTTTTGGACGAGCAGAACATGGCGATTTGGATTTTCAGCTTTTGCTTTGCCGATTCCGATCTAGTTTCTGTATTGCTATTGAAAATAAACAGCAGGGACAGTACTTGGTAAAAGGAAGTAGATCTAGATTCAAAAAACCTTCTGAAGACCTGTTACCCGTTCAAAACTAGATTTATTTCTTCGTACCGAAGTGCAGAAGCAGCATCACTTGCTTAAGACTAGTCATGCCTGCCGGTAGCTACGACGGGTTTTGGCTCCACCCAGCAGTGGAGCTGCGGGACAATGTGCTGGACAAGGACGGCGGGCGCGGAGTGTTTGTCAAGCGAGATCTTCTCGAAGGGCAACAGGAACTGCAGGTGGGAACGTTAGTCCTTGCGGAAACAACGCTCCTACACGCGACCAGCTACGAAAAGCTGGTGCAGAGCATGAACCGAGTCGCGTCTTCTACTACTACTCCTGCTTCGAGCGACAGTGCAAGGACTGGTGAAGGTGGTGATGTCATTTCGCAAAAGCGTCCCTTGCTTGAGGCGTTGCACCCGGTCGGGAAGGGCCGGCACCAGGAAAAAATTAGCCACAACTGGCATCAGGCCGACAATTTGCTCAGCATTTCGAGTGGCGAAATCGACAAACGCAGATGGCGGAACGGCGCTGGCAGATTCGCGCGAGAGATCGAAGCCATCGAGGAGAAACAGAAAAGTGGATCTTCGCAGATAAATCCGACCTCTGACGGTGAAAATTCAACCTCTCTGACAGCATATCTGGACCACCAACTTTCGCTTGAACAGGTCAAGAGTTTCTGGAGTGGTGATGAAGCGTCCTCTCGTAGAAGTACCAGCCTCTCTAGTGCAAGAACCGGTGATGTTGAAGCGTCGCGTGAAGAAGAGACCGGAGATGAAGCGGAACCGGTGCTAGGACTGTGGCCGACCGCGTCGTTGATCAATCATAACTTCACGGCCCCGAATGTGGCCCGCAGCTTCTGCAAGATAATTTCCAGCACCGGTAAAACTGAAAGCAGAACTTCTGAGGATCCGCCACATGATCAGCCCGAGCTCCTCGAGAAGGTCATCGTAGAGTACCGTTTGATTCGCAAAGTTGGGAGGGGCGAAGAAATTCTGGACAACTACCTCGACCTCAGTAGTCACTTCAAGAAGCGCCAGGAGATCGAAGTGACGCAGCACCGGCTGCGCAAAAGCGGTTGCAAACCGGATGCTTTGGATCATCCGAAGGCGGAGGAGTTTCAGGCGGCGTACACGGAACTTTCCGCCCCGTGCGGCGACGACCACTACGAGAAAATCCAGAGCTGCTTCGGCCTGCTCGGGGTCATGGCGGAACTGCAGGATATGGAAGAAGTAAAAGAAAAACAAAGCTCGTGCTGCGTCGCCGCGGAGCAGCAGCAGGCTGCAAAATTTTCAGACGAAACCTCCGCAGCTAGCCCCGGCTCTTCCACGACTTGTTCGAGCCCGGAGAAATTGTCTACTTCTTCTAAAGGACCGCTTTTGAAGGAGCAGTCAAGTACCAGCGACGATGAACACGACGGAACTAAGTCAGACGGAGATCATCTTCATGGAGATGCGGAAGAAGAAGAGGAAACGCCTCAGAAGTTTTCTGACCCGGCGGGCTACTTTGTGTTTTTGGACTTCGCGAAAACGTTGTATGCCGAAGGGTTCGCCGACGAGGCCGTGAACACCGCGTCACGTGCACTGGACGTTGTGCTGGGGCGGGAGCCATACAGCTTCCACAGTTGCCAGGTGTTGTGCTGCATCGCGAAATGGTTGGAGGAGCAAGATTATCAAATGCAAAAGTGTCTGGATCTGGAGGGATGTAACCTGTGATGCGCATTTCGGAACACACAAAAATCTCTCATGCATAGGTAGCAAAAGCTGCTCACTTTCTGTCACCAAAATGGGGGATTTGTCATGCGGGTTCGGCATTGCGGAAGCTTCTCGAAACCTGTGATGCTAGAGCTTCCATGGCAGACCTCCTGTGTCATGCAGAAACAGCATGACTCTTCCAGACCCAGACACCTTTGCCTTTTATAAAGATGGTGGGTCCCCAGATGCCATCGCGATGAAGAACCTGCGCGACGAGCACTTGAAGGTCGTTTTCGGACCTGGTGCACTGCTATGAAATGATAATGAATGATGTTGTATCAGATAACTTTTCTAGCAAAAAAAGTGGTGCTTTCACTGCATTCATTCGCGACAAACATCAAAGCCGACAATTTATTATTGTGACCCGGACGATAATTTTCAACTTCAACAAGAGAACTGGGAGAGCTTGTCCTTCGTCCTATTTGATTGAATTCAGAGCCGCAAGATTTATTGTTCCGTTCTTGCTTGCTAAAGCTTACAGATAATGAGCGAGAGTACTAGTTGAGAGTGTGAGGCACCTGCACAGCAGCAGTAAGTACGAGGCGCCAAGGAAGCAATGAGAGGAGCTGAGTTGATCTTTGTTTTTGCTCGTCGTTGGTCGTTCTCACGTAAAGATGGGTCGCGAAAACTTTTTTATTGAAGTGCCAATTTGAACTAACGCGTGTTAATTTTTCTGAAACCAAGCCGCTCTGTTTCCTTTCAGTACTAGAGGCAACAGGTTGAACGAACCGCTTCTAGTTTTTTCTCGAAGAAACTAGCACAACCAACATGTCCGACGAGGAAGAGCAAGTCGTGGACCCGCACGCCGCCGCCATGGCGGGAGTGCCGGAGTGCCGCATTCGCCAGAACGACTTGCCAGATCATTTGTGGGACAAGGTGCGGATCGTTCTCAAGGAGGCCCTCGAAAAACACAAGATGGAGAAGGATATCGCGTATTGATTTTTGCTTATTTTCGCTGCACTTTACTTCCGTCGTTCCTTCTGCTGTTACGCATGAGTGATGTATAGGGACGAATTTCATCGTCGTCAGGGAAAGTGGCAATGTTGTCGCAAATTGCATGAGACTTGGTTTCATCTCGGGAGAAAAATTTTCAAAACTCGGATTGGCACTATTGACTATCAGGAACTACATCAAGACGAAGATCGGGGAGGATCAAGATTTCAACGAATTGCCTGGGAAAGGACCATGGCAAACCGTCGTCGGAAAGAGCTTCGCCGCCGCGATCACGCATGAAGCTAGTATAATTGCTGATAGCTTGTTTTTGCGTTTCTTTTCCTGCCATGGCAGTGCGACTATCAAATAAAAATCAAAAACTGTGTCCTTTACTTTGTTTACGTAGAAGATGAAAGTGAAGCATGACAGGCGCTGATGTGATTGGAACTGGAAAACAAAACGTAGGTCACGTCTGCTTCTTCGACATTGCGAACACACGCGAGACGGTGCTCTTGTTCAAGTCCCTCTCGGTGCAGGCGTAAAGGAGGCACCGGGTGTCGATCACGGAAAAGCAAAAATGTATTTAGCGTGGTAGCGTGCGAACCGAAAATAATCCACCTTGTGCACTACACCGCAACCCCGACGTGAGTAGAACTAAGTACAAATACACTAAGGGCTATTGAAAACGAGATCCGGAGATGAACCCCCGTTGCAAGAAACAGTGCTGGAGATGAATTTTTAAAGAATTGAATTATTGAAGGTTGGTTTATTAACTTCGAAAAAAGCTGAAAGGGCTGCTTGTACAACCTCTACTGTCGACGCGAGAACGAAGATTCGATTGCAATCATCGTGTCTTCAACGATGTGTTGCAATTTCAAATTTGTGGCTTCAAATTTATTTGCAAGCAGGAGTTGTGTTTGTTGTGTAGCTGGGGTTAGTAAAGGGACGAACGGGGTGGGGGTGGTGCTCCTCCGAGAAGGACGAAAAGTCTCGGAGCTTGATAGGTACGTACGCATGGAACTTTCATATCTGACCACACACTGGGGTTCGCAGATCGCAATCGTTTTTGGAATCGCATCTCGATGAGGTTTTGATGTCGCTGCAGTCGTTTCAAATTCGTTAGAGCGCTTCGTCTCGCACGCTCTGTGATTCAGATCGCGTAGGTACTTTTGGTACTCAAGAGAACGAAAAAAAGAGCTGGTTTGTAGAATTACTGCAATTATCGGACCAAAGAATACTAGTTGGATTTGTACGACGAAAACGATGATTGAATACCGAAACTCATCTGCAAAGCTAAGAATTCCGTCAAAAACACGATGCTACTGCGCAACGCGGTAAAACCTTCTCGTGGCCATCGCGTTTTGTGTTTCTTGCCCAAAACCTCTGCATGGTGACGCGCTATGCAAGCTTCTTCGTCGCTTCAATGGTGACATCTGCTTTCTGGACCCCGTGTGCTTCCGGGCTCGACACCGACTTCGCATTGCTTCGGAAACCAGAAAGGCGGACTGCTGATGCTGCCTCGCTCGATGCCGCCGGGGAGGTGGCAACACAAGATGAGCTCGTAGATGCAACGGCTTCTGCTTCTGGAGGGGAGGCCAAGCTGCGAATCAGGAGCGGCGGCCTTCGTGAAACCCAGCCCAGTAACGACGACTCCGTGTCCGTTCGAAAATCCGCGCGGGCCGACCACCCGAGAAAAGCTGTGCGGCGAGGTCTGGCTTCCGCGACCGCAGAACATCAACCGAGCAATCCCGGTCTACAAGGACTGCACAATCGCGAGAATAGTACTTCCTCTAGATTGATGTCACCAGCACCGTCGGCGCTTGGAAAAAACGGAAAAGCCTCAACAGCAAAATCTGCACAAGGCGAACAGCAGCAATCCCTGGACGGCACCCTGTTAAAACTTATGGCTGTTGAACCGCAGTCGTCCGACCTAGACCCAACAAGAACCTCTAGTACCCAGGGCTCTTCCTTCCACGACCGAAAAAACTATGCTTCTTCGCGCCGACCGATTGTAGCCACAAGTCACTTGAGCAGAGCAGAGGTTGAAACAAGGGGTCAACATGCGCTGAGAACCACGACGCGGAAGCGAAGCAGTGGGCTGCAAACGGGTTTCTTAGGAGACGACGAGGACGCGGACGAGGACGCGACAAATACAACGAATTCAACCAATGGCACAAAAACGACAGAAACCACCTCCACAACTGCCGCGGCCGTGGAGGAAGAGGGCACCGATCTCTGGTTTTACGCCGAGTGCTTGCTCGGGGTCGTGGCCGTTGGAATTATCATCCTCTACGTCATGTATAGATGTTTTTTTGATCATGTTGAGTAGTAGAGAGTTTTTGTTGTGTACTACTACGGTAGCATCTCTTCGTTCGTTCATTCAGAACAGCGACATGCTTCTGCTTCATTGGTGAATTAAAACGACATGAACTGGATTTTTTGGAAATAACCCACATCACCACTACTATCACAGGGAGCTAATGGACGCGGAGAAGGATCGCAAGAAGAGGGTTGCGATGGGCGGAGAAGGGGGGGATCACGAAAGTGTGGACAGCCGGTTCATGTAAACAACGACTCCGCTACTTCCAGAGGGTTTTGAAGGATGTTTCCAGATCGTGATGAAATTGATGATGAGATTTTTTGCCTGAAAAACCACCTTCTGCCCGAAAAGCAATCGAGTCTTCGGGTAGCAATGTATTGGACGCTCAAAACCGTACGACATCAAAAAAAACCAATCTGGTTCTGTCACGGCCGCAAAAGGGACGGCTTGATACGCAGCCTTCGTGTTCTTGTTTGTTAAAGTGACCGCGTGCCTGTGTGATGATAAGTAGTGGTGGAGCATATGGAGGACTTTTCAACTCGGAAGAGGAGAGTTTTTTCCACGGTGCATGCGAGAGCTCGACAGTTTTTTCTCGTCCGCTTCATTTCAGAGGGTTACGCGTGAGAGTTCCAGAGGGCACAGGAGATCAGGAAGATCCAACAAGTGTAAAGAGGTCATCTAGGTTTAGCCGAGACTCTTAGTAAGACCCGGTAATAATTCAAATTGTTCTCGGGATCTCCTTCGCTTGTAAGCCTTTCTACTCCAAGGAAGTTCCATACGACGTTCTAAGATACTAACTTACATTCGCGTCTTTCTTTTGTCAAAATACTTGCTACCATGTCTGACGGGCCCGATTCACCGGCGTTACTAACGGTTACTGGTGACGCGTCGTCCGAGGTGCGGCGGCTGGGGCGACAAGTGGAGGAGCTGCAGAAGCACCTTGCTGTTTTGGAGCGATCGGTGAGCTTCTTCACAAGCCACATTGGAAAGATTAACCAGATAGAAGCCTACTTCGACGTCCTTGAGAAATCTGCGGCTCGCGAGGCAGCGTTTCTCCCCTCCTTGCCTGCAACGGCTCCCGAAAACGAGCCGAAAACGGCTGTAGAACGGTTTTTCCAAGTCCTGCGCGAATTGTGCCGGTCACGCTCATCAAATTATGTGGAGCAAACTGTAGTCACTACATCGGAGAGGAATGAGGCGGGTGGCACCCTGACGCCCAGCAGCCTGGTGCAGAGCACCATCCTGGCAGGAACCCCGATCCTGCCCGCGCAGACCACTGCGGCGCAACCTCGTAGCCAGGCTCCTGTGCAGCTTGTCCACACCGCCGGAGGATCTGCTGCATCTCCGAGCGCGCTGAACCGCGGTGCGGCGCCCGATTCCCAGCGGACCGTGGCGATGGACTTCAACCCGCGCAGCAACCTTGCCACCAGTCAAAGTCTGGCGGCCGCGAGCGCCACCAGCTCCGAGTTCGGTGGAAACGGAGGGGCGGCACCGCCGCTCTACCAGGGAAGTTTTGCGGACAATCTGACATTTTCCTCTGCCCCCGCGCCCCCTGCGTCGGAGGTCTACAGCACTGCCCATGCGCGCGACCTGGAAACAACGTCTGCCGAGCGGCGGTACCGGGCGCTCGCGGCGGCAACGCAGCCGAGCAGCCACTACGCTCCGGTCGCGCGCGGGTCGAAGGTGGCGTCGTCGCCGGACGGCGCAACCAGTTCTCCGTCGGTATCCGGGACCGTGCGGTCCAGTCCGTCCGCCTCCGGCCGTCCCGAGCCCGACGGGGGCCCGAAAACAGAATACATCGAGCGGCGGCAGAACGTTCCGCAGACCGGCCCGAAGTTTCAGCCTAGTCCGCAAGTGCTGCGACAGCAGCAGTCGCGCGCCGCCGCACTCGAATCGTCGATCAGCGGCGCCGTCGCTCTGCAGCGACGGGACCACGACTACCGACTGTCCGGAACTACTACTTCGATCGGCGGCGGCGCGCGGATGAGTGGAGAGTTCTATACTAGCAACCCCGCTGCGAATCTGTTCGGCGGCGGGATGGGATCGGCGTCGGCCTCGGCACAGCCTGTTCCGCCGGAGCGGTCCACCCATTCCGTGAGTGCGAGTAGCAACCACGACCCGTCGGACCCGAGCGAGTGGAGACTCCAGCTGGACCCCAGCCGTGGGTCGGTGCGGCTGGGGAACGGGAGCTGGGCGAGCACCTACAAGACTGCGGACCCGGCGAAGCGGGAGAAGCTGGAATTGCTGTACAAAACGGGGATCGTGTCGGCGCGCGAATTGGAGGAAGATCACACGGTGGTCACGGAGGACCACATCCACGATTGCATCGTCATCGCGAACGAAATGTTGCAGCGCTCCTCCTGCGAGGTGTGGATGCGGCAGCCGAATCTCGCGCAGACCTTCTTCGAGCACGAGCTCACGAAATTGTACACGCGGAAATTCGGCGGGAAATCGTAGTTCAGGACAACGGCAGTTCTGCTTTCGGGAAGATCCGAAATTTCAACAGGTGTAGAAAGTTTACTACATGATCGATGATCCCCACGAACTACGTGGAGCTAAACCTGTCTCCTCAAATAAGTCCGCGCTGCCGGCACACGAGAAAATGCTGATCGTTTTCTTTTTCAATTTGAAGAAATGCTCAGTTCAGGAACAGGAGTATTCTCTTCGCATGCCAAATCGGTACCATGAATCGGCTGGGGCGCGCGCTCTCTTTATTGCAGCAAATATGTTGGTATCGGGAATTTTCCAAGAGGAAATCTGCGGTTCACATGGCATGAAAAAAGTCATCGGCGATCTCTTCTTGTGACCTCTTGTAGATCCGTTTTCCCGCCGTGAAGAATGTAATTACACAAAAGGAAGATGATTTGATCGCTGTCGGTACTCAAATACCAGAACTCGTTCTCCTCGTGCGAAATCTTCTGCAAGGTCGACGAAACAAAATCGATCCGTGGATCGTGCGTGAAAGTCGTGAACAATGCCACTCTGTGTGCTACTTTTGTGCTTTCTGACTTTTTTCCTACCAGTTTTACCGCAGCTGTCACGTGGCTTCCTTTGTGTTTGCCACTGACCGTCTAGCTGAACAGAATAACGTTGACGAACGACGGTCCTGTCATCAAAACTATTGCAAATAACAAATGCATCTCCACCAACGTCACTAAGTAAGTTGTATCAATAAATTTGATCACTTCTTGAACTTCGCGGGGAAGAGCCTGCCAAAATGTCGCCTTGCAGCGGTCCTGTGACGATGGGCACTACTACCGTCCCGGCCAGGGCGGGCGAACGGGACGAACGGATCCCCGATCAACCTCCCTCCGCCTGCTCATCAGGCAGTCTGCCGTCCCAGATCACGCGGCCTGCCAAGCACCCGGTGAGCATGGACAATTCTACAACCTATTTGTCCCGCCGCGTCAACACGTTCCCGGTTCCGGAGTACCTGAAGCTGATTTCACAACAGCCTTTGTACGATCCCGAGACCAACCCGGAGGGGGTCATTCGGTTCGGAGTGGCGGAGAACAAGCTGCTGGCGTCTCGATTCCAACACCGACTCGAACAATGCCGGGTCAAAGTATCCTGCGGGACCCACTTTTCCTACGGGCACACCGACGGCACGCCGCAGCTCAAGGACGCCATGGCGCGGGTGTTGTTAGACCACGTTTTTGTGGAAAGCGATGAGGATGAGGACGTTCCTCATGTTGCTGCCTTGCCAGACGGCGACAAGGACAACCCTAACCCAACCACGATCCCGCACGAGAACCTCTTTATATCCAACGGACTGGCCTCGAGCATGCAAATCCTGGCCCTCACGGTGGCGGACTGCGCGACGGACCGGGCCCCCGACGGCAGGACCGACGCCATCATGTACTTTTCGCCGCGGTACCCGGGCTTTGTATTTGACTTCGGCGGGCAGGCCGGGGTGAAGTGCGTGGAGTTGCCCTTGCGGACACCGGGGATGCTGTATTGTGAGGAAAAATCCCCCGTCCCCATACCAAACCGGGACACTTCTGAAAATTTGTGATGCAGATTTGAGACCACAAATCGTCGCTGTATTGCATGAAGGCAAGTCTACAGGCTCCGCCACATTCTACAGGCGGTTTGTCATGCTGTTGCTCCTACAGCGTAGACGTCAGCCATGCTAAGTGCCTAGGCCAAAACTTGTCTACTCAGGCCTGATCTGGGCCTGCAGTCCTCGCCAGCAAGACAAATCTGATTTGTGACCTCAAATACAGCATCACAGATTTCGTTTTCGATATGGGGAGGGGGGATTTTTCCTTTCGATATGCTGCCAACGGCTGCGGAGCTGGACCGGTTTCTGGAAGAGCAGACGAAGGCCGGCGTTGCCGTGCGGATGTGTGTGTTGTGCCACCCCGACAACCCGACGGGGTACGTGTGGACTCGCGCGGAGTGCCTGCGCCTGGTGGCCTGGTGCCGGCAAAACGAGGTTTTGCTCGTCAGCGACGAGATCTACGCCAAGTCGCCACAGTGGGCGGCTGCGACTACTACTCCTACACGAGAAGATCGCAGAGACAGCACTGTGGTCCTCGTGATTGACGATCCCGCTCCCGGCGCGCCCTCATCAGGATCGACTGCGAAGAGCGGCAGCGTAGTTCCTGAGCGGTTCCAGAGCCTGTGGCGGTACGCCGATGTGACGCTTTGGGGGCTGTCGAAGGACATCGGACTTGCGGGTTTGCGGTGCGGAGTGATGTACTCGCCGCACGCTTCGCTGTTCCGCAAGGCGCGCACCTACGCCGAGCCCATGCAGCTGCCGGCCATCTACCAGACGGTCCTAGCAGAGGTGCTGGCGGACAAGGGGTTCATCGACAAGTACCTGGCGGATCTGTGCCAGGAACTGCAGCTCGCGCGCCAGGCAGTGCGGAAAAAGCTGGTGGACGAGCTCCGGCTGTCCATCGACCTGCCGGAGGTGGGGAAACGGGCGGACGGCGGCGTGTTTGTTTGGGTGGACTTCTCGGAGTTCGGGATCCCGAGCGCGGACCTGTTTTCGATCCTGCTCGAGGAGTACCGCGTCTTCCTGGCGCCGGGCCACAGTTTCTTCGACGCGCCCGCCCTCGGAGACGCGTGCTACCACCTGCGCCTGTGCTTTGCGGGCTGTTCGCCGGACACGTTGGCCGTCGGGCTGGAACGCGTAGCGCGGTTCGTCCGCGACGCCCGCGACGGAAAGTTCGCTCCACGCACGCCCAGCACCACCGGGTCGATCGAGTGATCTTCGGCTATCATAGGTGTTGAAGTAGAGGAACGACGATCGAATATGGTGGCGCGCAGCTGACGCTGCGCCGACGTGGCGAGGAACGTCTCCGAGTATAATGCCCCGGATGTTGCTTGTTGTACTTTGCCATGCAGCATTCATGTTGGTGTCCTTTGGCGATGACAAACAGGAAAATGCTGATGCGCGCTGGATAACGGTACGTTTCAGGCTGGGCAGCAGCGGCAGGATGACTACTGTCGTGTAGAAAGAAGTACACGATCTTGTTGGAAACCAGTACTTTCTTGTTTTCAGGCTACTGAGACGCCTGTCCGAATCTTGTGGCGCAGCAAGGGCCTTTCGACAAATGATCGACAGTAGAATCACGAAGAAGTCGAGGATGTCACGAGGAAGTCTTGTTCTGACAATGAATAAGCACTGCACCAGCATCCTGCACGTGCACAACTCACAATTCTGGTGATAGCAATGAATCACACAGCGATCAAGATCCACATTGACACTATCCGTTGTGTTGAAAGTGTTCTAACGAGCAAAGTAGCAACGAAGTCAAGAAGCAGATCTCTCGAGCAAGGAGTAGTGATATACAGGCGATCAAAGTCTCCAGCTGTAGACGCCGCTATCGCGGGGAGTTCGAATACATAGGGTCTGTCCAGCTAATTGTTGCGAAACGAGACGAGACGCATCACCAACGATCGCACGCACCATCATGCAAAGCAACAGACACTTATTTCAATTACCACCACCAACAACCAACATCCACCACCACCATCATCATCAACAAATTTGAGTCTGTCTTTGTCTTCCCAAACCACCAACAAGCACCAACACGCACCACAAACCACCAACAAGCAACACAAACCACCAACAAGCACCACCACCATCAATCGTCAACAAGTTTGAGTCTCTGTTTGTCGCTCCAACGCTAGTAGTTTGTTCTTCGTCCAAACACTACCAGAAGCACAACCATCCCGTCACTGCAAAAGTGATCACCATCAACATCGGCATCAAGCGTTTTTTGTGCAGTTATCAATATCCACAACCGAGACCCGTGTGAGTACTTATCTTAAAAAGCGTGAAGTCGGATCCGCTTGTTTTACCTCACGCACCAACGGGATCGATGAAAAGCAAGATCCGCGCCCATTCCAGATCCGCACCATAATTTTCAGGTTCTTTCGCTAGGTGTGGTCGTTCCTTAGCGTCGTGTAATAGTTCATCAAAGTGAAAAGTCTCGACGGAGCCAGTGTTTCTGTCGGGCCAGTGATGCAAAACAGGTTTGCGCCAGCAGGAACAGATTGTCAACAGGAGCGGGCGAAGCCGGAGAACGCAGGGAGTGTGCGAGCGCGCCGCGACATTGAAGCGACACGATCAGCTGTCTTCAAGACGTGACCCAATGAAATAATTCAGGCAGCAGGGCGGTTGTTGTTCTTGTTGTTAGCCGGTAACAACAACAAGTTCCTCTGGCGATGTGGAGCTTTATTCGTTGTCGGCTATAAAACACCAGGTGACGTCGACACCGCACGTTCGGTATGCAGGTGCAGCACACTGTGTAGTACACGATCGACGATAGAAGCTGACTGTGTCGTAACTCAGGAATATTGTAGTAAGTCACGTTCTTACTGCTTTCACTTCAAGAGCCCATTCCGAGCCAAGGGGGACGAAGCACCGAATTTCTGTTCGAGCACTCTCAGGAACTGTACGACTGCCGGAGCCTTTGCTTCGCATCGGTGTGGTAAATACAGAATTTCAGGATCATCTTCTTCCGTCTCAGGAATCAGTAACGAGCGTTGGGCTGCATCTGCACGTCCTTCAGGGTCTTTCTTGCCATTTTCGCAAGAAAGAACCAACGCAAGAATCATGCCGGCGGCGTCCGGCCACCAGCCCATCGACCTGACGCGGTCGCAGGAAACCATTGCGCTGCAGAATGCGCATCTGTTGTTGTCCTACCACTACCAGGACGACGTGAGCAAGGTGCTGGCTTCCAACGGGATGATTCAGGACCGCATCGAGAAGCTCGCCATGGACATCAGAAACCAGTACAACCCCGACGAGGAGCTGCATCTCATGTGCGTTTTGAAGGGAAGTCGGGGCTTCTTTACCACCCTGCTGAAGTACCTGACTCGCATGGCATGCTACTCGAGCAGCTCGCAGGCACCCTTTCTCGAACACTACGCCAGGATTTTGCAGCCCGGGGCCGAGGGCAGTAAAAGCGAGTCCGAGGTACTGTCTAGTCGGTTCGAAAATTTCTGCACGGTGTGTTTGATGTGTTTGTCGGTGTCAATAGTATAAGGTCAGATTTGTGCAGCAGAATTTGAATTTCATACCAGCGTGTGTCTAGTTTGCTTTCGGTTTCGCTCCTGCTAGGTTGACTTTTCACTAATGTATGAATGCAAGTGGAAGTAGAGTAGGTGCTTGCTTTGCGATATCAATCGTGAACTGCGCGAAAAGACGATGCTCTTCCTCGAATTTCAGGTTATCGCGCGACTGGGCGACAACCACTCGCACGAGATCACGATTGTGTCGGAGAACCTGGCATGCGTTCGGGACAAGCATGTGCTAGTGTGCGAGGATTTGATAAACACCGGAAAGACCGTATCCTGAGTAAAAATGTCCCCGCCCCAGAGTTGTCATGCAGATTTGCGATGACAGGAAGACTTGTAATGCGCATCTCCATGGGAGGCATTACCAGTCGTGTTTTTAAATTTGTAATGCTGCAAACAGGATAAGAAGATGGATTTGTGATGCGGTTTTCCTTGCTAACATGCACTACACTACGGACTGCAACTTGTCCTGCGTGGCTCCCAAAACTTCTGGATTTGTGTTGCTAAGTCCCCAACTTGACTCTGGTGTGGGGACGTTTTTCCTCAGGATAGACCCTGGCTCTGTTCTGCGCCAAGCTGCGCGAGTACGGACCGAAGTCACTGCGGATTGCCACGCTGCTGGAAAAGCGTCAGTCCAGCGACGTGCCGCTCAAGGCGGACTTTTGCGGTTTCACGCTGCCCAGCACCGAGTTTGTGGTCGGGTATTCGCTCGACCACCAGGAAAAGTATCGGGATCTGACGCACCTGTGTGCGCTCAAACCTCAGGTGGTGCTGAAGACGTGAGAGGAGGAAATGTTGCACGTCGCAAATATCCGCTCTGGGGCTGGAGGACCGCGAACAGAAGGGTTAAAGTAATGCGAGTGCATCACGACAATCACTCTGTTTAGTGTTTCTGTTTTCCGTCTGGGGCGGCCTTACTCCGGTTCCTTACCTCTCCGGCAGCCGCGAGCCAGTGCAGTTTGTGTAGAAGCTGCAAACACAGGACATTTCGACAAGAGTAAGAGAGCATGTCGTGTCATGCCTTCTGCGGAATGTCATTATGCACTAACCAAGAACAAAGAGAAGACTTCTCCTTCTGTTCATATTGATAATTCAGTGGAGTACAAGTAGCTTGCCTTTCTGTCACGCGGTTCAACCTCGTGCAGCACATGCTATCGTGTGGTAACACTTGCCTGTTCCAATGCAATTGTTATTTTCCCTAGCGTCTACTACCTTGAGTACCTTTATAGTACGACTAGAAGCAGCGGTCTGTGGTCGAAGTCGAAGATCATGAGGATGCTCCTAAGCACTTCGCAGTGGTGATGTTGAAGAAGGATATGCTGCACGGTCTAGCGGAGTCCTGTCTCCGTAGGAAAGATCGAGGAGATCAACATAGTGATGTCGGCGTGAAGTAGATGATCTTTTGCTCAATCTTTCAATTTGTTCCACTGCAGCTTTCTGATTCTGAGGGATCCCCTTTGCGGACATTGTCAGTCTGCATCTGCCAGCTGACATGATCGGGCTCCATTTGCTGCTGCGCTATGGGTCAGCAGGTCGCTGGATCAGGCTCTCAATATTCCAGCCGTTCAATCTGGAAGGATCACACCCAACGGGATCACAAGGCTCACTACGTTCTTTCCTCTTTCACCGATGCGGCTTGTGAACACATGTACCTCCTCCTCGCTATAGCCGGTGGCGGTGCTGCTGGCGAGTGATGCAGCTTTTCATTTTTCGTCTCCAAGTAGCAAGATCCGAATGTAATCGTCATTCAGATTTCAACATGCAGACGTAGTTCTCGGTCGTCTTTGTATCCACTTCTGCGAGGACGCTTACAGTCGCTTTTTCTTTCCATAAATCTCCAGTCAAAGTTGGGACATAGGGCAGTCAGGGTAGTGAGCACATTACTCATCTGCCGCGGTCTACTAGGTCTCCTCACTTACCGATTCATTGTACAAGAAAAGAAGAACATCCTAGAGCAGGTAATACACACGACTCCTTTACTTACCAGTATCAAGCAAAAGCGCGTTCGAGCACTGCCACTTTCAGAGTCCGGAGTTTCGGTCATCTAACTTTAGAGGGAAGTGAGGCCCACCGGGACTTACGCCCTATCAATTGTCATTTCTGTACTTCTTGCTACTAAAAACTACGAATTTTTGTGTTCAGTACTGGGGAGCTCCGTACTGTCTCAGACCACGAGGAACGCACCGACCGAGATTTACCGACGCCGAGGGACGAACTTTCTTCACCTCGGCGATCAAAACGATGTGGCACGGGGCGACGGCTAAGTACATGGCTTCGGCCACGGTGGTGTACTTGTTACTTCTGCAGCCTGGAGGGGTGGAGGCGAGTCGTGGTCCTCGCGACCCCAGATCGCCTTCTGGTCGGAATTGGGCATATGCCAGTACATCGGGCAAACACTCTGCTTTGAGTTATATGGCATGATAACTACCCAGTTATACAAATACAGAAGTAGCCGTACTGAGAAGTGTGAAATTGGAATCCGGATGAAGAACATCACCATTGATTCTCCGTGGTGGACCTCCGCTTCGGACATTGATGCACTACATACATAGATATACGAGGCAGCCCTTGTTCGTGTTTGCGCCGTCATTCCCATAGACGCGGTGTAACTCCGCCAGGCCACCATGCAGGAACCGGGCACGCGTTCCTTACGAATACGGCCCACTCGAACCCGACCCTACAAGGTGCTGGTGTTCAGGTCGTGGCACCGCAAGGCCATACGGGCACCGGACAAGTATACAATCCTAGAAGTCATTCTGTTTTGATTAGCCCTTCACAAGTTTCTCATTTCCTTTCTTCGTGCCTATGTTAATTCTCAATGAGCTCGGCTCGATGAGGGAAGAAGAACAAAGTGCTCACTGCAAGTGTTTGATGGCGGTTTATGTGAGTGGTGGGGGCCGCCGGGTTACAAAGGGCGGTGCCCAGACCATAGTTCGTCCGCAGGTTCTAGATGCGAGCATTTCTGGCCGGGGCTTGGAGGTCACCGGCATGTGGATACGTAGGGTCGTCGTCGAGGTTCCTTGAGGACGCCTGCGGTATTGCGCATCAGCGCAGCGTTCTACAAATTTTCCGAGATGTTAAATCGGTGCTGCCTGAAGCTCAGAGTCAGCGATTGCTACTTGAGGCACCAGCATGCCTATTACGTTTCTTTCCTTCGCTCGTATCAGATTCCACCGCCGACGAGTGTTGCTTATGGCGATGAAAATGGTGCTGAGTAGCTGGTCGCATTTGAGGACTGTCATTCCACGAAACGGCGTGGTCGCGGAATAAACTACACAAGAAGTGCTGCACGTAAGCTAGTGTTGTCGGGAATCGGATGGCGCTTTTGCATAGCCGGCACATGCTTCGAGAATTTTCATTCTAAGTGCGAAACTCATTCTGCTAAGCATGACAACAGATCATTTGCAGTTGCTTCAGGGACCATTTTCAATTAGATAGCGGTATTCCTTACACCCCGACCTTCTGGAGCTTCAACATGTTGTTCGGCACAAGATTAGAAGTTCACCCAGGGCCTTGGTACACACATTTTGTCGCGAACAGGCCAACCTCTGTGCCTGGCGGAATACTAAAAACTCAAAACTCTAACACGGGTCAGGGCGACGAGCTGATGGGTGGATATGGGTATGAATATGACCGTGTCACTGGTGCTGGTCAAATAGTCGCCACGCCTGCGCTTGGAGGACAGGGACGGCCTGCGGCTGGAGGCGTGTCATCTCGCGAGACAGGAGCACGAAGATATCACACAGAAAAGCGCTAGCCTGATGATGTATTTCTCATGCCGCTGGCGGTGCAAATGTCGATGTCTCCGTTATGGATACGATCAATTACAATTTCCTGTATTGTAGGGTCTTGTATGAAGCCTATATTGATTTATCAATCTGATTCGTTGCTCGAAAGAGAAAGAGTGGAGCAGACCATTCCGACGCACAAACATGTACGTTGAGGGTATGTTCGCTCCTATCTCAAGCAAGCTAACACTGCTTCTGCATTTGCCCGAACTCTGCCTCTGCAGCGCAGCCTACGCAGCACGTGCTGTAGCATTTTTCTGGACGATACGCTGGACCACAGCGCGCCCATGGATGTTGACCCGGAGGAGCTGCGCTTCCTGCACCTGCGCCAAACCTACCCCGACGAGTACCAAGCGTATCTGGAGGAAGCACGGCAAGAACTGCAGGAAGCGAATGGACTCGGTCAGCCAGTCAATAGGGTCGAGGTAGAACGACTTGCCCTGGGGAAACTGGAGCTAGTCGTGGATGAGATGGTCGCTCGGCAGCAGAATCGCGGCGCTTCGAATTCGGGCCGAGGTCGAGGCGGATCATCTCATTCTAGTCCATATACCAGGAACTACGAAACACGCGAATGTGGAGGGGGCGGAAACTGTTGGTATATTTTTAAGCAGCTGAAGAAGTAGTGTGGCATTTCTTGTTGAATTTCGTCGGAAAAATTCAAGTTCCGGTGGTGGTCAGTTGACACACAGACCATCTGCTACTTACAAGAAGGAACGCAAAGAGTATGCCAAACAGTTACTCGCTCTCCTAAAGAAGCCAGAACCCGACTGAATTTCGTCGGCAGTGTCGCTTCATACCTTCTTCAGATGCGTTCTTGAAGTGCAGTCGATCTCACTCGTAAATAAGGTTGATGAAAATTAGTGAATTTGTCACTATTTACTACTGATTTATTATAGCTGTAATTCTTCGTTTTGCGAACGACTACCACTCAAACTCCCTCTCGTGTCTACGTATGAGGAAGGAGCAGTGTGCGGGCTTTTGTGCTAGGCTGTACTAGACATCTGCGCACCCATTTTGCAGAATGACCGTCAAGGAGGTCTAACAACATCGCGTGTATCACAGGTTTCATTCCGCTGCGCACCAGCTGGCGATCCGCGCACGAATCAATAACCACGAGACCGGACGCCCGTACACGGGGGAGCAGTTGCGGCAACACGTCGCTGACTGGTTGCTGTGGAAACCGCGAGGCTCCGAGACCAACCTTGAACGCCACGACATGCTTATGAATGTGTTTGAAGGCTGGGTGACCACGCAATTGCAAGAGCCCATGAAGGCCCAGTACTACATATTTTGTCTGTTGACAAGAAGCTCATACATACGTAATGATAGAATTTTTTTTTCAATGCCAGTCTTCTTACAATCTATCAAGCAAATCGTAAAATGTGTTGGCACCGTACTGAAAATGTGAATGATAGATGGCACCACTAGTTTCTTTTTCTTTCTGTTTTCATCTGGCCCTTCATGATCGTTTGAAATTTGAAATCAGGATGAAGGAGGCGTGGGACCAGCACATGCGGCAGCGGGGGAACAAGTGGGAGGACCAGGTGCGCCAGTGGACCGTCCCGAATATGCGGGACAAGCTTGGCAATCCCAAGGTACTGAAGTGGAGCTCGTACGAAAACTTCAAGAAGTTTTGGGGGTTGCGCACGGAAGAGGAGATGCGGAGGCTCTGGGAGCAACAACAAATCGAAGAACCGTCTGTGTTCGCCAGCGCCAGCGCGTTCGCTCCGCAGTTTTACAAGCCGGAGCAAAGGGTGTATGAACAGGGAGATGCGGTTGCGAACAAGATTCCCACCGATCACGCTCAGGCCTCGTTCGAAGTCGGGGATGAACTTCCGCACCTGATAAAGCTGCCACTTCCGAGTGACTTGCAGATCGTCGACACCCCGGGCAGCCGTGGCAGTTCTGACGGCCACGAAAGTTGTTCGAGCAATGATGATGACGCAGGAAACTCGTGTACTTATCTCTTCTTGGGAGCAGTTTACTTTGCTCCATTTAATAGTAGCGATGTTTTTCCGGTCTGCTCATCTATTGCGTTCGCTTCACTAATATTTACTAGGATCTCAATCAAAATCAATGAATGTCTTCTGCTGAAGCACTTAAGCAGGTGCGTGAAGAAACCACTGCCTTCGTAATTGGATTCTTGACAGAAACACTTAATAGTCAAGGCCATGTTGAGAACTTTCCATCTCAATAGGTTTTTGGCCTAGTTCGTCCACCTCCGACAAGAAACAAAGGAAGGGCAAGAAGAACGGTCAAGGCGGCACCATGGGCGGGGGGCAGTCCTCGACGTACGAACAGCGCTACCACGACCGCTGCGGGGGCGGGCAGCGTGGCGGAGGCATGTACCGACCGTCGTCGATTGGGGGCGACTTTCCGCTTACCGCAACAGGAGCGTTGTGGCTTTACGCGACACGTGATGGAAACGTCCCGCACAGCCAGCAGGACCAACTGTGGAATCCGCAGTTTGCGCGTGAGGCCGTGTGTGCTATGTTTCAGGTAAATCATATGCATCCATAAGTAAAATTTTTTGAATGATGTGGTCTGGCTCGGAGAAAAGTGCTGCGCGGATGAACGATCTTTTCATCGTATTGGATCCGGAGTAGCTGTTCGCGGCATGATGTTCATGCTCGTGCCAACTTTGTGAATTCGGACTAGAATATCTCTTCAACGCCCCGTGCAGGTGCGGCTTTGGCAGATTGTCGACCGAGCGGTGTCGCCGTTGGTGGAGCCGGAACAGGCCATGGATCAAAAGTGGTACCCGCCCTCCACGGTTGGTCGCAACCCCCTCCCGAAGTTTCACGAGGCTGCGCTCCCAGACGTGCAACGGAGAGGCTTCCCGAACCCGTCTGCCCGCCAGCCTGAGGGACCGCGAGGAGGCGAGCCCCCCACCATTTATGTGAATATCGCCGGGATTCACGCAACCTCGATACTGTCTGGACCGGACGTACCGCGGGCGAACGCAGACCAGGAGCCCCAGCAAGGGCGAGGCTGGAGCTTGTGGGGGCAGTAAGCTATTAGAAGAATCATCCCGCAAGGCACTACCGACGCAAAGAAACGACGAATGACGTGACTTTGTTCTGTCAGAACAAAGGGTTGGCGCGCGTGCTTTTTGGGGCCACGGCCGTCGGAGGTTTCGTATTGATCACAGTGCGCCTCAACGAAAAGTGAAATGCTGTAGTGGTATGATGAAAAAATGGAAGACATACTGGCACGATATGACAAATGTCGAGAACGCAGAAAGTCAGCGTTTGAAATGAAAAACAGTCTACTCCCGCAACTCAATAAAGAAGTGAGAGGTCCTGAAGTGGAAGACCTGTCATGGTCCGTGGCGATGCATCGTTCGAGCATGGTCAGGGTGGTTGCAGGATGGAAGCTTTTGGAATAACCCACCACTAGCAGGACAACTTTACTGCACCGAATACATCAGAGGGCGTGCACATACTGCGCGAAGGTTCGTTGCATCTCAGTGCGCCCGACAACTAGACTTCTAAACCGAGTGCAGTAAGTACCAAATAAGGAACACGGACCGTCGCCGCGATGCGCAGTTGTGTCAAGCGAATACTATTTGTGTGTCCTATCCGCAATTCGAGTATCTGTCTTCAATGCACTGTCGCAAGCAAGTGCTGTCAGCTTGTTTTGGTTAAGTATTTTCAAAACGTAAGGACGTGCTCACTCCATCTCGGAATCTTGTGCGTTTCCTCCGATCTTGCATCAGAAGAAAGTACGATCTCCTCTCGTGGATTGGTCCAAGCGGACCTGATTTCATTTGTAGATCCGAAGATCAACCGTATCCTGATCAAGCGAGCTCTCCGCTGGTTTATGGATCTGTTTTGGCTTGGTATTCAAGCAATCGCTCATCTCCAGCCCTCGGACGCGGATCCGTTTTTCGTCACTTGGGGGCGTTCAGGAAGGATCTCTAGGTCTTGGCTCCCTTGCTCGTCGAAGAACTCTCGACCTCGCCGCGTGGATCATCTGTAATATGTGCAGCTGATGCTTTTTTCTGGTCATGCTGTTGCTGACATATCATGCTAGCTAGTAGCGCCTGATTTTGATTTTCTGGCCCTCCCCCTCGCGTGTAGTTGCGCCTGTGCCTCTCGTCGAAGACACGGAGAAAAAGTCGCTGAGAAGCGATAAGAAAGTATCTATCGCAATTCACGATGTAAGTAAATCTATTCGTGAATGTGTGGCTCCAATTATAGCAGCTTGAGAATCTTCCAGTCAACATACTGAACGTGAACGATATGAAGAGTCTTCATTTCAGAGTCACAACCTCAGAGACTATATCTTCGAAGCGATAAACCGCTATTCGTTCTCCTTACAAGAAAGAAAGGACCGCCTTCTAAGTGGTTCAGGTAGTTCATCTGAGCACGACATTTGACAAGTGTAAAGTCCGTCTCCTGGAGGTTTCGCGGGAGCGCTACGTCACTACCTGATTAATCGCCAGATACGAAGGAAGTAGTTCCTGCTCGCAGTTGAAATATTCCACCTCTATCATACATTGATAATCACGTGCACGCCACCTTCCCAGGGCTTCCAACTCTCTCAGCAGCACAAGTGCGGACCGGCACGAGATGCGGGCCCTCTTGAAGAAGCTCCTGCCGTCGGTCATCCTTGCGATGCTCCACGAGCAGGTGCCAGGCGTGTGTGCGACACCGATCAAATTCATCGGCGGCGGCTTTCTCGCGGCGAAACCTGAGGAGACCTTCATTTACGAAACCAACACGTATCGAACGAGAGAAATACTGCTGGGCGTCTGAGCTTACTATGTTCTCTTGTAAGGGTCATGATTTGCCGAACGGTACTTCGTGTATTTGCATCGGATGAAGATTTATGGGAGAAGAGATTTGGTATTTCTATTTGTACAGACTGCCATTTTCACCGGTACTGTGTCGTGCATCTTGATTCAAAATCGGCGATGCAGCACGGGGAAGGGCGGCTGGAGTACTTCATGAAGCACTGCCGCCTAGCACCTGTCCTCACGGGACTCTCCCTAGGTGTAGTGTGTGCGCTCGCAACAAGACTAGGTAGTAAACGGCTCGCAGCAGTCCAAGGTTTTTCGACGATATTGCCATGGGGGAGGTTTTCCAGTGGATCAAAGGGGAGGTGGAGCGGCAACTCGCCACGCGCCAGACCACCAGGAACTATGTAATATAAGGACGTCCCAATCTCTGAGCTGATTTGTCGTGCAGATCTTACATGTTGAGAACGGCGTCTCCCCATAGCAGAAACGTGCTAGTCGTAGTCCTGTACAAAGGAGGGAATCTGTATATGCTCGAACCACAATATGCAACTGGCTCTGTATATGGAAAAGACGACCAACCCGTCAGTACACTATGAATGTATGAGGCCAGGTTTGTCGCTGAAAACGCGCCCAACTTCTGGATCTGTTTCGTAAAGGTTGCACCTTGATGGCTCTATCGCGGGGACGTTCTTACACAGGATAAAGCCAACGGATTTTTTTTGTCGTAAGATATGAAATTTCTGTTGTCTGAGTTGTTTTTTTTGTCTATACAACGCATGCTTTCATTCTCTGTTGGAGTTGAACTTGTCGTGGAAAAGGAGTCAAGACATATAATAATCGCAACTGCTCATAATTCAGCGTGACGTGCCGCGGAGCGCCGTTTCTGTTCGACCCCAACACTATCGGAGTTTTATCATTCTGGAAAGCGCACTGATCTCTGATTGATCATGCTTTCATTCTGCTTTCTCTTAGTACTGCTTCTTTGGTATGTATGTGTACTTTTTGGTGTGAATGTCACTGTCAGCGTAGTAATCATAGATGGTACGACGAATGTCGATCACTTGGGTGTGATCAATCAGCTCCACCCGTCGGATCCTCACGGAAGGCATTACAGAGAAAGGGGCAACTTTTGTGAGTATGTGAATCTTGTGGGCATTAGTGCGTTTCATGTGGACACGACAACGCCCACCTGAAAACCGACCTGAGTCTGACCATAAAGCAGCACATGGAAAGGGAACGGCAGCTAGCACCGGTCGTCAGCAACTTTAGAGGGGGAAAGATGCCGCCTATCCTCATCGTGTACTAATTTGTTTTCTATGATCGAGGACCTTGAGCTTTTGCTTTTACTTTTCCTTGTAGAAACGCTATTTTCAAGCCCATCGCATCATAGTTTACACATATCCTACTTGTTAAAAAAGAAAAAATATTCATGATGATATACTTCGAGGAACCATAACACAAACGATCTCGATCACGACTCGGGACCCACCGCTCAGGACGGACAGTCCACGTTCATTTTCACATTGACGAAAACAGGAATCACAACGACTCGATTGCCGCTGCTTTGGAAGGGGTGGCAGAGGAACTGCGCGCACCAGCCGGGAAGCGTAGGCGCGAGGAACCGGCCTAGCGAGGTTGCTCGAACTGTCATGCGCGGGCGTGCAATAGTGAGGAATTGGAAACAGAAGTCGGAGGAAGGTTGATGCTGCGTGTGCATGCCACTACTCTTTCTCCAATAAGTTCTACAAGGCACGAAAAGCGTATGGAAGGGTTTTTCGACTGTGCTGTGGATAGGCACAGGACTTGCCACGGTAATGGCCATAAGTATGATTTGAAAAGAATACCACACCACTTGTTGCAAGTTGCAGCAAGTGATACAGAAAAGAAATGCAATATAAAAAACCGAAACGCGTTAATATTGGTGAGAGATCGCTGCGAAAGAGGGCCACAAAATCAAATCCTCTATTTTCTAAAGTCGACAGTTCGTCCCGCGCCTCGTGAACCCGCGAAACGAAGAAAAAATGCGAGCAACGCGAGATGACGAGCGGCGTCACCGGGTTCTTGAGACGAGCACAGTGCTTCTCCGTGGACGAAACGATATTAAGCGATAATCGCAATTCAAGGCTGCAATGCTCATGATCTACAAGTTGATAGTTGTTTAGCTTCTTCTGATGGGTTGATTCTGAAGTTCGCTGCCGCATTGGTTCGTTGGACCCTCATCTTATGGTGTGCGGCTCTGGCTCTGCGAGTACGCAAAACAAAAAGATCTCTTGGTGATCGACGATTAGGCTGGACTCCTCGGACGTAGATCTTTCGTCTGTCAGTGGTCAGAAAAGCGCTGGATCTTTTTGCCTCTGATTTTTTTTGATTCTGCTAGCTTCTAGTTCTACGCTGCGGAGGTAAGCATGCTCCACAAAATGAATACCATAAGCAGTTCGGCTTTATTTGGATCCACTTGATCATAGGTCTTTTACTTTTTCTCGGATGATTTCTGTGACGCCTCGGAGCAGCTTGATGTTGGATGTTGTTCGTCGACTTAGACGGTTTCGTCACTGGCGCTTTTTCATCGAGTGTCGTGATATTTAGTAAAGCAGGATCGCGACCTGAGACACGGGCCCAAAAACGAGTAAACAGATAATCTAGGCAGCTGCGACCACTGCAGTAGGTCGTCCCGTCTGTTTCAAGCACGCTAGAAAAAGACAAAGATTCTTTTGGCTACAGATGCCGCCGCCAGAGGTTGAAAAAGTACATCAAAATTGTTGTTCTTTGCTGTAGTACATTCACCGACGCCCCCACGGGGGAACACACGACTTCGGTTCACAACGCAAGGTTCCACTTTACGAAAGCTAACCGCAACACGATCACGATGTGCGGCCGATGCTATGGGACGGTCTTGCGCATGTTATTCATGCTCCTACCGTACTGTGGACTCGCAAGCGCGACCACGATTACGTTCAAAGCAGGCGGTTTTATTGCTTCTCAGAAGAGCTTCAGCTTCGAATCCGGAACGATGCAAGAGGTGTATAACTGGTTATGCGCAGAAGCGGACGCAAAGGGCAGTACGAAGCGGAACAGCTTCTACATGCGGTACCGTTTATTTTTCGGAAGATCTTCGTGATGCTTTTGCTGAGCACTGATGGTGGCTGTGTTTGTGTGCCATGCATGGGTAAGTAGAAATTCAGAATCTAAGTATCTTCCCTTATAGCATGAGTGTTGGTTTTGGGTTTTTTGGGCTCGTGATCATCTCTTTTCAGCCGGGAGCGACTGCCGGATTCTTTTCTGATGATACATAAATTAGATGGCTACATTTTTGCAACGCAGGGCTACGATCGCAGGTCAGCCGTTTTTATACGATCATCAGACTGGGAAGTTTTACAGCATTAGGACCGACTTGAGCCGCACGATCCAAAGCCACATGAACTCACACCCGGGACTGTCGCAAGTGGTGAGGAAGTGGCAAAGCCAAGGAAAACTCGCGCCCATCATTGTGTACTGCACATACTTACTTCGTAATCCCTTATTTGATTGTCGTATGTAAATGTATATGCAAGAGGCGCGTGTATTCAGGTGAGCGGCATTTGCTTTTGCATAACCACGAGAAGTTTTCGATGAAGCCGGTGTACCTCTCGCTGCAGGTCTTAAAAGGCGGTGCCAGGCACTGGAAAAAGTATGGATCAACTAGGTATTCATTTTCGGCCTGCTGCGGGTTGGTGGTGCATGAGCTCTACAATCCGCTTCTACCTATCTTGAAATACAGGAACTTCGACGACGCCCTAGCAGCTGCAGGCGAAGGAGATGAGCCGCCAGACAGAGACCTCGACGAGCAAGTTGCACAGCAGCGCGGAGGGGTGTCACGCGACTGAAATCTTGTAGCAAGGCAGTGCCAACAGATGCTTCCGATTTTCAATAGGAGACGGTTTCCCTAGTGGGTGACGCGACCGCTTCGAAGGGCGAGGTTGAGAGTCTCCGCGCGGAACGAATCGGTCCTGCTAGAATTTGGTGTCCCGTCGTTTCGGCTTAATGTCTTGAACAAAAACCGCCGACTCGCTGTTGCGCGATCGAGGGACAATCGTATATACTATATAGAAGTGCTTCGTGTCAGAGAACGAATCAAGACGGATTTGGTGTATTCTTGGCTCTCACTTTCAGCACAGATATTATCTAGAAAATAATAGGTACTTTTATTCCTGACTTGGACAGACACAGAGGCAGAGTTCGTTGTCGAATCGGACGAAGGAGGCAGCTGCATTCGCCTCAGCGTCCAATAGGTACTAGGCCGGCCCGGATTCCTCGGACGTCGGCAGCCAGTTTTTTTCATAAACTTTGACTGACAGCGGGAGCGGCAGCGGCCGCAATGGCCTGGAACAGTATGCAATGTAAGCTACACGCCGCAGTGTTGGTGCTGTTCTCTCTTCGCTAGGATGGAAAGTGGATGAAGGCTGCGTGTTACTTGTTGCAATTTCGTGTCAATGAGCCAGACAGACCATTTCGACTGCATCTCGATAGGCGCTCTAATGTCCACACTAGATCAGATTCAGGAGGCATATACGTTCTAGGCTCAGGTTCGCAGCGGGTTTCACAATGGTGCTGAAGGATGATCCGTACCGCAATGGCGAAGTGGATACGCCATCCACTTTTCTGGATCAAGTAGAGACGGATCAAGGCGCCAGTTGTGAGGCGGACAGATCTCAGGTTGGATCGATGGCTCGGGCAGCAGGCTCGAAAAATGATCGCGTCCAATAGAAATCAGGTCGTGCTCGTGCGCGACATGACCGCATTCCTTCTTCGAAGAACTAGTGGAAGAGCAAGTAGAAGAGCTGCTTGCCAGATGATGACTTTCGTTGCTGATTCCTCGTATATAAAGATCACCTGGGCATTTCCTTGCTTTACGCGTTGATTGGAACCGCAGTTACGACTAGGCGTTATTACATCTACATCGATTTCGATATATAAACAAATACCCAAACTATAACATCCTCGTCTCTCCTCGCATTACAAAGTAACATAAATATAAATAAGATACGTATTGTTCAACTTGGTTCATTCCCCACCCGAGTACGAGATTGTCGTTGTATACTTACATTCAGTTTCGATATCGTTATCGTGACGCCGTGTCTCGTATACCATTCTTTCCTGATTCTGTGTGACTCTATGGAACACTCCTATTCTTGTACAAGCTTCATTTTTTACTGACAATGCCAGATTTTCCATCTCGATTCCTCCGGGTACGCGCCGCCATCGGCGCCTGTGTGCTGCTGCACGTGGGTCGGTCGGCGCTCGCGGCGGCGGCTGCGGGAGTGGTGCCGCAGCAGCAGGCCCAGCTGGAGGAAAGTGACCTTTTCTCCCGGCAAAATGCAATGCTCGGCCGAGCGGCTACGGAATCGCTGCAGCGGACGCACATCGCCATCATCGGGACGAACGGGCTTGCTTTCGAGACAGCAAAAAATGCGATGCTGCAGGGATGTGCGACTCTAACGCTGGTGGAGCCCGAGCCGACGGCCCCCATGCAAGCCCACGACTTCGGCTTGAATCAGTTTCTACCACCGGAGTCGAGCGCAGCTGTGATGTCCCGCGGGGCGGCAACGTCCCCTCGGTCCATGCCCTCTCTCTCGGGGTCCCGGCAGTCGTCGTTGACGAGCCGTTGCTTCGGGCTGATGTGCAACCAGTTACCAGCGGCTTTGTCTTTTTTGCAAAGTAGCCGTGCTGGCTCCGCGCCGCGCGGGGAGATCTCCGGGGAAGAAACCGTCGTGGAGCACGTCTCTGCGCGCTCCTCGGTCGACCCCGGCGTGTCCGGTTCGCGGTACCAGGTTTTTTGCGACGGCATCGTGGCAGCGCGACTGCAGGAGTTGAACCCGCGCTGTCGGGTAAGCATCGTCGCTCATGCTGCAAGTGCGGTCGAGACCGAATTTTTGCCCTCTTGGCTGGATGGTCCGGGGAGCAGCAAAGTCGTCATTGCGACCCACCCGGGACTTGATCTACCACAGCTGCAACGGTGGAACGAAGTCGTCGTTGCTGCAGCAAAATCGCAAATGCCTGATGCGGACGGGGACGTCGATATGTTGTCCAAACCGCCAAACGAAGAGGAAGAGCAGCATCCAGGGCTTGACCGTGATGCAAATCGTGACGAAGCCTCGATGGCGGGAAAAAATTTTCGCTTTTTGTACGCGCGCTCGCAGGGACTCTTCGCTTCGATCTTTCAGGATCCTGGGAAGGCCTACTCTATGGAGGCGAGAGATAAGCTCGATGCGACCTTTCAGATAGAGAAGGTGCAAGGGGGACGGATCCATTACCTGCCTCCTGAACCGGAGGAGCTCGTAGGTGGGTCCATGGAGAGCCACGATCTGCAGCAGGTTGCAGCAGCCGAGCGCAACGGTCCGAACGCCCCCTGGATTGAGTTTGAAGACGTCGAAAGTACAAACACCGATGGGGCGGAGAGCCTGAAAACGAAGCGGTTCTACGTGGCGAAAGTAGACAAGGATAATCGGTTCGTCACCTTTCACGAGCCGCTGCCACCGACGCTTGTGGGCGGAACGTTCCGCCAGAAATGGCCGCGTGTTGTGTACACGCAGGCGAAGCGCATTTCCGAGGCCGCGGAAGCTCCGGATAGCTTGGATGACCTGACGGACCTCTCGGACGCGGCGGACGAAGTTTCGATTCACAGCTCTCTCATGGCCACCTTGACCGCTAGCGCCGGCGTAGCCGTCGGCGAAGCTGGTACAGCAACAGATCCAGTTCTGATCAGCTCCAACTCAACACGTAAGAACTCCAATATGAGAGATTTACAACTATGTATGATTGGTCGTGTGATGGACATGAGGAGGAGAAAAGCTAGTTTCTTCGTTAGGGTTCGTCGCTGCAGCACACTTGATTGTGATGTGCGATCAATTAAACCAGAAGAAGAACTTAAAGTCTGCATCCACATTTGCACGCAGAAGAGATTCTGTAAACAATATTCACTTGTGTTGCAGTCACTAAATATAAGAGAATCTTCTAGATCTACATCAATTTTCCAGGTGAAGATCGACTCGAGCTGTTGCGGCGCCACGCGATGAACAACGCCGCGAGACTGAATAATTATTCCGCGTCAGAAGTAGAGAAGGTCTGCTTTGACATCCTCCGCGAAGCCGCACGGCAGAGTACGCTTCGACCAGTACTGCGCCGTGAGATGTTCGAATCACAGACGTCCGATTTGGGTGGGGCCGCAGATGCTTGTGGCTTTCGCGTGGAACCGGTGGAGGCTTTTTCCAACTTGAATTCGCCAACGTCTCAGGATCGGAAGGACGATGCAGACGCCACGCCGCCGGCGGGCGGGTCCTCTCAGGAAAATCCCGGGACGGTCTCCGTCACGATCGCGGATCCGAGCCCCAGTGCGCAATCTGATCTCCAGAAGTGGCCTCTGTCTTTGATTCTGGCGACTTACTTTGCTCAGGAAGAAGTCGAATTCTTACCAGTGTCGGCCGTATTGGCTGGCGTGGTAGCTCAGGAAATAGCCAAAATTGCGGGGCAGAGGCAAGCGGGAGTACCGCTCGAAGGGTTCATGCATGCCCAATTTCTTACGGTTCTGACCGAAGAAAACGTGTTGCGCACCTTGCGGCAGCTCTTCGGTTGTCGCCCCCCGTCACCAGCACGTGCAGACGCAACCTTTGCTCCGCGCTCGCGCTCTTCAAAGCGGTCGCACACCGACACCGAACTGTACCTGGGTGGCATGACCAGCGGGCCACAGACTTGTGACGCTTGGAAAGATCAGCGCTCGGGGGACGTTCTCTATCTCTTCGGAGACGCCCTGCTCGACCGACTCCAGCGGACGCGCTTTCTTCTACCGGGGGTGGGCGCCGTCGGAAATGAATACGTGAAGACCTTGGCGACCATGGGGTTTCCCCGCAAAGACAAAGGCGGAAAGCTGGTGCTACTCGACCCGGATGTCATTGAGGTGTCCAACCTCAGCCGCCAGCTGCTTTTTCGTGCGCATCATTGGAACCAGCCCAAGGCGGTAGTGGCAGGAAACGCGTTGGCCGAGCATTGGCCCGAGATCGGCTATGAAGCCGTTCAAGCATACGTAGTTAAACTTTATTTGATTGATGGTGGTTCTAATTTCTCGACCTTCGCTTCTACAGACAGAAATAAATTGCAATTAGAGCACCGCGACGCTTGAGATTGAGTGCAGGATGGCATTGCTCCCTCTTTACGTTCTGATTGAAAATGCCTGATTTCGCAATTCCTCTGAGTCTTTTCAGCGGAGCTCCTACGGAGGTAGTAGCGATCTGCGTGGAGATTTTGCATGCGTTAAACTACTACAACTGTCAGGTCTGTCCGGAGACTACAGCTCGGCTGCTCCCCAAGTGGAAGTCGACCGACGTTGTGCTCTCCGCTTTGGATACGTGGGACGGGCGGTATTACATTGAGGATATGTGCATGCGCTGCCAGATTCCATTTGTGAACTGTGGAACTAGCACACGCATCAGCGGCGAGACTGGCGTGATCTACCCTTTTGTGTCCACTTTCCGGGACCGAAAAGATGGTCTTACGGAGACCGGAGCTGGGGACGATACCTCGCAAGCGTTTGCAGTGCAAGTCACGTTTCTGCCGACCGATCAGCCTCTGAACGAGCTGGACGATGAGGTAGTTTTTACTTATTTGCTTATCAATCTATCATAATCATTCTCATGGCTGCACTCTTTGCACGTCACGCCAGAGCAACATCAACAACAGCCTGTCTCACGCGAGCATGTAGTTGTTTTGATTCTTTCCGAAACCGCCGCATTTTTTGATTCAAAATAGAAAGTGCATGCACAAACAAGCAACAGCAGAGCCTGTATAGCTACTTTACGAACATGCATCAGGGGAAGCCAGTGATCCTCTTGAGCGGCAAGACCTTGATGTACCAGCTCTACCACACCAACTGCTGGAAGTGGCACGACTGGACCAGCGACAGCCAATTTCCGCAGTACCTGCACGAGGTACTTTCGGTGAGTGGCAGTACCGTGCGGACCTACTTCTCTGACGGGGGACCGCACACGCCTGCGGTGATGGCGGAAAAGCTGGGGGCGCTGGAAGACGTGTTTGCTACGGTCGATTCTGCTGGAGTTGGGCACGAGACCCCAGAGTTCGCGTCGTTGCGGCGAAACGCAAAACGGTTCGAGAGAACGCCGGGTTCCAGTTACGAGGGGAAAGTTGCGGTGCTCAACTTCTGGAAGTCCTCCGCGAGCAAGGGCGCACCGGATCCGAATGTGCGCGCGTGCCAGTTGCGGCAGTTTCCGCGAACGGCCGCCGACTGCGTTCACTGGGCCCGGGAGGTGTTCGAACGCTCTTTCAACGAATTTCCCGTGACGATGAAGGACCTGCGGCGGCAGCTGAAGGCCGCAACCCAGGCGCGCGACTTGGACTTCGCGCGCCGCCGTGAAGAATTGTTCCGGATCGAGGCGATTGTGGCTTTGTGGACCGCGTTGGAGACGTCTCCGCTGATTTCGGACGCGGAACTCGACGGCTTTGTCGGACGCGTGTCGGCCGAACTGTCCGTGCAGCTGTTCTGGCTGCACTTCCACGACGCCGTGCGCGACCTGCAACGCCGGTACCCGCGGGACAAGGTCGAAGATGATGGCACGCCCTTTTTTCACGAGAAACGCAAATTCCCGAGCTTCCAAGAAGGCCTGCAGCTGCACGAGGACTCCACGCATGCTGCCTATGTCCGGAGCAACGCGGCGATTCACAAGCAGTTGTTGGCTCGGCTGGCAGCGAGCATGTTGCGCGAGCGCACGAAATGGGCGGCGTCCTCGAAAGCGAAGTCGTCGGTCACGACGACCGGCGGCACAACGAAAGGTCCACAGCGTGTGGCGGCGACCGAACTTGATCCCAGCTTGGAAGCCGTGGTTGACGATCATGGTCGTCCACTCCAGTATGTTGGGGGCACGGCAGGTCTGACCGTGAAACCCTGGTCTCCCCAGGCGATGCAGCAGGAGCCAATGGAGTCGGGCGCGGCCGATGATGCCGCACTCCTGCGGATCCGCGAGTTAGTCAGGGGGCTGACTGCGATGCTGGGCGAGGAGGACACCGCTGCGGAACCGCCGTCCTCAGACGAAGTGGCGAAATTCGAGTATGATAAAGATCAGTGGAGCCACCTTGATTTTGTGTACTCTGCTGCCAACCTGCGCGCGCGGAATCACCAGATCCCGCGTATGCAGAAGGCAGCTGTTTCCCGCATTGCCGGTCGCATCGGGGCGGCGTCGATCGCTGTGACCGCAGCTGCAACAGGCGTAGCCATGATCCAGGTGTTCAAGACGGTGCAAAAGCAGCTCCAAGAGGCGTATGATCGGTCTGAAGATGGTTCGATGCAGGCGAGAAAGCGCCGGAAGTGCGGTGCAAATAAAGTTCACTGTTTCGACGAGGCGGTTTATGGCAGTGCACAACTCGCCCCCCTCGTCCCCCTCATTTGTGATGCAAAATACCAAATCCACTCTTTGCTCTGTGGCACTGCTCGCATGACAGATTCCCAAAGCCGAATCGCCACTACAATCAGTCGTAAATTTGTCCTTCAATAGCTGCATCTGTGCCAGGAGTTGTGTTGCTGCGGATGCCATCCAAATAAGGGGGAGGGGGAGTTGTGCACTCTCATACGGTTGACCTGAAGACGCTCGCGAATCCGTCGTCGAGTGACATGGGGCACTTCTACCAATCACGAGCCAGCATCGAAGCCACGGCGGATGAATGGGGAGTCTGGGAAACCGCCCGGGTGCCGGCCACCACGCTCGGCGGAGTACTGCAGTGGGCGCGGGAGTACTTGGCCATTCGGATTTTCAAATGGCAAGTGCGGTTGGGGTACTTCGTGAAGAAAGGCGACATCCTGCAGGGGCAGGTAGACGAAAAGATACCGCAGTATCTCACGCTCTACGACGGCACTAGAGAGTTTTGTCGCGAAATTTTGCTGACTCACTCGCCAAGCACAGGCGGGAATGCGCTCCTTGCAGAGCTCATTGGTCACGCGCTGGAGACAGTGGTGCGGCCCGACAGCCCGAAGCAAGGTGGTACGTCTCCGGGACAACAGCGGAGTCTGGAGCGCAAAACCTCCAGAGGACTTACATCGTTGAAGGCGGTCGCTGTGGATTTTATGCGCGGAGCAGAGAGCGTCCGGAACCGCTGGTTTACCGAAGGCACATCCCGACTGGAAACCGGGGCGCCTGCTGGCGGCGACACGGTGGAAGGTGCAATCGATGTGTGCGCCCCGATGTTGAAGACGACGCTGAACCTGTATCGGCAGATCGAGCGGAGCCTGTCGCAGAAAGTGGGTCCGAAGAAGGACGTCCCTGGCGCTCCGGCGCCGCCCGGCATGACCGCGAGCGATGGACAGCGGGCTCCGGTTGCGTCGTTCTCCCGCGAGGACGTCCGAGCCGAATTGCTGCAGCAAATTGGCGCGTTCCCCGAATACAATGACCCTGCGTGGGAACAGGCCAATATCGACGCCGTCGCGCAGTCGGGCTGGTCCGACCCGGCGGCGTCGGCTGGGCCTCCGAAGGGGGGCGGTGGCTTTTTGGCCGGGCCGTCCGGAGGCTCCGGGGACCGTGCCGCGGTGAAGCTCGAGGACATCGTGCGGACGCAAGTGGGCCGTCTGCGCAAGGAATGGACTCGTCGGGGATTTTCGCTGAAGACGACGCTTCGGGACATCGTTCAGCACGCTATCCTGTGGTCAACGTCTCTCGCTCTTCCGATTCATAGTAGCTTGCATTGGCCGGTTCATTGGAAAATATTGATTTATGCATTTATGGTTGTTGCATGATATGCGTCTTTTTCAATCGGTATACCTGCTTCAAAACGTAGTTGCAAATTCGGGTTTGAGTCGCAAGCTTTAATTTGAGCTTTACACATAGATGCGCATCGTGCATTTTTGAGTGGCAGCAGGAATGGAAATGGTGTTGGACCGATGGCGATAGACATTTTCCACTGGATAACCGCAAGACATGAGACGACTCAGATGCTGTTGGAAAGCAAAATCAAGGTCGAGGCAGGTGGGATGACGATGAAGTCCCTCGCGAGTCCGGACGAAGAGAGCACCGCGGAGCCGGCGTGGTGGACGTCCGCTCGGGAGCTGCGAAGGTATGCTATGCAGTACGAGAGGTTCGGTGACAGGGATCTGCCGTCGCTGGAGCTGTGGTACGGCTCCGAACCGCGCCCTAGCGCTTGAACCGCGAGGCCTGCGCAATACAAATACAACATCGAGGAGGTGGAAGGCAAAGAGCGGGCAAAGATGGACGCCCGAGCGGGATCACTGAATTAAGTAGTTTACTACAACGAAAATAAGGCGTACTAGCAAACTTTCTACCCGTTGCCGCTTCTTACGTGGCCAGGTCTGCGCTTTACCCTAGTATCGTCAATATTACGATTACCTTGTCTGCCAGGAGCACTGGCACACGGATTGAAATAAGTTGGAACGAAGGTTTATCATCTGCTAGACAACCGCAACAGTTTGCGTCGCAGAAGAAATTGGCAAGCAGGTTGGTGTGGTGATTGCCTGCTCCTTGGAATCTTTGATAAAGATCATGAGGTCGCTCGTTTATGCTTTCTTTATATCGAAGGAGAAGGACCCTATCAAACAAGTAGGTTTACGCGCTGGAAAATGGCTGCTTCTTTTATTTATTCAGTTGCACCCCGAACCCGGCGACTCCCGTCTTCGCTTGCGTTTTGTTTCGAGGCAGAAATAGAGACACGACTAGTATCATCTGCTGTTCGTTGTGATCATGACACTATGGAAAGTCGATCCTTTGACCCGAAGATCCAGAAGAAAACGGTGTGGTCCCGGAGGGAGATCCGTGAAAGTCGAGTTCGCTTCGACAAGGTCCGGTGATCACGTTCGCGAGGCATGATCCACTGCTTACCTTGCAAGCTGCTCCTTTGCAGTTTTCTTCCTTGCGTACGACTGCACGTTCTTGCAGGTATGTCCGTACGTAGTCGCGGGCGCGAGCTCCACCTCTATCTCCATATTCGTTCTCAGTGTCAGTCTCTTACTATTTTCTACTAGGGGTTGTAGAGTATACGGCGTTTAAGTACAGTGAATGCGAAGTACCAGGACCAGACGATCTCGTTTTGCTGGCAATAGCTAGTCGTAGTGTTGGAGTCGCAGGCTTTCGTCCTGGCGCAGTAACCTTCAATCGCACCCAGATGGCAGCCTCTCCATGCAATCGGCGCGGCAACGGCAACACCATGGGTGCCGCGGGTCGCCGCGCGCTCTTTTTGATACAGGTGCTTCTGGCGACAGTCTGGGTCGGGGAGGCTGCGCCGAAAGTAAAACTCTATGTTTCAGCACCGTTCTACGAAAAGCAAAACTGTAGCACTTCATCCGCACACCACGCTTGGCAGCTATCTGCCCTGCACGTACTAGAAGTGAAAGTAGCTGAATGCATTATCCTGCTTGCGGGCACATCGAGCATGCTGCTGGTGACTAGTCTGTCGTACTAAAGTCCCTCCTTGGAGGCCGGATTGAATAGCGTGTTTTCTTGTATATTGTACGTTTTGCATGAAGAGGCGGAAAGAGCGCACGCAATTGCAATTTGTCTACGTAAAATAGATTCTTGCTGCACCGGCAACATGTTTTTTGGACCGCCAAATGGATGCCTGATCTATCAGATTGGTAAGAAGCGCATTAAGGGCAGATATTTAAAGTACCAGTAATGCATGAACTCTCGGTCCAGAATATGCTCCCAGCACGTGGTGCGTATACAATGGTGTGCTTTTCTGCTGCATATCGTCGGGATGGCCGAGTTCGAGTTTGAGGACAAGATGCAGAAAGTCAAAGACTGGATCTTCCAGTTGCATCCCAACGGACCGAAAAAGGGCCGACGGTACGATGTTTGTTATTCCGGTCATTATATGCATCAGTTTCGAATCAGCCGTTGCTGCAGGATCATTTCATCTACTCGCTTGAGTCCCTCATCGTGAAGATTGCCACGAGCACAAACTCACAGTCGCACCACCACTGCGCTGATAATTCTTCATAAAGCTGGCTTTGAATGGAAACTTCTGTCCATCGTCGACAGGTTTGCATCGCTCAAAAGTTGTCCCTGGAATCACCTTCGGCCCAGTTTCTTTTGGTCCCGGTTCGAGCGAAAATATTGTACCTAAGTAGGCAATCAAGATTTTTATACTCAATCATAATACGCAGGTACATGATCAAAGGAAAAGACTTTCTTGCTGTTGAGAGCACAACTGCACGTCCAGGAAGTTCTGACCTCACGATGACCATACGGGATAACCTGACGAGCCGCGGCCCGGACCTCATTGCCTTCGCAGAGATATCAGAGAAAAAAAAGCTAGCACATCGAGTTTGCATTTTCGTAGGTGGATGTTGCGATATCTGTTTCGTAAATTGTGTGGATGCATGATGTGCGTCTTCGTCAGCTTACATACTCGCCCACTGCAGCTGCAGGAGCTTCTCTGCAAGCGCGATTCCCTCAAGATACGTGTAGCAGCTTTTGCCCTCTGATCATGCATAATGAGCGAAATACACATAGATGACATTAAATCTTTACTGATGTGCTTCGTGCACAAATGCCTGAGGTGCTACAACGCTTTGAGAATTTTATACACAAGTCAAGCGGAAAAAGGACGGGCCATCCCGATCATGAATTCCCACGATGACCATATTGCTGCGGGAAATTCTGACTGCGAGACGAAATCCAATGTTGCACTGGGCTCGGGATCGACGATTGCAACATGAAGGCACCCAGAGCACGGGGTCTCAGTTTGCGGCTGTAGGCGCCCGGTTCTGCAAAACAGGAATGAGCGGAAGCTTGATAGGTGAGCCGGTGCCACGAAGTGCGCTGCCTCCTGCTGTTTTCGGAAGTTCGAAAAAGATGTAAGTCGTACCATTCCATGCCACCTGATACTGATGGGGCAGCCACCGCAAGTGCAACTTGAAGCGTAATGCAAAATCATGTGTTTATGCTGACGGAGGTTATGATGTGAATCCGTTTTCGGCTATTATTTATGAACAGAACTGTGCAGGAATGTGGCAGCTGCAGTTCACGTGGAAAATAAGTTCGCTGTAACATCTGTAAATCCGAACATTGTCAGAGCTTTCTCAACTTTATAAGACGATGAAAAGCGTTTTTTCGTCGTCCCCATCTCTCCCAATGGCATGTACTAAGTAAGGAAAATAAAGGATGCGAGCGCCATCGCGTTGGGAAAGTGAGTCAGCCTGCATCACACTCACTGACGCTCTTCTACTGCGTCAGATTGATATCGCACTGAGATGATGATCGTGAATGATGTGCAGCAAGAGCAGAAACTTTGGAACAGGTCCGGTTTTGCTACGCACTTTCTGTTTCTCAAGAAAAAGTAATCGAACACTTGCACTGCTTGCTTCCCGTCGTAGTAATCGAGATCTCAACGAAAGTGTTATATTCATTTACCTGAGCTCACAATTACTGGTCCTGACGTTCTGCAAGAGAACGGCCGGCTCTTTTTTCGTGCGTGATCCGCAAGAGTATAAAGCACAATCATGAAGATGTGTGCGCTCCCCAGAAAGATGACGATCTGGATCTGCTGTGAGAAGGTAAAGCGCACATTCACAGTGAGTGTCATGCTCATGATGATTATATGCACGTCGTCCACAGTGACACCAGCAAGTGTGCTGCTCGTTGTGATGAAAGGTCAAATGATCCCAATAAAACCACAGCCAGTTGCGCCTTTCTCTTTGAAACTACAGCGTAGCATGTCGTAGTTTGTGACACACCTTGTAGGGTTCAAATTTGAACTCTTTTTCACCAAGAGTCGAACTCGGAGCAGAATCTGGCTTGAATAAAAAAGAGGTTTGTATCATTCATCGTGATTCGAGTACTTCTGAGACTAGTACCTAAACTGATTCTGTCTGGACCACGACCCATACTCTTTCGGCACACAGAGGTGGCGTCGAAGCATAACGGAAACGGAAAGGCCTCGTCACGAAGCCTTGTGCGTCGAAAGATCTTCTTTTCCAGACTGGGTTGACAAGAGGATTTGATAAACGATCGCGCGGGAACGAAATGAGGCAGTCTGGTGGCAGGGTTGCTGGCCGGAGTGCGGTTCGGGCAGTATCGGCGTTTACGGGACGTCGCCTTTTTTCCGTCTGGCTCGCTACGAAAAAGATTGAGACTTATGTTTTCTATACCCGTAGCGTGTGAGATGCATACACATACACTCAAATTTGTATTTGCTTTTGCAACATCCGCAATTTCCAGAAGTAAAGACGCGGTTTTCTATTGCCATGATTCGAGCACTGTGCTTTTGCGCCCTCGGTGCTGGAGTAAGCAGTGCAACGAAAGCAAGCAATCGCTGTACCCCAATCGGCCGAGGATGAAAAATTTTAATCCGCTTGTATTTGGCATGCGGTTCTTGTGTGGTGGGGACCCTCTCGAAGATGTATGATTTTCTTCTTTCGATAGCGAGATGTGCCGCTTTACTTGGTTTCTTCGGGATTGAGCCTGTTCTGGGCGCGAAAAGGGACATGGTGTGGGCGTGGATTGAGGGCTACGTGAACACGAAGATTCGAGAAGACGAAGACCCAGGCTTTCGTGCGTGGGCAACTGATGACGGCAATCTCTTCATCGTGTTCCTGCCGCCGCTATTGATCCTGGACAATTATTTTTCGCTGCCGCCCGGACACTACTACAAGGGGGTCGAGCTCGTACTTTTTTTTTGTAATCTTCTCAATCTAATTCCGATTGCGATTTCGAGTTCCTGTTTTTCAATATGAAGGCAGCGACATCAACTATGCTTCCTGGTGCTCTGGTGATGATCGATCTGATATTTTTTGGTGCGCAGGTGGTAAGCAGACGCTCCAAGTATGATTTTATCCCAAGGCGGGTAAAGTTCTCGGCAAAACGATCTACAAACCACCCGACAGGCGTTCAAGATATCTATTCCGGACGACTTCCGTGTTCCCGAGGGTTGGAGTATCCTCTCCGACAAGGACGAGAGGAGAGTACGTTTTTCCGGTCAGCCGCACGCCATGGCGCAGTATCCCATTTACCACCCGCACATGTCTTCCATCAGTACTAACTCATTTATGGTTTTTTTCCGTTTGCTTTCCTTCTCGCATTTGCATAATTTGTATGAGTATCGATAGCGGAATCGTCCGTGACTTTTTCCAGAGGCTACTCATAACCGGCACACTTCTTTCGAGTGTAGAAAACTCGTGTCCACTAGGGCTGATTGAGTGGTGGGCGAGCTGAACTCTACGCAGTAAGTGTCAACATTTAATTTTGGTTACAGGTGGAAATGCCTGCTTCACTATGGGCTCGTGGGGGGAGCAGGCGTACACCCTTAGCGCGTGGATTATGGCTTTCTGGGAGGGCTTCGTTATCGACCCGGACGGCTGCGACCAAACAGGCTCGATGTACAACGACGAGGCGAAAAAATTGTGGAAGGAGGACCGCAACAAGTACTGGGATAAGGTTTGGGAAAAAGTATCCACATGAAGAGCAGACCCCCCAGCGCTACTTTTCCTAAGGAAATTATTTCTGTAACTGACCCGAGGGAGAGTGATTTGATGAAAGGAGTCCGCCCAGATGAAGCACTCCTGTACTTGTGTAATCGACACGTCGGCATGCTTCGTCTGTAACTGTATATGATTTTCTTTTTGATGCGCAGCATCGTCTAGCGCCATAAACTGATCTTTACATGTCTTGGCATGCCCTATCTGTTGCCAGAAAGGTACGGAAAAGGACTACTTGTGATCTGGGGCTCGGGGTGGCTCACTCATGGTCATAGCAGTCGCGCGCGCATAATTACGGCCGCAGCACGGATGATGGTGGCTATCCGTGGGTCGAGGATCCCCGTAGCAGCAGCTCCATCGCTGAATTTCGAAGCTACCTCAAGGTGCCTGGTTACTGATATAACACTTTGAAGTGGCGCTGTCAGGCAGGTTCTCGGGCCGAGAGAAGGGATCGACCGTGTTCGTGCGGCTCTGCTGCATGCACGCGCAGTTCAGGAAAATTTCATGTGGGAGCGCATCTGCCCGTGGTTCAGGAACTGCACCTGCGATTTTTGCCGCTGTTGCGGCGATTCTTGCCGCTGTTGCGGACCGCTAAGCCGCTGGAAAAGTTGCTCCGAAGAAGAATTCTGTTGCGACTGATCTTTGGGACCAGGAGACCAGGTTGAATCTAGTGATCGAATTTTAACGGCGACCTCAGTGCTGGCGTCCTCCATCCGAATCAATCTGAGCACCTGGCGCAGTGCTCTGGTCCACCTACTCTTCTAGCATGCCCGCGGGTAGGAAAGGCCGAACCTGCAGCACGATGTGCAATGGAATTGTTAATTTGAACCCGGGGGTTCGAAGAGTCTAGCACCTGATCCAGAGTGGAAAAAACTGTACCGATGTTTAGATATGTTTTTGTACTTCAAGCTATTTTCGATACTTCGAATCATATGATCGCGTGACAAGAAGCATGGGACCGTGCGCGTATTCTAGTATAGCTGTGGTTCTGGTAAAGCCAACGAGTCAACATGTGATAAGCATGTACGTTGCTAGGTGATAGGTAGCACAAGCGCCGCTCCACCACTTTCGATGAATACTAGAACTCGCACTATCTTTCTGATGCGTTTCTTGTCAGGATCATGCAAGGAAGATCCTCCACGAACCACGAGGAGGACGACTGAACATCTGGGCACTCGCGAACAAGTACATTTTGACGCAGAAGATCATCGCAATGGTCCCCTTGGTAGTCGAGGCCACATTAGAAGATCTGCTCGTCTGCCCGACACGCTATGTGATCATTGATCGTTTTGGTCTTCTTACCAAGGATCAACGTACTTAGGTTGCTGAACATGCGTTTTTTTCGTTTCTCGAAATATATTCGTCGTTTGCAGCGGGCACAGAGTGTCAGTGTGCTCATCGTCCCGGCTGCATGGAGCCTCTCTTGCCGGTTGGTCGTCTACACATGTACCTATGGGCTTTGATGTCTTTCCTTACTTCTCGCTTACTACGGCCGGAGCCGTCTTCTATACTTCACAGGTAAATGAATCCATGCGTATCTAGTGCCGTATTTTGAATTTCGTGACAGGTGTCGCATTCAAATTCAATTCTAGTTTTTGTACCATTACTACTTTCAAAATTAAGCATACGCATAGGACACACATTCTTTTCATCAATTACTGCACTGACTACATCGAAGCGACACATTGCGATTGCTGAGACCGCGAAGGCGAGTTTTATTTGATCCGCCTGCAAAATGAGACGCGGTTTGATTACGTCGGTAGTGGGTATCTTTGCCTTTGGGTCTGCGGCCGGGCTTTCTCTGAAAAACCAATCACTGTCGGAGAAGAAGGTAGCTACTTTCCCCTCGCAACCAATACGTGCTTTGCTGTGCTACGTATTACTGTTCATGATGACTACATGTGGAGATGAAGGATGAAGCAATTGCACTTTTGGTGTGCAGCTTCCGGTTTGCAAAACTGATGATAAGCTCCAACTTACATGAAACTCAGGCAAGCTTGGAACGGTTCATCGAAGGTTACATCGGAAAAAAATGGGAGGAGGTGGAAAACGGGGAGCCCGAGCCCACATTTCGTGCGAAGGTTACGGAAGACGGAAACTTGCTGGTGGCATTCGAGCCGGACCAGCAAGAATTTGACGCGACGCGGCGGGTTGTATCCCATTGAAGTTTCTCTTGGCAGCTCCTTTCCTGAAATAGGTGGTTACCTTCCTGTGCAGGGCACAAGTAGGATCTGTGGCGGAAAAATTATAGCCGTTTCAGGCACAATAGTAGTCGGCATGCGCGCCATTGCATTCGTCGCACGGACTAACTGTCAGGTATCTAGTAGTCTTCCGCCTGCTCGGGCTAGACTAAGTAGGGTACTTAAGCAATTTGTGTGTTCAGTCCGACTTCAGATATGGAACTGCCATGGAAATTTCGTTTGTAAAGCTGCCATACGAGAACTACTCCGGGATTTACATGGTAATATAGATTGAGGTTTTCATACAATTGGATTGCGTAAGATTTTTTTTGTGGTGTGGTTTCGTTGGTATGCATATGGCGGTTGTACTAGTGGCCGCGCTTTCAGCTTCGACCGTATGATCCGCAGGGATGCCGTAGCTTGATTCTTGTTTTCAATGCTAGTTATCGAAAAGGTAGACGATATAGAAATTCCACATGCCCGAGTTACTGTCACAGAAGAAGAGTTTACATTTCGTCATCGCAAACCTCTACACAGCATTTCAAGATTGTGATCAGGGACCCCGACTTCTTCGTCCCGGAGGGTTGGAGCATCCTTGAAGACAGACAGTCTTTGAAAGTAAAGATGAAGACTCAGCCGGTTGCGTACGCCAAATACAAAACCTTCCATCCAAATATCAACAACAAAGCAGGTTAGTCTACATCTTCACATTTTTGGTTAGTCTAAATGTTGCTGTATTCATGCAAAATTTTCCTTTGCATGCCGAAAAAAGATTCTATTGATGACACCGACTCTGGATCTCATGAATCTGGCGTGTGACCTGAGATCTGGTAGAAACCGTTCGAGATGAAGATAGCTGAGTGGTTTAATTTGCTGCTTTTCATCGAGCAAACGAGTTGTTCCATTTCGGACTTTCCAATTTCCATACTTTTTATTCAATACAACAGGTGGCGACGGGCATTGCTGTTTTAGGATTATGGATGATACATGGCCCCACTACTCTCTCGCGGGTTGGATTGAGCGGTTATGGGTTTTTCTTGTAACTCCCGATGCGGGAAAGGTTGAGACGCCCTACGACAGAGCTGCCCAAGATTTGTGGAAAAAGTGGAGTACCCAGGGCGATCCGAGTTATTGGAAAGCAGTTGGACAAATGGCTGCGAGCCATCAGTTATGCATTGCAAAGGTGTCTGGGTCTGGAACAAGAGTTCCAACCTATGATGCTCTTTTTCAAGTACACAGAAATCAACTAGAATTCTGTCATGCATGAGCAGTAAGAGCTTCGTTCCGCTTCCGTTCCCCTCTTGCCCACGCAGAGAGACAATTTGTCATGCTGGGTGGCGTTGCAAAGAAACTGAAACTTTGCATTCCAAACCTTCTGGGGCATGCAAGCCCTGCGTGACAAACTCTTCACTTTTCCAGACTCAGACATTTTTGCATTGCAAATCGCTACAGGAAAGACCTGAGGTTCACGGACACGATCGAGTAGCGCGGTCGCGAGACGAGCACGGCTGCGGCACATCACTCTGTCTTCGAATTATATATTGTTTCACTTCTTCTGTCCTCTGCGCACGGAAGAGGTAACTGCACTTACTTGTCTGTCCGGGCATCGACGGAGCCTGCCCCTCTGAATTGAGTTCGTTTCTCATGCGGAGCAGCAGGAGGCTTTTCTATTTCTATCCAGCTTCTGGTTCAGGTCCAGAGGTTGTTGAATTATCCTGAAATTTGATGTAATTCGGCGAGGAGATCGAGTTTCCGTCGGGCGCCACTATCAGGTCCGGCATGGAATTTTCTGTAAGATGATGGCTGGTTCACGACAACGAACCAGTACTGGTACGTACCGTCTCTGGGGCGTCAGCAGTCCGTTCGCGAGAAACGTTTCACACGTGCGCACATGCTCGTTCAGAGACGCTGCTAAAACTTGGCGCCTAAAAAGAACTGAGGACGGGTTGATGGCGCGCCAATGATATACAATGTTTTCACTTTGTTCTACAACTAATAGTATACAATTTCTATCTACTTTCACTGAATTTTACTCTTCCCTCAGCTGCCGCTAGTCGACTGCAGCGCGGTGGTAATTATTCGGTAGATTTACGTGGACAATGTACTTTGCCTTTCGTTTGTTTGTACACGATTGGTCCACGACTTTGCGTGGACGAATAAGTAGAACCGTCAGTCCTGGAGTACTGGCCGAGGGAGACTGTTCACTGGATCCGAGTTCGCTCGTACCGGAACTTTTTTTTGCGCTTTGATGTCTTGGGATCCTGGTTCACAAGACAAGAAGACCAGCAGCGAAGGCACGCAGATCCATTCCCAAGGTGAGCTGACGGTTGTTATATGAAATCTTCAGACACGAGGAATGGCGTCCCTAGAAAGAGGATCTGATGGGTAGTCGCAAGTTCATATTGATGTAGTCTGCCAAAGTGGATCTGGATCGAGCCTGAAGTGTTGTAACTGTGCTGAAAGACCACGCTCTCGCTCGTCCTAACGGAAGATCAAACCGCTATGGTCAGCGGAAGATCAGCGCTGTGTGCGTGGCTCCTCTCGATTTGGGACTGAAAGATGATCCGTTTCTTGTGTCGTAGACCTACAACATCACCACAATCCATGCTGTGCCACTGTGCGTTCTTTTTAGAAGTTCAGGAGATGCGTTGGGAAGCCAGCAATAAAGGGCTCGACGTTTTTGCAAAGAAGAACGATCCACTGCTGGCGTCGCGTGGTTTTCTTGATGATAGAGGTGAAGATGGCATAGGATCCTTTTCATGTGCTCACTGTGCTGTTTCTTCCTTCCGGGCACGGATCCCTCGTTTTCTGTTTCAACCGTACTGATCATGCAGGCACCCGGTGGACATCTCATTCCATAACGATTTTCAGGCAAATCAGGTTTGGAGGCTCTGTACATCCTCATCAGAGTAAAGACAGCAGCTGGACGACACTCTAGTTCGCAACTTAGATACAAAACAGAAATAAAGAATACATACATTTCGAAAAAAATCCTTCCGCTGATCCCTCTAAAGGTTTTACGATACCAGAGCAAGTTCTTGCGCGTGTATTCGTGACGTGTATTCGTGAAACACATTGACCATCGGTTCGAAGTAGAAGATCTACGAATCGGCAAACCCAAGCGAAAGCAGGCGTCTTGTATTGCGCCACTTCTTTTCTACTCACGCATCTCCGGCGCGTCCGTATCCGAGGATACCATTGTGGTCCAGTCCAAACCACGGTTCTCAGCCGACAAGGATGATGAAGCAGACCCTGTTTTTGGCGTGCTGCCTTGCGGCGCAAACCTTGGCGGTCACTCTTCGCGGCGGGGACGGAGACAAAAAGGTACAGTAAGTGTGAGTGTGTTCAATTTGATACTGCAACATGGCATGGTGGAACTTTGTTGTAGATGATGCAATGGAAGTCATAACTATTTTGAATAGTAATTCTGACGTCCTTTTGAATAGTAATTCTTACGTCTGGAAGGTCTGTTGATCCAAGCGTTGCACAGCCATTTTCGCAGCTGCTTTGCTTCCACATGCTGCTTCTCGTGAATTCCTGTTCGTGAGTGACAGACATACTTACACTAGCACATCTTGCTCGTCGACGTTGGACTTTGTTTTCCTAATTGCAACGATCGGTATCTATGAATATGATATCCACCCGTTGAAGAAAAAATATTGAAAATACAGGCCGCCTTGGAGCGTTGGGTGGAAGGTTACATCAATGCGCAGTGGGACAATGGTGACGAGCCCGAATTTATCAGGGGCAAAACAATCTCACATGTTGGAACCTGGCGCTGTCACGGTCAACGTGCCAGTTTTCCTTTTCTATATATAAATACTTGGCAACAGCTGCAGATTTGCTCTGTCTGCTTGTATTGAAGGTGCTGATGGATCATTAGAAATTGTTGCAGCGTGTGTATGCCCAGGCGTGGTGTCATGATAGTTTTGCGAATGCATAGCGCTCCATGCCAAAGTCACGGATGACGGAAATTTGTTGGTAGACTTCCTGCCCGACCAGAAGACCTTCTCGACGACACACAGCTTCCCTTATCAAAACTACCACGGACTGTTGATGGTATAAAGGTTTGCACGGACTCACTGATGCACGCAGGAACATGTTTGTACCTTTGAATAGCGATGACTTCAGCTTGCTTTTTTCCCGCTGCGGGGTTGCAGATGATGCAGAAAATGAATATCGTCATGGTCCGCACGGAGTAGAAATACTATAGCATTTTTCTTTTGAGCTTGCGTAGACTGACTTTTCTCCACCCTGCAATGAATGTGCCACTACTGCCTTTACAGCACTTCAAGATAATGATTCCGGATGGGTTTTCGGTGCCTGAAGGCTGGAATATTTACAAGGATCCGAACGCGTTGCAGGTCCGCCTCCCGGAGCAGCCCCAGGCTTATGCAAAATTCAAGACGTTCCACGCACACATAAACAACAGCGGCACCAGTAAGATTGATACTAACTCTAATCCAGCTAGGGAGTAGTGTTGTAGCAAACTGTTTTGTGGACGGCCGCATGATGAGTCCTGCACTAGTTAGCTTTCTGAGCCAGGAATGGATTTGCCTCATTCAAGCCCCAGTGTGCAAGGCTTCTGAGTTAGAAATTTTTACCATAATATGACACGATGGCATGTGTCTTCTTCCTTGAGTACATCGGTAGGAAAGCGCTCATCCTACAAAACAGGCGGGAGGTGCTGTTTCAAGATTTCCGAGGGTAATTGGCTATCCGGTGCAACGATCTTGTAGTAGTACTTCTGCGCATGGCCTACCAGGCTCGCAAGTGTGCGAGTGCGACATCGAAAAGCGCCCCAAGACGCCATTCGTTTTTGGATGACCTTGTTACTTTTACTGAAAAACAGATACAACTAGGAGTAAGTATGTATCTGCTGTGGTGAAAGTCGAAAGTTTTCCATTTACAGCGGTCCGACTAAAGGTTGCAAGCCATCACTGAAACTTTGTTGTTTTGGCCGATTAAAGTCTAAGTTGGCTCTCGGAACGAGTTCCATCACACGCATGTTTGCATGGGATAGTGCCAGCATTACTCTCTCCACGGCTGGATTGACCGCTTGTGGGAATTCTTGGTGCACCCTGACGCCGGGACTGTCGACACCCCCTACGATCCTGAGGCGCAGAGACTGTGGCGCAGGTACATAGAATTGCGATTTCAACCAGGACTCTTATGCCACCCTGCTCGATCACATTGAATCAAGCTCGAAGTCGTGAGAGTGACATATTCTTAAATTATGGTGAATTTTTGGTCGTAGACTGGCACCCTCCACTGCAAAGAGCAGCTGGCAACTTTCCTTTACTCTCGGCATACGAAGAACATCTTCAGGTGGATCGCCTCAGGAGCAGAGGCAGCAGGGGAGAAGGCAGACGCGTCGTATTGGAGAGCTGTTGGGGAAATGGCCATTTATCAACACGAAGATATGTAACCCCACCTCATCCTGCTCTCTAGATCGTGCATTGTCATGTGCAGACCCGCAAGAGAAAATATGTATCGTATTTGCCGCCCCTCACTCCTGAGAGCTGGACACGCTCAAGGTCATGATGTGTACCCGGCCCGTGAAGCAGGACTATTGCGTATTAAGCAAAGAAAAGCGCATGAGAAAGGGTGGGGAGATACGGCGGCCCCCCGTGCAACCTTGAAGTAAGACAGAGTAACAACTTTTGATGTCCGCAAAATTTTTCGTGGTGACTCGGAGATTGCGGAGGGGTGGCAGTTCCATTTTCGGCTTGATAAAGAAAAGCACCATTTCAAAAGCGATCTCAACTTCCCAGACGAATTCTGAGTCCAAGATGTGAAATTGCAGATCGGCTTTACGAGCATACGGGTACGGCGCGAATCTGTTGGCTGGCGAGGTCCATATGATAGATGAGAATGCAGTAATGAAATGACAATGACAAGAGGCCTGCGCTTGCATGAGTCTTTACTAGCTCGACGCGTTCCTCATGACGAGCAAAAATTACAGCTGCGCCGTTTGTCGAATCGGCCTCGGCCGCTTGCATATCTACACGAGCATGTGCTTTTCTCATTCTCTGCGGAGTGTCGTTGACTCATGCATTCACAGGCGTGGACGTCAACAAGGTCATTGGTAAGTTTTGCGATGTATCACGTAGGTTGGACAGTGTGCTAGCCAATTAGGAAAGGCTGTTCGTGCAGAAAAAGTGAAGCCTGCCCGCGCGAACCACGATCAGTATTTTGCAACTGCGATTGCGGCGCAGCAGAGAATCAACGTTATGGAGACCTGAACACAGAACTTAAGCTGTGCAAGTACATACAGAAAATGAAAAAGTCAAAAGACGCCATTCAGCTGCTTCAGCTGCGTGCGGATTTGTCACTATGTGCTCGTTTAGCGCAGGCCCTCGAGGCTGAAGCTGCTTACACACCAGCACGGGCAGTTGAAGATCAGACGAGAAAGACATTATTGAAAACGAACTACGACTTTGTTGCGATTCGCATCATTATACCGATATGGTAATGGCTTCCCTTTTTTCTGTAATGTTTGCACTTTTCGCCAAGAACTAGATGTGCTATAGAGTTCGCCACCACAAGCAGGATGTGGTATACGTGCGGTTGTTAGTAGAAGTAGTGACTATGAAGACACCCTATTAGACTGATGGCGAACCGAGATCTTGCTGCCGTGATCCCGGATCGATGAGCTTTGTTTTCGTGCAAGTTCCGCATAGAAGATCAAGATCCACCTCAAGATCCCTGGAAGTAGAGGTCTCAATGGTTGTACTTTCATAGCGTTGCGTTCGTTCCTCTCCATCTCGTGAGTTTCTTATGTAAGCATCGAGACCGTAACTGTAACAAGTTCATAGCGGTGGCGGTGCTTTGCGATAACCAAGATCAGCTGGGTCGAGGAGCTCAGTGTGTTGAAGCGCCGGCTGCTAGGCGGTTGAGCATGCAGTTGAAACAAGTTGTGATTGATAGATACTCGCTGTCGCCTTGCCATACCTTATGATGCCGGCACAAGGTCGTGTATTCAACTCAGTCCCAAACCACGCAGCTTTTTCTAGTTCATTTCCCTGCTGTGTCACAAGTTGTTCTTTCAGTGAACAACTACCTACAATTGTAGAAGAATTCCTTGATTGAGTAAAGTAGAAGAGAAAACCGCACATTGACATTTTTCCACCACGAGGAATCTATATCTTTCTGACCGTCTAAATCTTGTTTAGATACGATCTAAAAATCAATCCATCGAGGTCGGTCTCGATTCTTCATCCGTCGTTTCGAAGTCGCGAGCAGATTTTTCCATAGCCCAACTCATTTTCACTACCTTTGCGGCGCAGCATCGATTCGAGCCCCCTCCTGTGCCTTCAGACCAGAACTGGCAATCGCAGAAAGCGAGAATGCGAAGCCGCGAGGTGTTGTGTTTCGCGGCCGCGGTTGGCGTCCAGGCCTCCAGCCGCTTTGGTTATTTGCGGACGAGCATTTTCGGCACAGCCACAGGCGCCGTTCCTGCCGCGCCTCCTGGTCGTCCTGACAGCGGCACCATGCAGGTTCGCTTGGAGATTCTGGAAGCCGCATTCGCAAAGGTGGAGGAAGCCCGAGTCGCACCCAACCCGGAGACCGGAGTGCTGTGTCCGAATCCGGAGCGCGTGGCGTCGACGGCGGTGCTGGAGGCCGCGAGCAAGTGGCACGACCACGGAATGGCTCCGGACAGCCAGAAAATGCACTTTTTTCAGTCTGACCTGGCCCTTCTTTTTGCCGCAGTGACACGAATGGTGCAACCAGTTCCAGCAGCAGACGCGGTCCTCGCCGCCACTAATCAGCGAGGGGACCCTTCGGCCGGGACCTATGCTAACAAAATATTGCATCAGGTCTACATTTTTGCAGCCCAAGTTTCTATCCACGTGAGCATGATAGATCAAGACCCGCACTTGCAGTTTGTCCGTGATCTCCTTCCGCGGTGTCAGTTGCTTTTATTTGTAGAGCGTGCATGCACAACTGCAAATGCAAGCCTCGATTGGATAGGAACACGTCTACACGTGGCCACTTTTTGTCTGTCGCTGAGAAATACTTTTTTTGTTAGGATAGCATCACAACAGACATTCAGCCTGTCCGAAAGCTGATAGCGGCCCAGCGCTTGTACCAGACGGCCTTCTTATGTAGTTTGAAAAATTACACATTTGAAATTCCCGCTCCCGGAGCGGCGCTCCGGTCTTGCTGATGGATGTCATCACGAGCGGTTGGGCAAGCATCAGGCTACTAACTTATTTCAAATAGCCCGATGCTTGCCCAATCTCTATCACCTTTTATGAAGAAGTAATATCGGGTTTCGTGTCATAATTGACGACAGAAGAAGTTCTTCCACTACATGCTCAGGTGACAACCGTCACTTGTGATAAAAACTGTTTGAAATAATCACGACACCAGTGCCCGCCCGAGTTCGGGAGCAGGAAGGAAAAATGTGTTTTTTTCCCCACCGGGATAGACCACTTCGTGGGAGGACGACATTGAGAAGAATCCCGACTACATGGCGATTATGATGGTCCGTCCAGCAGACGTCCCCGACGCTCGTAGCCAGAAGTTGAAGTACGAGTGGACGCGGAACACCTGGTTTCCCTTCGTGCTGGACATGCTCGAGTCGCTTCTCGTTCCCGCCTGGCAGGATGTGTGGTACGGCAGAGGGCATGTGTCACACTGGGCGCCGTCGACGCGCGAGCTACTTCCACGGGTCACGCTCCGCCTTCTCTCGCTTCCGAACGGCGAATTCCGCGATCCGTCGCAGGCGACCGAGCCGGGGGCGGAAAACCTGCGGTCTCCGGTCCTGCTATCGGGTTTCACGCACGTGCGCGGACATTGTTTTTCGCAGCACGAGATCTACCAGGTACTCGATCTCGCACTTTTGCTGCGTCAGCTGGCGCGGGAACTGCTTGGTCCGCGAAATGCGGGAGCTCACCAGGGCGGGGACGGGGCGAGACCGATGATGATGCTTGCGCGGCGTCCCGGCAGCGCGCGGCGGCAACCAGGATTTCTGCGCGCCGATCGCAGCGGTGCGGGTGGTGGTACCCGGCGTGGTGCAAGAACGCAGGGTCGTATGAATAGTCGGAAGAAGGAGCTTGTCAGCTTGCTGATCGATCCATTCCGCCAGAAACTGCCGCGGCCGGGAACGGCAGCGCAGCCCATGTGCATGGCTGTTTCTTCCTCCGGAAGTTCGGGGCGCGCCCGTCTGGTCTACAGTGATGAGCGTGAGGATTGGATTATTGTGGACGAGTACCACGCAGAAACAAAAAGTTGTGTTTTCAATACTTTTGCATTCGTGCTTGCATCTTGCGTGTCAATCTACTTGCAGTTGCAAGCGTTCCTGCGCTCGTGGCAGACTGATGCAGGATCAGCCGGCTTTGCAAATAAAACATGTCTTTCGGAACAAGGAGCTTATTGGATACACAATATTTTACGAGTATACCGAGGAAACCGGCGAGGAAATCACGGGCGACGAGGCTGACGATGATGACGATGTTGACGAGCCGGGAGAGGGCGAAAGCTCACCTCCGAGGGATGTACCTGCTACGGACAGCGTGGTGTCGCCGCCCCCTGCCCCTGGTGGAGGACAACCCGGCACTGCTGGCGGAGACAGCACGAACACGAATGTGGCCGGAGGTACTTCAGTACTTAAGGCAGTTCACAGGGACCCAGCTGGCAGTAGGGGCGGCAGCGGAAGCTCAAACTAGATCTACGTGATTGATTTTGGCATGTTCAAATGTTCGCAGAGACGCGCTCTCGCTTTATTTGGAAGAGCACCAGCGTTGTAGCCCGACTCGTTATTATTTTATGGAAAATTGATAAGTGCGCATGTGGAAATCGGATGAAAAATTTCAACCGTAAATGAAGACAATTTACCTACTTGACAATTTTGCAGGCGACGGTCACAGCGGTCCAGAACCACCTACTCAGGAAAACAATGGTGACTCTGCTGGTCCGCCGGGAGGCGACACTCAGGAAACTGGCGGGGGCAGCAACACAGCAGGGGGAGGTTCCTCTCCCGGGGGAGGTTCGTCTCCCGGGCCCGGCAATGAAGGTCCGATGGATGTTGACGAGGGCGGACCGGGGGACGCGGAGGAGGACGGCGGCGACAGCCATCGCGGCGACCCGGAGAAGCTGACAGAGGTCGACAAGCGCATCGAGGAGTTCATCCGAACAACGGGGATGCTGGCGGCCACCAGTGGCCGGTTTCTCGATGAGCTGCCGCCCGCCGCGAGGAACGTGGCGGAACAGGCGCAGCGGCAAATGACCATAGCCGCGGAGTACTCGGGCCCACTCGCCACGCTCTTCCCGCACGGTGATCTGGTGCCGCTCCCGGACTTTCAGTTTGAGCAGGAAGGGTGAAGTAGCCAGCTTACAGATCCGGACAAGGACTGTGATTCTGACTCGGGATCGGAAAGAAGGTATTTGTTACCGGTGGCAGTCTGCAAATTTGAGTTATACTTGAACCCAACAAGGGCGTTTGTGCTCGCAGACCCAGGAGCCAGTCAATCTTGTAGTGAAACCAGTTGAGTGACGCCAGCTTCTGCCTTTTTTTTGACATGCTCTTGATCACTTTTTGCAGGCATAGGGAAAAAGAAGCTTGTCGAGCGGGTATTTTTGCGATGCAGCGGAGCTAGGCTGACCTGCTGCTCGGACAAGTTAATGCTCCTAGTGCAACAATAAATAATTATAATTTCGCAGGTTGTATGGACTTGTCTCTGCTTCTCGTCGGATATGATAGCCGGGAGGATAATGGAAACACTTGGACACGTTGGTGCACGCGCTCACAGGACAGCACGGTGTTGAAAACTTAGAGCTACCGAGTGCCACGTGTCTATGGATAAGTATCGATAACGGTTCTTTTTTCGAAAAAAGACGTGGCAACTGTACGCATTGGCATTGTAATACAGTGTGGAGCACTGTTTTTGTGAGATCAGCCGGTCCGTGGCCGGAGGAACGGTTTTTTCGCTGCGCCGGCTGCTCGACGACTCGGAACTACCAAAATGATAAAGAGTAGGAAAATGCCATCATCGAAGATCCACGAGCAGATGGTTTCATAGGCATTGGGAGGTAGCCGTAGCGTGTGCCTTCCTATGGTTGTTTTTTCGTGGGCAGTCGCAACTGCCTGTGCGTTGCCACGAGGTCGACGTCTGATTGAAGCGAGTAGTGCTAGAGGATGAGGATCATGGTCAGGTATCAGTCCTCTCTCGTAAGTGAATTAATCAGGAAAAGATCCCGCTATCCAGGATCAGAAAGAAGTTTTTTTTTCTCCAGTACCTACGTGTACGTGTACTTACTGAAAGACAAAGAAGACCTGGTCCTCTTACTGCTCCTGAGATCTTAGTTTTTTCCGAAAGAAGATCCAGGTACCGTCGATCATCCTCGTCTTCCTTAGCAAGATCGCTGCCTTCATCGTTACAATTCATTTTCATCATCATTGTGTTTTGACGCGTCTTGATGCTCTTGCATATTCATGAGAAGATACAGATGCGATAGCCTTTTGTTCGCTTGCAACACGGGGAAATGTGGAATTCTAACTCCAGCAGAGGCAACTACAGACAAGCAACGCCGTTGCTGGTGAAAAAGACCGCCTTCCTTCTGAGATTCTCTCGTATTCGAGCCTGAACAAAAACAAAACGTACGGCTTTGTGTATCACACCACTAAAGTTCATTCTCTCTAAAATTCGTCCATTCAGTACATTATCTCCTTGTGATTACCGCAGCAATTCCACCATCGCGGAGTTGTGTATAATCTACCAGGCGCAGCGCGTGGACGAATAGCCTGCACCTTGAAGCCTTTCTGTGGACAATCAATCTCCCTCCTCCTCCACCAGCTATCCGGGTTTCGTGAGAAGCGCCTCGGCCACACACCCACACACACCGACGGGATGCAGGCTTTCCGAGGCTACTTGCGACAGGCGGTGCTCGCGCTTTTCTGTGCGGCTTTGCTCTGTTTCGCTCCCACGACCCAGTACGCACAGTGTATCTGATGCTGATGCGTCCATCACAGAAACGCACTTTTTTAGTTCATGTACCTGGCCCGAGCCCGATGCATGTTGCGCTTGAGTTGGAAGAAATTTTCCAATAGAATAGATGGATAGGACAAGCGAGTGTACACCAGGTGAGGAGCTGATTTTCCATTGTGCACGCAACGATGAATGCTCTTATTACCGAGAGGCGTAGCAAGACTTATACAAATTCTGTGCTGGATTCATCGCGTTTCTTGACTGGGATGTCATTGGGCTCATGCTCACGTCGGCGTCCTCTTCCGGACCAGCAGGAGGACGCGTAGTGAAGATCAAGCCGGCCGGAGCTAGCACAGAACTAGAAATCAACATTGATACTATGACGGTTGGCGAGTTTCGGGATCGCATCGCCCAGGCAACGGGAAGAGCGCAGCTTGACGCGGTATATCTCAATTGCTTCCGCTCGGTGCAGACCCGCTTTTCGGCTCAATTTTCGCAAATTTGCGATGGTTCTACTGATCGTTTGGTTAGTTGCTGTGGTCATAAATATATCGTTTCGAATTCGGGTCATTGCTTTTGGTCCTGCTTCTCGCTCGCTTGATCACTCAGTATGGGCAGCGAGCCACTGCTGTGGGCGTTATCATCTACTTTTCCCGGAAGTTCAGGCACCTCTCTCAGGCTCGCAGTGCCACTCGGAAGCATGAATCGTAGCTGCATGGTGCGTTTCCAAAATACAAATCAATCATATACTTATTTCAGGGTACGATTTGCGGAGCCCCGGTGGTGACGCGGGACAAGAAGTATGATCACATGACGATTACGGATGCCCTCGAAGTTTACAACCGAAATAAAGGTGGACAGACACGAAACGGCCAGAGCCCGCATATGAACATCATTTCAGGACGCATGGCAAAGGGACAGAATGTTCCGTTCACGCCGATCGACTTTGATGCGATAATGGCAGGCGTTTTACCAAATGGAGACCGGTTTTCGTCCTACTGTCAACCCCGAACAAATTTCTTCGGCTCGAGTGAAAAATTTGCATGTTCCAGCACAATCTTTTGCAAAGAAAAAGGAATCGCTCCGCAAAAAAGTAGAGGAATCGCTTCTACTGCATATGCTTGGAGCCAGCGCTTGCATTCCGGATTTACTTGGAATTATTTGCATTTTTTGGGTGAAGTGAGATGATGACCTTTTTTCCTAGTATTCCAGGCCGGAGAAGGCGAACCTGCCGCCGCTGTCTGAGGGAGGACGGACATGGTCGATGTCGACTGTGGTCGAAGTTCCGGAGGGACCTATGTTTGAGTACAATTACAAAACTGCTATGTAATGTTGGCTAGGAAGAAAGACAAGGAGCCGGTCTTCCGCGTTCTTCATCATGGTCGTTGAAAGAAGTAGAGTGCTCGTTGATGAGTTTGCAAAGCGAAGCAAACTGTTGAGTCTAGTCGCTTCCTCCTGCCGAGAATGATATACATGCACGAAAAATACTACAGGAGGCACTGGGACTGCTGCGTCTGATCTTCTCTCGCCTGAGCTTAATTTTCGGTGGTAGGAACTACGGACCAGATCCTGCTGCTTGCGCATTTGGTGTGTAAAAAATGACTTCCTGTGCAATAGTTCCTGACAGGTTGTCGGGTCGTTGCGGCGTGGAGAATGCTGTTGAATATAACACATAAGGTGCTAGAGATAGAAGCAAACACTAAGTAAAATAAACAGCCGATTTTTACAGAGACGGAAACATAAGAAAAAAAATAGGAGTGGCGCTGATACCGAGATCAATCCAGTGATAACCGCAGGACAGTCCCGAGAGCGGTCTCCCTGTATGATATGTAGGCCGTTTTTCTGCAGCTGTTGTTTACCATGGACGTCGTAATATCGGAACGTTTTGCCCTCTGTAAGGAGTGAGCTACGGAAGTTCTCACATGGATCCGCTTCGTGTGCAGATCTGCTTTTTGCCTCGGTGTCATCAACATAATCATCGCTACCACGCGGGATCAGTTTCATTTGGATCATGATCATGTGCTGGTAAGTCCGTGCTCTTCTTCATGGATCCTCGTAGCAGTTGTGTCGCTGTCGAACGAGAAGATGGTCGCTTGCTGGATTGAGACGAGTAATACATATATAGAGTGATTATTCATCACGGAAACACGGGGCAACGCGCCTCCTTGCGACCGAAAAGAATTATCGCTGTCGCCAGAAAGTTGTAGGAACACAGAACAAGTATAAGCAGCAGTGCCCGGAAGATACTTTCTGAAATAAGGTTGTGGTTCCTGCCACGTCTGACGCTCATAGAAACATCAATTATAATTTTAACAATTACATGATCCGCTTCCGCAGCAGCGTTCTAATAGAAATACTTTTCATTCATCTCTATCTGAAGATATTTACTGTCATCTGTCAAGAAGCGCTCTCCGCTTCGGAGTGTAGTTTCACCTGGTCGCTTGATAAGTGAAGAAGAAAGGAGGGAGGGCCAAGTCTACGAGATGCACTTGAGTTTCGGATGTAGCCGTGTGTGGACGGGTCTACAACGAAGGAGCCCCACTCCGGACCGTCAGGGCACGACAATGCGGGGCGTACTTCGGTTCGTAGTTTGCCTGGCCATGCAACAACTCGTGCCACTCACGACCAGTTTGACTTTGGGCCTTGGACGACGGCGCGCAGGCTACCTGGACCGCATCCGGCAACAGCCCACAGATATGGAGTTTCGGAGCAACAACAGAAAGCCGCGATCAGGCGACGAGAAAATGGGCATGGGCTTCGCTAGGCCTCCGGCTGTGTCGCTCAATGGGCGGGATCCCGCCGAACTGAAAAAGTTTGCTTACAATATGGAGTATCTGTGGACCACCGTTCTGAAGCACGCACAGTGGCACACAGAGCTGGTCGCAGACGTGTATCGTGAGGAAAACTGTCCCCGCATACCTACTTACCCTCAGTCATGACTCCTCTCATGTCTGTGTCTTGGCAAAAATCGCAGGTTGCATCAAAAGCAAAAAGATTCAGATTCTGTTCTTGCCCAGGCAGGCGCAGTCAGTTCCTTCTTATGTGATGTATGAACTTGCGAATGCTCCAGTAACTTCGAAGATGTCAACTTTTGTAGAAAGAGGGCGCTAGCAGGGACAGTTGCTCGAGCGATAGCGGACTTGCAGTACGCACGGGGAAGCTCCGTTCCATACCGGGGGTCTCCGATAAATTGCTGCAGGTGCTGCTACGATCTGTGGACGCGCATGCGAAGCGGCTTTTTGACGTGGACTTTCAGGCGGGTGGCGCCGCGGCCACAAACGGACCTACCCTGGCCGGCAATGTCGAGAAGATGGCACAAGTTTTGGGCGAGCGGGACGGTGGGGGAGGGCCGTTTCTTAAATTGCGGCCTGGGCTAAAGTTGGACGGACAGCCTATCAGCCGGATACCTGGAGTGCGTTACCATTGCGACACTAGCGCGTTCTCACGAATATAGAATGGTCGAGACTTGCTATTATGCCGTCGAAAGCTGTATTGACATTGAGTCCAATTTGTAAGCCTGCCTGTATTCTACAGACCTTTTGTTATGGACGTTTGTTTTTTCTTTTTTAAGTTGCGGCACTTGTGTATGACGCAGACGCACAGCATTTGCTACTCCAGTTGTAGTCGCGTCAGCGATGTCGTAGGTACACGCTTGCTTCAAGATTTTGCTATGATACTGGTTCAAAAGGCGACGGTACGATGAAGAAAAGAAATTACTGTATCACAATCGCACTACTTTAAGTTTGACTTTTCAAACCCCAAAATTTATGCATGGAGATGATATGATTATGGACGTTTTGTTTTTCGATTTGTCGTACACAGTAGGTTTTCTAGCTGCAGCCGGCACGCAGGAGGTGTTGTAGCTGTCGGAGCAGGCTTCCCCCCATCATCATCAGATTTGTCTTCTCCTATTTGAGATCATGAACCTGGAGCCGATCTTCCAGTAGGTCCGCAATTGTGAAAGACTTTCTATTTATTTGCATACACTGCTTACACCTACAACTACATGGACGAAGGGCATAACCTTGCGAAGCCCGACGAAGGGGGCGGGCCCTACTCGGTGTGGGTGATGGAGAAGCTGCAACAGGACTACAAAGTGTCAGGTGCCCTGTACGACAAGAAAGTTTGGAATGCAGGTCGAGAATCCCAGGTGCTGGTGCTCATCCACGAGTCATCCCACGTAGCGTTGAGTACACAAGATTGGGAATACGCAGATGGCTTCGGCAAGCAGAGACGTCTAGAGAAGGGAACTCGTATGTGGCTACCACAGAGACGAGAAAACTAAACTACACTTGCCATGCTGTGTGTTTCCGAAAGATGTGCACGTGCTATTGTGGCGAAATATGCAACACAGGCGCATATATTGGTCTTTTCTTTTTGCATGTAGTAGCCGTGTTTCCGGTGGTCTCTCTGCGGATGCAGCAGGTTGTGCAATTTCCACTACTAGCAAGCTACCAAGAATATTTTCTGCGAACGGAACGCGCTGCTCAGCACTTCATTCGGGTCGTGTCATTCGAGATTTGGTGACACGACAGCGTTTTCGTGTCATAAATGATTGAGAAGAAGCAATTGGGCAACGCAGACAGCTACGCGTACTTCATCGAGAGCGTAGTCTGGTACGTCGTTTTATCCTTTCTCCTTGTCGTTGTCTCTTGCTGATGACTTCACATTGACTTTTGTTCGTCTGATTTTGATATGCAAACCTTTGTCTAGATGGGCAATTCTGTACTGAGTGACTAATCTTGTTTATCTTTGTACATCACCTCCATTTCGAATAACAGGGACCTTATCCGCGAGGGTGATGAAAGCGATCCAGAGTTCCGGAACCGGGAGGATTTTTTTCACTGCTATACCACCGAACAGGGTCGGTTTTTGTTTGACCGCCCGAACAAGACCTACGAAGACGGTAGCCAACATGAGAGTCAGACCCGAGACGATGTGCGCTGCTACTGACACCCTAGCCTCCTTCTGATGCATCGTTCCACCAAAACTCTAGGGCCAACCTCCAAGAGGTTAGAGCTGCAGCTGCATGCTATTGCAGGAGGACGTGGCTGCGCTGATGCTGGAAAATAGAAATACCCATGGTTGCATGGCAAGAAAAGAAAAAAATCAAAGTTTGTTTGTATTCCTCCTCATTCGATATCACAGTCCTTGGCTGCAGTGCGACAGTTCGTTGTGCCTGACTCGAGTTTTTTTTGTGTGATAGGAGAAAGTGATCGCAACGCAGATCAGGCAAACGTCGGCCGACTGGTCCGGGAATATCTGAACCCCAAGGTTTGCACCGGTGGCCATCCCCGAGACATAAAGTCAATGGATTTTCCAGGTATAGAGAGTCACCTGATCACGTTTTGCTACTAGCGAGTCAGTGTATAGGTACCCGTACAGTGTTAAAGATAGAAGTACTTCTCAGTCGTCCTCGTCTGATATTTGTCCTGCAAGATTAAGTACTTACATGATCACGTGACGCAAGTACTTACTTAGAAGCTATGCCTTCGTGTTGGCACTGCGAGAGCAGCAGCAGACAGATGAGAATCGAAAATAACTCCTGGACACTACAGCTATTCCTGGGCCGCTGCAGCCTCGAGAGATGCGGCGGGCCGGTGTACAGTATCCCTTTGATTACCACGTGCAGGACGCGATCATCCTGCTGCGACTACAGCTGATGAAGTGGAACCACCGCGAAGACGCGGAGGCGGGTACGGCATGGAAATGAATCCTAGCGCTGCTCCTGGAGCCGAGACCGCTGCTCGTCACTCTTGTGGAAACTGTGTGTGGTTGTGCATGTAGTTGTTGCGTGCTCTCTTAGTGAAGGTACGAATATGTAAAGCAACCTGGATATACGTTGGCGTTTGTTGGCATATAAGCAAAACATAAACATCTGCATTGTTTGGCGTTGCATGGCTCCCACCTAGGAGTAGGATCGGGATCAGGTTTTTTTTTCCATATTGGACCCATGTGCAGGGGTGGCCGAATCTTTTGACTTTGAATTTCCAGCATGACAAACGGGACCGGGGGCCTGGAATGCAGCAACGTGAACGGCGCGGCGATGCAAGTGGTTGTAGCGTCACAGGAAGCATCAAGACCTGCGGTGCAGGTGCGGGGCAACGCTAGGGCGGCCAGTCTAAAATGTGTACAATGACGGTCAAAAAGATGCTGTGTGCGCTCTCCTGGTCCTGTCGAAATGACATTCTTTCGGTTCTGGTGAGCAGTTTCACAGAGCCATTGAACCGAAGCCTACTCGGGAGGAGATAGAAAATCAGCTTCAGAGATTTTTCTGAGAAAGGAGAACTGGGGATGAGAAAATAGTAGCAGACCATACTGCGTTCGCGTTGAGCAGTGTTATTGGCGGAAGCGCTCAAAAGGATCCGATTCGCTTTCAGGCGGTCTCGCTTCAGAGGTTCTCCATAAGAAAAGGAGATCCGATACTTTGTAATGCCAAAAGATCCGTTCACGTTTTCCAAGGCAGGATCTTGTGACAGGTGTTGTTTGGTCTGGATCGAGTTCTCGTTGACTGTTTTTCATCGAAAGAGTCGATGTAGTTCCGCGATCTGGATCTCAATTTTTTCGCCCCGATCGTCGTTTATTTCTCCTGCATCTGTAATTGAGCGCGTTTTTAAGCAAATGGAATGCAACTGCAACCTCGACCAACTCGAGCAGAAAACCACGAAAAGAAAAATAAAGAGCGATGAATCAACCTGACTTCACATGAGCTCACGTTCTTCGTCACTTGATATTACTGTTGTTGTTTCCCTTCATAATGTCCACACGCACACTGTAATTTGGAAAATAAAGTTACCGCACCCCGATCGCAGCATAAGATACGGGGACGTAGTATCAAAAGTAGTGGGCCATTTCTGTAATACCCTACATCTCTCCCTATTTCGCAGCCCAGGTCGTTGGTTGCGCACGATACCCCACGGGCCCAACCAGCATACACGCAGGAGATTTATCTGAGCGCTCACTTGTGGCAGACAGCAGCTTCCTGGTAAGTACCTTGCGCAGCAGCCACAGCCGAGGAGAAGTAGGAGGGGCAAGGATGAGGCTGTTCCGGTGTCTTGCTCTTGTCTTTCCGCAGAGCGGGTGCGCGATGGACCGGGCGACGGACCGTTTCCAACCGAAACGGGCCGTTCTGCCGCCGAGAGGGCAGAGTTCTGCAGGATTGGTATTTGCTCAGGATCAGCTGCACCCTCCTGCTGGAGCAGGAACACGTCAGGGATCTTCTGCGGACGCTGCCCCCGGAGGGATCTCCTGCTCAAACTCAGGAATCTCACAACCATTTGCGGCCGCCGGAAGCCGAGGACGAAGATCAGCCAACGCTGCCGCTGGTAATTCGGCGCGGTATAATCACCCGCGTGACGTGGAGGAGTGTCAGTTCGTTCCCGCACCGCATACTTCGCAACCGCATCGTTGGGCGGATGGTGGTTGGGCCGTCGACTGTGGATCGAACGGGGGTAACTGCTACTTCAACTCGTGGCACGAGGCCTTGCGGATGTTGCACTTTACAGGCGGTATGCTCTAGATTTTTGTTTTTGTTTGGTAAGCTAAGTAAAAGCAAGGGTCTGCTACTTCTTCCCTTCATCTCGTTCCGCTTGGACGATCAGACACTCACTTGATGGGTTTTGGCACTCATGGTCACGAACAAAAAGCAATGCTGCTGCAGCTTTCGAAAAATGATTATGATACTTCTGTAGGTACGTGATTTCTGAGCCTGACCAGCACCAGATTCTACAATCAAAAACAATAAAGACTTGGCACTGGGTGGAGCGAATGGAAGACCCGAAAGCCTGCCTCGTGACGGGAGAAGCATGCATCAAGGTCTGGTCGACTGGCTCCGAGATCGGGACAGCTACAATTTGCGACGAAAGAACGAAGACGAGATGCGACTGTACGACGTTTTCTCGGATTATCTTATCGGCATTATTGAGGGCACCGGAATGTTATCGACGTGAACGTGAAATAGGCTGATTGTCGCTCCAAGTCCTATTGATTTATTTTCTTGTGTAATTCCTGAGTACTGAGTAGCGTCTCCCTGTCGCTGTCGATTTAGAAACGACAGTTCCAGGTTCTTTTTTGTACGGCTGATAGAGCAGTTTGCTCGTTTAACGTAAAAGCCCGTGTCCGTGACTGTCGCTCTCATGGACCAACGAAAGCGACGGGCGGTTTTGCGGACGAGGAGTAAGAGATACTCATAGTTTCGTTCCCACTGCATAGGGGGATTTGCGGCTTCCGGATCTTCCCAGCAGCAAGACCACTGGTGTGGCCCGGTCAACGAAATTCCAGGCGGATTGCTCGTACGGCCCGGCGCGCGGGTCTGTGGCCGTTTCCAGAAGCATTTCAGAACCTGTGCAAATGGACGCCGACAGCAAACCGTACGCGGGCAAGCCAAGAGCTGAGGGGGTTCTTGCGCGGACCGCCGTTTCGAAGGAACAAGGAATGGTGCTACCAAGTGGAAGTACCCCTGGTAGCCAGACGCTCGGAAGCGACTTTTGCTGCTGTGGTCCGGGAGGGTCACCCATTGCCGAGGACAACTCGCCGGAGATCAATTTGTTCGGACACAAGCATCGCACAGGCGCTGCCGGTGTTTCATCGTCCAGCCGATCGCGATCTTCCAGTTCTTTACCAGAAAGTGGAGCAAGGATCGCCGGTTTCGGCGGTGCTGCCAGTGTAGCGCTTATTCCGGGTGAAGGTGCCGCGACGGACGAGGAGGACGAGGGCGACCCGCTGACGCCGGAGGACAAACTTTTGGTGCAGCGATTTCTGGAAAAGTTCCAGGATCCCGGGAGCGCGTCTATGGGATCAGACCAGGGCCACGTCTTCCGCAACAACGCCGCCGTAGAGCAGGCGCTGGCGACCTGGTGGCAAGTGCAGCTGGTTCACGTGGGGAGCGGCGGACAGGTCAAGGCCGAACACGAACCGCTGTGGCTGCATAGCGCCACGAGTCAACCGCTCCCAACGGTCAAAATTTACGACTTGGGAAAGCACGCGCAAGCGGCCATTCCACCGAAGCTGGAACCTAGTCGAGGTTTGTCTTGACCTTCCTGTCTTGGCGTGAGGATGTTGACTACCGAAATTCGCGGTGGCGATTTGAAATTCAATATCCTGGACTTGATGTGCTTCTCCGGCCCCTGCGAGCTGGATATTTCAAAGATGATCGATACTAAAAAAACATGTACGATTTTCACTTCGTAAACTCGTCTGACTGCAGCGTGATTGGTGCTGAAATACGAGTATTACTTCCAGCCGCCACCATAAGGGCTCCAGCAGAGAAGGAATGGGCTATTGGTTTTTTGGGTGGCCTCTTTCTGGTATATGACTTTTGAAAGCCGAACGATGGATGACATAGAACCGAGATAGAAGCTTCGTTTTTCCGAGCCGTGGCTGCACTGTGAAGTAATCTACTTGTGTGAAGGAAGGTGTCTGCTCTGAAGGATTTGGATCTACGTCGTGGTGTGGTCACATTGCGATCCGATCGATCTTTCGAGTAAGTACTACAGTGATCCCGAGCAGGTCTGAACGCAGCAGATCGCGACACTTCAACTTGGATCCATACTGGCTCCTTGTGGACGTATCCATGGTGGTTTCTCAATTTCGACCTTGCGTAGCAAGGACTGCGATCATGGGATCTTTAAACAATGACTTTTTCGCACACGACGACCAGCAAACTTGTTCCTCTCTTCCGCACATGCCTCTAATAGTACAGTTGGTTTTATCGAAAACGAAAACTATCGAGCAAACGTGGGACTACATGTAGGCTGCACAAAAACAACGGGCACTACGTTGATTTCTTCGACATCTCACGTAAGTACTAAAAGTGGAACTTCGCGGGGTCCGGCGGAGCGCAGCTGCGTAGCAACTCGGGAGTGCTACACAAGAGCTTCTGAGCGTTTGATTCGCGCGCGTGCCTCGTTCGTCTTGCAGCTAGGAAGACAAGTGTCATAGCCGTCAACATGAGGCACTGCGCTCGACGACTCCTGTTGCACGCTGCCTGGCTGTGCAGTCTGCAGACGATCGAAGTGGCTTGGGCGAATTATCTAGATCTGATCGACGACCAGCCCGAGGACATTGACCTCGAAGGCAAGGAGCAAGCTGCGGCTGAGGCACAGGGGTTCTTTGGCGGGGGAAACCACAAGGGCCTTACCCTCGACGGGCAACACGAGGAAGAGCGGGCCAAGTTCGCCTACAACACCGAGCATCTGTGGAACGTGATTCTGAAGCACGCATCCATGCACGCGGAGCTGGTGTCGGACGTGGTCGCAGCCATTGTAGACGGTCGCCGGGCCGTGGTGGGTGTGGCAGACAAGCACTTTCGCATTCTCGAGGAGAGCGTGCGAAGGCACGCGGCGCGCCTTTTTCGGGTTGAGTCTACGGAACACTGGCAGAAGTTGAAGGTAGACGTCGAGAAGCTTACCCAGAGTATGTGCCGCAAGACGGGGAACGGCGACTACCGCCTGAAGCTGCGTCCAGGGTACAACCCCGAAGGGAAGAATTGGATCGCGTATACTTACCGCTACTGCACTTATCAAAAGCATGTAACTGCTGACGGGCCCTACAGTGTGTGGATCATGCAGAGCATGGCTGATTTGGTCGTTTCGGGGGCAAATTATGATCCTCGCGCCTGGGCAAAAAGACGGCAGAGCCAGACGATGATTCTTATTCACGAAGCAGCGCACTGCGTTCTGAATTGCGAGGACCACAAATATTCCCGCGGATGGCTGGACCAGTCGCCTCTCGATATGATAAGAATTGCTTGAGGTTTTTTTTGCAGCATATTGTAGAACCCAGATTGCTGTTTTAGATTTTTGTACGTCCACCATGATGTCGTGGTCCATGTCATGTGAGAGCGAAATAAAAGCGAAAGGTAAAGGAATACGAATAGTGAAGCGAGCTACGAGCTGGCACAGTTGAGGAACGCACTCAGAGGCAGAGCAGCTAATTGTAATTTATTAGGCTCGTCGATCGCCGGTAAAAGTTAAAATGCTATCGCTCAGGAATAAAGGCATGAAAAGTCGCATCAGGCCACAGCTCACATTGAAGAGGGGACAGCAAAAATTATTTGCAGCGTCTTTACACAGTGCTGGCAGAAAGGGCGTATTTTTGTGATCCCGCAGCAACTCAATCGCGCGGAGCAGTTCAGCAATGCTGACAACTGGGCTTATTTTGTGGAATCCGTTGTGGAGTATTGTTTTTTTTTACACTTTTTTTCTTGCCTCTAGTTCATTCTACAGATGATGGTGGATCCGCCAATTTTTTCTTCTGCATGGCACCTGCGAAAACATTTCGTTGAGGACGTTGCGCCAATATATATAAAGATACAAATCAGGCCAGTGCATCCGCATGCGCATGCGGCTATCGCAAACGGAAACTGCTTATCCTAGTCTTAAGGAACAGATGCGAGCACCCAGTCTGTCTTCTTCAGCGATGAATTACTTTTTTTTCAGGGATCTGATCCGGCGAAGCAACCCGGACGATCCGGTACCAAATGCAAAGATGTGTTGGTAGCTGCGCCTAGTAGTTGTCGTCTGATGAACCTCGTGTCTTGAACTTTGTGTATGAAGCGGCCTCTACCTAGCTTGTATGAACAGTGCGGTCTTCTAGGCCAACGCGTGTTTGCATTTGATACGCGGAGTACGCCAACAAGGCAGACACGATCGAACTACGGACCAAGAGCGATGGGAAGTTTATCTTCGATATGCCAAACAAGAGCTTTGAAACCGAAGTCGAGTCCCGAGCGACGCAGCAAATGTTTGCCACTCAGATCAGGGACTGGCTTCACCCAGACACCTGCACGAAAAGGTCGCCGAAGGACGTGAAAGCGATGGACTTCCCACGTACAGCACTGCGCGACTTCATTTTTGTTTTCGTAACAAAACTACGTCGAGCTTTCTTGTGTTTTGTTTTCGTAACAAAACTACGTAGAGCTTTCTTGTGGCACAATATTTATTTCATTTCATCTAGACGGTAGGAGGTTGAAATCCGATTATTTTCAAAGTTTCGGCACCCTCAAATTGAAATTTATACAGCTGTTCCGTATGCGCTGCAACCACGAGAAATTCGGCATCAGAGGCAGCTATCAAATGCAAATGTGTCTGGGTCTGGATGACTGGCCGTCTTTTCTATCACATTCACAAAAATCAATAAATGTCCACCTGAAGAAGTGCACCCAAAAGGATTACAGGTTTTGCGGAGGCTTGACGATGCCTGTACAGCATGAGAAACTTGTTCCTTGCGCGGCAAGAAAGGGAAAGCTTTTGGCACCCGACGCAACACACGGCTTTGTGTGATCCGAACCTAGCTGCATTAATACAGGTTTGCACCTCTTCAGACCCAGACATGTTTGCATTGCATAGCAGCACGGAATCACCTACGAGCTTGACCACCACATCGACGACTCGATCAAGCTACTGCGGTTCCTCTGTATGAAGTGGGAGACCCGTCGAGATCCGGATGCGCAGTAAGAGGTCAGCGGAAGAGCTGTAAGGAGTCACTTGACGGGTTTTTTTCCGGAGTACGACGTGCGAGCAGCGACGCTCTGGTGAAGGGGTTTTCCTCGAGCTCGCCGCATGTCGGCACGCGTAGCAGCCTTGAATTTCTGGGATGAGCAGGCCTGCTCGACGAGCAGGTGTTTGCAACGGTTCAACTTTCTTTCCAGACTAGCTTCACGTCTGGAAATTTCAATTCAATTCTAAATTCTGGTGTACGATCGCATTTTCGCAGTAGAGGACTTTACATACTGTATGTAAGTATACTACTCACGTAATCCGCCCGTGATATTTGGAAAGAGAACCAAATCTGTGACGAAGAATGCAAGTGGTCAGCGCTAGGTCAACGTTCCCTGATAGCGACTGTGGTTCTCGTATATAAAGCACTAGACTAAAAACCAATGTCCCGCGTTTTTGCAGCTAGCGGCAGGGGCGGGAAGCATCACGATGCAGCCGTCGCATTTTCCAAAAGGACGAGACTTGCGTAGTCGCGTTGCTGGAATTTTCGCCACCGCACGCTTGCGGCTTGCATGATTTCGATCAGCTTCTTCCTAGTACTTCTGCCGACCAAGGGTCGAAACAGAATGCTGATCCTTCGTGATGACGGTACCAACAGATCTCCATCGAGATGATCACGAGAACTTTGCGAAGAGGCGATCACTGATCCTGTTTCACGATGTTTCGTTGTCGGAGTCTTCATCTTTCATTCGCATTAAGTGACGCTCGCAGACGTTGCGGTCGCAGACGCTGGCGGAAAGGAAAGATCAGCATCGAAGACCGTGCTCGGTGTAAGCATTATTTCCTCGTCTGGTCCACAGATCTTCTTTTCCGAGGAATCTCGAACCTCTCGTGTGTTGCAAGCAGATCCTCTTTGCATGTTCTGCTGTGATCCTTGCTGTGAAACACGACGAGCGCGCCCCGTTCGAGTTGGTGCGTATATACGCGACTCTAGGTGGTTCCGAATGCTGAACAGCAATTAGAATGAGCCCCAGAAATTGCAAGCAGGCCTGTTGGCTTTACTCTTAATGCAACAGCGCTTGTGTAAGTGTATAAATATCTATGGAATGAAAGCCGCAGCCTTTTACGGTTTGTGTTGCTGTCTTCTACTTCGGGTTTTGATTTCATCCTTTCGGAAACAGTTGTCAACGACTATTTAAAACCGGAAACAGTTGTCAACGATTAGAAGAGCTTTGCATAGGAGCAGCATTTTCTTCACTTTCGCATTCCAAAGTTACAAAATAACAAAGCTCAACATTTTTTGTAAATACCCGAGAAAGGTGGAGAAGTTGCTGCTGGCACGGACGGAAAAAAGATTGACAGCCTCACTCGCCGGGCTGAGACAGAGGGATGAGAGCTTTTTTCACCGGCTTGCGCAGTGGCTGGTGGTCAGCACCAGTGTGGACGCTGACCACAGTGGTTCTGCTGGTGCACGACGTTGCGGCCCGCAGCTACCTGGACCTGGTGAGCAGCCAAACGGACAACGTGGACATGCGCAGAAACGAGGACCACTGGACGCCACCGAGCCCGGACGGGCGCATGCGAAAGGATGCGAACGACCTCACCTTGAACGGGCAGCAGGAGCACGAAAAGAAGATGTTTGCGCACGACACTGCCGACTTGTGGAACGTGGTTCTGAAGCACGCTGGATTGCAGACCTCGCTGGTGGCGGACGCGGTGGAAGCGCGGGCGCACCAGCGACGCACCATTCTCGGTGTTCACGAACATTTCGCCGCCCAGGTGCTTGCGAGCGTGGAACGGCATGCCTACCGACTGTTCTCCATAGATGCCGACTCACATTGGCACGAGCTGTCTCAGAATCTGCAGCGTCTGGCCGAAGTGCTCCGCCCTTCCGGGGACAGGGAAACTCCCTCGGTTGGGTTGAAGCTGCGCCCGGGCTACAACCCGGAAAACGCGCAGGCGCTGGCTTACACCTACACCTACACGATGCGGCCGCAGTTTGCGTGGCACAAGGGCCCGTTCAGTGTGTGGGTCATGAAAAACATGGCCGAAATGCCAGTATCCGGGGTTGTCTACGACCCAGACGTCTGGAACCTGGCCAAGCAGCCGCAGACGCTGATTCTGATCCACGAGGGGACCCACGCGGTGCTGGGAACGGATGACATCGAGTATGCGGACGGTTTGATGAACCAGCGCCCCATCGAGACACTGACACGGCGGGAGCAGTTCGCTAATGCAGACAACTACGCTTACTTCGTCACGATGGTGATTTGGTATGGACACTATATTGCTTTTCTTCGACCTGCTGAGTGGTAGCAATTTTTAGGTTTTGATCTTTACCAACCTTTTCTGAAAGAAAAGTGAAAGACGAATGCAGAAACTGTTTGCTCCCGAAAATACAGGGACCTCGTGAAAGCCGGTAGCGAGGCTCCGGAACACCTCGCCAAAGCGTTCGCGGACACGGATGACCTGCTCGCCGTCTTCACTGTTCAAGAAACGGGGAAGTTCATGCTCGACATGCCGCACCAAGGATGGAGCAACCAGGAGGACAAGCAGCGATACGAACGCGCCATCGTGGAACTCGTCAGAACCCACCTGCGCCCGGACACCTGCACGAGACGCTGCGCCAAAGACATCGGCGATATGAATTTTCCGCGTAAAAAGTTATACTCTCGACCAATATTTATAATTTCCTCGGATCTTTCATCTATTCATTTTCATTTTTGGGCGCAGCAATGAGAGATGCATGTTACTCGATGTGGCATAGGTGAGCGTATGTAGATGGATACAAGAACCAACTGAAAAAAAAAATCAATTCCACAGCTGTACCCTACGCCCTTCGGCACAAGCGGATGCGGCAGAATTCGGAGCCCGGGCCTTTTGATGTGATAGAGCACGTAACAGACGCAATCAAAATGATGCGGCTTCTCTGCATGAATTTTGAGTCTACAGCCGATCCGTCCTGTGCTTGAGCTCGAGGCAGCAATTCTGGGCGACGTAAGTTGATATAATGGATACACTTTTTCTCTACCTCTAGTAGAAGAATACTCACCCATGTTTATAGATAGAGATGGTTGAGGTTGTCCAGCTGTAGTTACTCTTGCCAGGGCCTTGGGCTGAAGAGTCAGAGAAAGCGGGGCGTCGCAATGCTCATTTAGAGCTTCCGTTGAACAAGATCAAAAACGAATCATTTCTGAATGACACTGGCACTTTCCAATCTCACCATCACACGAAAGAACTTTTTGTCATCATGGAAGTATTGCAAATCTCTATGGTCAACACACAAATTTGTCGGGTTGGGTTGTCATGACAGACTGCGATGATGCCATGGGCCAGACCCTTCTGATGGCGTTTTCCGGAGGAATCTGGCTGTGGTTATGGCGCCCATCCACGTCCTCGAATGATCAAGTTGCTGTGCGCTAGGAATGCGCGGCGGATGTACTTATGAAATAAAGCGCACACATGTTGATTTTCCAATTCCGACATTGGGATTGCTCAAAGAGCAAAAACCGGTGTTTTTGCATTTTTGATCAACTCGTGGCTGTATTCTCTGATTCCGTTCCGATTTGGACCAATATAACCCTGCTCTGAGTCATTTTCGCAAGGATGCAGAGCCCTCTTCTAGATCTTCCAAGGATCATCAGGTCATTGTTAAGCCCAACCTGCTGCTCCTGCAGTGGGAGTGCAGAAAGAGACCCTTCTAGTGAAGGCGGTCACATAGATTCTAGAGATCAGCATTGAAGATTCTTACTCCTCTTCGAACTTCCCTGAGCCGTCTTTTCGTGGTCTTCGCCAGCGTGCCAGTACATAAATGCAAAGACACATCGACATCATTCGGAACAAAGTCAGGGGATCACGCGCGCCGTTGTGCAAATCCGCTAAACGTTGCTAGCAGTTGTAGTACCTCCATTCGTGTAAAAATAAAACTCGAACGACCAAACATTTTTGTTTAACAAAGTAAGGATTTACTATCGGCATCGGATACAGACAGTGTTTGTAGTTCGCTCTACACGCCACGTGTAAAATAACATATACATATTTACGAAGTGCTCGAGGTTTGTTGACCTCAAGTTTTTCGGGGTAGCTGCATACGCCGATGCGAAGAATGACGATGCGGGCAGCCGGGACGTGTTTGGCGGCCTGCTTTGCGTGGGGCTTCGGCCCGACGGCCGTGCGGGCAGCTGGATCATACCTGGATCTTGTCAGTACCCAGCCTGACGATGTGCGGCTGGAGGAAGCTGAGTATTCCTGTATGTGTCGCCACCACGACGGACCGAAGTTCTTTTCCGCGCTGACCTTGGACGGTCAAAGGGACGCAGAGAAGACGATGTTTGCTCGGGGCACCGAGGACTTGTGGAACGTGATCAAGAAGCATGCCGGTCTCCAGACGGAACTGCTGGCCGATGTCGTCTTGGCGCGAGCGCGGAATGGCCGCACTATTCCCGGTGTGGCGCCGCGGTACGCGGAGGTTTTGTTGGACAGCGCAGAGTATCACGCGAATCGCCTCTTCAAAATGCAGGGCCAGGAGGACTGGGAAAGACTGGCGCGCATGTTGGCGCGGCTCGGCAGCGTGTTGGCAAACAGAAACGGAATCAAGTTGCGCCCCGGGGTAAATGACGGGGCTCTCGCCTACACGTACAAGTACACGTGCAAAACGCAATTCAAGGATTCAAATGGGCCTTTTAGTGTCTGGGTTATGAAAAATATGGCAAACATCTTGGTGTCAGGGTCCGTGCTATCAAATGCAAATATGTCTGAGTCCGAGAACTTCAACATAAATTTGTTATGCTCGATTGCGAATGATTGGATTCACTCCCGATTGCGGCTCTGCATGACAAGTTCTTACCACGCTTTCGAAGTTCTTTCTAAAAAAACAAAGCTGCGGTCCTGCTTGTCAGATTTTGATGGAGGACTGTGCAAGAAGACAACTTGCCCAAGCAGGAACCGGGAACATCAAAGATCAAGACAAGCATTACAGGTGCAGCCTTTTGTGACCTAGGTAGACATATTTACAGTTGATATGGGTACGACAAAGCTGTATGGAACAAGGGGAAGGAGTCTCAGACGCTCATCATCATCCATGAGGCGGCGCACTGCGTGCTCGAATGCACTGACCATGTGTATGGGCACGGCCTGAACGGTGGTTACCAAGGTCTGATAGATCTGCCACACGATCAGGCATTTGCCAATGCAGATTCGTTTGCGTACTTCGTCACCCTGGTCGTTTGGTACTTACTTTTTTTACTGTGAGTGTGGATGTTTGATACATAGATATAGATGCTTTGCTTCGCCTGAAGTAGTAGTTGGGCATCCGCTCCCATTGGACGATGCATGAGTGAATGCGCGGCTCGTACGCAAGCACCGACCCTCTGTTTATCTCTTCGATCATCTTCACAGGGACCTGATTAAGGCTGGCAACGAAGACGACCTTGAGTATGCTCAGTACGAGGACAACTTTGAATGCGTGCCCAAAGGGAGCCAATGGTGGTTTGGGTTACCACGCAAAGGCTTTCGAGACCAGGAAGAGGCTACCAAATGGCAGAGCTTGCTGCCGCGGATGATGCGGGAGCACCTGCGTCCCGAGACCTGCACGAAGCGGTCGCCGAAAGATATCGGGTTGATCCGCTTTCCACGTACAGATACTGATACAAAAGTTTTTCGGTGCGTCCGAGATCGGAAGTAGTTAGTACACACGATGGTGCACAGAACCCGAAGTACGAAGCTCCGGTTTCATATCTGGCTGCACAGAATTGATTCTAGTTGCGTTGCCGCATGCGACCGCAAGCGCAACCAAGCAGAGAATGTGCACGGCGTTAAGGAGTACTTAGTCAGCACGAGGCAGGCCTTAGCAGATAGCATGACTGAAGTAGTGCTGCGTTGCTTGAGTTATGAAAAATCGAAATAATTGAAAAACTCCACAGCGGTACCTCATGCGCTGCGATCTGCGAGGCATCGGCGCGAGCCTCCTCAACCTGACGAGGAATATGATTTCGGTGAGCACATCGAGGACTCCATCAAGTATCTACGTTTTCTCTCGATGAACTGGGAGTCAGTCAATGATCCGAATTGCTAGTTGCCTCTGTGGGACAGCGAGGCGGACTGCATTCAGCTCGCAAGGCATGGACGAATGGGCTGGTCATGCGGAATAAAGACAAACGGAGATGAGGAGGGCCAGTTGCAGAGCTTATTGCAGTTGCCGGCGCGCAGGTTTTTTCCTGGAATAAACGCTTTGGCAAGCATGACAAATCGTTTGCGTTTATTGTTCAACGTGTGCGATTGCGGAGGCCTTTAGTCAAAAAGCGGCGGTCCATTACAGATCAAAGCGAATAAATGTTGTAACCTTGTCTTATGATAGAACGGAGAGGCAGCCGCAGAAGGACGCAATTTCTGCCCAGCACCTTCATATTAAGTAAATGCTATTTAGTACCATTCATTTCTACGTCTTCTATGCCGAAGGAGAAGCTGTGCGTGTACGTACTTACTACATACGAGATGACGAGAATATCAGAATCGACAAAACTCAATGGACCGACACGCACATGGCTACACAAAAGCGAGAGGGCGAGTTTTTTACAATCACGAAAACAAACAAAAACATGCTATCTCGAACCAACGGAGATGTCCATGATACCTTCGGCATTCGTTCGCTTGTGCTCGAGCCGCGGAAGTGTTCTTTCGTAGTTGTTTCGATGGTACTGCTAGCCCAGATATTACTCCCACCTGCAGTTCCGGCATCGTCGGATAACATGATCACGACAAAAGGTGGCGTGCGAGTTCTGTATCTATAGTACTGCAGGCGTGCGAGTTCTGTAGAGCTAGTCGGTTTTCTACTCCAGGATCATGAGAAGATTGCGGCTCACACGTTCCGTCTGAAAGTAAAAGAAGATCAAGTCAAATGAATTTGGAACTGCAAGTGCGTTGTAGATTCTACATTCAGTTCCGGTAATGATCAGAAACACGAGGACACAAAATTTTTGCGAGGAGATCAAGCAATCTCGGCTCAACACATACATATTAAGTACTTGGCTTCTGATTTGAATCAACGTATGATCCTGAATTAACAAATGCAAACACAACCGCTCTCCTCCAAGATCAAGGGAGTAGTATTTGGAGATGGGTTTGTTCCTGTGGTTGATCTCTCCTCAATCTCAATGCAAAATTCCAATTTAATTATTTTCAGGACATTTGGATGTGTGCGCTTCCTAGAGAGACGTTTGTTACAGACACATAGATCATACTTACAGAGACAAGAAGACACTCAAAAGCGCTTTCCTCTTTAGTGTCGAGTCGTAATCGAAGGTATCCGTTGGATTCTCTTTTTATTCCCTTCAAATAAAAACTGCATTAGTATTTGGTCGTCGTGAGTTTCAACGTCATTCTCATTTACCGCCATCCTCTAGCGAGTGTGCGAACGGGCGACAAGAAACGGAACCAGCGGAAATGACGACTACAACGAGTACCGATGGGTACTTCCGACTAACGGTTAGTCCTACCGGCGCCACTGTCGCTGCAGCCGTCAGTAGAACAGGTAGGAAATAAAATCTAGTACTGCGCCGCGTGATCATACATCTCTAGTGAGAATATTCATGTAGTATTGATAATCTGCGAATCCGAATTTTCATTTTCCAAAACCGCACCGATTCCACAAAAATTTATCACGACAGGCGGAAGTTTTTCTGTCGACCTTCTCCGCAGCTCCGACCTGGTTTCCGAAAGTAGTTTCGAGCACCCTGCGATGGTGACTGACATCTCTTTTGTGAATGACGACACGTTCGTGACCACGTGCCTGGACGGCCGTCTGCGCCTGCTGCGGGCTGCCGGACCGGCAAAGAAGCGAAAGATCGAGGTGCTGGCCGAAACCGAGTTGGGGCAGGACACGGGCATCGATGCGGACGACCGTACGCTGTGCTACGCCTGTGCCGTCTACCGTGCGGGAGACGGACACTCTTCCTCCACATCCTCCAGCTCCACGGGACCGAAATTGGCAAACGGAAAGAACAGTAAAGCCAGTGCCGACACAACGAAAGGCTTGAACATAGTGTTGACGCCGGAGTCGGTCGCGCAGCTGCGGATCGTCGCGGCGTGCCGCGAAGTGATCGAGGTTTTTCGTGTGATTACCACGGCTGACGGTTCGAAAAGCAGTTTGCAGCGGATCGGCACGCCCATCGAGCACCTGCACGTGGAAGTGATCAACCAGCTTTCGTTTTTGCGCGAGCACATCCTGGTTTCCGGCGGCGACGACGGGCTGGTCAACTTTACGGACATGCGCGTCTGGGAGCAGGCCGTGCTGAATCCGCGACGGGTTTCCAGAAATTCCTCAGTCGACGACGTGGACATGACAACAACTATATCGAACCCCTCGTCCAGCGCAGCTGGTGCCGCAGAACATCAAGGCGGTAGAAGTACTACTGCCGGCGAGGTCGAGGTTGACTCTGGTACTTTGGCGCAACAGGATGTGGACGAGGGCTTTCTGTTCACGATCAACAACGACGAAAACGTCCGGTCCTTCCTCATCGTCGAGGAGTTCGCCGTGGTTCTCTGTGCCTCCACAAACGAGACGGTCAGCGTCTGGAGTTTCGGCGGGAAGGAGGAGTTCGGGCAGCTGCGCCGATTGGTGCAGTTCACAGACGAAATCCGGTCGTGCGAGCAGCTTTTGTCCGGCGAGCGCGACGGCTTCCACACCCTGGGCTGCGTCCTCAGCATGTGGTTCGAGCAGGGCAAGATCTTCGTGCTCGGGGGCAGTTGCGACGGCGCGATGATGCTATTTCACCTGAACTTGACCCAGTGCGTGCCCGTGCAGGAAATCGGGTCCGCGCATCTGGAGGGCGAGTACTTCGTACCCGAGAGAAGCGGGCAGGAGGACGGCGCCACGTCGGGCAGCGACGCAACGACTTCCGACGGTGTTGCGGTCGCCAAGCGGCTAAAGAGTCGGCTAAAGAGTGCGGACGAGGAGGAGGATGTCGGGGTAAAGGAAAATAAAGACGTCGTGGCCGCGCAGAGGATGGCCGGTGACCACGACCTGGCGGGCGGTGTGTCCACAGCACAAAAGCACGAGGAGCTGGTGAGGTGTTGCGCAGTCCTACGGGCGGCGGACAGCAAAAGTTCCACTCGCGAGTTGTGGACCGGCGACGAATCAGGCCGGCTCTGTCGCTGGTTCGCGCGAGGACGAAAACGGTGTCGCGCCACGGCATGAATGATCCTCGATAAAAGAAGGCGACTTCCAACGTGCACTGAATCCTGCTAAAACTTTTATGCACATAACCATAACGCAAACGCGAAATCATGATCAACATCGGGTTCTCTTTCTGGAGGGAATAAGAAGGCACCGTGAGTAGCCTGCGACCACGCCGGCTTTACTTTTCCCTGTGTTCGTCTTCGTTCCTACTCCTAGTGGTGTTTTCGGGTCACGTCAAAAGGAGTCGTTCTCGTAAGTGCATCTCCTATCGGTTTCTTGAATAGACCCGGGTTCTTCTAAGTAACCAACTAATTATCGCCTGATTTTGGTAGAAAGATACTTTGAAGAGGATCAGGTTTCTCCACTCGTGCTTGCTGCTGCTCTACTCTCTGCTTGCGTTGCGATTGCGTGTGTGGTTCGTGTGATAGTCGTTCAGTGCAAGATTCTCAGTTGCAAGATCAGCCTTGCTTGTCTATTTCGTCGCCAATCTCCCGAAAAAGAAGATACGGGGCTGCGTGCAGCAACTTCGAATCTGAAACGGCAGAGGATCTTGAAAAGCTTAGAAGAAATATACTTACGTAAACGCTCAAGATTAGTGCAGCAGGTGTTGGAAATGAATAGAAGAAGTTGAAACTTCGAACAAGACTTCGTTCTTAAGACATACAATTTATTAATTTCATGCAGCGGCACGAGCATTCAGAACCAAATTGTCGAGTCGCTTCTGCCGAAGTTGACCTTGACCTATGACAAACACGCAAGAGAAGCTTTTACGAGATGAATTTTTACATCCTGTATTACCACTCGAAAGAATGACGACAACTATGCGTATGTGTGTCCGAAGAACATAAATTAGTAAGAACATAAGCTAGTACGTTTTTACCTTTCATTTTTACGACAATTAGTGAGAAGGAACAACAAGCGAAGTAGAATGCGCGGAGCAGGTGGCGGGAACAGTGGCCCCTACAATCGAGGGGGCCAACAGTACCCTCCTCTTAGACAAGGTGCACTGCCGCAGAACCATCAGCCGGCAACGAGTTCGACTTATCAGGGCACCAATCTGAGTAAAGACGAATTTTTCCGAAAGCAGGATGAAATTCCGGTCGAAGTGTCCCCGCCGCAGGCCGACCTGGAGTTGCTCTCGGATTTTCAGAACCTGCCCCGATCCTGGAACCTGAATCCCAAGCTGGTGGGCAACATTCCGCGCGAGTACCGGAAGCCCACCCCGGTCCAAAAATACGCCATACCACTCATCCTGAAGCACAAGGATGTCGTGGCGAGTGCGCAAACGGGCAGCGGCAAAACGTGCGCTTTCCTCTTTCCAAGCATACACTTTGTGCTCAGCGGGCAGGCGGGCTACCGAGATTCCATGTTCAACAACATGCCGGCGCCAAAGGTGCTCGTCATGGCCCCTACACGTGAGCTTTGCCAGCAAATCCACGAGGAGGCGCAGAAGTTTTGCCGCAACACCGGCATATGCCTTGCGGTAAGTTTGCGACTTTATTGATGTCGTCGTGTCTACTTGTTCATTTCTTGCAGCAAGGTCAACATACATTATGATTATACGAGGATGCAGCGCCGGGACGACCACCCATCTATTATAGTTTTTTCACTACTTCCCCTCTTCACTTACGTGGTTTGAGTCAGTAGATACGGATCGTGTTGTAGACTCCCAGACGTTTGTTTCCGTTCGAAGGTAAAAACGTATACGATAAACTTATTTCCCAAAATCACAGTGCGTTTACGGTGGTGTCGAGTACCGTGAGTCCACCGCAGCAGTGCGGAACGGGTCCGACATCATTATCGGTACGCCGGGGCGGCTCGACGACATGATCGAGCGCAAGCACTTGACGATGGCAAAGATCAATACTTTGATTCTGGACGAGGCGGACCGCATGCTGGACGTCGGGTTCGAGCCCCAGATTCGCAAAATCGTGCAGAAGTCGGGCATGAACCGCAACCGGCAGACGGTGATGACCAGCGCCACCTTCCCCGAGGGCGTGCAGTTTCTCGCGCAGGACTTTTTGAAAGACTACATCTTCATCGCCGTCGGCCAAGTCGGGGCGGCGGCAACGACGATCAAGCAAAAAGTGGTCTGGGTGGACGACGACGACAAGGATAGCTTCTTGTACTCATTTGTCTTGCTGCATCATGTTCAACTTTGTTTTGGACCAAAGGTTACGAAAAAAACAAAAAGCGCTGCGTGGTCTGGTTGGCATGATTCGCTCGAACAGATGAAAATGAACGAGAAAGTGAATTAAATATCATTATCATTTTTGTAAATTCAGACACATGATCACTATCGCTTGAAAACAGGTACGGAATCCTTCTCCACCTCAGGCAGATAGGGTCGGCCCTCGTCTTCGTCAATACCAAGGTGACAGCAACTGATTTGGAAAGATTTCTGGGAAAAATGGGAATCCGCACTGTATCCATTCACGGAGACAAGACCCAGCCACAGAGGGAGGCTTCGCTCGCAGACTTCAAAAACAAAATATCACGTATTGATGAAGGCAATTTTTTTCTTTACTTCACCTAGTTCACTTCGATTTCGTCCATCACATTCATTTTTTCGGTTGCTTGTTTCTGGTGCGCGGCAACTCGCTGCAACTTCACAATCAACACAACAGCCGTGATGATCGCGACCGATGTGGCCGCCCGGGGGCTGGACATTCCCGACGTGGCCCTCGTGGTGCAGTACGATTGTGCGATGAGCTCCGACGATTTCGTGCACCGCATCGGCCGAACCGGGCGCATTGGGAACAAGGGCATGGCAATAACTTTCATGAACAATCGGAACAAGGGTAACGCACACGAAATTCTGGAGAAATTGGAGAAAAGCGGAAATGCCGTACCGAACTGGCTGAAGGGCATGGCCATCTCCACTGGAAATTTTGGCGGCAACGCTGCTTCCGGGCAAGGAAACGCCGGGGGCAACACCTACGGCGGCCAGGACTTTCGGTAAGTAGAAGTGCTGTACTCGTCCCTTAGGAAATAAGTATTTAGGGGCCCCCTCCGAGATGTGATGTTTCTGTTTGCGATTTCCGAATTGCAGACGAATTTTTTGCGAATGCCTTTGAATCAATCTGTCAATGTATCTGTGAAATAAGAACTCAATTTCAACAGAAAACACACCACCGGCGGGTTCCGCACCGCGCAGGAGCGTGAAGACGCGAAAAAGTTCGCGGCGTTCGTATTGAGAGGAAAAATCCCCCCTCCCCATATCGAAAAGGTATGTTTCCGAAAATTTGTCTTGCTGATTTGAGACCACAAATCACGTCTGTCCTGCAAGAAGAGAACTCCAAAGGCTCTGCCGCATTATGCAGGCGGTTTGTGATGCTGTTGGGCCTACAGCATAGACGTTCCTCATGCTAAGCGCGTAGGCCAAAACTTCTCTACTCAGGCATGGAAGAAGCCTGCAGTCCTCTACTGCAAGACAAACGCGATTTGTATACGCAAATCCAGCATCAGAAACTTCCGTTTGATATGGGGAGGGGGGATTTTTCCTTACGATAGTTCGACCAGAATGCGTACGGGGAAGGCGATGCCAACAAAGCGCAGTCTGCGGCACGCGAAATCGCAAAAGCGGGTGTGAGTTTCGAGCACATGGCCTCGGGGGGAAAGAACAAGGGCGGCGGAAAAGGTGGCAAGGGAAAAGGCGGCGGTGGAAAGGGCGGAGGCAGATGGTAAGATGAAAGTGTCAAAGGCTTAGTACGCGGGTCCACCTGCTGCACTAAACGCCCCGCAGGCTGCGTGAAAATGCCTAATCCTCTCGTGCCGCAAGAACCGCAAGTGCCCTGCAGCTTCCAAGCAGCGGGCGGCGGTGGTCGCGTTTTTGCAGTGGCAACGCAGGATAAGATCAAGGCGAACTGGTGATATTTTTATCCCAGAGGGACGGCGGAACTCCCATGTATCGCCTTGGGCGCAGTGTACATATATTCAGAAAAAATTTACAAGCGACACGTACTGAAAATGAAATCCTTTACGACCACACTCGACCACGAGCTGCTGTGCTGTGGTCCCAACTGCCGCCTCAAAGAAGCCTCGGCGTTTGTTTTCAGCCTTGACTGCGGCCTTGTTGTTACATGTCGCCATCCATTTCCATTTTTTTACCCAGTGGTGCATGAGAGAGATTGATTGTGGGCGAGCGGGGTTTCAACATTTTCTGTTTTCCTTTGTGGTGGAGGTGCTGGAGAAAAAGATCTGAAGAAGTGCGACGAGAGGAGGGTCAACATTCTTTCTCCTTGATCTCGGCAAGTACAATAAAAACCCGCGGCCCAGCAGAGGAACCATTTTTGAGAGAAATACTATACAATCTACTCCCTTGTTTATCTTCTCGCAGAGACGAGTTGTTGCTTTAGCTTTTCGTCTGATCGTTTTGCTCTGCCGTGTTGATCATGGGTGCCTTGAATAAAGGCGGTGACCACGACGCCGATGGCGGGAGCGTCTGCGTCCTGCGCTTCCCCTCGGAAGTTGCGGGGTCTCGCGAGGCGGTGCTGCAAAAGCTTGGACTGTCGGAATCGTGTTGGACGACGCCAATTTCTGTAGTGGAAGACCGAATAGCTGCGGCACTGAAAACAAGCACTGCTGATTCGCCGCAGAAACTGGACCTGTCCCACGTGGATCTCAGTGACCGAAAGCTGGAGATCGCCGTGGAAAACAACAAGCGAGAGTTCGAAGCACAGGTCCGCAAGTACGCCGCCGCGCAGGAGCTGCGAAAGAAAGCCGGGAAGGTAGTCGGGGATATAATTGTCTTGTTCAACAAGTACTAGACAATGATGCGGTTGTAAATTTGGGCAATAGAAGATGCAATGAATCGGCAGAAGACGCAAGGAAAGCTTGCGTTTTTCATAATTTCGAATATGCGGTTTGTTTTTTCCCCATAGAGCTACGTCGCGCAATGATAAATCATGTTGAATCTGAACACAGGAAAAGGACTTTGCCACTGCGACCTCAAAGCGCAAGAAGGCCAAGGAGATGGAGACGGAGGCGGATGAACGAAAGGTGGAACTGAGGACCGAAATGGAGGAGCACATTGAAAACATGCAGCGCCTAGGGTGGCAAAAGCTCATCTACACTTGGGAAAACAGGAAAGAGGCAGACGGAACGGCTGGAGCCTCTTCATCTCCTTCCAGTGCTGCAGCAAAGCGGGATGGCACTGCCAGTGAATCGGCTGGAAGTGGTGCTGCGGCGACTACGAGCGAAACGGACGATATTTTGATCGAAGAGATTGAACCAGAGGCACGTGCGACGAGCGGTTCTACAACGGCTAGCGCCATGGCTGCGCTTCAGCGAGCAGCGGCTCCCGGAGATACTTCTCGAGTATGGGCGGACAAGGAAAAAGAGCAAATTGGTATACGGTATAGAAGTAGACTTCGTTTCATTCACCATTCGCATTTTCGGAGTCTCGTTGGTGTTTCTGTTTCATCGCATTGGTAGATTCTGTTACCGTCCGTACTACATTCTGCCCTATAGCAATACAAAAATAAACATAGAACCTTCGGAGAGCGAGCCTCCTGGAGCATTGTCACAGGCCGCAGGATTCCAAGTGACCAGTGGGCAGACACTACAGCTACGGGACGTGCGGATACTGAACTTCCGAAACTGCAATCTCGGTGGAACGGCGCTCGACGCTTTGTTCGCAGCGATTCTGCAACAAGAGATACCTCTTCACGCAATATGCCTAGATGCCAATCCGATTCAGGACGACGGGAGCCGCGTGCTTGCTCAGATGCTCTGCCACACTTCAGAGCCGCACACCAACAACGCTAAAGCAGAGAAGGTTGAACTAGAACTCGTCTTTCTAAAACTTATGTCTGCAGCTCTGCTGAAGTATGGAAACCTTTCGTGTCATGATTCCGGCTGAAGTACAATTCTGACGACGCCCTTCCAATAGCCAAATTTGACCAATGCAACAGGCCAAGCGCGTGACGCAGTTGGGGCGAAAACATGCCCGGAAAATGGACGCGGCAACTGCGATCTGTCCCACTCTCGAATCAGTCTCGGCGCAGGCTATTCAGATTACCGATGCCGGCTTCAGCACGCTCGTGGCGGCCATTGCAAAAGCAGGGCCGAACCTGCACCTCCTGGACGTTCGTAACAACAGCGGCGTGGAGATGGGCAGCAACGACCGAGACATCGCTTTGCGAGGCATGAAAACCTTTAACAAAACGTGTGCCGTCCTTCACTGATTGCGGACTGAGTGTTGGTTCATCTTCCTTCTTGACGACAACAAGCACATGAAAAACATACCACCTTCACCTTGTCATGGCGTGTTGCGCTGAGACCCTATGTAATTGTTTGCGCAGGGTGGTAAATCTGTTGACTTCATCTTCGGTTGCTGTTAGAGTAATTTGTCGGTGTCGTCCCAGGGTCGCTCGGACTGGAATCAATGTCATCGTGGAAGAATAGCAGGCTAAGCATCGCAATGTCGTGATCGTTTCTGATCGTCATCGTTTCGTATAGCTTCTTCTGATTGATTGATATGAATACAAATACTGCTCCCGCCCCGGTTCGCCGGATCCTCTTTATCATGTGTACGAATACGAAAAACAAAAAGATCTGTTGGCGATCGACGTTCAGGCCGGACTTGAGAGAGCTTTAATAGTTCTTGGATCAACTTGATCATAGAGCCAGATCTATGTTCTTTTTCTAGGGTGATTTTTGTGACGCCTTGGGGCGGCTTGTTGGATGCTGTTTATCGACTTAGACGGTTTCGTCAGTGTTTTTCCATGGAGTATTACTGTGATATTTAGTATAAGCAGGACCGCGACCTGAGACACGGATTCAAAAACTAGTAGCTTAAACAGATAAACAAGTAATCCAAGCAGCTGCGACCACTACAGGAAGTAGAGTCGCCCCGTCTACTGCTACAAGGACGCTACAAAAAGCCAAAGATTCTTCTGGCTGTAGAGGCCGCCACCAGAAGTTGAAAAAGTTTCTACATCAAAATCGGCTTTTGTTTACTCTACGTTTACCGACACCCCACGGGGCAACACTTGACTTCGGTTCACAAGGCAAATTTTGACTTTCAATTTACGAAGGCCGACCGGAACACGATGACGATGCACAGTCCACGCTGCGGGGCGCTCTTGCGCATGTTATTGGTGCTCCTGCAGTACGGTGCACTCGCAAGCGCGACCACGATTACCTTCGAAGCAGGTGGGGCTGTTGCGTCGTCCCAGAAGAGCTTCAACTTTGAATCCGGAACGATGCAAGAAGTATACGACTGGTTGTGCGAAGAAGCGGACAATGACAAACGGATAGGCAGTACGAAGCGGAAGAGCTACTACATGCGGTACCGTTTATTTCTCGGAACAGCCACCATCACCCATCATTGCTCAGCAAAAGTTTTGCTGAGCACTGATCGTGGCTGTGTACCGTGGATGACAATTCAGTATCTGAGTATCTTCGATTACAGTATGAGTGTTGCTTTCGTTTTTCGGGCTCGTGATCTATTTTCAGCCAGTAGCGTTTGTTGTATTCTACTTTTCTGATGGTACAGAAATGATACATATCTTTGCAACGCAGGGCTTCGATCAGGGGCCAGCCGTTTTTATTCGATCATCAGACTGGGAAGTTTTACAGCATTAGGACCGACTTGAGCCGCACGATCCAAAGCCACATGAGCTCACACCTGGGGCTGTCGCGAGTGGTGGAGAAGTGGCAAAGGGAAGGAGAACTCGTGCGCGTCGTTGTGTACTTCACATACTTACTTCCGATATTTGATCGTCGTATGTAAATGCACAGGAGCATCAAGCTGTATTCAGGTGACCGGCATTTTCTGTTGCACAATTCAAGGAGTTTTCAACGAAAGTGGTGTGTCTCTAGCTGCAGGTAGTACAAGGAGGTCCCAGGCATCGGAAAAAGTCAGAGTCGCACAGGTTTTCATCTTGGGCCGACTGCGGGGTGGTGGTGCATCAGCTCTACAATCCTCTTCTACCTATCTTCAAATACAGGAACTTCGACAACGCTCGAGAGATTACCTTCCAAGCAGGTGGATATTTTGCGTCCCAGAGAAGCTTCAACTTCGAATCCGACACGATGCAAAAGGTGTACAACTGGTTGTGCGAAGAAGCGGACAAAGCAATGGGCAGTAACACGAAGCGGACGAGCTACTACATGCGGTACCGTTTATTTCTCGGAACAGCCACCATCACGCATCAGCCCTCAGCAAAAGTTTTGCTGAGCACTGACTGTGGCTGTGTGCCGTGGATAAAAATTCAGTATCTGAGTATCTTCGTTGACAGCATGAGTGTTGCTTTCATCGTTTTTTGGGCTCGTGATCTATTTTCAGCCAGTAGCGAGTGTCTTGTTGTACTTTTCTGATGGTACAGAAATGGCAATATATAAATATTTTTGCAACTACGCAGGGCTTCGATCGCGGGCCAGGATTTTTTACTCGATCATCAGACTGGGAAGTTTTCCAGCATTAGGACCGACTTGAGCCGCACGATCCAAAGCCACATGAACTCACACCCGGGGCTGTCGCGAGTGGTGGAGAAGTGGCAAAGCCAAGGAAAACTCGCCCCCGTGATGGTGTACTTCGCATACTTGCTTCCTCTATCTGATTGTCGTATGTAAATGCACAGGAGCATCAAGCTGTATTCAGGTGACCGGCATTTATTTTTGTTGCACAACCATAAGGAGTTTTCAACGCAGGTGGTGTATCTCTAGCTGCAGGTAGTAGAAGGAGGTCCTAGCGGGCATCGGAAAAAGTAAGAGTCACATAGGTGTAATTCATCTTGGGCCTACTGCGAGTTGGTGGTGCATGAGCTCTACAATCCTCTTCTACATATCTTCAAATACAGGAGCTTCCACGACATAGACGCTATGTCGTCGCCTTAGAGGAACTTCGACGATGGGAACTTCGACGATGGGAACTTCGACTACAACTACGTGGAAGCGACGGAGATTAGCCGCCAGGGCAGAGATCTCGGGGAGAAAGTTGCACAACAGCGCGCAGGGGTGAGGAGAACCGACTGAAATCTTGTAGCAAGGCAGTGCCGTCAGATGCTGCCGATTTCCAACAGTAGAGGGCTCTCCCTAGAAGTGGGTGACGCGACGCATAACGCGACCGCTTCGAAGGGCGAGGTTGAGTGTCTCCGTGCGGAACGAATCGGTCTTGCTAGGAGTTCGTTTCGTTTCTTCAACAAAACCCGCCGATGCGCGATCGAGGGATAGTTGCTTGTAGAAGTTCATATCAGAGAACGAATCAAGAGAACGGAATTGGTGTTTTTGACTTTCATTTTCAGCACAAATCATAGAAAATGATAGGTAAGTTGCTTTATGATTTTGCATGATTCTTGGCTCAGATTCTCAAGAAAATGCGCCAGAGGAAGAGGTCGTTGTTGAATCGGACGAAGGAGGCAGCTGTATCCGCCCCAACGTGCGGGAGGTACTTACTAGGCCGACCGGCCCGTGGGAGGGCAGTGCTCTTCCACGGTCGCTCCGACTGATCGCAATGTAATGGTAAAAGGATAGCAGGTTGCACTAGCTTATTTTTCCTTGATTATCGCAATGTCGTTGTCGTGATCGTTTCTGATCGACTGTCCCATGATCGAAGCCAGTTTCGTGGTCTGTTTTGTAGAAGTCGAGTTTCGTAAACGGAACTTGGGCACTACCAAGTCTCGGTTTTTCGCATGCATCGTTTTGTCTTATCGCCATCGTATCGCTCGTCCCTTTGATGTTGCGATCGTTTCATGGTCAATCCTGGTTTTTTCGTCTTTAGGGATTGAAAATCTAGATCGAGAAGCCAATGTGTGATCTGTCGCGTTGCTTTTGGTAGGCTGGCAGGCATACCAACATTGGTTTAGGCTTGCTATGTATATTCTGTATTGATTTATTCTGCGCAATCGGACTTGTTGTCGATCAGCATCTCGTTAGTTTTCATCTGAGAAGCAGCGAACAATAAAACCACCAGAGAATGTCCTCCGCCCTTGCTGTTCCGCTGAGCGCGGCGACCGAGGATTGGGATTTTCTCGAGTACTTCTTGCAGGTGTCCTGCCGTTCGAGTCAGGTGAAGGTGAAGAATGTGTGGAGCCTCACCCTACCCGAGGTCGAGGCGGGTTTCTCCCAGCGGACCGCGACAAAACTGGTTCTGCCCTGCTGGCTGCCGGTGAGTCAGCTGGACCCGCAGCAAAACGCAGTGCAGGATGTGTGTCGGCGCGGCTTCCGGTTTCACGAGCGCAACAGCGGCATGCTCGTCCAGTGCGGCAACTTTTCCATTCCTGGTCTCGGCGATCCTGCCGACATCAATTTTGCTGCAAATGGAGCAGCAGAAGGCAATCACTTGCTGCAGGCGGGCGGAAGCAGCAGCAGCGCGAAGGCGCTGGGCAAGCGGGTCTTCGAGGCGTTTCTGTGCCACGCGGGGGTGGTATGAGAGTGCGCAATTCCTCCTCCCCCTCATTCGTCATGCAAAACCCCAAATCCACATCCAGTCGCTTACTTGTGGCACGGTTTGCATGACAAATTCCGGAAGCCCAAACAGTACTACACTAGGCGCATGAATTTGTCACGCACAGGTTCCACGTGTGCTGGTGTTTGTATTGCTGTTTCTGCTGTCCCCCTCTCCTTGGTTGCTGTCGGTGGGTTTCTGGCGGTTTGTGTGGCGTCGGAAATTTTGCCGCCACCTCTGTCTGGTCCCCGTCTGCTCTGTGGCAAGGCAGGTCGGGTTACCTGGTCGGGTTGGTTGTCTGGTCGTGTCTCTCTATGCCCCTGCCCCTTGATGCCTGCCACTGGGCGGATTGGGAGCGTTTTCACGGCGTCAGTCTGTTTCTAAGAGCTGAAACTATATGACGCGTGTTGTCTGCTCTTAGACATTATGGGGAGGATGCTTGTCCTTGTTTCCCCCCAGGGCATTGCCTCATCGTTGGTGCTACTGTGTGACAGCTCTTGGTTTCCGTGGTGCTTTCGGTGGGATGGACGTCCGGTGTTGCTTCGACACTCTTGTGTTGTTGCATTTGTGAATGCGAGGGCAGTGGTGGACTGAGGTTGCTGGAGTTTTCCGTAAGGACACTCCAAGTTAATTTCTGACTACTTCGCTTCCTTGTGCCTCTGCTTTAGTGCTATTTTTGGCGCTTTAGCTTATAGGCGTCCCCCTCGCATCTCACCTCCAGGTCTTCGGGGACCCCACTTTTCCAAGGTTCTTGGTTGTGGATGGTTCCCTGCGGGCTTTGTGGCGTCTGGGTATCCTTTGTTGCTGTTCATGCAATACAAATGAGGGAGAGCGGGAGTTGTGCACTCTCATAGGTGGGGCGTAGCCAGCTCGTCACGTCGGAAGAACTGGTGCTGGACGCGGAGAAGCTGCTGCAGAACTGCGACCGAGATTTTGACTCCGTGTACATTCACCGCAAGAACCGGCGAATATCAAATGCAAAAATGTCTGGGTCTGGAAGATTGCAAGTTGTCATGCTGTTTTTGGACTCTAAAAAAAATTGTATTGCATGACCAGCAAAATGGGTACAGTTTTTGCTACACAGACAGGCCAGTTCTCATGCGGAAGGTGCATCAGGAAGCCCTCTAAAAGTCTGCGATGCTAGTTCAAGCATTACAGGCATCATGTGTCATGAGAAATATGCATGACAAATCTCGCATTCTTCCAGACCCAGACATTTTTACATTTGATAGCGAACGAAGCTCGACAGTGTTGACCCCCTCCGCGCCGCCTCCGCCGACCAGCACACGTTTCAGCACGAGTACCTCTTGAAGGACCAGAGTATCAATTGCAAAAATGTCTGGGTCTGGAAGGTTGAAACTTGTGATTCGCATTTCAGAACACAGAAAAATCTCTCATGCATGGATAGCAAAAGTTGCCCATTTTCTGTCACCAAAGTCAGGGATTTGTCATGCGGATTCGGCATTGCGAAAGCTTCTCGAAACCTGTGACGCTAGAGTTCCCATGCCAGACCTTCTGTGTCATGCAAAAACAGCATGACTCTTCCAGACCCAGACATTTTTACACTTGATACAGAGCCAGCTGCTGCCCAAGTACCTGGTCCACTTCGAACTCGACCCGAGCGAGCCGGAGAAGTTCGCACTCAGCCTGTGTATGCATTGCAAATATATCTGGGTCTGGAAACTTGTAATGCTGGGTTGGGAATGGTGAATGCTCTGTAATGCACAGCGAAGCATGAGAGGTATCTGCGCTGCTTAGTGTTGCAGATTCCGCATGGCAGGCTGCGTTTTTGCATGACAAGGAAGAGGGTCTCTTCTTGGAGGCGCATCACAAGTTCTTCAGTCATGCCAGACAAGCATGACAAACCTCGCATTCTTCCAGACCCAGACATATTTGCATTTGATACTGTGCGACTCCTGTCAAAAGGAGCCGGCGGCCGTCTGGTGCGAGGCCGACCAGGCCAAGCTCTGCGAAGAGTGCGATTTGGAACTACATTCCCTGAATAAGGTGCGGTTCGTTTATTTGACGTTGTATGAATGTTGTACTTCTGAGTGTTTCATCTGCAAAACTCTGATTTTTGTCAGTCTGACCTCTGGTAAACCGATAGTCTACCGCAGCTGCAGGCGCAGGCATTTGCAATTGGAGAAACCATAGAGCTCGAAAATCAAGAAATGAACGGTCTGAAATAAAATCCGAATCCCAGATTGTCGCTCGCCATGTTCGGGTGCCGATTTTCGAAATGCCGCGCGCGGTCGGGGACTGCCCGCTCCACCCCGGGATGCAGATCACGCAGTACTGCGCCACGTGCCACGAGTTTCTCTGTCCGGCGTGTCTGACCGCGGGCAACCACGCGTCCGGGGCCATTCTCGCCACCCACAAATTGCTTCCGATCCAGGAGGCCTACCGCGGCGAAATCCGCACGGCGGCGGAGGCCGGGGGGCAGTTCAACACTGCCGTGAACCAGCGCCGCGAGGAGATCAAGCACACGCTCGTGGAGCTGGAATCCCTCATTGCGAAGGTCCAGCGGGGCGGCCAACAGGCGGAAGATCGGGTGTATGCCATCGTGCAGGAGAGTTTGCAGAAGTTCCAGACGCACACGGAGCACCACGTGCAGCAGTTGCTTTCGGACAATTTGAACACAAAACGGCAACTGGAATTCTTCGACTGGATCGAAAGCTTCATCCAGCGCCAGATGATGGAACTGTCGCCGCCGAACTTTCTGCGGGCGTGGACGCGGCACCGCAAGCTGCAGCAGAAGCTGGCGGACATGTGGCACGGCGAGGAGGGGACGGGTGCGTCGACGGCGGGCGGCGCGTCGTCCTCTTCGCAGGGTGGTGCTGCGCCGGGGGTGCTGCCGCCGGGCCCGGACTTGGCGGCCATCCGCCTGGTCGGAGGCTTGAAGGTGGCTACTGCGAGTAGTGGACCGTGACGAGAGCAGCCCTTTGTGAATTGAACTGAGTATAAGTGCTTCATTGCGGCACTCAGGGTAAATCCGAACAGGCGCGTGTATTTACGCGAATGTGGTTTCAATGGATATTTGTTTCTGCCCCAACCCACTTCCAAGAAGAATCAATTCTTACTCGTGATAGCAAGCAAAGACTTGTGCAGGGATGTCTATATCCTGCTTCCGGTTGATAGGTTCGATGCTGCCTTCTAATTCGATTTTCGATTTGTTTTTTTTTCGCAATGGGAGCGAATGCGGATACAGTTACAGACGAGAGAGATCACCAGAAAGCCAGCAAACTGGAGCTCTGCTCCGTATAGAGATTCAGTGCCTCTTTGAGTGACAAAGACAAGTTGCAAATTCGGTGCGTCTACTGAGAGGAGCGTGTGCCGCACCATTTCACATCGTCAAGTAGCGTGAGAGACCACCATCGCAAACGGACTTTTTTTCAGGCCCCCTCGTAAGTATCAAGAAAGCATACAGAGCTTTTTTCAGAGCTAATGCTCGCAGTCGCACCATTTTAGTCCTTTAGAGGTTTTTTTCTACTGCTGTTGCATGCGTGTAAATGTAGCCTATTTTTTTGTTTTCGTTCCATCCACGAGCTCCGATGCAGCAGTGTAACTTTGTTTTGCCTTCTCTCTCAACTTCGGCTAGAGCCTCGCCAGCCACAAAATGTTTGAAGTTTACAACACCTGTAAAGCGCGTCGTCTACCAGAACTTTGTTCTCGCATGGCTCCTCGTGCTTCTAGCAGCTACCATCACGACGACCTCTAATTTGCGCCAGCTATTTGCAACCGCGCAAAGCACCACCAACAACGCTCCCGGGTTCGTATGCAACTCCAACACCACCCACAGTGCGGGTGCGCCGGTGGTTTCCGACTGTAATTTTCTCGGGGACACCGCCAACACCAACCGCTACTATGGCCGGTTCTTCGAAAACACGGAGGGGGCGAAGGGCTCGACAAAGCGGCAAGCGCAGATCCAGATCGTGCTCCAGGGGAGGACACGGCTCCTTGGCTACCGGCTCGGCTGTGTGTCCGATGGCTTTCCAAAAGAGTGGGCGATCTACGACGACACTGGCGCAAAAATCGACGAGCGCACGGCCGATGCGGTTTGTGATCCGCAGAAAACGTACACGATTACGAACGGGGAAAGCCATGCCCAGTCTCTGGTGTACTACCTCGAAGTCACGAAAGTGGCCGTGAGTTTGAATTTACCGAGTCCACCCGTCTCTCACGTACTGCAGCTCACCCATATTGCTATCGATGTGGACAAATACTTCGGGGTGTCGACCGGCCCGTGGGGCGAGTGCTCCGCCGCCTGCGCGGGGGGGACGCAAACGCGGACGGCCTACTGCGGACACGTGTTTACCGGGCAGGAGCGGGCGGCGCAGTTCTGTGGCTTTCAGAACGGTGAAGCGGATCTGGATCCCTTCCGGTCCCAGGCGTGCAACGAGCAGCCGTGCTACTGCCGCGGGACCTGCTTGGAGCATGCGAAGACGTGCACGGCGTCCTACGCGTCCACGCCGGCCTTGGGGTGTCAAATGGTTTTTTTCAAGGGCTCGGCCAGCAAAACCGCCATGACGTGGTACGGGCGGATCCACGCGAATGCGGGCACGATCAATGCCGAGGGGGTACTGGACTCCGTGAGTGTGAAGCCCTACTATCCGTCGGCCTTGATTGGTAGCTACAGTCTGGCCCTGCGCACCGGAGCCGACACCGCGTTCACGCCAAGCGCCTGGCGGCTGTTCGCAGGTCCCCCCGATTTCAGTGCGGGGGACACCAGCTACGCTGGCTTGACGCTCGTCGACCTGGTCTCCAATTCCGGTCCGAATTCGGGGAAATGGAACACGGTGGAGCTCGGGGACGCACCGAGTTACGGGTCTAGTGGCACCAGCAGGGCCCGGCGGAGGCTAACGTCGCACACGGCGGAGTATGCCATTTTCGATATTGGCAGCGCGAGGGACACAAAGGAGAAGCTAGAGGCGCTTTTGTCGACCGCCTACCCGGCAGGAAATGCGGCGCCGGCAGGACTCGTGGTCCCCGCTACCGCAGACATAACCAACGCAAACCGGTGGGGTTACTACCGGATTGAGTTTTTGTCGGCCGGAGACGTCACATACGCCGCATCGCAGAAGCTGCAGCCAAATTCGTATCCTGTGCAGGTATGTACATCAACACCTACTTTTTGGCGTATACAGATGCACAAGTGAGTGAACGAAGGAGAAGTGAGTTGCTACTACAGCTGCCAGAGAATTCTTGACTGCTGACTTATGCATGCATTATGCACAACGAGCCATTTGTTGAAATTCATGGATTTGACAGGTTGCTCTCTCCGAGTTTGACACTTTTTTACGGGGATCAACCTTCGCAATCAGTCTCGGCTCGTGGTCTACCTGCAGCAAGTTTTGTGGCGGCGGTATTCAAACGCGGACCGTGCGGTGTCTGGGCAGAGAAGGAGGCGAATACGCTTAGTAACTTGCTATTGCTACTTAATCGTAAAAATGTTTTCGTGGTTTTTCACGTTCACGCTCATTATACATCAGAAGATCCATTGAAGTTGTCACATTCCTCGTGTTTCTGGAGCGCTGTTGAAAGAAATCCAGAGATGAGTACTTATCGGTGGAAAAAAAAATCAGTCGCCGTTGTCCCGATTACCAGCCAGCGCTGCACAATCCGGAACAAGCTTGCAACACAGCAGCCTGTCCTCAGCCGGGGCAGATCGCCCAGGTCGAGATCCAGGGGAAAACGCGGTACGACGTTCTCTCATTGAAGGTAAGCATCGGAAATCCCGGCGGCACGCTGGTTTGCGCAGCCTACAGCCAGGACGAGAATCTGGTCAGTTTTCCCACCGAGGCAGCTTCGCAAACCAGTGCCGCCGCGGACATGAGCAGCAACTTGTTGCGGAAGCAGCGCGTGTCGCAGAGCTGCGTCCCGCCAAACTGCCTGCTCGACCTCCCGGAGCTCCCGCAGAACCGTACGCAGCGCATCTTCTGCGGAGTGGAGGACATTGCTGGCACCCTGCACATCCAGTACGAGCACGAGGAGAAGACGTTGCGCGGCCCGGTCCTGCAGAAACAGCCGGACGGGGGGACCGGTTGCTACCGCGAACATCTAGTGCGGAGGGACCTTCCGCACCGGCGGAACGCAACAGACAAGCCGGACGGCCTGAGGCACACCGAGGGCGAGTGCGCCATGCTCTGTGAGGACTTTCACTACTTCGGCCTGCAGATGATGGGCGAGTGCCGGTGCGGCAACAACACACAGAGGAAATACGGGAAAGGAAGGTATGTCGATTTCGCATTAGAAGTTTTGGTTTTGGAAATCCGGAAGCAGCAGATCCGATTCATCTGCATAATATACGATTCAAAAACCGAGCTTTTTCCATTTGCAACTCGAGTCAACATGATCCCTTCTTGTTCCAGGTATGTCGGCGCCATGAGTGGTGGGTGTGACTGCGACGGGCCGATCTACGGCTACAACGTGCAGTGTGTGTGGGAACAGATTCCGCCGTTGATCGAGCGGTTTGATGCCGGCGAGGGACGGACGTGGGCGAGCAAAATCCGGCTCGCCATGGCGCTGCACCAACAGGAATTTATCAACGCCGGCGGGCGCCCCAACGTCCACTGCGTGGTCACCTCCGCGAAAAACGTTTTGACTGGGTCGCAGGTCCTCGATCTGTCCCCCGCCACGCTGCCCATCCGCACGCGGTCCGTGCAGTGCTTCGACCTGGGCAAGCCGTGTGAACTGGAGTTTGACCAGCAGATTGTGCAGCCAAACACGGAATACAACTTTGCTTGTCAGGAGGAGGACTCGGACTTTCGGCACGAGCCCCGCCATATCCGGTACCACACGACCACCACGAATCAGATCGCCATGGCTTTCGAACCCTCTTTCGGGATTCTGTCCACCACGGAGGCGTTCGCGACCATATCCATCCGCAACCTCGACTGGCGCGCGATCCAGTACCAGTGCTTTTTGCAGCCACAGGACGGGGACACCAGCAGCGGGAGCTTGAGCTCAACCGACACGAGCGGGGTGCGCGGGTCCGACCGTGCGTTCTGCCCGTACACGCAAGACTGTGTGGCGCGGATCAACGATCTGGAGCACGGGCGCACGTACGATCTGTTCTGCGAGGTGCAGTCGGGGACGATGCGGGCCAAGATTGCGCCGGGCCAGGGACCGGGGGTGGCGTTCCAGCCGAAGAGGTACGAACTGAAGGACTGGTACAAAGACGCTAACATCATGGCCGACCAAATGACGACCGCCCCGGCGGCCACAGCCACACCGCAAATCGTCCGTCGGCCGCGGTCCGCGCCCAGCGACAGCGAGCGGGTGGCCGGCGGTTTTATCGCCGGGATGCTGGCGCTCGGGGTTCTGTTCGTCGCGGCGGGCTGGTTCGCGTCGGCCGGCTGCCGCGGGCAATACGACGAGCTGGCGTTTCCGTCCACCCTGACCATGCGCCAGCGCGTCGCCATGAGCGTGTTTGAGTTTCTCCAGTACTACGATTTCATCAGCGACGCGGTTTTGACAAAAAACATCTGCCGCATCAGCGGCGACGACGTCACGGAGTTTGTCAACAACGTGCAGCACTTTTCCGCCGTGCTGATCATCTGGACCAGCTGCGTCTTCGGGTGGAGCGTGTTCCGCTTAGGATTGTACCCCATGTTTGTGGACAATTACGGCAGTCGCCGGTATTGGAACTACAACAGCCGGCGGAGCAAACGGCCGGAGTGCGGGGCGTACTTGCTGTTCGTCTTCCCAGCGTCTGTTTTCGCGCCCTTGGCGATGGGCAGCGGCCTGTCGGGCGCAGCGGACAACGCGACGGGCGTCAATCCCGGCTCATCTACTTCGGGTGGCGGAAAAGACGGCGAGGAGACAACCGAGGAGACCATGTGGCGCATGTTTTACGGCAAGCGGTTCTTCCGGAATTTCTTGAGTTTAGTGGAGGACTTTGGGTTCGTGATTGTTTGCTTGCTGGTACTGATGTCCAGCGACATCGACTTGAAAAAGGGCGGCGCGGTAGTGCAGCCGGACGACGTGGCGCACTCCTTTACCTCCAGCATGGTGATGGTGGTGTACGCGCACCTCGTGCTGCCCGTTTTGATGAGCGCCGGAACGACGCCGGGTCGCGGCGAGCCGGGCAGCGGGTTGATGCTGCCGCGCACGGTGGCGATGATCCCGAAGGCGATGATGGTGCCGACGAACTACATCGAGCAAGTGGATTCCGACGCGGAGCCGCCACCAGCCAGTGTCAGCAAGCCGCCGGGAGAATCTTCTTTAGGGATAGCGAGAAGTCTGAAGGATAGCAACTACTCCACCTCCGCGTACTCAGGAAATACGAAAACGAAGGCGAAGATGAACAAGCCCCAGATCGTGCGCGTTGACTTCACGAGCTCGTCCGCGTCGAGCGACGACAATGATACCAGTAGGCAAGGGACAAAAACTTCAACTTCTGGTAGAACAATAAACGCAGGAGGAGCTGCGTCGAAGATAGGTTTCGCAAATCCCAAAAGCAGTAGTTCTGCTTCGACTTCCGGTGGGTTGAAGGCGACGGCCAAAGTGCTTGCAAGTGAATCGGGAGTAGACCCGGAGGGGAACAACCTGCCGTTCATGGTGAAGAAGAAAAACCCCATGCTGCAAGTACCGTCGAGGCGGAACAGCGAGTTTTCTGACGTGTCGCCGTCAGAGGGAAAGTTTACCAGCAACAGCCCGGTTCGGCGAAACAGCTGGCGTGCTCCCGGAGCCATGCCCAATCCGAAGAAGCCACCAAAGTTAAACTTCGGAATGGAGCGGGCGACGTGATGCACATGATAAATCGTCCTCGCACGTGATACGATATCGCTGAACTTTTTTTGCACAAATGATGCTTCTACCCATCATACATTAGCCTGCCAGATAAGAAGTTCTTTGGCTCTGAAATGGAATCTGAATGGTTGTCAACATCCTTTTCCTTGACACAAACGCGCATCTCCAAGAACTCTACCCTTAGAAGGAATGGCAATTTTTTGTACGCTACGAGAAGCGTGCTACTTTCTGAGGTTGATCAACCTACACTTTGTTGTTCTACATTCTTCATTCTCATTGTAAAACAGTTTTCTCGAGAGAGTTTTTTTCACGGTGCCGGTTGCACTTGCAGGGCAGGGCATGTGGGTAGTTCCGGGTTGGGGGAGTAATCCACTGACTTCGCAGTGAGATCGAGAGAGGTTGCTGCGTGAAGCAAGTCAGAGAGATTCCGTGATTTTTTTTTGTTGCGAGCGCCCCGGGCGGCTAGAGATTCGCCAAGCAATGGCGCGTTGTCCTCTTTTTTTCACGTTTCTCTAATACCTGGCTTTTTTTTGGCTCCGCAATGCCAATGGCACGTTTGTGGTTGGGGTTCTTTGTGTTTTTTACTTCAAGTTGCACTTGCAGCACAGTAGAACTTAAGCCAATTTTGAAACGGCCGCCTCCCCAACATACGCCCCACTTTCATATACAGGGTAGCGCAGTGAGCATAAATGTTTGGTCGTATTATCTGAAGTCTGTGATTTTTACCCCGTGGAACGTCGAAAATTTCAAGTTACAATAGTATGGTGGCGCCACAGCCGGTGGACGCAGGGCCGGTCCTGCTCACCAGCGAGGAGGATGATCCGGATCTAGAACAGGATCTGAAAGACATCGAGTCTTCTCTCCCCATGCAGCCGGCCAGTATCGCAAGAAAAAACTGTTTCACTGTGAACTTGTGATGCAAAAAATTCATCACTGAAGTGTGTGTCTTGCTACACATGCAAGACAAGTGATTCTTATCGGTGTTTTCCCTTAGGATCCTCGCATGGCAAGTTTTCTGTGTAATGTGTAGCGGATTTGTAATGCAAAACTTGCAAAATCTTTACAGTGAACAAACAGTTTTTTCTTACGATAGCCAGCGTCAACAGGGTACTGTCGGAGGCCTCCACCGGGGGGCGTAGCTCCGCAATATTTACCGGCGGCCACGCTCTATCGACGGGGAAAGTTGCAAAGACGCAAAGTTTCTTCATGAAGCAGAAAACATGGCAAGACCCCCGTGCAGAATTCGTCCAACACATTATCCGGTTGCTGGTATTAAGTAATAAGTACGGATGCACCTCGGTGCATCATTTTCGAGTAAGTGACGGAAAGTGCTAGAATTATGTAGAAAGGGCTGGCAGATGCAGATCCCTGGTGAGCCAATGCACGGCAGCACGACTGGACCCGCATTCGAGGCGGGGGTCGTGCCATGGTAATTTTCTTTCGATTGGCTGGACCCAGTCTAGGTTGACTGGGGGCCGAAGTAGGCATGGCTACGGTAATAGCTGGCGCGTGGGGCGACGATTGGACCCGGTCCTGAGGAGGAGACTGGGGGTCGGGATCGCTAAAGTTTGCTTGAGAAAACGCAGTAGGCAGCTCGGTTTCGAGGAGCAGGGCATCAGAGCCCAGGGGCATGGTATGGCTCGTAGGCGCCTGCGCGGGGCTTTTATCATTTTGTTGCTTATGGATACTGGTACGGCTAGGACAAGGTCAAGGAGACAGGATCACGGAGGTCTGGCATGGCATGGCTAGGAGGAAAGCGTGACGCTTTTACTTTATTACTTCTTTTCCTTTTATCTTCCCCCCACTAGGATGGAGGCACGGACACAGTGGGTGCTGATATTTCTCGTCTTGCAGTGCCGGGCGCACACACGAGTAAAGCAAGGGCTTCGCAGGTGGGCTAGTGGTCTTGACCCATCCTCAGTGAATTGCCAGGAGAGGTGCCTCAGGTAGGCTTTGATCTTGTCCGCTCCGGTGGCTTAACAGGGATCAGAGCAGAGTTTAATGTTAATCTGTGTGGTCGTTTGGGGCCACTTGGATCGATATCAGCGGAGGATTGGGCCCGCAAGGTAAGGGAGACACTGAGTAGCTATGTCGCAGAGGCTGGGCTAGGAATTAGAACAGGCATGGTAGTTGGGCCTGTGGGCATACATTTCGTTGGCCTGGAATGGAGGACGGACAGCGAGTCTGCTTTTTCTTGCAGTAGCGACCTAGGAGCTACGTCCCGAAGAGGTGGGTATTTGTTCGTGGGAATCGGATGGATTTCGTGGGAATTGCCTCGCCATGTTGTAAGCAGAAAACATGGCAAGATCCCCGTGCAGAATTCGTCCAACACATTATCCGGTTGCTGGTATTGAGCACTTCTACTTGGTCAGCTGGCGGTCTGTAATTATGGTAATGGTGATAGATTGCATAGCTGCCGTAGCGCTGGCAGCTGTGGACATACTTGAAGAATGAGCAGCATTGAAAAACAAAAACAACGTATACAAAAAGGTGCCACCGCTGTTGATTTTCATTGCTTGGATGAGCTTTCGGGCAACTGGCGGATGCTTCTATGATACCGCCGATATGATTTATGCCTACAGAGAAAACGACCCGGCCATGTTGGCAAAATCAGATGGTAACGAATGACGCTCAGCGTCAGCGTGTTTTTCCTTGCTATGGAGTAAATCCTTCGGTCAACGTACTTCGCTCCACGCACATAGGCAGGAGCATGTGTTTTGATGCGATGCAAGAGCTGAGTCCGGGGTTAGCTTTAGTCGTCTCCACCGTTGTTTCAGTTTCACGTTTACGACCTCCTGTACTTCAGTTTATTGCGAATTCTCCCAGACTGAACTCCTCCACGACAACAGCATGCCGACTGAAAAACAACCTACCGAACGCTGCGAGCCAGTGCAAGGCGGACCCAACCTGCGGGTGGCACGAGGCAAGAAGTGGGTTCATACGGACGGACGGCCGTTGCGACGTGAAGGAGTTGGAGACGATTGAGGAGTTCCGGTTCGTCTTTGCGAGCGTTTTGTCCGCCACGGTGTGGGAGAGTGGGTTGATGCTCTTCTTTCTGAACTACGCCGGAATCTGGATCCTCTTGAAGATTTGGCGTGTCATGCCCCGGGAGACCTTCTGGGTGTGGCGCGCGCTCTTCCTCCTGATTCAGCCCATCGCTTTCTCCATGGGTTTCTACACGTTCTGGACCAACGACAAATACGATGAGCAGGTACTAATTTTTCATGAAGTTGTTGTGTAAGTAAAGACAATGACAAAGACTAAGATCGCTCTTCTGTTTTTTTGGGTCTTGGGCCCATTCCTTCGGCAAGGAGGCCTTCTAGTTGAGATGGAAGCTATTGCCGCGACAGTAACCTAGACTCGAAGATGATGTATGAAACTACAAATAGGTGTCCTTCCGAGCAGCCTGCACAGCCGCACTTCCATTGGCCTTTTCCGCCGTCGCTGGCTGCTCCTGGGGGTGCCGACCGCCGCCTGGCATGTGGAAAAGGATTTTTCGTGCCAGCTTTTACATTCTGCTCTTCGGCATCTACTTTCTCTTCGGAGTCTACATGGTTGAGAGTGTATGGCTGCCAATGAGCAGAGACGCAGAAAAGGAAGACGTAAAGCATCTTTTTGTTTATTGATTCGTCTTATTTGCATTTTTTGCATTTTCTAAAGAAGTACTTCAAACTCGGCAAGTTAGAAAACTTGTTTCATTCACTCTGTATCAAAACGACACCACAGAAAGGCTTGATGTACAACACGGTGCTAGACCTGGTCGCAGCCACGGTGCTGTTTTCCCTCTACATCCCCATCGGTGCCCGCGTTATCAAATGTAAAAGTGTCTGGGTCTGGAAGATTGGAACTTGTGATGCTAACTTTGGACTCTAGAAAAACAAAAATCTGTATTGCATGACCAGCAAGACGAGGAGTCTAGTTTGTGCTACGCGGGGAGGGCGTTTGTCATGCGGAGTAGGCATCAGGAAGCCCGCTCAAAATCTGTGATGCGCGGTCGTGCATTACAGACATCCTGGGTCATGCAAAACATGCATGACAAATCTCAGAATCTTCCAGACCCAGACATTTTTACATTTGATACGCGTCATTGCCAGACAGTACATGCGGCTCGTGGACGATGTGCGCTCCGACATCCGGACTCGCCGCGCGCGAGTGGCCTTTCTCGCCTGCGCACGAGCCTGTTTCAACGTCGTCTTGGACATGTACCTATGGATTGTAAATATGTCTGGGTCTGGAAACTTGTAATGCTAAAAGTGAATGATGGACGCACTGCGAGACGCAGCTATGCATGACACATTTTTTGGCTGCCATGTCTTACGTCTTCCGCATTGCAAGCTGCGTTTTTGCATGACAGGTAAGAGGGCTTTTTCGTGCCTATGCAACACAGATTCTCGAGTCATGCCAGACAAGCATGACAAACTTGCACTCTTCCAGACCCAGACACTTTTGCATTTGATAGTGCCGCTTCTGCTACGGCCGCGCGCTCCTGCTCCGAATGAGTCCGATCGCCTTCTTCCTGTGCCTCATCAGGGATGTCTTGTATTCATTTTTTCACTGGTTGACGTTGAGCTTGAGCCCAAGCAGTATAGTTGTTCTTTTTGCAGCTCTTGCTTGAATACCCGATACCAATTTTGCAATGATGTTTTATCTAGGATCTGTATCTGTATGCATCAAGAGACATTGCACGATATACAACAGCACCGACTTCTTCCACTTCGGGTTCAAGTACCAGGAGAGCCTGCAGGTATTCCTCATGCGTCTGGACCAGAGTAGTGACGTTGCGGTTGATGACATGGAGATCTCGAGCAAGGAAAAACTAGTGGTTACCGCCAACCGATTCTGGAGCGCTGTACTATGTTTTTCTGTTTTATTTCTAGGTGTTTCATCTCTTTCTGGTTATCTGAAAAGAATAGTTTAATGCACACTTGGGTTTGACATTGACACTGGAACAAAGAAACAGAAACTTGACGAAGTGCAGCTTCCCACCGGAGGAATCGGTATTAAAAAAGTTTTGTCAAAGATGTCGAAAAAGAAAATTTCAATTTTCCGTTCAACCCTGCAGTTGAACCGACTGGGCTTCGACAGCATCATATGCTGGTGGGTGCAGATCGATTGCGAAGCTGTCCTGGAGGGACGACAGATTCACGCCAGTCGCGTGAGCGTGCGGGGCAAGGGCGACCGCGCCTCGACGCACCTCGGGTCAACCAGCCTGCAGCAAGCCACCCCCGCGGAGCAGCCTCTGCAAAACATCGCCGCCTCGCAGGCCATGCATTCCCCCGCGACCGGCAGCTCCCCCGGGGGCGGCAGCACGCGCCGGGCCAGCGTGTCGATGAGCCAGATGCTCGGGACGACGATGAGCCAGAAACTGGACCGAGCCGGCAGCCGCGAAGACATCAAGTACAAGCGAGCACTGACGTTTGCCAACACGCGCATGATCGCGGACAACGTGCCAGTGCTGACCAAACTCGACCAGACCGTTAACTTTGTCAGCGAGCGATCCCTGTTTTCCTGCAGCGAGCAGGATATGGAGGCGGTCATGCCGGTGTTGGAGTTCTGGCAGCGCGAAATCTTCGTGCGCTTCCAGGTCAGGATGGCCTCGAAGATCTTCTCCTCCGTTGGCTTGCTCATCGGTATGATGTTCGCCGTGCAATCCAACACAGCCTACATCCCCGGGTTTCCAAGGTATTAGGATAGTTTTATAGACTATAGAATGATACGAACTTGACTCAAAGGCTGTAGAGGAAAGTTCTGAGACCCTTAAACAGCATCAAAAATTGCGGCTCAACCTGGAGCAAGCCCCTAGGGCTTTCAGAGTGGCCTTCTTTCCTATTTGCGAATACCCACTGCAGTCGGCCCAAAAGATTGGGGTCGAGCTGTAGGGAACGATCAAAAACCACGAAAAGCGCGACATTTTGGAAGCGCTTTTTTTTTCTTCTGACTGTGTGCCAAGGCGGTGAAGTAAGGGTCCGCGGGCTAACTATAAACAGACACGCAGGCGGCCGCGCAAGTGCAAGGAGGTAGCTGCCAAAATCGCGGCCGTAGTTATCTACTCAGGGCATGCTGCCGCTATTTTGCGGCGACTATGCCGAGGCCCGCTGCTGTCCGCCGCCCGCCCAGGAGACCGCGGCGACGCACTCCTGGAGCCAATCTTTCTATCTTTTGGAAGAAGGCGGCCGCCGCCCTTCCCCGCATGAGGGCAGGATGGGTCAGGCCACCGGAGGGCAGCTACAGGGCCAAGGGGCGAGCACGGTGCTCCAGGGGAAGCGCTAGCGCGCCAATCAATGGCTGTGCCTAAAAGAAACGCCCGCCGGGCCAAGCAGCGAGGGCGAGGCGGCCCCGGGCCTCGGCTAGGAGGGAAAAAATGCCGGGGCGCAGCACTTTCGTAAATAGGCAAGCCAGGAGGTGGTTCCCAAGGTATTGGGAAGGAATGGCAGAGCTTGGCTTTTTTTTCCGAGTTGCTGCGTTTCGCACAGCTATTCCTATTCTGGCTACCCGGGGGCAGGGATTTTCTAGGAGGATGGTCGGAAGGTATTGTAGAAGGTTTCCATCTGTGTCATCGTGGCACGCCTTCCCCGTGCAGCGCTCGTGGTTACTATCGCCGCTTTCTGTCTCCGTTGGTTGACCGCGTTGCCCGCGGGCGCGCGCGATCAGCCGACGTTGTAGCAAAATCCAAACAGTGGGACTTTCAATAGGAAGCGGCACGTTTATGAGCGGGGGGCCCTTGCCCCCCCCGCACCCCCCCGCCCCACATTACGAAGTGGCATGCCCTTCCCTTGTTTTTAGGCTACCCGGGGCAGTCATGTTTATGAGCGGGGGGCCCTTGCCCCCCCCCTCCCGCACCCCCGCAATCCAACACAGCCTACATCCCCGGGTTTCCAAGGTACTAGGATTATTTCTCTAGTAGCGTATTATACTCTTGTCTCTTGTCTTCATGATTGGTTATGGACGGACAAAACCTTATTAATTCCGGATTTTATAGCTATAAAAATAGCTAGATTTAACTATGCATTTTTTAAGGTCGGTTTCCGTTTGGCAGCTCCATCCCTTCGTCTTCGTTTCGTTTCTGTTTCTTTTCCTTCCGTCTCCTCATTGGTTCGGTCAGTTGCGGTCTCGATAGCAAGAGAAGAAGCTGCTATTTGATCGTCGCGTTTTCGATGTGTTCGCCGCAGAAAGATCTTGAGGCGCATGATCCTGGCGACGTGGTTTTGTTGATCTAGATCGCGCTACATGTGTTAAAGCAAGCGATCATTTGTGTGGTCTCGCACATGATGTCGCTTCACGTACTACATTGCGGTGGCGAAAGTTGATTTTCGTGGATGGCAAAAAACAAGATCTTCATTGCCAGCAGCCGAGAAAAACATATCGAGAGTTTGAAGCTATTCTGAGCTTCTACAATGACAGAATGTTTTTGAAAGTGCACAGCTCGACCCCCTTTCACATGCATTACAAAAATTACAGCAAGTAGTGAGTAGCTCTGAGCCGTGCTTCGTGGGCCTTTATGTTTTTTATTTTGCCGGTGTTCGCTTACGGAACGCTGAAAAGCAGACCACTATGAAAAAATCTTAAAGCCACAACCACAGCGCGAGTCTCGAGCTCGTGTGTGATCCACATCTCGACGTAGTTCTTATGATTTTTGTGAAGCGGCTGCTTTTCGTGTGTTGATTGGAGGGGAACGAGCAGCATTGTGACCAATTTCGTTCGTATCGTTTTGATCGTGGGGCGTCGTCGTAAATGTGTGCGTCAAAGTCGCAAGCTCATCTACTGGGTCGTCGTTCCGCAATGCCAGACTTTCAAATAAAGACTAAGTTGAAGCTCAGCTGTCGTGGTCCTCGGAGTCGATTTCGACGTGTGTGTGAAAGCATCCGTGTAGCCGTGCGCGTACAAGTAGCGACAAATCTCAGCATCGTGTCGTTGGGGGGAAGCTATCGTTGCGCAGCTGTTGGGCATCGTGAGACGTGGGCCCTGTGTTAGTGGTTTAGATTTTGACTCTGACGTGGTTTTCTCATATGTAGCCAGAAGTTTATCAGAGATGTCAAGGGGCATCAGACTGCAATATTTGTATTAGTATTTCAGAAGCATTCTCACGCTGAAAAGAAGGAAACTAAGAAGCGAAGCTCTCATCTTTGACAAGCAGTAAAATTAGTACACATCTTGATCTTTTTGATGAGCCGAAGAAAAACAAAAAGTAAAAACACCTTCCTAGTTTTCCTCCGTCTACTACTGCTTTTCTTTTCTTTCTCGGATAGAACTGCCAGAGCATCAAATGCAACAATCAATGGTCGTGATGTCCTTCCGAGGTTGTGATGAGCTGGCACCCGCTTAGGTGGGGGGTTGCGTGGTCTCTTTCGTCATTGCTGCAACTGTCGGCGGAATAGCAGCTCTTGTTCAAATTTTCCACACGTGTTGGTCCAGGATGCCACGACGTGCAGCCGAGAAGGGCGACGGGGCAGACGCCGGGTTTTTTGGTGAACAAGTTGGCGCTTCGGGCAAACAATACTCCAACTTGCAGAGGCTTCTTGAAGCTTATTTCGACCCGAATGACAAGAACAGCAACACTACTTCCGGCGCGTTTCTGAAACGCAATAGGAAGAGCAAGAACGTTTCCCTCGTGCCAACGTCGGATACTTTGCGGAAGCGGTTCTCCGCGTTCAAGGCCGACCGCGTGGTCGAAGGCGAGGCAGCTTGGGAACAGTTTGTGCGAGACCAGTGTGACCGGTTCAATGCGCCGATCGACCGCGGCGACGCTGCTACGCGGAAGATCGTCGCAAAACCCAATCCGAACGCAGCACCAGCTGCGGAAAGTGAGACAGGAGGTAGTAGTGCGTCTGGTTCGCTGGATGCTGCGCAGGACTTGGCGCTGAACCCAGAAAAGTACTTCAACAACCCCGAGAAGAAGGACAACAACTTCGAGCACCTAAAGTCGACCCGGAAGAAGGAGTACAAGTGGTTCGCACTGGGGAAAAGTTTAGGCGGAACCGCAAAGGCGCGGAACAAGACCTTCAAAATCGCCAGCAGTGCCGGCCTCTTCTCCCGGTTCAAAAAGATTACCCAAGGGCAGGCGGAGCTACGCGTTGATCACGCGCAGCGGAGCAGTTCCAAGTCCTGCTTCAATCTCCCGCGCCGGAAGAAAAAAGTCGTCATCCACCGCCACGCTGAGGTTTCCGAGTCTGAGGCAGAGGACGAGGAGGACGATATTCTTGCCGACGAAACGATCGTGAAGAAACAGGGCAACGGGCGGGTGCGGGTCATGCGGGAAATTGCCGAAGAGGTTGAGATAACCGACGCGGGACTTTCCGAAGATGACGCTCCTTTGGTGCTGCCCGACGGTGGCGACTACAACCTGGACGACGACCAGTTCCATCATCATCGCAGCCAGCTGTTCGGTGATGATGTGAAGGTAGCAGCCGGCGGCATATCGAGGAAAGCAGCAAAAATTATCGCCCAGAAAGATGAGAAGGACAGGAACAAAGAAGCGGACCAGGAGCGAAAGGAGGCAGTTCGGTCGGAGCTGAAGTATTTCGACGCCGGACGGATTGCTGCCCGCAACCGGTTGGTTTCGTTCTTATTGTCAAGCGGCATCTCCACCGCCGGTGATGCGAAGTGTAATGGTGCTGCCCCTGGTACGTCGAAGAACAAGAACAATAACAGCACCGCTTCCAAAATCAACAGCAGCCAGAACGTGAACGTGGGCGGCTTCTCATCTTCTGGCGCCTTGGCACAGTTAGGGGCGGCTGTGCGCCATCTGCTGCCAGCAAGTTCTCTCGGGTCCGGTGACTTGGTATCGGGAGAGCAAAGCATTCGTGCTACTGACCACGAGTTTCTGCGAAATCAAGCGGCGCCATCCATCTCGCCTGCGGATAGTGATATGAATACGTTCGACGACTTCGACTTCGAAGCGGAGTATCTTCCCCCGGATCCACCGACCGCGGGGTCGAGCAGCAGCTCCAGTAGTAGTTCGGGAAGCGCAGCCGTCGGCAGTTCAGCAGCACGTGGCGTGCGCGCGTCCAAGTCTACCTTGTTGAAGCAGTTGCCGAGTAAATCCGTCTTGAAGCAGGCGGAGAAAAAACAGTCTCAACCGGTGGCGGGCAAAAGCAGCAAGGCGGTAAAGAAGAAGGTGGAAACCCTGCTCCCATCCTTGAGTGGTGCCTGATTTTCATTTTTAGTTTTACTTTTACATTTACTATTATACCGTGTTACTTTACTTATACTTTTACTTTGCCACGCAGTACCACTACGACTACCAGTAGCAGTTCTTGTTCTTCAACTTCATCTGGATCTTGGTGCCGAGCTTCATCTTCTTCGCGTTCATTGTCAGTTTCAAACTCGAGGCACTACTCGTAGTCCTATTGTGAAGCCGAGTTGCAAATGTAGAACTAGTTTCGATCGAGATTCATACTCTATTTCTAGTAGTTCTGACTGCAGTAGTAGTTGTGTTTGTAATGCTAAACATAAATCGACCTGTGCTTGTAGTCGAAAGCGGAACTATTGAAAAAGAAAACGAAAAAAAAAGCTGAAGCAGTCATGTAATACGAATACCACCAGAGGAGGAGGAGGAGCCTGCTGCCCAGGTGGACACGCAGCCGGCGAGTTCGGCTTGCGGAGACAGTGGGGATGGCTTCGACGCCTTTTTGAACTTTGGCTTCGGCAACGATGAACAGAATAGCCAGCCGCTCGGGTCGCTCGGTCAAAACAACTTTCCTTCCACCGTCCGCCCCGGACCTGGGATCATTTGGTGATGAAAATTCGCATCGTCTGCTGCAGTCCGGCTACCTCTATGGAACGGGGGTGAAGGGGGATCTGGGTCAGGCAGAAAACCGGCCGAAGGTGGGGATACGAATCTCCCCGGACGCGACCCCGTGCGATGAAATCAAGGCCCTCAATTGCTGGGCCACACTCTACAAAAGCGACTGGTGCGACCCCATGATCGTTTACTCCCACGATACCGTTTTGCCCACCATATCCACCGGCTCCGGCCATGAAGTTTTTTTACAGGATTTGTACGAATCCGCGTGGAGCATCGGATTCCCGCTACCCGGCATGTGGTCGAAGGTGTGTCGCGTCGGTAACAAGCTGCTGAAAATGCGGCCGTCGCTCATCTGCACATCCGACTCCGCGTCCGACGTGAAAAAAGCAGTCAAGTGCTGGGTCGAGTATGCCACCGCGCAACGCTTCTACGACCCGGACCAACGGTTGGAGGAGCCGCACTGGAATGTGAGCTGGCTCCAGTGCCAGTTGCATCTGGCCCACATTGTCGCGAGCACAATGGTCACCTTGTGTGGATTATGCTTTGCAAAAGTATAAGTAAAGTATCGCAGTCGCACTAGTAGTAGTAGCACTAGTAGAAATCGCATGAGAAAATCAAAATTGAAACTCGCCAGCAATGATGGCGAGATTAGATTTCTCATGCTGCGTACCAACTAAAAGTTAGTTTGTCATGCTGATCAGCATCAGCATCAACATCAGCAGCGGAACTTGTGATGCATTATTTTTCTTGCGACTGCTTTTGACTTTGAGTTTGAGTTTCGTTTTGCATTTGCTTTTGCTGCGAGAGCGATACTTACTTTAGCTTTTGCTCAGCATAGCGATCGTTGCTGCGGCTGGATTTTCGCCGAACGTTAACTGCGGTCTCCAAGACGGTCAATTTGTGGATCGCCCCGCGACGGGTAGCGAACGACAGGAAAGGGACAGTCCGGGGGCAAAAAACTACTGATGAATTGCTGGTCGAGCTGTACACCGTCGACGACGAAGAATCGAAGAGACGCTTGCACCACATGACCTCGGTGGAGCAGGAGAAATTCCACAAGGAGCGCATCGCGAGCGACCCCAAATTGCTCGCGAAGAAGAGGCTGCTGGAGACCAAGCTTCGCTCTTCGGAGTCGGTCGTGAAGCGTGTCACCGGTTTCGTTCGGACGCGCTGGCTTTCGGTGGGAAAGTGTATCACGGGGCTGTGGAGGCAGCAGGAGAGCATCGTCCAAAAAGTTCTGGATAAAAGTGATGACAAGCTGCAGAAGAAGAGCCGGAAGTTTCTTAACCGGGCCAAAGCTGCCTTCGGGAAGCCTCTGTGGTGGGGCGGGCTCCGCGTGTTGAGTCTCGTCCTGATTGAGATAGACCGCGTTGCGGGCGTCGTGATGCACAGTTGCTCCAAAGAATTGGACGGTGCCAGCATACCGGATTTTGTTGACAGTTTGCCGCGGTGTCACAAGGTCGACTTGTTTCAGCGGGTTACGGATTTCCTCGTCACCATCGGCGGCATGACGGTCCGCGGTCTCGCCACAGAGGGGCTGGCGCCGGTCGCCGCGATAATGTTCTGGACCATGATACAGGAGATGGACCTACGACATTCTCCCCTTCGTGCATGGCCTTACCTTGAGCTCGGCGCGCTGGATGAAGGATTTCGTCCGGATTTCTATTGGATTTTTTTGTTTAAAAAAAATTTTTTTTTGTTTGGTTTTGTCATCCCTTTTGGTTTCGTTTTGGGCTGTTTCGTCGTTTTCGATCGTCGTGAGAGGCATACGCGTGGCCATCGTCTTTCTTTGTTTGTGTTCGATGGACTGCGTTATCGCCTTTCCAGTGTTCATTTCAATCCGCAAGAGCTCCATCGTCTTGCAGATTGACACTACATCCCCTGACCTGCGTATGTGTTGAGTTTCGGCAGCGCGACGTCGAGAAGTGACGGACACGACTTGCAGTTAACGACGGCGGACGCAGCGACGGGTGTATCAAATAAAATATGATTATGCATTTCGCAAGAGTTTTGTTTTCCTTTTCCCCCACCGACGCGGCGACGGTGGAGCCATGGGACGCGAACACCTCGAAGCTGCGATGCGGGGAGAAGTTTTATCATCGGCGAGAACGGGGACGAGCAGCTGCGACGGCCACAGTGTCGACGTTTATGCAAGTGGATGAAGATGATGATTGACGTCGTAGATGTCAAAGAAGACTACCTGAAACGCATGCAAGTTGTTTGTTTTGATGATACAAAAACCATGTTCGAAATGAATGCAAAGCTTTTTTTTTTTGCGATGGTGCACGCACCATCGCATCGGTTTGTTTTTTGTGTTCAATCAATATAGAGTGCAGAATCTCAGCTGAAAGAACATCGAGTTACTTTCTTCGAGGGGCATTTGCTGGGTTTTTTTCTTATGTTTTAGCTTTCTATTGCGGAGAAGTCCTCTGTGTTTTGGTCGTGAGTGTTGCATACATACGAAATGCAAAAAGCAGTGACCCCACTTTCACACTGTGCGCATTCCTGCCCTTTTTAGTTTTGTTTCGTACAAGAACGACCTGTATAATTGTACATGTATAATTTATTGTTGGAAAACGAAATGACGACGTGACGCGCGTCTTCCACCTGCAAGTACAAAAGTAAGCATCTTCTTCGGCGGTGAAGGGCAGCGAGACACTTGTATAATTGACGCCGCGCAGTCTTCGCTTCAAATGTTGAGCGGCACCCAATCGACCTGTGCCGCGTCGACGCAGCAACTGTACCAGCCGGAAGAATGTGCAACCTTCTTCGAAACGAAAAACAAGATGCAGCAGCGGAAACTATGGAGATGTGCTGGGTTGCTGGGAGAAGAATCAAAAAAAGCTGCTTTGAGCGCCGCCGCGAAGCAAAAAATAACCGTCGCGCACGCCCGAATCGAAACGGACGGCAGCACTTCGCAAGTGCTTAGCTGGCGGAACGCGACGGAAGGGAAAATCAGGATTTTCGGCCACCTGATATTCACGTGCGCTTGCATCGTCTTCTGTGTTGCGGGGACACAAGACGTCGGATCGCTCTTCATTCCGGCGCACACGATACTTTACCCGAACTCGGCCAACTACGGCGTGAAGCGAATCGACCGGAAGTCATGTTTTAGGGGATATTTTATGACTTGAAAGTGATTGCATCCTAAGCAATACAATTTGTTTTTGCATGACAGATTTGGAATAGGTAGACATAGCATGACAAAACTGTGATGCGTAGCACCTTGATCAAAATTGTATTGCTGAGCTTGCAATCATTTGCAAGCGATAACCCCGGAAGCTTACGAGGTGGCAGACCAAATTTGGTCTCTGAGGGATCCCACGGAGATGTTCAAGGCCATTCCAGAAACGACCTGCTGCATATGGTCGCCGTGCAGCGACTCGGGCGGCAGTACAATAAATACATTGTTCTGGTTGGGATATTGGTTCTTGAATTCGGCCGCGGTAGGAAAGGTGGTGTTTTGGCCCGACCGGTGCATGAGCCACCAAGCTGCTATTACGGCCCACACCACCGCGGACCTCTTCCTGTCGCTCGTCGGCTTGTGTCCGGTGGCGTTTCAGAAAAGACTGTGGTGCCAGGTACTACGTTTTTTTTTTTGTAATGCAGAAATAATGCATGACAAATGGGGAACTGTATTAATTTAATTAATACAATTTACAGGCTTTGTCGGTGTCTCTGCTCCAGGAGAAAATACACGAGCAGATCGCAACACAAATTCCGGCGTTTATTGTTTCCCGACATGAGCACGAACAAGCGCAACCCGATCCCGATCTGAGTGGATTTCTAGATCGAGTGCAAGTGCCAGACGGCAAGAAGAAGCAGCTCCGCGAAATGAGCATCAGGATGCAACGAATGGTGGTAAAAGCAAACGGGAAAAAGCAGACTCTCCAAGCAGTACACCGGATCTACAAAGGCTGGAAAAAGCCCATCTGGACAAGATGGTTGACGGTGATAGGAACCTGCGGGCTTTACGTTTTGGCGTCGGCGTGGTTCCTGGGTCGGTTGATGGTAGGCTTAGGTCGAGCCATCAAATTCGGCGCTGATTACGTATTAACCCACGAATTCGAGGTGTCGATGTCGCACAAAGAAGGTAAGCAGTTCCGCAATTTGGCACTCAAAAACGAAACGCAATTCTAATGCAAAAGAACATCTATCATGCACGATCAACAGCTGATGCATCACATGGCTCGCAGCCACGAAAATGATACATAAATAATTTTCAGGTTTGCAGTTCGTCTTTCTGCTTTGCACCTATTTCATCATGCTCATATGCGCACCAATCGATGGATACAATGCGGACCTGCTTCGGAACGGGGACAGAGGCCGATCGGAACGGATGGGGGATTTAATAAAAGCAGTGAAGGCGACACTGCAGCACCTTCATAACCCGGAACAGGTCGAGAAGGATGTGCGATTCATGCTGTGCGGAATAGGGACGGACGAAGTGGCGTTTTCCCCGAAGCAGCTAGAACTGGTACTGGTTCTGTTTTGTCATGCAATACAAAGCATCTATCTTTTTAGGCTGCGTGATAAGTTGATTTGTCATGCAAAGTATGCGCATTGAAAATTGTTTTTGGAATACTAAACAGATACACCATTTCCGGCATGTGGCACAGCTGTGCCTCGTGGCTTCCTACTCGATTGGACGGTACCGCGATGGATGCATGTCGGCGCATGATCAGTGGCTAACTGATTACCAAAACGACGAAGAAGGCGCAATTACCAGGCTGGAAAACGCCGAAGATTATCACTTGAAAAATGCACATACTCACATAAGTTGCAACTCTGCATCACATCTTGTGACTTCTTTTTTCATATTTGTCATGCATGACATGGCAAAACGAGACGCACCTCATGACGCAACTTATGTGAAGATGTGCACTTTGCAATGCATATGCGGAGGTACGTCGTCAATGATCCGGGCACCATGGCACTAGTGTCGTTGAAAAAGTGGTACTTGCACCAACCCCAAAAAAAAAGAAAAAGCCGGTTGAAGCGGATTTGCTTGTACCTGCAAAAGCGGAATCGCACGAATAAAAACATCGAACGAAAAATAGGGCGGTGGAAAAATGGTGCGAAGGCGAGCAGGTTCGGCTTGAAGTCAACCACGGGCGCGGACTGCCACTGCAACAGGCGCGATTTCAATTGTGCCTACCAGGCTGTGGAGGAAGAGTGGAGCACCATCCTCGAAGAAGAAAAGGGCGCAGAGGAAACAGCACAGGAAGGAGAACCAAAAGCAAAGCGGCAGTACGCGTTTCCGCGCGCTATTGACCTCAAGAAAAAGGACAAAGCAGGATGCACGGAGGCCGTTCCGGATGCGCAGTACCCGCATCTGAGCCGCACGTACCGCAACAACAAGTGGGAAAACAGCGCGGAGCGAAAGAAGTACGAGTGCCTCGCCCGGAGGATGGGAAAAGACAACGTTCTCATCGACCAGGAGGTGTCTGACGAAGACGAGGCTCCGGCGGAGGATGATGACGAGCCGCGGCACAAAGCAGTTGTCGAAGTGGAGAAGGACTACTACGAGAAGACAAAAGCTGCTGTTGCCATGCGGTACAACGATGATAAGCAGGACTGGCGAAAGATCCTGCCGGCGCGTTTGAACCGCACCACCAGCGAGATGCAGCATTCGGCTCCGGGGAAAATCACCGTGTGGTCTCGCCCGCAGCCAGCTTCTGCCGTCGTAATAGCCCGGTGGGTAAGAAAGCAGAAGGAGAAAGTGAAAGCCCTGCGAAAGCAGGCTGCTGTTCCCAAGGATCTGGCGGACATCGCGCACCTCGGGCTGGGTGGGCTTGATGAAGACGTGGAGGAAGAAGAAGAGCTGCAGCTGCATGAGGACGGCGACTTATCCAATGTAAAAAGAGCTACTTTGTAATGCAAAAGTTGCAGCGACAGTACAGCCTGTGCATTGGTACGGCGTACCAAACTTCCGCCCGGTAGAGCGATGAAAATACTTTCCGCATGAGTAGGAGTTTGTCATGCAAAAACTAACACGACAACAGCTCTAAAAGATGTTGAGTTTTTTCTTTCTGTAGCCAACTAGGCTGCATGTCCGGCGCAGATGAAAGCGCGCTTTTGCATTACAGATTGTGGCTCACTTTACAGCGGATACTGACTGGGGGAGGACAATATCGACGCGGTGATAGAGGAAGAAGGCAGGGAGATCGGCAACCTGCTGTGTCCGATGCTCATTACATCTTTTCGCAACAAAATCGATGATGAGCTGCACGACTTCCTGGTGATCGACGTCGCCTTGGCGCCGGCTGCTTTCAAGGCGCTGCCGATACAAGGCTTGGACGGTGGGAAAGAAGCAAACAACGCTGACGCCGATCAGCAGTTCTCCGTGCGGATTAAAGAACTGTACTCCGACACACCAAACGACTACGACCTAAGCGAGTTGCACCCTTTCTACAAGGTGAAAGTCGTCGTACGAAGACGGAAAACATGCGGCGATCAGGCGCGAGCAACAAACTAGAGCTGTTGCAAATACAGGCTCTTGGCATACCACGGAAGAACTGCTTTCCACCTAGCAGAAGCTCTGCAGAGCAAAAGCGCATGACAGATTTAGTTTATATCTTGCACATTTGTTGTGCTTGCGACCACTCTTGGGCCATCCCAAGAGCTTGAGGCACAGACCTTGCATGACAAAAACATGTTTGTTGCTCGCGACTGATCGCTGCGCGTTTGAGAACGATAGCGCGGTGGACAGAACCAGGCGGCACTGCGGGTGAAGCGGGGCGGGGAGCTGAAGCTGCTGAAGGGCAGCCAGAAAGTCAAGTCCACAGAAGCAAAATCGAAGGAGATCGAGGAGAACTGGTCCACACTGTCAAAGTGGGACAAGGCGGTGGCGAAGGAGAACGTGGAGAAGTCGCTGAAAGAGAAGTTTTCCACCGCCGTCAACCCGAAAGCCACTGACAAGATCTACGTGTTGAAAGGAGCAGACAACGTGGCGGTGCCGGTGGGAAAAGACATCGAGGAGGATGATGATTACGGGCAGCAGACTGCAGCTTCCGTTGCTACCACACAGACGCAGGCGGTGGAGTCGCAAGTGGAGCACGCAAAGACAAATGTAGCTGACGATCGTCAGCTTACGCAGCTGGAGTACGACCTCTTCGTGAAGAAGAGGCAGTACGTGAAAGCACAGCTCCATCCTACCCGCGTCGATGGGTTCAGGGTAGAGGAGAACACCAGCAAAAGCGACAAGATCGCGACCGGTCGTGATTCTATGCGGTTGAAGGCGAAGGTGACGGATAAAACGGTGAAGAAAACGGCCGCGAAGCTGCTCCAAAGTGGCGTCTTGGACCTGAAGACGGAAGCTACCAAACATCCCGGAAGATCGAAGCGCTACGCGGAGAGCGCGGGGGCTTTGTGGTGCGAAGCCCTGCTGCAGTGCTGGTGTGTGAGGTTGCGATTTATAACCGAACTAGCGAAGAAGCACAGCGACGACAATACCGTTCTGCCCGGCAAAGGTAAAGAGCAGTTGGTGAAGGCGCGGTGCGACAAGTACATCGCGGAAGTGCAGCAGCATGCGTACGGTCTTGCTGCGGGGATGAAGACCATGATCGCCCAGGTGGATGCCGAGTTGCACATGGACGAAAACACCTTGCGGTGCTGCGATCCGTCTGTGTCGCTGCTTACCGAGTGGGAGGACTTTGTGGAGGAAGATGAAAAGCTTGATCCGGACCACAAGCAGCTGTTGATCGATAACAAGAAGCAGAGGAGCAGAAAGCAGAAACCGAAAGACGGCATTGTGGAGGAACCGAGCGAGCAGCAGCTCTCGCAGCTCCTGGCGTAAAAACCAACACGCACTGCGCTGGAATGCAGTGCGTATTGCAGGTGGAAGACGTGCAGTCCTACATAGTTGCATAGTATTAAGAAAAAGCAGTAGTTTTGAATGTAGCAGATGATACTCGTAATAACATGCAAAATCGTCCGTCGACCTCAATGTTTCGCCTTCTACAAGGGCGAAAAAAAGTCTGATATTTGGCTCTCAATTGCCTCCGACTTGGCTTCATGAAAAGTCGCAAAAATAGAAATCCATCTCTGGTCGGAAATCATATATTTCTAAGTAGGAGAATAGAAGTCCATCTTTGATGGAAATAGAAATCCAGAAAGTTCAGAATTATTAAATAGAACTTAAACAATTCCATAGAAAAGTGACACTTTATCAATATTTTACACAAGAGCAAAAAACCTACGCGATCAACTCACGGAAGTCGAGCAATCTGTGGAGAACGGACTGGAAACCGCGACGAACGGCTGGCAGGCGGGCCTCGTGGAAGTGCTTTTGTGGACTTCTGCGGGCTGGTTGGCGAAGCCGGCATTTGGGCCACGCATTCGCGTTGGCAGATACGCCTTTAGAGGCTTTTACCACGACGCTATTTGCGTCGAAATTGGAAATACGGCCGTCGCCATCAGCTGATCCTCCGTCGCAGACCGCGACTGCGATCCCGAAGATTGTCGTGCTTCTTGGTGATCAGGAGCATGTCGCTGTGATCCTGAGCGACTACATCCGCACTGCGGGACGACGGCCGTTGGTAGGCTTCCTGCGGTTTTTGGCTTGGATGCTCGCAATACGCCTACCCGCTGACAGGATCTGCTCCTGCACTGTAGGAACGACGTGGCGTGTGAGTGTGCCGCGTTGCAGGTGGAGGTTCGAAATGCACGCCTTCGTCGCAGCTTGGGCCTTGGGCAGGACGCTTTGGTCAGCGGGGAGACCACGACCTGCATCTTCGTAACTGGTTTCCAGACGGCGAACCTGAGATTGCAACTTTTGTGAGTTGATAGTGTAAATCTAAAGCGCAACAGTAAATAATGTATAGCGCGAAGAGTAGAATACAGAGGAAAACAACACAAAGTAGATAAGGCACACACACAGCATAGTAGAAACAGAACCGCAAGTATAAAAGTGAAAGAATTAGAAGTAAAAATAGCATGTGTATGATGAAGAAGCATTTTTGTATGATGAAAAAGCAGCATTTGTACACTGGGATTGCAAAAATTCTAAAACGCATCACAAGTACATAAGGGAAAATGAAGAGCAGTACCTTACTACCACTGAGGCATGATGAGCTCTCGAGTGTGTTTCTGCGTTTTTTTGGTTGTTCACGAGTTTCACACACAGCGATCACGTAATACAGCAACGTCAACGGCACTACCTGTTTTGAATGTTGAAAAGGAGATTTATGACAGCCGTGCGCTTCTGGATTTACAACTTATCTTCTGCTGTGTGTTTCCATCATGATGTGTAAAGATCAAGCGAGCTGGCTGAGCTGCTTGTTGTTTCAGAGAGAACTTTCATCATGTGTTTTTTTTCGCTTGCAATGCAGGCGCGCGTCGGTTGAGACATAAGACTTGGGCAGTGTGACAATATTGAAACTTTTCCTTCACACCAAATGCTTTAGCAGCAACTGTGTTTCTTGCCCTCTGTGGTAAGTAACTAAAAAGCAACTTTCCTTCTTGGAAAGCAAACAACTCTCAATCAATAATGCCTCCGAAAACCCAGCAGCCCGCTTTGCGCAAGCAGAACACGGACGACTTGTGTGAGGAGTACATGAAAACGACCCGGGTCAAGGTATGCGCTTTGTTTTTGTAGTGATTTTTTAGTGTGATGAGAGTGTAGATTCTGAAACCAATCTTCTACTGAAAAAAACTACTTTCACATCATGAAATGACAATCAAATAATACCACAGAACAAGGCCACCACCGTGAACTCCCTCCGCAACGTCATCAAAGTGAACGACAAGATCAAAACCAAGATCGCTGCCCGTATTGGTGTCTTGTCTCGTCTTCCGAAGCACGGCATCGACCGCTTGCAAAACATACGCTTTGAAAATCTAGTACTATTTTGTCACCACAGAGTCGCGTAGAGCATGCATGTGGAGTGTCAGGATGTGATGCTAGTGCGATAAGTATTTCAATCATGCAGACGCAGCACACTAGTCGCCATGCGGAGCACTGCTATCATGCAGTGATGATTTTAGAAAGCAGGAGCTCGAGCTGCAGTGTTGTCTTCACCAACGACTCCTGAGAATTAGATGACGCAAAAAAAAACGACTCTGTGGTGAAAAAGTACGTCAATTTGCATCGCATACTTGGCCGACGAGAAGGTCCTCGCGAAGGCGTTGCAGATGGTGCCCGCTCTGGTGCGCGAATGCACCGCGATCATCCGCGTCGACCGCCTGCATGTCGCGATCATCAGGTTCAACGCCAACGACATCCAGGGCATGGAGATCCAGGACATCTACATCGTGTTGGTACTGCTTTTGTTACCTGAGTTTCGAGTTTTGGTTTGTGAGTGAGAGAAAAGTAGAGGAGATTGACCGTGTGGACTTCCAAAGCATGCGTTGCGCACACACGAAAAGAAGATCACCTAGCTCACATGCAGATGTAATATCACAAAATGCCTTTATATCAGGACCACTGCCACGATCGCTTCACGTCCATCAGTGACAGCGATACGGCCCGCCGTGCGCTCCACATCTGCAACCACTGCATGACCATCATGCCCCTGGAGACCCACCCGACCGTGGAGTTGATGGCCGCTGAAGCCTTTGTCACCGGTGTCTATCATTGCCAGCGGGGTGGTGTCGGGCACAATCGTTCGGTCGAGAAGTTGCGTGACTGGTATTTATAAACATGTAGATAGACGTTGACCATGCGTGACGTATTTTGTAAGCAGGACGAACACGCATGCAAATCAATGGAGAGCATCAGTTTTGAACTTCAGGATTGCGCTCTAGTATACGTTGCAATACGCCAAAACAGGACTTTGGGCGTCGGTCGCATGTTTTGCATGGGCGATAACTCCAAGTTGGTCGAGTTGAAGCGGAGCTGCAACTTGCTGGTCCAGAGCATCTCCCAGAAGAAGATGACTCGGTTGGAAATATGTCGTGTAAATTCACCACATTCGGTCTGAGTTTTTGAATAGCGCGGAGCCTCAGAATAGTTTGCATTACAGATTTGACATGCACATCTCGTGGTCGCGCTATCCAAAAAAGCGTGAGAGTGTGGTAATTTCCGTTTCATAGCTCGACCAGGTGAGCCTCGTGATCACCCAGAACCTCCAGAACACGGCCCAGTTCCGCTTCTGGCACGGCATCCAGCCGGTATTGTTCACACTTTCATGCTTTGCATATCAAAACACATGAGTGATTTGTGAAGAAGACGTGATGCTGTTGTGATAAACGTAATCATGCGCAATACCTGATCGAAGAAAAAACGTAATATCAGGCGATCGCGACTGCCGCGGGGCAGGAGCGATTGGACTTGTGCAGTGATCAGATCATGCATTTCCTCCGCGGTGACGCGAGCCACGGATTGACACCGGAAAACTTGTCCCTCACACTTAATTTCAGTGAAAGTGCTGAAGAATTTGTGTGGACGGCGATCAAATCGGCCGGCTACCAGGTCGGTGCCACCCCCGAGATGAAGGACCTGGTACATTTGTGTTTGTACATGTGGAATTTTGTGGTTTAGAGTTATGCGGCCCAGCGTCGCGATATTGCTGGTGAGAGAAAGGAAAAACTTGAACGTCGCGTGTGTGTTTGCAAATAAGACTTTTATTGTGTGAAACCAACATCAATCATCACGAGCCATATACCTCGCATGCGTGATTTCATACAAAATCACTGTCAGTTGGAGCCGTGGTTCCGCGCCCGGCTCTTGCGGTTGAAGAATGAGATGATGCACAGCGCCCAATTTCCCCATCCCGCCATCGCGACCATGTTGAAGTTGCACGAACGGCTGCACGCGCCCGGAACCGGCATGCATTTTGCCACGAAGCTGCCGTTGAGCTGGACTTCCGACATGCAGTCCAAATCGAAGTCGTTCATCACGAAGCTCGACCTCGACCGGGTGAGCGGTGACATCAAGTTGTTGCAGGAGAAGCTGCTGGCCTTGGTCGAGGTGTACGACCGCACCACCGGACAGCACCGCTTCGAGCAGGAGGTGGAGGCCATCAAGGCGGATTTGAAGGGTTTGTCCGTGACCGGCAACAACGTGTACCGCGCGTTGGTGGAGAACACCATGCTGTTGTGCGACTGCTACTATGCATCGCGAAAAACAAGTGTATGTGAGAATCAAAGCCACAGTCTGGCATTTTGTCATGCATATTTACTACCACAGATGGAAGCGGGGTTCTCGCTTTGAGGCACCACCTGCACCCGTAGTTTCTTTGTATACACAAAACGAAAATACACACGCGGGTGCAAAATAGCAGCTGTCTTCACAGAAATGCCACTAGTTTACCTCTCACAATTTATATTCTAGTGGCAAAAGATATCTCACATACACCAATTTTGCATAGCATATCGCCGTCACCAATGACCAGGACGAGGAGAAGGCAAAGGAGTTTCTGGCCGCGGAGGAGCGGGTGGAGCAGCCGCTGACGACCCGGAACCTGGACGCGATCCTCGTGGAGTACGAGCAGATGAAGGCGGGGTTCCGGCAGCAGGACCTCGTCGGTGACTACGAACAGTGCAAGACTTTGTTGGCCGCCGGTAAAGATGTTTGTTTTCTTTTTGAGAGTTGAGAGGTGGAGTCACAGGCGAGAAAAGGAATAAGAATAGGCGTCGGTCAATAGGTTGCTATTGCTTTCGGTGATCTGCAAAATAGCCACGTCGCATGATGCAAAAACTGTGTCTGTGTAGGTACACGACACGAAGCTCGCTGTTTTATTTTCAGCGATTTGAAAAGTACCAATCTTCACGTTCGGAATATAAAAGCGCGTGCAATTTTCGCAATAACAATTCTATCAGGTCAGGAACAGCCGGCCCGGGACGTCTATGAGAACTTGGATGACACCTGGGAATTCCTCAGTGCGGGCCCGAAGAGCTTGATCTTCTCCGCGATCCGGAAGCGATTCCCGGCGCAGGCGAACACGATGGTCAACCAGGACATTGCCCGCCCCCAGAACGCCGGCGGTTTGAACTTGACGGTGGGCGACGCGGTCGTGGCGGCGGTGGCCCCGCCGGCCGCCGTGCCGGAGGCGGACCAGGCGGCGCAGAACGACGACTTTGAGATGCAGGAAGGGGGTGAGCAGTTGTTTGAGGAGGACGATGACTAGGTTGCTTATCGAAGAGTAAAAATCGTGTATCTTCGTTCGAAATAGTTATAGCGTATACTCGAGAAGATCGGTATAGCTTCAATTATTGCACTCGAAAAAACAACAATCGCTGCCGAAGATACAGAGATTAAATCGTAAATTTTTCGCACTGTCACTCCGCCGCGACCATATAGCATTTGGCGTGCTGTGCGTGTCCTCCTTGCGTTTTTGTTTTATCTATAGTGAAAAAATATCAAGTTCATGAAGTGATTGTGTGCAAGGAGGAGTACCACAGTATCGCGTTTTATTTGTTGTCAAACTTTTGTCCTGATCAGACTGTACGATTGCACTACAAAGTAAAGTTGACAACCATATACGGGAATATAGATCGGGAGAATAGGTTTCTCTGTAGTTACAACTGTATTCATCATTGGTTCGATCAAATGCAAAATTTGGAGAAAATGCACAGAACAATCAGTAAGAGCGAAGAAGAACATAGAGTGCACGCAAATGCACCATTTGCAGCGACAACATCGAAAGTAGAGGACAGTTTGCGAAAGTGAACCAATGTTGATTCACATTTTTATGGGTAAAAACATGAATAAACTAACAGCGTCATAATGAAACAGGGCCTCAAATTGAAGGAGTGTTCCCGTTTGAAAGAAAGAAGACAGCGGTTATAGTGTTGGAGTGTTGAAAAGTTCGCAAACGCATCATTTGCGCACCGTCTGTGTTATAATCATGCGAAAAAACTTTCTACTGTCAGAGCGCGTGCTATTTGTATGCAAAAACAAAACAATAATGATGCCTTCGCTGCGAACACGATGTAGCACGTTCACGCGCTACATGTCGAGACCGCACACTGCGGCTCAGCTGTAGATGCGGAATGGAGAAGGTGGAACTGCAGGAGTGCAGTTTTGAGTAGGAGGAGCGGAGAGAAGCTGCTCCGAGATAGCAGCGCGTGGAGCGGAAGAGCTGCTGTAGATCCGGACGACGCGGTTTGGCGGACGCGGATTGGAAAAAAAAGATCTTATTTGGAAACAAAACTCTTGCGAAGTGCTACAATTTATTTTATTCGATGCGTCTAATTTGTATCGAACACTGATTGTGCATGCGCTGCACATGCCACGCACTGTATCGATGTCACAACCAACTCAATGCCTCAAAATGCATGATGTAACTACTTCGAGGCGGAAAGAACGTGATCTTGTGCATGTTGGACTGCATGACCTCGCTCTGATCTTTGCACTTTCTTTGGCTTGTTTGCAATAAACAAGGAGCTTGGGTGCTTCACAGATACACCGCGACGCCACGCTATCGCGGTGCGCACTGCTTGTTCGTAGCAGCGCACCCGCGATCAGACGGCCGGCCACGCGCGCGCCACCCGGCGCTGCGCTTGGTCAGCTACTTGGCTTGGTTTAGGTCTTCAAAAGAAATCCAGAGAAATCCGGATTTCGGCGACCATCCAGGCGCGCCCAGCTCAACTTACCGATTGGCGTTTCTCTTCTCGAAGGACAAAGCGGAGCGTGCGGCAACTATTCGAGACTTGCTGGCGGCGTGCGCCACCGAGGCGAAGCGGTCGCAGATGCCACTCGAGGCACTGGAGGTTTGGAAGTTGTTCCGGTTGGAGTTGAAGCATGTTCTCGAAGCTCTCGAGCAAGGTCGTGTCGATGTCGGGTGGAGCAAACAGCTCTGCAGAAATCTGTGTCCCGTCGTCAGGGGCTTCCTCGCTAGCAGTCAGATCGCCGAAAGTTTGAACAGCACTACTTCCTGGGTAAAGCGGGAGGCCGGCGGTCTCATCGGCATTTTGCTGGGATCCGCCCGCACCTTCTGCAGACGGGGGGCGGGAAAAGATTTGGACTTCGAGCAGTTCCTCTTCATCAACGACCACTGCCTGTCGATCAGTGCAAATATGAGAATTCGGAAGCTGCTGGAGGAGAAGGGGATCTACGGCGACCCGCTGACTTCGGACCGAAGCGACTTCTTGCTGCGAAACGAGGTCCGGCCGGAAGAGAATCCGCATCGTGTGGTTGCGGAGCTGTTTGATGTACTTGCCCGGCCTGACTGTCCCGAGGCGGCGCCTCTCGTCGGGGGTGATAAGGCGAGGGGTGGGGCCGCGCGCACAAACTACGGTGGTCAGGCCCTGAACATGAAGGTCTTCGACTTTCGGGTTAGTGACATTCTGGGAATGCCTTTGTGGAACCGCGATGGAACGCCCGTGAAGAAGATGCAGTACTACTTCGTGCTGAAGAAAACCAAGCAGGGCGCTCTTCTGGCCGAGGTGGTGGAAGACACGGACGGGAATGCGCCGCCGGGGCATCAGCTCCGGATGTCGGTCGATTTTGGTGTCACGGTATCCGTTTCGGAAAAAACCAAAATACGTCGTGGAGTGGAAGTGCAGGTGCTGGATTTGTCATGCAAATCTTCTCTGTCATGCAGGGCCGGATCACAAGCCTGCACCTGCTACTAGTTTTGCATTTGAGCATCAGCATTAACATGTACATGAGCATCACCATGCTGGCTCTCATTCTGCATGAGAAGGACTAATCTCAATTTGTGACTTCAACATGAGAAGAGCTTCAACGTGAACTAATCTGCATGAGAATGACTAGTCTCATTCTGCATGAGATTGGCTTCAGCACGAGCATCAGCATCATCATGTACATGGGCATCACAGTGCTGGCTCTCATTCTGCATGAGAAAGACTAATCTCAGTGAATTTGTGATGCAGCATGGGCATCCAGAGCCAAGCTGCTCGGCACAATAAAGGCAGTCTGTGAAGCGGGTCGCGACAATGTAGATCTGTAATGCTAGTAATGGTGGTAGTTTGCATCTGTCATGCGCGGAACAATAGGACTAGCACTAGTACAACTAGGCTGCGCTTTTCAACTCAAACAACAACAATTATGGACTAGAAAGCACGGCAGGTTCTTGTCATACAAGATCAATAGCCACGCAGCACAGACGGCCCTTTATTATCTCCACGACGTACTTTTGGTTTTCCGTGCATAGTGCTGCTGGTTTTCCGATGCAATGTCCGCGCGCTACGAGGACCAGCCGGCAAAGTATGCGAAGAAGGCGGGGGAAAAAAAAGAACCGCAGCTTCGACCCGTCGTCCAGAACGGTTCCACGCACCTGAAGTTCTACCACATGGACACGTCGAAGAGGCAGAGGCTCTGGCACATGGCACCGTCAACCGAATATGAATCCGAGTTCTACTATCAGCACCGGGTGAACGATCTCGGCGTCCCCGACACTGAAAATCTGCGGCTTGGCTATAAGCCGGCCAAAACCTTCCCGGATCATGATCGCATCGTCGGCAAGTACACTGTCATGCCGTGGACCGACATCTGTTTGTCGAAGAACGCGGAAGAGGAGAACAGGGAGTTGAGGAAGGAGAAGCGGCTGCTGCGGAACGCGCGCATCGACTCACCGACCCGGCGATCCCGCGACGAGAAGTGGGGGAAGGTGCCGCAATCTATTAGGATGCCTGAAGTCGCGGCCAATGGGCTCGGCGACCGGGTTTACGGCATCTGGCAGATAGAACAAAAACAGTGGCGGGGGAATCTTGAAAAAGCAGTTCCCTTCGACCGCAGAAACGAGGTCCGGCCTAACGGCGCACAACCAGCAGGAGCAGTACCTGCCGCAGTCGGGATCCAACCACCACAACCATCAGGCTCGGGCGCGCATGCAGGCGCGCGTGCGCATGCAGGCGCAGGCGGGCACGTGCGCGTGCACACACATGCACACGCGGGTGACGGGCGCGGGCGTGCACCCGCGGGTACAGGCGCGGGCGGGCAGGCGCAGGCGAGCGCGCCTGCGGGCGCACACGCAGGTACGGGCGCACACGCAGGTACGGGCGCACACGCAGGTACGGGCGCACACGCAGGTACGGGCGCGCACGCAGGTGCGGCCGCGCGCGCAGACACGGGCGCGCACGCAGATACGGGCGCGCGCGAGCGTGTGGGCAAGCAACGCGCGGGTGCGGACACGCGCAATGCCGCGCAGCCGGGCGACGAGCAGCAGCCTTCTGGTTCCGGAAATGCAGGCGCACAACAGCAAAATGGAGATGAAGGGGAAGATCAGCAACAGAAAAACAAAAAACCGTGTGCCGCCCGAAAGAAGTACTTCGTCGCCAAAACGCGGCAAGAATTCGTCAGGAAGATGGTAGAGTTTGAAAACGGGAAGAACTGTGAGGTGGAGCGTGCCACACCGGAACAGGAAGTAGCTGCGAGCGCCTCGCTGGCGCAATACCAGAAGGAGAACAAAGTTCTGGAGAAGAAACAGAAGGGCGAGGACATCGAGCTAGACAGCGACATGGAAAGCACATACGAAGAGACCGATGATTCTTCCAACTTCGGATCTTCAAGTGATGACTCGGACTAATGGTGCGGGGGATGTAGCGCATAAAGCTAAAGATCAGGACTTAAAGACACAGATAAAGTAGCACTACAACTACTAGCATTGAAAGTGAGTATGAATATAATAAGAATAGTAATAGTTTTTGTTTTTGTTTTAGTTATAGTTTTCCACTTCCTGTTCCTTTGGCTTTACCTTTTAGCTTTAGTTATAGAAATTGAAATTGTATTTGTAATTGTAATGGTAACTGAATACAGGTGCAGGCACAGCTACAGGCAAGGGCGCCACTTCCACTACAGAAAGAGGCGCACTTCTTTGCCGCGATGCTCTGCGCTATTTGTGTTTCATAATCGTATCAGAATCAGAGTAAGTGCACGATGCAGATTAGCATGAAAGTAAATGTAAAACTCAGCCGCTATGTCTATTGGTATTGCTCCAGCTATTCGTTTTGGTCTTTGGTTCTGGTTTATAAATATCAATAAGAAAAAGAATAAGAAAATGAAAAAGAATAACAGTTGCGCTTCCAGTTCTACTTCTATATCTATCTCTCTTACTCTTTCTTTTTGACTTTGTATTTGTAATCGTAATGGAAATGGTAACTCTAAATCTAATTGTAACTCCAATTCGCAATAGAAATTGAAAATGTAAAAAAAATAAATATGAGTGCGCCAGCAGGAGCGCCTACGTCATGATCATGAAGAAAAATAAAAAGCGTGATAATAGGTTTATGATTTTATCTTCGTGCTCATGGCTTATTTCACTTTTGTGTTTTGACTTTTTGTTACTGGAAGACGAAGAAAAAAACCGACTCTGATCATTGATCTTGCTCTGTTTCGTTTCGTTTATTATCTGTATCAACTACATGATCGAGGAAGTTAGTAACTAGAATTACGCATATTTTTGCGTGGTGAAAGTGTTCCTTTCACATGTGCGCGCACCTCTTTTCATATCATAAACAGCCATGTGATCATGCAGATCATGCAGATTTGCATCTTGAATCTCAGCGCTTTCGACCGAAGTGCGATCATATTCAAGAGCATGGCGACAGAATTATCGAAGTCCACGCGCAGTGGATTAAGCAAAACCGACACCGAAATTAGTGCACAGCCCACCACTTAGCAGACAATTTGAAAAACTACACGCAGCTAATGAAGACGCTGTGAAGCGTGACGCTGAAGAGCAAAGCTCTTGCATGGACAACAGAAAAGCAGCCGCTTTTTCTTGCATTGTTAATACATGTATTCCTGTGCAATAGATTTTGCGCATAACAAATTGAAACATAAATCAAAAGACGCTGTGCATTCCGATTGTTAGAAGATTGGCGTTTCTAATCCGGAATGAGGTAAGGAAAGTAGAAAATCAAATGAGTAGTGCCTGCGCTCCACTGTAAAACCAGCGCGAAGCCGAGTAATGCGTCTTGTTGTGTTCGTCGATTTTTACTCGTCAGAAGCAGTCGGAAGAAAAATAATTGTCTTCGTTGGGGTCGATGATCACGTGGCTCTCAGCACCAAAATGCCAGATACAGAGCTATCTCTTGTCAGATTCAAGGTGATGAAATGGTCGTCAGCGGTGATGGCCAAAATGGCCATTTTTAATTTAATTGAAATTCTACTGCCGTGGAGCACTATGACAGCAAAGGACGTCTTCTACCATATTTGACCAGATCTCCTATTCTAGTGGAAAAAAGCAGTAGAAATCCAATTAAATTGAAAATGACCATTTTCAACATCATCATCTGACGGCTCAAAGTCTTCTGATAATGTGTTGCATCTTCATCATTTTGACCGCGTTTTCACCTCAAAACCAATAGGAATTGTGAGAGAATATTTGAAAAATATATTGAAAAAAGATGAGTCTTTCGACGTTACGTCACACTAATCGTCCTTCGGACGATGAAGTGGGGACGTTTTGCAGTCTCGTAGACTGTGGCGAGGCAGGCGTGCCAGAGGCAGATCATATTCTGCTCCGCTTCTGCAAAAACGGTTACGACCCGAACAACATGAGCCGCACCGTGGTGAAGTTGAAACAGCACCACGTGACCAACAGTGGCCGCCACGAGTGCAGCCGTCCCATCGTGGGGGACAACTTAGCGTCTTTGCGCCACGCCGTGCGCGAGCGCGGCCGCGCCGACGGCCTGGACGGGTCTAAGATGAGTACTATTATTTTTGTGTTTTTCATGCCTATAGTCTTCATGTATAATCCATTAGACCGTGCGCAGTTCCATAGTGTTTTGCTTGTTTCGGGTTCATCACGCATTCATATGTAGTGAGAAACTTTGTGCATAACTACACAGAAAATGTCGCATGTTGTCGCGCATTTCTCCTTGCGAGGAGGGCAAAGCGTCTTCGTGCACAATGTTACAAGTCAGAAAAAGTCTCCTCGTGCAAGCATTTTACAGCTTTCTGATTTCATGCGCGTCCACATCGTTAGTCGTACACAGAGCACGTTCGAGGTACTGCATAGCAAAAAAATGCACGTTCGATGAGCTGCGTGTCATATACAAAAAGCACGCCCACGCGCACGTTCGAACTACTGCGTGTCGTAGTCATTGTCATATGCAAAAAATAAAAATTTCTTCCATTTACATTTTTATTTTCACTTTCAGTTTCAATCTCAATTGCAAAATAAAAATTATAAACTTCCAGGACTCGTGGCAGTCGACTATACGGGAACTGGTCGCTTCGACTTCCAGTTCGCGTTCGTGCACGGCGGGCATACCTGCTTAGCGTTCCTGCTGGAGGGATGCGATCCGGAGCCCTTTAATGTGGATCTGGTGCTACTAAGTCCAGACGTGGACCGCCATCCCGAGCTTTTGACCAAGTACGTCATGCTCAAGAATAACACCCCCGAAGGGATGTGCAACGGGTGGATCGAAACCACCGTGCTCGCCGGAAAGGTTCGCAGTTGTTGTTGTTAGATTTAATTTTCAGCCAGATGATCCTCATCTTCATCTTACATCTTAGATGATAGATGTAGTGTTTCTTTTTGCATTGTGACCGTTTTGCATCACAAATTGAAGTTTTACTTTTACACAAACTACAAAATGAAAATCTAAAACAAATACAGTCCTGGCCCAAGTACAACCAGTACCGCGACACGCAGGCCCGCGCGGGCAGAACCCCGGACGAGTTCGATGTGTGGATCGAACGACTTGCGGGCCCCAAATGGCGCGGGCAGCTGAAGAGTTATGGGAAGCATGCCGTGACCATGTTTAATAGAGGCGTGGTCCAAGAATACACCCATTTTGGGTTGAGCGTCAGCCAGATGGTCCCCCGCCCGAAGCACAACGATGGACACTTAAAATTCTTCGCTTACAGCAACGTACTGATTTTTTTTCCACTTCCGTTCGAGCATCATTATGAGAGTTTTAATGTGCAAGTGCATGCGCATGCTCATGACAGGCTTCAGGTTTCTCTTTCTCTTGTAGCTACACCTACATGTAGATCACATTCACTTTTGCATACAAAAACAAGCGCAAGCTTTGAGCTTAAGCTTCAAAGTAAAGTTGCAAACTTTAATTTAAATTTTAAAAATCAAAACAGAACGCCCTGTCCTCGATCAACCCGTACACCGACACCATCATCGAGAGTGGAAGTGTCCAGCTTGACATGCACTACGCCGTGAGAGTCATCCTGCAGTTCGCGGCCGGCTGCCAGGCCGACGTCGTCCCGTGGTCTGAGTATCCTTTGCAAAAGCATCACGTCCTTTCTCATAGTGAGCGGATTTCCGCATTACAAATTGCATTGCAAGTAGTTTGTGTATCTTGCCCTGAAACTGCGTGACAGATTGCTATTCTCATGCTGCACAAGATCGCGGCTCAGCTACTGGCACTGCTAGTGCTACTGTAGCAGAGTATAGTCGTGATGCTTTTGTGAAGATTCATAGGACCGTCGAGGAGGACACTTTGACCATGTTGATCAAGACCAACCTGGCCCCGGCCAAAATTCCGGACCGCAGCAACGAGGCCAAGAAGTGCAGGACCAGCGAGGAGATGCAGTTGATCTTGCCCATCAAGGAGCGGAACATCAAGTCCAACGTCGTGTCCCTCTTCAAGGCGATGAAAAAGGTGAAGGACTTCTATTCCAGCAAGAAAGAGACAGGTTTGTCCGAAGAGTCGGACTTGAAAGAAGCCAGTGATCTGGAAAAGAAAGCGAACCCCCAGTACTGGGGTTTGAACTACCAGGGGAACTGGGTTTTGTCCAAGGAGTTCAAGCGCACCCAACAGCAGAAGGCCGACGAAGACTTCCTGCTCACCAACGTGGCCCAGCTGATCAAGACCAAGTACAAGTTCTGTGCGGGGAACCTGGGCTCGTCCGTCCAGTGCCATGTGGTTCCGTTCGACAAGAACATCCCGAAAGCCACGCTCCTGGAGCGGCACATGTACGTGATCGGAAGCCAGAAGGAGTCTTTGTTCATCCACAAGTTGAAGGACGCCTGCCCGAGCGACCACATCGAGCGGCTGACGGAGTGCGTGACGGACGGGACGCTGCTGCTCCCCCTCGTCCCCACCACTGCCGACCCCGCTGGAAAGGTGGACTGCTTCGAGATCGACGAAAGTGTGGACGTCTCCTTGAACTGGAAAGGAAAAGCCGCCGCAGCCGCGAAGAGCGGAAAAGCGCCCGCAGCCGGAAAAGCGAAGAAAGACAAAGCCCAGCCCGCGAACGCGAAAGCCGCGGCCGCTTCGGGAAAAGGAAAAGCTGCCTCCCCCCCGCCCGAGGCAAAAGCTGCAGCTGCGGTAGCTGCGTTGAAGAAGGTATAGTAAATCTAAATAGCAATACAATTACAAATACTATTTCGATTACTAAATCTAAAACTAAATCATAAAGTTAAAGACAAAGACTCAAATGAAAAAGCAAAGTGTAAAATTTAGTTGAGAATACAATTACAAATACTATTTCGATTACTAAATCTAAAACTAAATCATAAAGTTAAAGACAAAGACTCAAATGAAAAAGCAAAGTGTGAAATCTAGTTGAGAATCAGACTCAGTTCAACCTGAGAGAGCGAGAAGGTAGAGTCGACAAGTCGTGTAAGAGAAGTTATTTGCAACTTTGCGAAAAAATCTGTCAGATGAAGTGCGATGCTTTTGTCGAGTGGGTGTCTTGTGCTCCTGGTTTTGTATTTGAGTTTGTGTCTCTCGGTTTTTATGCGCGCATTCGCTGCGCGAATAACATCAACAAGTGCAACTGCCCGCGTGTGTGCGCGCACACCCGCGTACGTGCGGGTACGTGTGCGTGCACACGGGCGTGCGCGCGTGCGCGTACACGCATATGGGCGCGCGCGCGTACGTGCACGCACGCATACGTGCACGCGCGCATACGTGCACGCGCGCATGTGTGCGCGCACGCATACGTGCACGCATGCGTACGTGCACGCGCGCGTACGTCCGCGCACGCGTACGCACACACGCGTGCGTGGGTGCGCGCGTACGCACATGCACACGCGCGCGCACCTACGTACGCATGCACGCACCCGCGCGCACGGATGTGTGCGCGCACATACGCCTGTCCGCGTCTGCGAACAGGTGCGTGCGCGTACAAATGAAGTTCTTGCGTTTTTGTTGCTGCAGGCACAGACTTTTAATACCAAACCAGGAACAAAAGATTGCCACTGAAGTCACCACACTCATCTAACAGAAACTGTCAGCGATTTTGATTTTCAGTGGCGCATCCTCAGCTGCAACACCAACATCCCAAACATAAAATACAAACAAAATCTCACAGAAGGATCCCAATGCTCCGCCGTCCCCGGTGATCGAGAACCAGCTGGGTCTGCCGGACGAGACCGCGGAGGAGAAGTTGAACCGCGATGCCAATCGCCAGCGGTTGGAAAAGGACCCCAAGAAGTGCTCTTTGGAATACCTCTCCGGAAAACAGCCGAAAGCGATGCGCTGGTGCATGTGTGTCCCGTCCGAGTTTTCGCACTTGACCGACCCGGAATTAGATAAGCATCATGAGTTATTACACAAGTTGCGGATATTAGTGAAACCGGACAACACGATGTACGACATCGGTAAAATCGGCGACGGCGTCGACTTCTCCATCGACAAGCTCTTCTTCAACCCCAGCGAGAAGCGGTTCCAAGGAAACTGGCAGTTCCCGAAGGGTGGTCCGCAGGCCCATAGTTTGGGACTCAGGTATTTACTGTTATTTATTTTTTGATGTTCATCTTCATGCTACGTCAACGTCTACTAGCACTAGCACTCGCACTGCAAATCCAAGTTCAAATTTGAGCACGTGTCCAAGTACTAGTAGAAGTGCCGTTACTATTTGCATTTCGATTTCGCTTTTTGTTTTCGGATTCTTGCATGATAGGTAGATGCAGTTCCAATGTTCGCTCGATCTTCATCTTTTGCAAACGAAATTGAAACTGAAAACCAAATCACACTACAGTCACATCAAATATTTTTGGAAGTGCAGTGATGCTTCCAAATGTGACCGCTCCAAAATTATTTTTTGGCGGACCATTACGGAGGAGATGCCATCTTCCGCGGAGAAGAACGCCCCGATGGTGAAGATATCCTTTCAAGTCCCGCTGGAAACAGGAGTCAAGGCGCTCGGCAATAGTAAGAAACAGAAAACGCGATGCTAGAAGTGGAGAGAAGAAAGAAAGTGTAAAGAGAAGTAAAGAAGAAGAAAAAAGTAAAGTGAAGAAAAAAAAGACCCCCAGAGAAGAAAAGGGGAAAGGAAGAAAGGCATTTTTGTTTTTGGTGCTCCTCCAGGTAGTAGGCATGCAATTTTGGAACTGTTTTTTTGGCACAGGTGCAAACACCAACTCCATCACCACAGATACAGAAGTTGATCATGAGAAAAAAAGTGAAACGCTGAAGCATCCTATTTTCGTTTTCCACATGACCAAGATATCTTCATTATCACTATTTCGTGCTTATGCATGTCTCCAAAAAAAAAATCAGGTTTTGCATCCACCGCGCAGCTTCGAATGAGACCTCCTCTGTCGTGAAGCACAAGATGCCTCCGCATGAGAACTCCTCTGTCGTGAAGCATCTGTTGTAGAACGGGAAAGAGACTTGATGTAGTAATTTTGTCAATGTTACGCTAGCACTACTAGTAGCGTTGTTCTTATTTGTGTTTCGCTTTCGCTATCTAGCTTCCAAGAACAAGAAGATGAAAAAAACAAAATAACAATCAAAGCTTCTCTTATGTAAGATTAGCCTGTGGGCAGAGCTAGAAGTCGATTTGCAAGCTACCAAATTTTCACAGTTTTCCTTTGATAGTTTCACCCGTCGTGCAATTTTTGCTTCTCTAGAAACGGAATCTACTTTTTCAACTTCGCTTTTCACTTATTGGAATCAAAATTCGTATGCAGCATCACTATTATTTATTTTTATACCGTATTCTTTGCCTCAGTTTGATTTTCGCTTCCTCTATCGTGTAGTACTGAAGTATGTTCGCCTCGGTTTGATTTTCGCTTCGTAGCCGCACGTAGAATGAAGTATGTTCGCCGAGACGGGAATCGTATGAAAAGTCCCCGCTTCTACATCTAGATCTACTATGAGCTATCTTTTTGTTTTTCGACTGAGCTTTTTTTTGTCGTCGGCCTCCTTGTCCACACTGATTCTAGACATGACGCATCACAGCCAAAGCGTGTGGATTGGAGACTTGACAACAGGCGCCTTTAGTAAGAAGAAGTCCAAGCTCTACACCTGCAGTTGCTTCGTTGCGATTTTCATTTTCTCGCTTCGCTTTGCACAGACATCTACTTCCAGTTGTAGAAGGACCACACTACGTAGAAATAGAAAAGGAAAACCGTAGCGCAAATCTTAGTTATGAATAAAGATGACTCGACTGAGCTTGCACTTGTTCGAAGCTACTTTGCTCCGGTTCTTTTAGTTCAGCGAGCATCTACAACTTCAAAATTTCCTAGAAAGAAAGGAGTATTGAAACTCAAATACAAATTGTAGCTCTAGCACTGATTTGATTTTCATTTTCAACGTCCGTGACCATGTGAGTTGGAGTGTCAATATCTGCTATCTGAGCTTCTGCCGTCCTGTAGTCGCCTGGTTGCGTTTCCCGTAGTTTGCCGCATAGCGTGGCACAACAAAGAAGTAGTACTAGCGAGCATCTACGTGCGTAGTCTCTGACTTCAGGAAGGTATGTTTGTTTATGTCAACCGGTCGCCTTGGTCGGGCAGTGTTGTAGATGTTTCGCATCTGCAGCATTGCTCAACCTAGACCCCTTATGAATGTTTCGCACTCATCATGAAAAAGAACAAGAGCTGGTATTTGGACGCTAGGTTCTACAAATAACGTAGAGACTCAGCCTTGTTCGAAAACTGTCTCACCTCGCGTTGCGCCACTTCAGTTTCTATTTCGTTAGGCGGCGCCTCCCCTTGCCATTTCGCGCCTATTTCTGTGCTATTTGTCCTACGGTTTTCGTGTTTGGTTTTTTGCCTATTTCCTTGCTAATTCTTTGTCTAATTCCTTGTCTAATTTTGTTTCTATTTTTTTGCCTAATTTCCTGTCTATTTTTTTGTCTGATTCCCCGGCCGTGCTTGCCTATTTTTTGTCTAATTTCGGCGACTTTTTTTTTTCGCTGCGAAAACCAATAGCCCGGGAATTAGGCGCGAAATAGGCAAAAAAATAGGCGCGATGCCTCTGTGCCTGGGGGGCCTGGGCTGTTGGCCTTGCGCGTTTGCGCCTTCCTTTTTTTGTTTTTTTCTTTGCCTCCCTGGCGCGGCGGTCATTTGGGTCGCCGGGTTGCGCATGGGCTTCGNTTTCGAAAAGAATACAAAAGTAGCAGGAGGCTTCGTCATAAAACTGGAAGAGCGTTATCGCCATGTTTGTCGCGCGCGTCTGCAAGAAGCCGTACCTGCAGTGCCGCGATTTGATTTTCATTTTCATATCTGTATAGTTCGCAGCGCTCGCAACTATGGCTGCTCATTACATTAGACTACCCCCCATCGAAGCTGTGAATTTCGTTTTCTTTTTGTGGTCAAATCAAAATTAATTTGAGATATGTTCGTAGGCTACCCAATCCGACTTCAGCACCAGCATTGACGCTTTGAGTTTGACACTTCCATTTGACTTTTATTTGCAATATACAAAACGTACTAGTAGAAGCGTTTGATTGATCCATCGTATCGCCGCCGGCTGGCATCAAGGTCACATCTCTCGCTGTGGTCCTTTTTGCACTTTCGGCATAAACCTCCTTTTTATTTGAGTGCTCCGTGTCTTTGTCACTTGCGGAGGCAACGCTTTCGCTACAACTTTTGCTGCTGAGAAGGAAAGGAAGTGCATATCGACAAAACACGAGCACAAGCTACTTGCGCTTTTAAATGTAGTTTCATTCGCAAGATGGTTTTCAATCTGATAACCGCTTCGCCTGAATACAAGCACCGGTCATCTAGTAGCTTTGTGGTGAGTGCTATCGTGCGCGCACGTCCTCGACCGGATTGCGATCCGCGTCGGAGCGTCAGTGCCGGTATCATATTCTCACCACCGTGAACTACTTTAAGCACTACCCCGGACGTCGACGTTTTCATTCGTCACTGCCCCCCGGCAATTTCGGAAATCACTCTGATAACCTAGTCACGCTGCGAGTGATGCACACTGAATGAGAACTGAGTCTGAAACTGCTTTGCTTCTACCCGAAACAACTTTCGCTCTACCCATGAAATTAAAACATGCGTGTTTGTACCAACATTCAAAATGAAAATAGGACGCCCACACAGCTGCAGGGCCGTCGATAGGTGCGAAGCATTACAGCAGTGTCCGTAGTGCTGCCAGTAACGGTGTTCAGGTTCTTCTCCCTTCGAGAGGTCCATTAGTTGAAATCATCATACAGAATCAGTATCAGAATAAAGATCAACAGGAAGATGACTATCATAACCAAGAGCAACGCGTTACATCTTCCTTGAGTTTGAGTTTCCAGATGTAGTAGCCGGCGAGAGTCGTAATATGTATCTGAGTCACCATCTCGTTCTCGATGAGTGTCGAGCTTTTCGCTTTCCTTCGTCGTCTTCTGGTTTACATGGAGCATGTGAGATGTGACGTCGGTGGATGCACCAAAAATAAAGAAGCGTGTAGCTCAGGGGCAGCAAAGAGAGAAGCACTTTCTCCGTCTGTCTCGATCCAGTGTAGATCTAGGCCCACATCCGCTTTGATTTCGTGTCCGACCTCTTCTGCCAAAAAAAAATGTCCGTGAGGAGAGGACATGGTGACGCAGTCGTCCCGCAACTTCAAGAGGACATGTTGATGCAGCCGTCCCGCAACGCTTCGGAGCTCGTCGCCGTGAGGGGAAAAACTTTCAACGATAAGTACTACTTCGGGCAGCCGCTCTGCAGCATGGTCCTCCCGTAAAACCGTGACGCATTGCCGCCCATCGCAACGTCATCCGTTCTTATGTTTTGTTATTGCTGTTTTACTTTTAGTTTTAGTTTTACTTTAGCTTGAAGCTTTCACTATTGCAGGGCTGCTTGGTCTTATGCAACATAGTAAGTCTCAACTGTGCGCATGATCTTACTGATTTTAGTTTCAATTTAGTATTGGTTCTGCATGACAGCCTTGTTATCTTGGTCGACTTCCCATTCTCCAAGCTGAGAAGTAAGATGTGTCTGCAAATCGCCCTGAGCTCGTATCAACAGCAATGGCAAAAGAGAACGATCGCGGTAGCGATGGGTGGCGTTTTTGTTTTTGATACCCGTTCGCCCCACGGTCCCGCGTACTACACGAAAGTCGCGATCCCCTACAAGTCGCGGGCAAAACGCTTCAAGTCGGAGGACTACGAAAAGTGGGAGTTGCGGGAGGATGACACCCACTGGGAGAACTATCGCATCCTGCCTGCGATTGGCGAAAAGTGGGCCAGCGTCGAGCGCGTGGTGCGGGTACTTCAGCTTCTACTTTAACTTTAGTCTTTTGGTAAATAAATTGCGCGCGTACCTAGTGCTCCGGTTATGTTGAGGCACATCTACATCTGGGAGCGTCCTCGACTCTTTCGTGTACATCTCAGACCTACAATCAAAACCACCGCAATCATTGACACAGATTCCCAAGGCGGAGTGGCCGGGGACCCCGGATGGCTGGCTGCAGCCGCTGGTCGCCGTGGCCCCGACGAAGGCCCCGACGAAGCGGAAGGCGGACACACCCGTAGCCGGGCCCGCGCGACGACGACCCCGTCGCGACGTGCCTATCTGATGACCCGCAGCTGGTTGCATCCGCAGTCTGTCGCGATTCTGCGTCAGCTATGTCGCGCATCGCCTAAAGAAGAACAAAGACAGATGGGCGTGACGGATATGAGAGGCGAAACAGGAGATGCTAATAGATCTAGATGTGCTTTTGGTTTTGCTTTTGCACAAGTACAAGCAGACGTAGAATAGGACGGCAGAAATTGAAATCATGAAAAAGCCAGTATGAAGAACAACAAACGTAGAACCAAGACCAACGAAATGGCTTCAGATAGAACATTGAACAGAGTTTGTATCTTCTAGGCCCTAACCCAAATCCAAACCTACGCTCCGGGGCCGCGCAAAAGTTCCTCCTACTTATGCCCGTTTTCCAACAATTCAACAAGCCACTGAGATGATAAAAATGATCAGCGTTGCAGCGTGTAGAGACAGGTTCGAAATGAGCTCGCAGCTGTTGAGGTCGTAGCTCAAAACGCACTGAGGCAAAGACAACGGAAGACAGGCCTTTTCATTATCAAGAAGAGCTCACCGCCCTACGGATCTGCTACAGAAAGCAAGAAGAAGAATGTTCCTAACCAAGTCGCTTCCATGGCAGTAAAAGCGTGTAGAAGGGCCAAAGTGATTCGCTGTCCCAGATCACCCGGCTGACCATCATCGATCAAAATCAACAACTGATCAGCTTTATGGTAGTCACTAAAGATAATTGAAATTCTGCGAGTATGCGTCTTTTCGTTGCGGGGGAGTGGGCATCCCAATGTACATCAACACCCACTTATTCGCTTGCGTTCAATTGTTAAAATCGGTAACCGGAGTACCTAGCTAGAATAAACCAAACAGATTTGCAGGCGTTAAGAGCCGAGAGTCGGTTAGATACGAAGTTCGCAATTTGGATATCAATAGTAAAATCTAGCTATTTTTATAGCTATCGAAATCCGGAATTAAGAGGTTTTGTCCGACCATATGATTGGTGGATTTTGGAGTAAAATGAATCCACGATGTATGATCATCTCAGGGCCGACCTGTCGAGCAAGCCGGCTATTGATTTCACCTGGTTGAGTTACCTGATTTCGCTCATTGTGTGCGACCTGAGCACCTGGGCCGTTATCACCGTTTACGTCCACCTGCGAGGGGTAAAGTCGTGGACCGAAACGCTGTCGCAATTCCAGGATTTGTTCGCCTGGGATGAGTATCCTGTGCAAAAGTATCGTACTCGTACTAATTGCAATCATGCATGACAAATCTTGTTTCTTAGCGAAATCAGCATTACAAATTCCATTTTTCCTTCTGGGAAAATTTGTATTGCGATTTATACTAGTACGATACTTTTGCGATGCATAATGAGGACGTGATTTTCCGCATGTTTTGGGGCAACGGCCTGTACTTCTCCTTTTTGATGATGTCCATGATGGTGTCCGGCCACAACATAGGCATTGCAAATATGTCTGGGTCAGGAAGAATGCAAACTTGTGATGCGCATTGCACAACACAGAAAAATCTCGCATGCATAGACAGCGAAAGCTGCCCACTTTCTGTCACCAAAAAAATCGGGCATTCGTGATGCAGATTCGGCGTTGCGGAGGCTTCTGGAAATAGCCTGTGTCATGCAAAAGCAGCATGCTGACTCTTCCAGACCCAGACATTTTTGCATTTTATACAACACCTCGCGATTACAGCACATCACCGGTGTCGACACACTGACGTTTCACCATGTCAAGGAGGTGTGCAGCGGACACTTTTAGGTGGCTGATACGAATAAAGTAAAAAAAGTGATAAAATGATGCAACGACGTTACCGAGCGGGAGACGAGGATTGCCTACCGGGAAGTAGAACACAGACGATTCCCGTGTGAAGAAGTGCAAGGCGCAAAAAACCAAAATTCAGTCAGGCATTATCATTATAACAAAGTGTATTCTCAAGTGCACAAGCACGGATAGTCCCTTCCATGCATTTTCTTTTACAGTGAGTTGACATCAAGTAGTGAACAGCATTTTCAAGACCACGAGAGAATGAGCCGTCCGCAATCTTCTCATTTCGTGAAAACGCGGGCTGTGCTGGGAAAATCGAGTTGCGATATAAAATGGCGAACTCTTCCAGCACAGAAATGAGTTCCAGCGGGAGTAAAACAATAAACTTTTTTCTTGACTAAATCTAACTAAGACAAGCACAGAAAGTATCACTTCCGACGTTGCAATCTTGATTCAATATGAACGAGTGGCTAGCATATAAAAGCGACATCTGTATGTTAGGCACGGAAAGGGAATACTCCGTAAAGAAAGAGACATTTACAAGAACAGGAAAAATCACACGGATATGCATAGCACAGGTTCTCGTGCAAGATGCTTGTACAACGCATAATTATAAATCATTATTTCAAATATGAATTTCACATAGCGGAAAAAGGGATACTACAATTGCTTCGTAAGCTCAGGAAGCTAACGCGCACCCGAATCCGCTTGAACGACGGAGTGCCGCATAATTCCTGGGAAAAAGACGACCTCCCTGGAGGCGTACCGCTGTTCGATTTGTCAAATAAGTACAAGCTTTTTCTCTGCGTCGGTGGCTAGCAGACCTAGTTTCTTTGCTTGATCATGCTGTATTACGCTGATCTTTCTGTTTGGGAACCCGTCGGAGCCTCATTTTCGAACAATGTTAGATGTTGTCGTTATTTTTGATTAATCATTCGTGAAAAAGTCGTTATTCGGGGTCGTTTTTGTGGGGGGTATTCTTTGGTTTTATCGTTTCCCTTTTTCGCTGCCATGGCCAGGAAAGCGCACTGACAAATTTGATTCTGGAATCCGCTTCGGCTTGCTTGAGGCTCTATCACTATCCTTTCCGAAAAAAGTACAGCCGGCGCTGCTATCGGCGAGCGTATAATCCGTCAGTAAAGACCAGTACCCACCAGGTCTCCCGGTATCGGTATGGTGTCGGTCTTTGCGGCTGGCGCTGTCATGTGATATGAAATGCGTAGAGCTAGTACACCTGGTCACACATCATACGTAGTGTCTTGCTACGCCAGCTTTTTTCGAGCGACTTGTATCAGTTTGGTTTTTCGGCAGTACGGTACCAACAGATGCCCTCGTCTTCGATCACTTTTGCTGCCGTAGAGCGGCAGCCGGGCAACATTCCGTCTCCTCCGGATGCGGAGACGCGGATAAAGATCGTGAAAGTGGGTGAGTGGATTGTCGAGAAGCTGAATTGCGGGTTCGAATGGGAATTCCAGGCCTGGGAAGCGCATTTGAGGAAGGAATACCTTGCGAAAGACTACCCGTTGACGGTAGTGAGAGGAACGCCGGGCGAGAAAATTCAGCTTACCGCTGACGTTCTGGAAAAGGCCATGACCTACGCCAAGACGATGGCCGGCACGGCGGGTGGAGGGAGCACCAGCAGTCTTTTCAACAGACACTCAGGCTCGTCCTCAAGTAGCAAGGAAATCCCGGGCGCAGGAACAGGAGGAAGACAAGCCATGCTCGCACAAACTGGCGGCTCGAGCAGTACGGAGGGCTGCGAAAAGGAAAAGCAACCTTCCGCTGGCGGCAAGTACACCGTAGATAAGCGGGACCACGTCCACGATCATAGCGGCCGCGAAGGTCGCGACCAACTTAGCAGCAAGCGTTTTTTAATCGGAAGCAAAACCAAGACAAGAGTAAAAGAGGACACGTCCTCTCCCAGCGCCAGCTCCGAGTCTGAAGCGTCATCATCGAGTTCGAGTGACACCAGTAGTGACAGCGAAAGCTTGAGCAGCTCGTCAAGCAGCTCGTCAAGCAGTGTGCGAATCAAAAGGCAGACCAACCGTTTGAAAATCAAGAGAAACTACAACAAGCGTGAAGAAACTCGGAAGACCGACAGAGGTAGGCAAAAAGGGACGATAGCCAGTGAAAAAAATGCGAAAAAATTTCGGGAACGAAGTCCAAAACGGAAGCCATTAAGAGACAAAGACCGAGATGATCGCAGGTACAGCTGTACTTTGGTCGAGTCACGCTCAACATTTTTAAAAGCCAAGCAGTACTAAATTTGAGGTCAGGACCAGTTTAAAGCTTTACCAGGCAGTTTCTGTAGTAGCAGCGTGCGAGCGACTCAGGCCAAAGTCAAAAAGCAAGCGCAAAAGCCTTTTTATCTTTTTTCTCCTTATCGCTTTTTTCTAGTTACACAACGTCCCTACCGCCGCTTTCGAGCGAGCATTTGTAAACTTACTCTTTATGAGTATTTACAAAAAACTATCTGATCTGATCTGATCATGCTTCTGCGCATCATGTACCTGTTTGATGAAAAGCAAAACATCATATCGACACAGGTACGACCAGAGGCATCGCAAAGTTTCTGGACGTACCGACAAGGGGCCGAACCGCCTTCGGAGGTAGGGATAGCGGAAGCCCCGTAAATGAACCACCGGAGTTCCGAAAAATGCGGCAACATAATTTGGGAATGGCTTCTCGTGCTTGTCACCACACTTTGTGCAGCGTCGTGCATGTACGTCACCGTGGCAGAACGATTAGTGAGCTTCATTTTCCTGATCATTTCAATTTCGTCACTGTCAAGAACATAGAGTCGTATTTCTGCACTACGTAGCACATCAAGAGCATTCATATTTTTGAATTTTGTCATTGGTCAAAAGCGATGCAGATACAACTTTTTTCATATGTCTTGGTCAACATGTTGACGTTTTTATGATGGGTTTCGTTTCTCAATTCTCTACCTGAGCAGTGAAAAGAACGGCGACTGGCACAGTCACCACACCCGTAATCAGTGCCGTCATGTTGGTCTGTTTTTTTCTGTGCGCTTTTACATGTGGAAGTTCTTCATCAATGCGAATTGCACCCTGAACTGCGGAGAAACATCAAAGACCGAGAGTGCCGCAGAGGCTAGGAGAGTAGTAATCAAAGTAGGTGGAGCGTGGTCGTACGATTTACGAGTTAGCGGCACTACAGAGAGAATGCTGTTGTATGAAATCGTCGACGATGCTGATGCAGCAAAAAGTTCAACCTCTCAACGGACGCGTCGGTGGTCACCATTACTGGATTTGGGTCCCGTGCGCCCGCGGATTCCGTCGCCATGTCGCGCTGTTGCCGCGGATACAAACCGAGACGGGAAGATGCTGACGACGACGAGGCAGATTCCTCCGATGGTGCGATTGAAGAAATCCAAGGCTGTGACATCTTTCGCCACTGTCCCGCGCTGGGCTTACGCTGCGTAACCATCCCCGCCAAGCTGGATGGAATCACCCTGGGCGCGTGGCCGTACGTGGGTTTCGCCACCCGCGCCGTCACTTCTACTGGGCGCACCTGCAACGCCCAACTAACCGCGGCGTCCTTTTCCGAACTCAAGGGGAAAAACAAAACGCAGGTGGCGTTCATCATGCGGGAAAGTCGCGAGGCCATAAGCATGCCCAAGGCCGACACAAAGTTTCACACCGGCGATCGTGTGCTCCTTTTCTTCGATCCCGCCGACGAGCCAGCGGAATCCTGGTGGACGGAGGTTTTTGAAGAAAAGGGCATCCAAACATTTCCAGATCGTGAGCGGGAACATCAAACATTCAGCATTGACCAGTTGGCTTTCTGTCGTGTCACCTACCAAGGCGCGCCAGCAGTTTTGGGCCCCGCCGTCTTCCTGCCGCCCGCCGACGAGAACGTGCGGGAGTTTCTAGATTTGCGAGCGACGCTCGGACTCGGCTGCATTGCGGTACAAGAAACGACGAAGGGTACTAGCCGTACTTCTGACATTGCCACAAACGGCACCAAGTATGCGGGGCCAAAGACGGTCGTGTACGAACGCGATTCGCTTTTCTTTGTCAATGTCGCGAGCGAGTCAAGTAGGTTGCTAAGGGCGAAGCGCTGCCACTTGTTCCGGAAATTGTTGCGGAATCCGGAGACGATCCTGCCAAGACCGCTGCACGTGCCGTATAATCTTTCCGAGGAGGTAAGGCAACTAGTCGATCTGGAGCCAGCTCTGCCAGAAGCGTTGCTCCAAGAAATCAGGGTCCTGCGACAGCTCCATGAGCTCGTGAAGATGAAACAGCAAGTCACATGGCGCTGCCACGTCACAGGAACGACGACCGCTGTTTCACTTACTACATCTAGTACACACTGCAGCTCTGCAGCGAAGGCAACTGGAATGCAACCAACTCCAACTCCAACCCCCGGCGGTCCTCCTGCTACCCTCCAATTGGAACTGCCGCTGGCGAAACTGGTCTGCGTTTTCGAACCCAGACTCCAGTACTGGTACCAATCCTGGCAGGAAAAGATCCCGGATTTGCTGCGCCCCCTGCTGAGCCCCGATTACGGTGAGAGTTTTGCGGATCTCGTCCGATTTCTCCGGAACGGTTTGGAACACATCACGCACCAAGGCAGCGAACAAGTACGGCGTGAACTTCTCCGCTGGTGCCCCTGCCCGCGCAAGTGGCAGCAGGTGCAGGAGCCCAGCAAGGAAACCATGGAGGTGCTGTTTCTCTTGCGGCTGCTTGCAGAAGACAACGAAATGTTCCGGCTGCTGCCTCTGGTGTGCAAACAGGTTCTGGAGGTTGTAGGGAGATTGTGCGCAGGATCACACAACTTCTTGTGCGCGGAAAATAGTACTAGTACCTGTTCCGAGTTGTACATCGCAGAGCTTTTGCAGCAAACTGGCGGCGAAGTACGGGACGCGATTCGAGAGCCAGGTCTCTTCTTTCTCATTAAGTTGCTCTCGTCCGATGCAGATGTAACCGCGGTCGCCATCATTTTGGAGAGCTTTCCCAATCTACTGGAACTACGGAACGCGTATGGCGAGACCGTTGCAGCGTATTTGCGTTCGTGCATCAGCTACTATGGGAATGATGCGCGAGGAAAGTATACAGATCAACATCCCGTCAATGCAACAGGTTCGTCGTCAGACGAGAATTATGTTAGTCTTCTGGAACGTCTTCAACACCGGCTTTTCAACTCTGAGGAGCTCGCAAATACCACTGGAGGTCTTTTTCCAGATCAGGACTGCGATGAAGAAACGCCTAGTAAACGGCGGAAGCTGTAGTTGCGCACAACTGTTGTGCGAGTGCCGTCCCCGTCGAAAGACGAAAATTGGTTGAGACGGTGGGCCACCCTGGCATAGGTCGTACTCATAACATACAAAGCCAAACCTTCACATGAACCGAACCCACTTCAGCGCCGGTCAGTTTCACGGATGCAAGAATGTCCCTCGTGTTGAATTGCGATTGCGAAAAACATGTGATCAAAAAATCCTTCGACATAGAAGCTTCGAATTATTTGACTTTTGAACAACTTCTCAAAAACTTTGGTTTGGATTTTACGCAGTCATCAGAAAACTTTAACGCCGACTTTGAAACTTTTACAGTGAACAAAAGGCTAAAAAAGCAAAAACCGAAACAAACCGATCAAAGAGTCGCGATCTTCATTTTTATCACGATATTTTTTTCAGCAGGCTCGTTTCTGGGTGAGGTAGAGCTGCTGTCAGCTACGTCTTTTTTCAGCGGGTTTTTCGCAACAGACGGTTTTTATTAAAGTAGCGCTAGAAGAAAAAGGTGTGTAAACCTAAACGCGTTCCCACCTTAACGAAAGCAAACAAACAAGCTTCAGCTTTCCGTAAGGGCATGGACCTGTGAGTCCACAGCGGTGGAGAGGACTGGAGGTGCCTGGATGATCTGGTAGAGACAGAATGCAATACGTGGCAGCTGCTGGAGCCCTTGCGTTCGTTGTATTAACGAGCCGCAAGAAAGACGTACGCCTGGTGACGAACGGCGAGTTCACGTTTTGGGCGAACTACGAAGCAACAGGCGGCCGCGATGTGGTGGAGGCGGTCAGGAAGTTTCTTCGTCGATTGAATGAAAATGTCGCGCACCCTTTCCGCGCGTGTGCCTTCCTCGTCGGATCTCGATGCAAGAATGTCTGCGTTCCGGATTCCGATGCGGACGTTAAGATCCAATTTCAAGGTTCCGGATATCGGGGGACGGTCGGAAAGGAAATCGACCGGTCCACCTGGGAATCGTTCGGGCATTATCTGGGACAAGAATTCAACACCTTTTGGACAACAAAGGTTCGTCAGGCGAAAGACGGATGCATTTACGTTGTCGACTTCGAGTACAACGGCGTCCGGTTGTCTATTGATGTGGGACCAATGTGCGCAAGTTTTTTGCCGTCCGACTGGTCTACTACTCGGACTTCGTACACGGGTGAAAAGCAGGCGGCTATTCGCGGGATCAAGAAGCATAGAGAATTCCGCGGCAGTGGAATAGATGCAGAACGTTGCATTAATCAAGTAGCGTCATGCTACATTGATGACGCGCTGGGCCTGTACATGAAGGGCTGCAGACTTTTGGACCTCAGTCCAGAATTCGAAAGGGCATAGGAAGAAGTGTCATCCTCAATCTCATTTCAGAAGTTGTTGTACTTCTCTCATTCTCAGTTATTGTTGTACTTCTCTCATACTCATTCTCATTCATTGCAGACGTTCTTTAAGTGGCTGGCTTTGAAAACTAAAGAACCATATCGATGTGATACTGTGCCAGCGGAATTTGCATTTGCTTGTAGGCCCAGACTCCCATTTTTCCACAGGAGATGTTGACCAAAGTAGATGGATTCGCACACCTCGTGCTCGTGCCGCGCCGTTCACGCTCTCGGGAAATTGTCGCATTGATGTCATAGCTTTGATTTAGGGTCCTCGCTCTATGCATAGTAAACTTCGTTATCGTTTGCAGCTAATTTGGGCCGTTGATCTCTCACTTCTGTAGTGCTTGGCCGACTTATTGACAGTATAGGTGGTCAGCCTCAGGGCCGGAGGGACACTGACTTGAGCGTCGCATGAGTGGGTGAGAGAGGAGTGTTCTAGATCAAGGCAATTGGGATTGTTCTTCATCATTTCCCATCAATCGACAAGAAGAAGCAACGCAAAAGGGACTGCAGAAATTCTACAAGCAATTACTATTCTAACTTAGAGTCAGAAATCAGAGAGAGGTAAAGTAAGTCTAGTTGCACAAAAAGATGCCGGCACTCGTAGCGAACACCAGCAACCTGGACCCTGCGGTGCTGAAAGAGCCCAAAAAGGCGGACAAGAAGTGCGCCGAGCGAGGTTGTAGAAAGAAAGCAGTTGCAGGAACCACGAAATGCAAAGGCGCTTGCCGGTACTGAATTACGTAGGGGTTTGAGCTACTGAGATAGTAAGTTTTTATGTTTTTATTTTTTGCATTCGGATTCGGCTGACGGCTGTTGCTGTTCCTGTTTCGTGCACGATATTCTAGCAGTCTTTCAAGAGCAGCGTAACCCTGCAAGAAGATCGCTGATGCAGGAGTTTGACGATAACATATTCCTGTTCCAAACAATTGCGAAAAAGGTTTAAGTGCAGGACGAAGGGGTGCAGCAAGCTTGCGCGTCCTCTGAACACCAAGGGCACGAGCTACGACGATTTCTGTGCAGACTGTGCTACAAACTCACCCTCGTGCATCGACACTGCTTTTCCCACGACGTGCCTCCCGGTGTCCGACGACCAGAACGATGAACAGGGTCTTCATGTGCCGTTTCCGGGCTGGCACAACAGATCCTGTGCGTCGTGCAAGTCTGTGATGCAGCTGCCCGTGGGCGATTTCCGCGCCAGGTGCCAGTCGTGCATGTTCATGACGGCCCACAGTTTCTGCAAGGAAAAGGTATCAAATGTAAAAATGTCTGGGTCTGGAAGAGAGCCAGACTTGTCATGCAGATTTTACATGACATATGACGTCTGTAATGCATAACCTTTCAAATGCTTTTATCGTTGTAACTCTCATAACCTGGCATCACAGATTTTTAGTGGGCTTTCTGATGCCTACCGCGCATGAGAAATACCCTCTCCATGGAGCACAAACTGGACCCCTCTTGCTCGTTATGCAATACAGATTTTTTTAGAATGCAGAGACAGCATCACAAGTTCCAATCTTCCAGACCCAGACATTTTTGCATTTGATAAAAGGGCTGCTTTAACAAGATCACACAGTACCGGTACCAACTGGATGCGGGCGAACCGACGTGGAAGTACTGTCCGGACCACCGTTACAACTACTGCCTGACGCCAGGGTGCTATTGCAAGAAAAAAGTGTTATTGTGGTATACACAAAGTGTTGTTCGTGTTGCATGACCGGCAAGACAAACGAGATGGACAACCTTCGTCTTGCGAGCCTCGTTTCATGCGTATTTTCCTTTCTTATCTTCGCTGCAATGCAAGTTTGTCTCGTCTGAGTCTGTGTCTGTCGTGCAGAGAACGTTTGTGATATGCAGAGCTAGTTTGTGTTGCTGAAGCTGCAAAAAATGTGTCACTTTAACACTTTTTTCTTGGGATAGAGGCAAGACGGTGTGTCCGCAAAATACCACCTGCGCCAAGTGTCTGACAAAAAAGTGGTACGAGCAGCTTAATCAAGCAGCGCAGGAGTTTCGTAACTGTTCGAAAAAGCAGTCGTGGTAGACCTGCTGGGGGGCAGCGATAGAGTAAGTAGCTAGATTCACGATTTTTTGAAATGACCATGAGGTTTTGACCTCGTTTGTATACCTGAAAGTGGCAGTGTCATGGAATAGTGACTTGCAATTCCCCGGGGCACTATGATCAATGTCTTACACTCACACTGCTAAGAAGTCAGCCCGGGTAGAGCTACCATTTCAATTTTCCCGTGGTTTGTCGCATGCTCTTACAAAAATCTGAGTCAGATTTCGGTCGAACCCTTTTCGTGAAGGTTCCGTTCCCTAGAAATAATAAACAGTTGCGGTCAGACTACCTGATTCATCGTATTCCTCGAGTATTGGTGAAGGCATTGATTTCCATTGGTCTTTGTACAATTCAAGATATGTCAACTTGTACCCAATGCTGATGCTGAACTGGTTTTGATTTTCCTATCCGACCTGGATATTTCAAGAGGCGCAGAGAAAAATAATTTGTTGGATTCACAGCTTACAGTTACACGTTACAGAAGAAAGAGAAACACAAACGCGCAAATAGAAAGAGCGTTGCTAGTGTTTTACTTCTGTCGTGGAACAAGATCTGCTCTCGTAATTTGAAGCGGTCTTTGACAGGCTCTTGCGCTCTCGAATCGCATGCGCGTCCAGAGAAAACTTGCTTACTCGAGAGTGGTCGGCACGATGTCGTTGTCCCTTTGCAGGTACTCGAATCATGGAGGATGTGAAGCTTCGCTCGTGCTTCTTGCGTTTTATTTGTGATTGAGGCTACTTGGGAAAAGGAACTTTTTCTTCGTTGGAGTTAGCTATCGAAACTACGACACGTACCCATGTACTTGTAAAGTTAGCCGCGTTGAATAAAGTTAGACTTACAGCCACCAGCTGCGAGAACCGTTTATTTTCATCATGGCCGCTACCCACGTCGGCACTGCGGCGGCCGCTAAGGCACTGTCGGGGCAGCACATGGCGGAGTTGTACCACTGGTACGATCCAGTACCCCTGCCTCCGCCCTCCCGCGGGTCGTACCACGGCGTAAATGGGAGGACGCTGAAAGTTGTCTACCCCGGACACACGGATCTGGTCTGGTCCACCAACTTCAACGACGAATACGCCCCGTACCTCGTCTGCGACCGCTACAGCTACTGGTGGAAGAAGTTGCCGAAGATGCTGCGCGGCATGCTGATGAAAAGCTTTGGGATGCACCCGGAGTTCATTTTCTCCAAAGCGATCGACAAGGTGACCGTGACCATTCTGGAGGGGACGAAGTTCTCGCACATGGAGAGCAAAGCGGCCAAGGACCACATGAAAAAGCGGAAGGTTTTGTGGAACGCGACGTTTTCCATGCTGGGCGGCAATCACATCCTGCCCACCGCGTCCTCCCCGCCCTTCACGAAGTTCTGCGACGCGCCGCCGCACCACGTTTGGAACGGCGGGAACATCGGGAAGTGGAACGAGGGCCACAAACAGCCCTCCCTGGTAAGCTTCTTCGACGTGAAGCTGGACGGCTACACGATGGACGGCAACGACTTTCACGAGGACATGCGGGTGATGCTGGACCGGCGGCACAACGGGCAGGGCATTCTAGACTACCAACCGGCGGACACGGTCCGGCAGATGCAGCAGAATCTGTACATGAAAACCGGCCCGGCACTGCAGGCCGCGAAGGCGCAGAACTACATCACGAGAATGACCGGCGCGGCGAAGGAACTGAAGCAAAACACGATGGGAGTGTAGTAGTTGCAGTACGCTTGTTGATCATCATGTGTGAAAATCATGATGTTGGCAACAGTATATTCGTCAACCAAGTATTCAGTACGATCAATCCAAAAAAATGCGCTTTTTTGTACAATCGCGTTTCTACTACTACTTCATTCACGTTGCAGGCCTTTTTTGATTTTGAACGAACCTATTGATTCAAACGAAATGCAACGTCATTGTTTTTGTTTTCAAAAATGGAGACTCATGCAAAGGTAAAGGATGGACACGACCAGCAACGAGTTAGTTTCGTAGAAACAACAAACAATCTCGAACTGAAAGGAGTGCGACGGGAGTAGGTACCAGTAAACGTATTTTGCAGGTGGATACGCACGCATTTCAGCCAGGGGTCAGAAGAAGAAAATGCTGCAGAGGAATACAGTAAAGAGAACCAAACAAGACCGTCGTTCTCTATCTCCTCGCTCTTGTTCAGAGCGACCTAGAAGTAGAAGTTGTATGTGTCAAAGATCCATGAGAATGAGTGTGGTTTTCTACTTCAAGCGCCAAACAAATAGGGTTGCTTTTGCGAGTGACGGTTCAAACCGGCATGCCCCTTAACGAGAGATGCGCAGAAGAAGGATACTTGTGCCCCCTGTGTGAAGAAGTACAAAGTAGACACTCGGCTACTTCTGATAGATATTTTTCCGAGCAGCAAGGCACGGAAGATACAGTAATACTATACCAACATCAGCAAAAAGAAAATTATACAACATGAAGCCTATCACGCCTCTGCTTCTCGTCGGAGCGGCAGATTTTTACGTTTCCGCTGCGACGCCGCCCGGTGGTCCGAAACTCAAATTGGCAGTGGATGAAGACGATTCTTTCGTGGCTGTTTACGAAAACTTCGTCTCTCCCGCCGAGGCCACTCACGTCGCGAAACTGGCAAAGAAGATGGGTTTTCACCATTCGTCCAAGGTCGAGGAACCAGCGCGGGTCACCTTCCTGCCCTTCGACGGGAAGCCCATCAGCTACGAGACGCCCGAAGGGGACATCGATTTCGATCCCAGCGACGTGCTCAGGACCGAAGAGGATGTGCTGCTGTTGGAGAAGGTAACAAGGAAAGTTGGAGTCTAAGCTTCCTTTCGTCTGTTTTTGTTTTGTGTGATTTTGATATCACTATCGTGTGCCCCACTTCGTCTTTTTTTCCCACGCTTCAACAGCGCAGCTAGTTTTCATTTTTAGAAATAGCACGCCCCAACAAGTACTCCGTCCACGACGACACAACGCTAGGTCGCGAACATGAGTGCGTCCGCCTTTACCAAGCACCTGGGCTTGAAGTGGAACAGCACTTCCGACGCGCAACCCCGCGTGAAAGTGTTCAAGCCGCTGACAAAACACGAGGACGCGCATATCATTTGTAAAAGCGTCCCTACACGAGAGTCAAGATGGGAAATCTGCTAGACAAATCAGCCAGCTTTGGTCGTTTGGCATGACAAATCTTTCCTCGTAGGGTGATCCTGTTTCGGGAGTTCAGCAGCACCACAGATCTAGCATGTCATGCTGATTATAGCATCACAAATTCCAAACACGACTAGAGAATGCCTCTCATGGCGCTCTGCATGACAAAACTCTGGGGTGGGGACCTTTTTACTCAGGATAGCGCACCTGGACAGCCACCTGCAGCCACATGTCACCGGGACCACGCTGTTTGCGGTCGGGAAGGCGGACGAGGTCGAGGATGTTTACAACTCCGAAGAGGAGAATAATAAAAGTCCTTCCGTTGCGGAGAAAACCAAGGCCGCGTTTCGGGCGACCGCGAACAAGAAAAAGTCGAAGTCCGCGGTCCCCACCCTGCTGTTCCCCTGCGTCGAGACGGAGGATTTTGAGACCCGGGAGTGGAACTTTCGGCGCAAGGTGTGCGTATCAAATGTAAAAATGTCTGGGTCTGGAAGAATGCAAGATTTGTGATGCAGGTTTTCCGTGACCCATGAGGTCTGGAATGCGAGACCCAGCATGACAGATTCTGTGAGGTCTCTATCATGCCTTTCCTGCATGAGAAACTCCCTCTCAACTTGGTCAAAAGCGGACAGCTTTTGGCACGCACGCAACACAGATCTTTGCATCATTTAGATTTAGCATGACAAGTTCTAATCTTCCAGACCCAGACATTTTTGCAATCCATAGTGCGAGACGGCGTACCACACACTGAACGGGGCGCACACGATATCCAAGAAAATAACGTTGTTAGTGTAACTTTCTTTGGCTGGCAGCATCACAAATTTGCTCTACATGACAGGAGAGAAAACCTGTCATGCGCGGCTTGTAAGGGGAAATACACATGAAAAAAGGACTTCATGGCTGTCTAGCATGACAGGCGTAACTATGTTGCATGTTCTGCATTACATACACAGTTTTTTTCTTGGATACACGAAGCTGCTGCAGCGGCTGCAGTACGGGATCAACCACGAGTCCGAGACGACCAGGATGCAGTACCTGGAGGACCACCCGGAACTCAGCGTGTTCCAGTCCGTCTTTACCGAGGAGGAGGCGAGCGGGTTGCGCCGCTGGAACTGGCAGTGGACGGAAAGCGAGGAGAAAAACCTGAAGGAACACCTGAAACGCGACGGGCTACAGGTGGTGGTGCGGGAAATGTGCAAACTGCAACTGTCCTCGTCGTCGGGGAGCGGAGCGGCGGACGAGGCGTATCCGGGGTATAATTTTGTGCGTTGGAAATAGTGATGGGAAAAGCCCGTGTGGGTGTTCGTGTGGGGCTGTCTTCATGTTTTCTCTTTTGACTCCGCTCTTGAACTAAGAGCGGATTCTGTATAAATGATACAGAGTCAGACCAGAAGTTAGACTTCGAGAAATCGATTCCTTCACTCAGGGCCTCGAAGGGGCTAGCCGTGCCGCTCGAGGCGGGCACCGCGGTGCATTTCCTCTCGCAGCGGATTCCGTCCACCAAGCGCGACCCGGTCGTGGAGCGGATGGGCTGGCACGCGATCTGCTCGCCGAAGAAAAACGGGTTCATGCTGGCGGAGCTGAAGTTCGAGGCCCGTCCGGCGGTGCTGAAGGAGTGGAAAAAGATCGAGCGGGTGTCGTCCGGAAAGAAGGATGACAAGGGCGACGAAGGCGACCTGGACGACGATGACGAGGTGTGGGAGTAAGTCCCAGAATCGACCACGGAAGTTCGAATTCATTCTCGCTTGCGTTCGGAACAAAAAGGGCGCACGAAATATTTTTTCAATTACGCGAACCAACTTTTTCTGGTACTTGTATACCTCCTCATTCTAATATGCCCGCGGTCAGGATGTTTCCAGTTTTTATTGATAGAGTTGCAACTTTCAACATAGCACCGCAGCATAGCTTTTTTTTTGTCTGTGGATTTGTTTTTGCAGACTTTGTGGAAGGATGGAGCAGGGTGAGTATAGATACTACACGTCATGAAATGCCATACATAGATGAAGGATGCAAATGAACAAGCCGAAAAAACTTTGTAAGATTTGGATTCAAAATGTACGCTACATTTTTAGGTTTCGCTCAGCATACAGATCGATGAAACAAAGTACATGGTAAGATCGCACAAAAGACGTCTATTTTCAAAGTCACAGTTCAGTGTTCCGATTCCGAAAATCTTCTTCTTGAAACATCAGACTTCTTTATTCGGTATTGTATTCAAGTCCATTCACCATTTTCGTGCAAAGAGAGGAAACTACAAAACAGGCCTCGGTTAGAGAGACAGCAACACAAATGGCACCAGTGCGAGCCAACGCAGCTCGGAAGGCCATCATCGTTCCTCATGTCTTCCTCGTTCACCGTCGTTTTCGCTCCAGACCGATATCGTTCTTACTCTAGCAATGCCCCATGATCGATTTTTTTACAGGACTTCTAGGTGGGAGGATCCCTGGAACCCTTTTAGTTACCCCATAGCCAACATAGAATCTCGTTCTTTTGGTTTTGTGTAGATGAACAGGAACATCACCGTACCTCTCAGCTTTTTTCGATGCACTCACTATTCCAGCACCACCACGACCACCCACCGAATCTTAGATAGAATCTGTACACTTTAGTAGCTCTGAGATGATTGATGGTGTGCGCGACTCCCCCTACCCTTTATGCCGTGTATCATTAAGTAAATTCAAGCACCTGCGATCATAAGAAATCCCCATGCCCACCGCGTCGAGTGGCGGGCGGGAGCTCCTCCCCTGGGAGGAGAGCCTGCGCAATATCCCTCCCGAGAACGCGGAAGCCAGTCTGACGATCTATCCTGAGTAAAAACGTCCCCACACCATAGTCAAGATGGGGAATCGGCTAGACAAATCCACAAGTTTTGGCTGTTTTGCATGACAAATTTGGATTCGTAGTGTAGTGCTGTTTGAGCTAGCTCAGCAGCATCACAGATCTAGCATAGCGTGCTGATTGGAGCATGACAAATTGCAAAACACGATTTGAAAATGCTTCTCATGGGGCTCCGCATGAGAAACATTTTCAGCATGCGGATTTGCATTACAACTATGGGGTGGGGACGTTTTTAAATAGGATACGATCATCGAGAAGTTGATCAAGAACGTCGTGGCCGATCCAACGCAGGAGAAGTTCAAGAGGATAAAGCTCAGCAACCCGAAGATCCACCTCAACATTACTTCGGTCGACCCGGCTTTAGAAGCGTTGTTGCTCATGGGCTGGGAGCTCCTCGACGAGGACACGTTGTTTCTCTATCCTGAGTAAAAACGTCCCAACCCATAGTTGTCATGCAGATATGCATGTACAGAAGCATTTGCAATGCAGGTCCCCATGAGTGGCATTTCTAGTCGTGTTTTGGGATTTGTATTGCTGGAAACAGGATCAGCGGACGGATTTGTGATGCGGCTGCCCTCACGAACCCGCACTACACTACGGACTGCAGCTTGTCATGCATGGCTCCCAAAACTTCTAGATTTGTGTTGCTAAGTTCCCAACTTGACTATGGGATGGCGACGCTTCTACACAGGATATTCTCCCAGACGACCTCATGCTCAATGTCAGCGACTACCCCGGCAGAATAATGGAAGCGAAGGCGTTTTTTGCGAAAAATAAAGCCGGCGGGGCGATGAACAGGAGTGCTGCTGCATCTACTGCTGCTGCGATCGGCGCAATATCAACAGCAGGGTCTGGCACTTTCGCACCGCAGGAAAACGGACAGTCAGCAGGTCCAACAAATAGTCCGAGCAGCAAAGACACCGTCGTTCCTGCGGGCGGAAATAAGGCCTCGGTGGCGCCGAAAAGCGCCTTTCAGTTCCAGAACAAACGAGCAAAAGAGGAAATGGAAAATCAAGGTATAGAGGCATTTTTTATACTGTGCAGTTTTTTTTGGATTTGCGTTGATATCTGCCTCAAAGATCAATGTTGTGGCGAAGTAAAAAACGCTACAGTTAAAAACCTTGTAGCACAGCGAAACTAATTTCTGGTCCGCAATTGAATGCCTGTCGTGATTTGTTTCATCTGTCCAGCAGCTCTCCTGCTCTTCCAAACTAGTTTCAACGTAATTCGAAAGAGCATGAAAAATGGTGAAAAAAAAAAGTGCAGGAGCAAGAGAAAAATGTATGAGCTGCTGCCCATCCCAGAAGCAAAACAAAAAACATATAGCATGTGAATTTCTATCTAATTCAACCACAGCCGCGCTGTCATTGCAAGAGCTTCGTAAGCAGAAGGCTGCGCAGTTCGCGAACCGGTCGCCGTCTTCCCAGCAGAGCAGCCAGGGCTTCAGCGATTATTTCAATTTCGGCGGCGCCAGCAGCGCGAGCTCGAACCCGACCCCGAAACCAATACCCGTCCAAGAGCGAAGTAGCAAGTACAAGGGCAGCAGCGTAGAGCTCAAGGAAATGTCCGAACCCTTAATGAACGGCCAACCCACGGACAATCACATCCGACCCTCGCACAACTTTCAGAAAGAGGTACTTACCTAGTAAAGCGCTTCGCTTGTTGCTTAAGTTTCCTATGAAGAGAAGAATTCTACTTCTTGTCCGATAGGATTCACTTCTCTCACCGGCGTGGGCAGGAACGACCTGTGAAAAGTTACTTTGCGTGCTCATCCTCCTCGACGCTGTCCGAGCGCGCTAGTTAGAAGTCGCTCCTTGTAGTCGCATTTTACTTCTAGATCGACCCATCGCTATCTATAAAAATTGAAATTTGTTTTAAATCGATTGAATTATTCACGATCACGACACAGGCCGAGCGCCAGGCCACCCGAGTTGCCGACGATAAGAACGACCTGCGCGCGCTGCAGCAGGCGAAATACAAGCAGTACCAGAAGGATCCGAATCTGCAACGGAAGGCCGCGGAGGACCAGGCACGTCTGCAGAGCGGTGTCGCTGGAACAACCTGTTCGAACGACGACGACGGCGGGTCTTGGTGGAACCCCTTCAGCGGCGGCGGTGGCGGCAGTAGCGGCGGGGCGCCTCCCCCCGCTCCGGGCGGAGGCCGCGGCGGGGCAAGAATCAAGACGGTTGGCGACCTCCCGAAGCCGGTGCGTCGCGGCTGAGGCTAGGGTCCGCCTCTGAAACTATAGAGGTGGACGTTAAGCATGTTATCAAGATGGTTGGTCATTCTTTATGCGCGTTTTTTATAGCGATATTAGATAGCCGAAAGAATGATATAGATATCTTGTCCTTGGAGAATGATCGCATGTAGTGGTAGTTTGTACTTGTGCATGTGCTTCTTCTCTGCTGTTTTTAGAACTTGAGGAAAGCTTTCTCATTCTTTTCTGTTCCACTTTCAACGATTCCCTGGCGGAATTTCCGGAACCACAGTTTTGTGAGAATCGACGGAAAATTTGGACGATCCAACTGATGCTATACGTTTTCTGTCAGACACGAATTCCAATTTAGTTTTTCTTCTTTCTCCTGTGACGTGCCTTTGCTTCTATCTTTTGTTCTTGCGACAAAAAGAAGTTGCATTTGCGCTGATTTGCATTTCATCTTTAGAATTTCGGTTTGGTTTTCTCTGACAGTGACGCCGTGCTCACAGAAGGGCTTGCGGTTTGAAAGTTAGTAGCGTAATTTTCTGTCTTTCCTTTCGATGATAGCAAGGACGAATCAGGCGACACGATGGACTGCTCTACCGCAAGGCAGAGCGTTCAGCGACAAGACTAGGAAATTATGAAACCCAGTATCCGATCGAAACAAAGAATAAACACACGAAACAAATTCAAGTTGCGACGTCGCCGGAACGATGCGCGAAGCTTGAAATATCAATTGATACCAGTGCGAAACAGACCCATGTTTTCTCCCTCACTGCTAACCACTGTCGTCGGGCATGTCGTGCCTGAGAGATTTTATCGTTTTTGTACACGTAACATCAGCACTACACAAGTCGCATCGTCGTGAAGATTGTGAGAGAGGTGGAAGGTTCCGTGAACTAGATTGGCACTTATTTTGTTCGTTTTCTCTGTCCGGATCGTGATCGATAGTCGTTTGATCGTGTGCAGCAATGAGAACGACGAGAGAGCATCTTCTGTGCACGAAAGAGCTTTCCCGTCGTGTCGCTGTACTGTAGCAGTGCTCCTACTAGCACACAAAATAAAGAACAAGATGAGGACGGGCTACAGTAGTCCCAGCGCGGTTATTTGCATGCATCCATGCAATTTGATGAATCTCGCAAACCAGAATAGCAATAGAGACACGAGGAGACCTTCCGAAGTCCTTTATTCCGAGAGTACAACAAGAAGGAATACTAATACATGGCCCTTTGGAGCACAGACAGCTCCTTTCCGGTTTTGACAACATATTGACTTCGAGTCGAATTTTCTCAGCTGTCTCAGCAACGAACAACTAACACAAGAACATCTGAAAAGTCACTTCCGCAAGGTCTGTCGGTGAGCGCAACTCAAAGAAACTGGACGTTGCAATCTTCGTACCCAACCAGATTCAAGATTCCAAAGCACCACTGCAAGTACTTACGAGCCACCACGGCAAAATCATCCTCTTCTACGGCAGCTTCCCCTGTTTGCTAAAAAACTCCACCGGTTCTGAGGCTACTTTGACCGGTACTTACACAGACCCTGCTGAAACGAAAAGTTGACTAGCCAGTTGCGTACTCTAGTTGGACACTTAGCCCGCAGCAATCGAGAAAGGGAGCAGCGGCAACAAAACTCGTCGCTAGCCGCAACGGTCTGGAAGTAGGTTGTGGATGAAAATTCCTCAGCATCTCCTGTGAGAAAAACAAGTCCTGTTGAAATATAGAAGTAGAGGCGAACACGAACAAGCGACGACGACGTCAACATGCCGAATAACGACATTTGCCCACACACCCTACCGATCGAGGGCGACGCGGATCTGCTGGTGCAGGTGTATTATCAAATGCAAAAGTGTCTGGGTCTGGAAGACGAGTGCGAGATTTGTCATGCATACTTCTCATGACCCATGATGCCTGTAATGCTTGACCTAGCATCGCAGACTTTCAGAGGGCTTCCTGATGTACTACCTTCCGCATGAGAAATGCCCTGTCCGTGTAGCAAAAACTGTACCCCTCTTGCTGGTCATGCAATACAAATTTTTTTAGAGTCCAAAAACAGCATTCCAGACCCAGACACTTTTACAATCCATATGCACCCAAACAGCAACGCCGACGGCTTTACGGAGCACCCCGTGCCTTCGACCCTCGCCAAAAGGCATCCGTACCTACCCGAACAAGCTGCATCAGTCAAGGGCGATGACGTAAATACTTATATTTATAAAAGAACCTCGCTGTTTGAACGTGAAGTAGAGGTCGTTCACGTTCTTACAGCTAAAACCCGATTGTTTATTTGCCAGGTTTAGCTGTAGTGTCAATGGGAATAAATTGTTGTTGCATTCCGCAGGAACAGGAAGCCAGTGCGTGGTGCATTTTGTGAGACATGACATACGTAAACCTTCACCCTCTACACACAGGCAACCATCGGGTACGGGCATCGCTCGTGGCAAAGAATAGCGGAGCAGCTTAAGGGGTACCCGGCCAACGGCTTTTCAATCGCGACCATAAATCAAGTACTCGAAATCGCGGCCGTAGAAGGTAGTACTACAGCTAAAGAATAAAAAACTGCGAAAAGTTTGTTTCACAGCAGGCTGGATGCGCGAAATTGTGTTGCATGTGCATCCACCTGGTAGAAGAAACCATAGGAGATATTACAGTACTTGTGAATGTTTGTCAGCGACGACCGGCACGAATAAAGATAAAAACGCAAAACAGGTAGCGATGCTGATTTCGCAGTGGAGTTCGGCAACCAGCACGTTGACTTCAACGCTTTGCTCGGCGAAAAGCAGCTACAACGCGCAACCGCAAAAGTACTTGAAAATTCTGCTTTTTGAAGAACGATTTTTCTTCATCTGTGAAACGTGAGACAAAGCGCATCGCGCAGATTCGCGGCTCATCCGATCCGCGGCGTATCTGGTAGCCGTTTTTTTTGAGAGTCACTTGTGGTCCCTCTTTAATCTGTAAAAATGCAACAGGTACTAGAGCGCGTCTTACACTACAAGTCTGGTCGAGAATGGTGCGCGTCCATAGCAGTGGGAAAAACATTGGGGAGCATCATAGAATCAACAAGCGACACTACTGACGAGGAGGAGAAAAAAGGTACGTGCTCTTAGTAAGTAGGCCGAGTCAACACCAGTTTGGCATCGGAGTCTGATTCTCATGCTATCGTCTACACAAAAGCAAAACTCGAGGACGATAAATAGTTCTCGATGACACATAAAAAAGAAAACCATTTATACATATTCATAAAAATTAATAATCCTAACAGTTCTCTACGCCATCGGTAAGTGCTGCAACCGTTGGGCGACTAGCCGAGACAGCAGTGTGAACGGGACCGGTCTCATAAAAGCCATCGTGACAGTGCTGAGCAGTTTTGCGCCGCGGGGCGAGAAGGCATCGGTGGATTGGCTGCTGCTGCTGGAGTTTTACACGGCGCTGAAATACATGAGCACTTACAACCCAGAGCCGGTGATCGACTCCGACTTGATCCAAAAAACCACCATTATCCAAGAAAAAAAGATTGTTAGTGTAACTTTGTGATGCGCGACATGCAAGACCAAATCCAAAACGATACTAATTGCATCTGTGTCTGTTATGCTGTACATGCATTCTAGGGTCTATTCAAGCGCCGGTTTTTGTTTTTCACGTACTCGTACTTATTAAATTGCGCATGAGATTTTTGGCTGTCTTCATCCCAGATGACACATTTGTGTTGATGGTGCTCCGCTGAGAAAAAGTTACACCTAGAATGCTTTTTTGTTGGATAACCACTCTCATGGAATCAGTGCACGCAGACAAAAGCGTCCCAAATCGCAGCTGGCTCCTGGAAGCCTGCCTTGGAGTAGTAACGCAGGCCGGAAATCTGGACAGTGGGAGAACGAAGCTGCTAGCTGGTATTTCTTCCTTTAATATCTGTACGGAGGGTATACTTGTCGTCAGCATGATATTCCTCACTTCTGCCAGTTCCTGCAGACAGGAGCTTGCTTTTCTAAGCAGCAGTTTGTAGGGGTTCGCTTACTTATTTATTTTGAAAGACCGACGGTCATTTTGAGAAATCGCCGGAAGCCACAACGACTTCGGTTTTGCTAGCACCAAATACAAACACCATACCAACAACTTACGCGCCCAAGGAATTAACAGCTGCCCAAGCTGCAAGCAGTAGCAGCTGAGCTTTAATGTAGAGCCTTGACGACAAGCAAAAAAAAAATTAACCCGCCACAGCTCACGCGGAGAAAATATGCGCGACCCTGAACTTCGCCGGAAGCAACCTCGAGGTTCAGAATGCCGCTTCTGGTGCGTGCGCCGTTATTTCACTGCACAAAGAAGGCAAGCATGCGATCGAAGCGTTCCTGGTGCCGACACACCTCCCAAAGGTCGTGGAAAACATGGCCGCAATAAACACAGCGATGAAGACAAAGTAGTGAGTTTTGCTTTTATTTTGCTGCATTTTCATCGTATGATTTCATCTTCGAAAGACAAAGAATTCCAAATCCAATCGAGAACGCGATATGCAGGAGATATAGAAAGAGTGTCTAGATGAACAATGACAATCATTATCATGTTGCTAATAAATTCTAAATTATTTCACTCCTAGGTACATCCAGAGTGCGAGCGCGAAGCCGAGTTTCCGGCACTCTTTCATCGCGGAGGCGATCGCGCAGAACTGCACGCAGCTGCTCGAGGAGGTGTACGGGGCCTCGGTGATTCCCACGGCGTTCAAGCTGCTGCACGACATGCCAGAAAAGGTGCTCTTCACCCTGAAGCACTTCCTGAGTCGGAAGAACGATCCCGACGGCGGGTCCGACTTTCTCTTCGTGTCTGCGCGCATCGGGGTGCCGGTCGAGAGTCCCGCCTCCGTGGCCTACGAGCAGTGCGTGGACCTGGTGGAGCATTGTGCGAAGTACTACAACGAGTTCCCGCAGGTGGTTCTGGAAATCTTCAAGCTCCTCTCCAAATCCGAACCCAGGTTCCGCCCGCTCTTCGAACACCTCCCCGACGACATGTGGCACGTGCGCAAATACCTGTAAACTTTTAGCAGGATCATGGTGCGGGGGTCATGGAACGTCGCAGCCGTCGCCTGGAGTTTTCTTGAGGAAAGAAATGAAACGACCAAACGTAACCTAACCGTCTATGATAGATCCAACTAGATGCACGACCAAAATGAAAGAAAACGAAACGAAACTATCAAGAAACGCTTTGCTATGGTTATCAATTATCCGTGAAACGAAAATGATCTTTGGCGATATCATCTTCTTGCCGCCTGCTTACACACCACGACCCAGTGCGCTTTCATTATGTACACTACAATCTTGATGGGCAATAATCGTCCTGGCGCACGAACCACAAATGAGCAAAATATCAGCCCGACCCATTGTATTCTGAGAATTTTCTTGTGTGTGCATAATTTGCGGAGACAGATGAGATGGCGACGGCGGACTGAAGCCAGGGAATTCTCACCTCGACGAAGAAAAGCGTTGTTCGTGATTTTGCGTTCGTAAATATCGTTTGAGTTTCCTGTTAAATGGAAAAACGAGTCTGGATCTTCTTCATCCAGGTTCCTTGTCTAGGAGAGACGTGCGCTTTCTTCAAAAACGCGAAGTTCCTCGGCGGGAGGTTCAATACTACTTGCACTGCGGGTGCTCTTCGTCTTCACTTCGTTTATGATGTCAAGGTGAACATCCCCCGGTTTGATCATCTGGAACGAAAATGTCGTTTCCTGGAACGAGTGACCCATCTGGGACGAGCGGGATGCGCTTGCATCGGCGGTCCCACGAGCCCAGACAGGCAGCGCTGAAGGCATACGCGACGATGAGTGCGGACCCGCTTATCGGAATCGGGCAAGGGCAAGCACGGCGAAGCAGAAGTGTATACTTCTGCATTTTCATCTACTTCTTTATCTTTTGCAGGTCGTGCATCCGGGTGCAATTCAACGTTTGTTCAAGGTGGAATCGCTGGTCATAGTAATCCCTCTCCGATCATCAGGATGCGGCGCAATCGAACGCAGCGCACTTTCTCACCTGCGCACTGTGCGGAAGGCTTCGCAAGGTGGACGCATTCACGCGACGGCTTTTCTCGGAGGAGTCCGGGCGTACATTTAGCTGCAGCTTCCTTCGGGAAACGGATTGCACCCAGCCCGGCGACGCAGAAACCGGGCCTATGCGGGTGTTCGACGAGCAAAACACCGAGCTGGAACTCACGGGGGACGAAATCCGGATGCTCAGCCAAGGGCTCCTCGCGAAGGGGTCATCAAGTCCGGCTGCCTCTTCCTCCGAGGAGGACGCGAAGCATGTAAGTAGGTCATCTCGAGCTGCTTCTTTCTGTGATCGCAAAATTTTGTTTTACTGTAGGTTCCATGATATTGCTGCATCGTGCTGATTGATTTCGGAGCGTAATGTGGTGATGAAGATGAAGAATCTGGAAAGAAAAAGAAAAAGTGGCGCTCGTGCCTGAAAGTTCTTCGCAACTTGCCTGCGTGTAGTTTTCGAAAGAAATAGGGAATATGCTCCTACTTGTTCTATCTGGTACGATCGCGATGCGAACATTTTCATGAACACTTCAGGGTGGCCGCCGCCAAGGCCGACGTCGGCGGAAAGAAGAAACCGCGGGAGCGGGCCGAAGCAAAGGCTCCGGACCCCCACCCGGCAAAAACCGCGCAAGTGGGCGGAAGCGGTCCGCGGCCACTCGGGACTTGGACGATGAGGTAGAAGAGGGGGACGACCTGCCTTACGGTGCGCCGCGCGCGCCACCGCCCCTGACTAAGCGGCAGATGGCCCTGCAGGCGAAGCGCGGTGAAGCGCTGGTGGTGCACGACCCTGCACCAGGCCGCGCGGCTGCTTCTACTCCCCAGGCCGCTACTTCTCTCGCTAGGCTCCCGCCCGCGCCGTCCATGAACCCGCCATCTGCTTCTACGGTTAGTAGCACCTCCACGATGTTGGCAGGAGGTACAACATTCGCAGGTGTCCGCCCGTCACCGACAGGTTTGGGGCCACCCGGAGGCATGCAAGCGCAACTACTCGGGCTGCAGATGGTGCAGCACCCGACTCCTGTCTTCACCCAGTCGGATCGTAGTTCCTCAGCCTTAATGCCTTCAGCACGACCGGCACCTGGCGTTGTGGCTCCGGCGTTCTCCAGCACTAGGCGGGAGGACGACGACGAAAATATTAACCTCGTGGATGAAAAAAACAAAGCGCCGCCGGTGCAAACCGCGCCAGTGCGAATGCTGATGGACGAAGCGGAATTTATGCGGGACGCGAAGAAGCTCTACGACTTCATCACCGTGTATCCCACAGAAAAAAAGCAGGCAAGGCATACTATGCAGAAATAAACACTAAGTAACACACAGAAAATGGAAATCCTGCATGGGTGAATCCATAGCATGCTGCTCAGGGTATGCAATGCAGATTTTTCTGTGTAAGTAAAAGTAATTCTATTTGCCATACACTCGAAATAATATATCGTGCCTGCTTTTCCTTTTTTCTTGGGGATGCCGTGGCCGGGCCGGGAAAACCGCACCGGGGCGAGTCTGTATTGGTTCGGTACACCAAAAAGGGAAACGGTCGGGTCGCCGTGCAGCAACTGCTCGAAGACGATGAGATGAAAGGAGATCAACATTGAAGCGCTTCAATTGTACTGTGCGGAGGACGAGCAGCCATCATTCAAGGTCAACTACCAACACCTGATTTGGGACTGGAAATTGCAAAAAAGGAGGAAACGCTTCCGCGAAGTGGAGGATGCAGGCAGAGCGCTAATATGTTTCGTCAGGAAGATCCGGGAAGCTTTCTTGTATGAGAAGTAGATGGTACACCAGCGAAGAAGTACGTACTCTCATCTTAGCATCATCGTTCTTCGGCGTCGGCGTTTCCAGGAGGCGAAAAGATGTATGAGAATGGTGCAGTTTCTTCTCGCGCTCGTTTGACCGAACAACTCGTTGAGAAGAAGACTGGTGTTGAGTCCTAACTCCAATATTCACCTCGCGGCGAGTGTGAAGTAGTGTCTTTCACTGTATGATGTTTCGAGCACTATGATGCGGACTGCTTTATCAATTTTGCAGCGTTGCTGGCTAGTTGGATGAGGAGTAGAAGTTTCTTCAACAATGTTTGTAGTCTGCTCAAGGAAGAACTGCGCCGTCAGACAGGGATGCACGGTGCCGTTCTCTCGGTTGCCGTGTTGCAATGCAGTGCCGTTCTCTCGGTGCCGTTCTCTCGGTCATCGATCACTGCCAATGCGGCTTTTTGTTCTGCCGCGATTGCGACTTGGAAGAGAAATTGTACTTATGTTGTCACTGGAGTACATGTACAACGTGTACGACTAGGAGCCGCACCGACCCCCAAAGGTGTCGTGGTTCGTAGAGTGTGAGAAACAGCGTAGCGCCATTTCCTGCATGAGATGAGCGCTACCGCTAAACGAACAAGGCTCGCAAAAGAGTAAAATTGTAGTGAGATGGTTGTTGACGACATAGAAAAATAAGCAGCGTATTTACTAAAAAGATTACGAGTAAGTACAACTACAACATGTATTCTATTTTCCACTTATTCTATTACATACGGAGAGATGTTGAGGCCACGTTTCGGACTCTGTGCGGATCACGCCAAGCTAGTTTATACAAGTATTAGTGTAGGAGTTCCCGCTTGTCGTCCTTGCTTTCGTTTTTGTCAGAGAAGGAGAACCGGCGAAGGCGATGGCGAACCGATGCGATTCGAGAAGGCGTGGATCATATTAAAGGTCCCGCACCCAAAAGGGAAGTGTATTGCGTGAGTCAAAATCCGTTTGGGAACTACAAGGGAATTCTGACATCGGGGGTAGTTTCATCTTCACATCATGTCACCCGGAGGAGGGGCGCGCCTTGCGACCTATGCGCGGATCTGCCCTGTTTTCGATCCGGAAGACGCCACCTGCCAGATCGAGGTCCAGAGCACCGCTGAGAACGAGCACTGGCTCAGCCTCGAAATCCCGCATCAACAAGGTACAGCTACGGGTCCGTTTAATATTGCCACATATCAATCATAAAAATCATGTTCATGTCCTCTATAGATGAGGATCATGATCATCAAGAAGAAGCCATAAACTTATCCGTTCACAATTAGCATCAACCCCTTGGCTTTGTGGAAAGGAAAAATCAAGACAAGACGAGGTTCAAGAAAATAAACGAACTACACAAGTAAAAAGCAATGCTAGGGCCTCACGCTCGTTGTGAACAATAAAGTGTTTTTCATGTTGGTCTTCCTCTTAATCAAGAGGCTTCTTGAGGGTGGTCGCAAGTGAGATGAGTTGCGTGCCCGCCATGGCGGGTAAAATAAATTTTTACCACAGCTGTTATCTACATCAGGTTACAATGGCAATTCTACAACGGGTTCTTCATCCCATAATTCGGCGTATAATCACGATGCGGAGCAGCTGCACTCTACTGGGCATCAGCTTCAGCCGCAGCAGCCGGTGCTACCCTGCAGCAGCTACCGGGGGCTGTTCAACGGGCAAGTGTTCACGCCCCACTCGGAACAAGAGGAAATTTTCGCCGAGTTTGAGCCGTTCGTGGACAACTTGGTGCGGGGCATTACGGGTTGCGTTTTTGCGTACGGCCAAACCGGCACGGGGAAGACATATACGATCTACGGTGGCAGTAAGTACCGGGAGCGCGGTCTCATCCCGCGGTTCCTCTGTGGGGTGTTCCAGAAGCTGCGGGAAAAGGACGCGGATATCGTATTTAAAAACGTCCCCACACCATAGTTGTAATGCAAATCTGCATGCTGAGAATGTTTCTCATGCGGAGCCCCATGAGAAGCATTTTCTAGGCGTATTTTGGAATTTGTCATGCTCCAATGAGCATCATATACTAGATCTGTGATGCTGCGCAACTACCTGAAACAGCACTACAATACCAGTCCAAATTTGTCATGCAAAAAAACCAAAGCTTGTGGATTTGTCTAGCCGACTTTCCATCTTCACTATGGGGTGGGGACGTTTTTACATAGGATAGCGGAGTTGCGGCGCAGCGGCCTCGGCGAAAGTTGTAGTACGGGAACCGAGGAGGACCATGAGGGCAGCTACTACCGGTATCAGGTCTCTGTGAAATGCCTCGAAGTGTACAACGACCAAGGCTACGATCTCCTGTTGCAGCCGCAGGCGAACTCCGGGACCGCGCCGTCGCTGAAAGTGGACTTGTTCCTATCCTGTGTAAAAACGGGGCCCACACCCCAGAGTTGTAATGCAAATCTGCATGCTCAAAATGTAGCTCATGCGGAGCTCTATGAGAAGCATTTTCTACTCGTGTTCTGGGATTTGTGATGCTCGAATTGTTATGATACGCTAGATCTGTGACGCTGTGCCGAACTAGCTAAACAGGGTCACAATACGAGGCCAATCTTGTCATGCGCAACAGCCAAAGCTTCGGCTGGTTGATTTGTGTAGCAGATTCCCCATCTTGACTCGGGGGTGGGGACATTTTTGGTCAGGATAGTTCCAGACCCAGCCGAATCTGGCGGAGCACGTTTGCCAATCGGAACGAGAGGCGTTGGATTGCGTCTTTCTCGCGGCGCTCAATCGGTCCGACGCGCGCACCTTATCCAGCGCGAAGGATGTTTACTACAAATCGGCTTTTTAGCCACAAGGAGTAGAAATCTATCTTCGTTGTACCAAGAAACGCAGTGCAGATAGTACACTTCTTACAAGGATGAATTGCACAAGCATTATACATGAAGCATTGTCAACATAGTCATGAAGCGGAAATAGGACGCCTCGTCGTTCTTCTGGCGACAGAAAAAAATGGTGCATCGATTTGCGTCACTGATAGTATGTTAAGGTAAGATGGCAAAGAAATGCAAAAGCCGAGACTTTTTTGTCCATGCATACACGAAGACCAACAGCAATAGCAGCCGCTCGCACGCGATTTTCACCATATTTGTAGAACAGTGGGAGGGGGATACGCATTTAGCGGCGCGCTTACACCTGGTGGACCTTGCCGGTAGTGAGCGGGTAAGAGTTCTCTCCAACTCATTTTTTAGTTTGATATATCCGCACTGTGCTCCTGGTGTCGTTGTTTGTGCTTCATACTTTCAATCGGTAAGGATACGGAATGCAGCAGTACAGGCGCAGAGAACGACAACACAAAATATGATAAAACACTAATGATAGATGAATGATGATGATGATGATAATGATAATGATGACATACAATCGTGTTCATGACTTTGCTCCCAGGTGTACAAAACTTGTTCGCTCGGGCAGCAGCAGGCCTCGTCTGCACCAGGCGGTCTTCTTCCAGGCGAGCCGCAAGGCAAAAACAAGCAGGCTGTGAACCACGTCGGCAGATTGACCGAGGCGAAATCGATCAACAAGAGTCTGCACTTTTTGGAGCAGGTGGTGATTGCGATGCAGAACGAGAGCGGGTTCGTTCCCTTCCGCAACTCCTTGATGACGTTTCTGCTGAAGGAGGCACTGGTCGGCAACTGCAAGACGGCCCTGGTCGCCACCATGTCCGCGTTGCTCCAAAACGCGCAGGAGAGTCTGTCTACCCTGCGGTTCGCCCAGCGCTGCAGCTCGGTGGTGCTGCAGACGGAGGTGCGGCCGAACCTGGCCGTGGACTACCGGTTGCGCGCGCTGAAGCTGGAGGACGAAAACCGGCGGTTAGCGGAACGGGTGAGGATGCTGGAATTGATGTCCGTGCAAGAAAGAGCTGATCAGGCCGGAAGCGAGAACAAAAATCGGACCCTTGCAGCGGCGTCGACTGTTCGTAATTATATGCCAGGACGAGCTGCCTCTGTGGAGCAAGTTCAGCAGCAATGGAACCTCGACGACCAAGGTAAAAATCAGAACCAAACGGAAGAACTAGAAACCAACAACGGCCGAAAACAAGATGCTCACAACTACAGCGGAGAAGATGAAAAATCGTCCCAAGTACTACTAAAGCAGGCGGATGTCTTCGCGTCACCAGCTGCTTTTTCTTCAGCAGGTGCTGGTAGTACAACAAGTAGTACCTCTGCAAGACCCGCCGCCGCGGCACCGGCTTTACCACAGTTGGGAAGCAGGAGCTCCACCCACAACAACCCTGGGGCGATTATACAGCTCCAACCGTTGCAGGAGCACGCTGCTTATCAAGTGTAAAAATGTCTGGGTCTGGAAGAATGCAACTTGTCATGCTAAATCTGCAGCCTGCAAAAATCTGTGTTGCATGATTACCAAAAGTCGCCCAATTTTGACCAAGTCAGGAGGTAGATTCTCATGCAGGATAGGCATTAGAAACGTCGCGCAGAATCTGTCATGCTAGCTCCGGCATTCCAGACCTCATGGGTCATGGAAAAGCAGCATGACAAATCGCGCATTCTTCCAGACCCAGACATTTTTACACTTGATACTGCTGCGGGAGCCGCCTCAACATCTAGTCGTCCGCTCACCCCTTCGAGTAGTCGCCCCCTCACGCCAAGCGCACGGGTATCAAAAGTAAAAATGTCTGGGTCTGGGAACTTGTGATGCTGGGTGGCGTCTCATGATGAAGCTGCAAATGCTGGCTCAGCATGACAAGTTTCTGAGCTCCTAGGTGTTGCCTATTCTGCATGACAAACTGCGCTTCTGCATCACAGAAAAACGGAGCTCTTGGGTAACGTGCATGGCAGATTTAAGATTCATGCCAGACAAGCATGACAAACTTGCATTCTTCCAGACCCAGACACTTTTACATTTGATAACGACAACTAGGAAACAACTGGATGTCGCCGCTGCCGCTGTCTCTCCGCCACCTCGGGTTTTCCGAGACTGGACAACCTACGGACGTCCTGCTAGACGAGCAATTTCCCACAGTCACCAGCCTGATTGCAAAGATGATGACTGTGATGACTTCTGTAGCTGGAACAAACGCTGCTGACAACTCGTCTTCTGCAGGACGATCTGTCGAAAGAACGAAGAGCGTGGGCGTCACTGCAACTGTAGTCACTACAGAGCAAGCAGCGGACCTACGAGATCGGCAGCCAAGAAAAAGTTCTCCAATTCGTGCGAACATGAACAAAACGAAAGAACATGAGTACAACTTCTCACCGAACAGGAGGAAGGAACCGACATCAGATTTGGATGACGGGGACACGACCCCGCACCAGTACCGCCGCGATCGCACATCGAGCGCGGACTGCACGCGGAGCCGCAGCGGTTCGCGATCCACGCGCCGGTACGTTCGCGTCTCCCCTGGACGGGCTGCAGCCGCGTGGATTGAAAACGTCGTTCTGGGCGCAACTACAAGTCGAACCGGTTGTACAACAAGTGAACCAGCGCCGGCACTAGAAGCGGACCCCAGTCGCAGCGGCGCAGTACTTCTACAGAGTAGAGACGACCACCTCCGCGACGACTTCAAAATATTAAAGGAGCAGAAAACCACCTCCAACAGCCAAACCGACGAACCCGAGGTGCTCATATCATCCCGAGCGGTGCGCCGCTCCGTCCGTAGCTTGAACTCCCCAGTGAGAGAACAGGAGGACAGCAGGGACGTGACGGGTCCTCGCGACGAGGACCTGGACCTCCGAGATGTGAATAAAGATAATGACGCAGGAGCTCCTGCGCCAGCGCTGCTGCTCTCCAGCTCAGCGAAGAAGAAGTCAACCACAACGGGCGCCAAGCACCAGCAAGGTATCGACTTGATCCGAATCGACCTGACAAATAACAACGACGAGCGGGGGAACGAGAGCCGTCCAACAACGCGCGGCACTAAAAGTCGCGGGGCATCTAGTTGTAATAGCGGGTCCTCGACGACGAGGACGAGAACACTGAGCCAGAAGCCTACAGGACCAACAGCTAGCACCAGTCCGGAGAAGTTGCCGGTCGAGGCCAGCGAGACAAAATTCAGCCTACAAGAGGAGCGCCAGCTTTTGGACAGACTACAAAAACAATACTACAGCAGAGTGCAACAGTCGGCAGCAGCATAGCTTCTAGGCGGAAAAGGGAGTTGTACTCCTGTTCACGAGTTGTTTCGCGCATCAATCGAGAATTGTCATAACTCAAAAAAAGTTGCATTGCCCGGGGTCCTCGTCACCGGGAGGACTCTCGCGGATAGAATTCATCAGGACTGCTCTCGCGGCTAGAATTGATAGATACAACATCTAGAGAGGAAAGAAAATCATCGGTGAAAATGGCGTTCGTTTGAAGACACACGATCTGTACGATGACTTTTTCATGAAGTTCACGCTTTTTTTTCGTTGCTTGACGGAGATTCATGATACCAATTCCAGTTGAGGAGAGGACGCCGGCCACTTACAATAGTCAATTGCCCCAAGAGCTGCAATTAAAGAGCAGCAACTAGTACATTGAGATTGATCTGCCAACGACCTTGATGCACTTCTCTCTAGGAGCGAAATTGTGCCTGTAAAATACGAATGTAAAAATTGCGGAGTTCATGTCCTGTGCAGAAATTGACTCCGTTCGGAATCCCTGCACAGAGATTGACTCCGTTCGCTGTGTTGTTCTCAGGGCCGTTTTATCATCATGCAAAACGGTAGTTAGACTCGGTGCTGTCTGATTCGTTTTTTCAACATCAAAATCTAGACAATGGCACTCGAGAGTGATAGCTGCGAACCCTAAAAGAATGGTTTATTCTTCAAGTTTTTGAGCACTTCGTGAGAATAAAAAACCAAAATCACTGCAAGAGTAGTGGTGTCTTCATCACGCAAGAGTCTGCATGTGCAATAACGCCAGTTTCGTCAGTGAGGTCGTAGTTGTTTCGAGCTTTCGTTGATTTCACCCCACACAGACAGGTTTCGACACTCGGCTGAACCAAAAACGAAATCCCCACTAGTCAAAGAGGCAATTAAGACAGAGAAAGAAATCAATTACCAAGCTAAAAAAGCAGCAGCACGAGTAGCTGATATTTTTACTTGAAAATCCAAATTGTCGTCAGAAGTGAATAAACTTGTCGTAGTTGATAAAATCTAGGTACTTTTTTATCGACTACTTCCGTCCACCTCCCGAGCTCTAGCCTGAATTATTGTTCTGGTCGGTTGAAACAAATACCCCAATCGTCGAAGTATCACGGTAAGAAGGTAAAGAGAAACTGACTCCATCGTAGTGTTAAATTTGTTCTGCCTGGTGGTGGTGGACGAGAACCCCTGACGTTTTATTTCGAAATCGTTTCAAGATAGAAGACCCACCTGGTTCTTTCTTTACGAAGTTTATTTCTCTACGAGAGTAAGTAAGTGAGTAAGAGTATCCATCGTTCACGTTCACCATTTGTTCTTGTTGTCTACTCTATGTCCATGTTGTTAGTTGTGAGAAATGTATGCTGGTGCAGCTTAGTTTTTGTGACCACTTAGTCTGTAGTTGGCACAAGAACTTCTACCGGCTATTTGATTGAAAAAATCAGTAACAGGCTACTTTTTTTTTGGAAGATCTTCCTCGCTGTCGATAGATTTTCTTTCTTGTCTTAGACAAGTTGTCTACAAATTTGGGTGTCGATGGCAGAAACCACGGCAACTTCCGAACAACAAGAAATGGCCACCCAGATCGCAGACAAGCTGGTGACCAAGGCGGGTGTCGCCAGCGAGAACTTGCTGGTGCAGTCCTGCAAGTACCACGCGAAGGGCAAGGTGCTACTGAACAACGTCAGCTTCGAATGCGCCCCCGGCGAGCTGTTGGGCGTGATTGGCCCCTCGGGGTCCGGGAAGTCGGTCCTGCTGGACCTGCTGACATTCAGTGCGAAAACCCCGAAGGACGGCATGTTCGGGGCGAAGACCGGCGACGCGATGCCGCGCAACCTGCTGCAGGCGGAGATCACGCACGGCGGCGAGCGGCTGGGAAACATCTCGGACTTCAGTCGCCACTGCGCCTTCGTGCCCTGCGTGGACTCGCAGTACCCCACCCTGACCTGCCGCCAGGCGCTCACGCACACCGTATGAAAGTGCACAACTCCCCCTCCCCCCCATTTGTATGGCATGAACAGCAAGACAAACACGAAGATACGTGGAGCCTGCGCATGGGCATGACAAGTTCATGCGCCGACTGTCGTACTGTTTGGGCTTCCAGAATTTGTCATGCAAAGAGTGCTGCAAGGCAGGAACTGGATTTGGGATTTTGTATTTAGAAATGAGGGGGAGGGGGAGTTGTGCACTGGCATACACCGCGTCCATCCTGTCGAATGACACGACGGAGGAGATCACGGACCGGGTCAATGCGTTGATGGACCTACTAGGCTTGACCACCTGTGCGGACACCGTCGTGGGGGGGTACATCGGTTTGAAGGGTATGTCGGGCGGACAGAAGAAGCGTCTAGCGCTCGGGCTGGCGCTGCTGCGCGAACCGAAGGTACTTGTGGTGTACTTCTAAGCTGTACTATACTTGTGCCGCTTTTACAATCACAAATTATGAGATAAGAGAATGTATATACTAGCACAAGGCTGCAGGTGCAAGCAGTTTCCCACAAACATAACGCTCGATGGGCACGATAAAGGCGACTGAGGATAATATCAACATCGACCGAGAAATCCCGAATCATGAAATTATTGTCAGGTTCTGTATGTCGATGAGCCGACGTCCGGTTTGGATTCCGCCGCTGCGTACAACGTGATGAAGGTGGTGCGCGACTTGGCGGTGAGGTTCCGGCTGTGTGTCGTGATTACGTTGCAGCAGCCGCCGACCAACGTGTTCAGCATGCTGGACCACGTTTTGGTTTTGTCCAAGGGGCAGGTCGCGTTCTCCGGCCCCCGGCGCGAGATGTTGCCCTACTTCGAGCGCGCGGCCGAGATCGACTGCCCGGCCGCCTCGAACCCGGCGGACTTTGTGTTGGACCTCGTGAACCCGGCCATGCCGCAGGACAAGCGGAAGCAGAAGGGAATCGCCTGCTCCGTCGTGGACCTGCTGGAAAACTGGAAGACCAAGGGCAAGAGCGGTCTGGGAACGTACGCGGACTCCGGATCCTCCACCACCGCGGACGACAATGGGAACGACAACGGCATGCACAAACGCGACACCCAGATGATTTCCGAGGACGTGTACGAGCGCGCCCTGCAGCTGATTCCCCGCAAGAAACAGTCCACCGCCGGCACCCGGCTGAAGGCGGTGTTCGCGCGCGAGTGGCGCGTGGCGCGCACCGACCCGGTTCTGTACCTGCTGCGTCCGATCATCATGTGGGTCACGAACGTGTTTATGATTCTCCTCTGGTGGGAGGGCAGGGGCCACGACATATCAAAAGGAAAAAGCCCCCCTCCCCATATCAAAATGGAAATTTGTAATGCTGATTTGGGGTCACAAATCGTCTTTGTCTTGCCTATAGGGCAATAGGAGCCATGTGGCGCATTCCAAAGCCAATCTGTCATGCGCTTTCGGCTACTGCAAACCTGTTTGCCATGTGTAATTGCTAGCCTTCTGCATACCCAAACAGGCTCAGAAAATGCCGCCAAGCACTTTCTGCAAGACAAACCTGATTTGTGTACTCAAATACAGCGCCAGCAACTTCGATTTGATATGGGGAGGGGGGATTTTTCCTCACAATACGACAACAAGTACGTGATGAGCAAGATCTGGCCGCTGTTCATGATCATGACCTCGAACAGCATCTACTCCATCGTGTGCGTTTACTTTTTCAAGTCCACCTTCCCGATCGTGTCGCAGGAGGTGCGCAACGGGTACTACAAAACGGCCGAGTACCTGCTCGCCATCGTGGTGCTGTCCATCCCCATCCACTTCCTGCTCGCGGCGATCAGCATGTACGGCTCCATCTACTTTCCCTGGTTTGGCGGCTGGTACGCGGAACCCTCCTACTGGGGCTTGATCACCCAGTTCCTGTTGATCCAGGTCTTCGACGCGTGCGGCCGCGTGTGCGCCATGACCGGCCCGCTGATTCTGGGTATGGGCGGCATGATTCAGTTCTGGTACGCCTCCTTCCTGTTCTGTGGCATGTTTCTGGACCCGGACAACGTGCCCTGGCCCTTCCGCGCGTTCACCTACATGTCCCCGCACCGCCACGCTACCGCCATCTTTCTGTATTCCGACTTCGAACACGAGGAGTCCTGGGGCAGCGCCGCACCGTGCGCGACTGCCACGGGCGTTTCGTCTCCGACCTGCATCTACCTGCCCGGCGAAACCACCGGCTTCACCTGCCCCGACTCGATTTCCACGGGCGGCAAGGAAGACTTCAACTGCTGGGGTTACACCGGCGTGCAGGTACTTGATAAATACATCTCGAAATAAATCGAAATAAAAAAAGTGCACTCGTGAGTTTGTTGTTGGTAGTAGAAATGAGGTATGATATTGATACAAAAATGCCGATCTTCTTCATCAAGATGAAGGGTTCATCCGCCATTACTTTGCTGTTCTTCAAGATGAATGCCATTTTTACTTTGCTGTTCAGCTTCAAACAAGCTGAACAGCAAAGTAATGGCATTACAGCTGTTATGGTTAATCTTAATATGCTGCGGCTCGTGCTGCTCGTCACATTTTCAAACTGATAAATTCAGGTGTTGAAGTCTTTGAAGACCTACTATCCGGCGATCGACACGGATGATGATCTGCTCGGGATTCGCGTGCTCGTCCTGATCGGACTTGCTTTCTATTTCACCGTGGTCCACGCCTTTTTATTCTACAAGGAGTGCTGGAGCAGTGGAAAGGTTGAGTTGCCGCCGAATGCCTCGGATCCGGTCGCCATCAAGCCGGAGGGCGAAACGGTGAAGCCGCAAACCATGGACGAAAAACTGGCTTCCGATGTGCTGCGCGCGCGCACCATGACCCTGGGTATAGTGCGCCTGCAATAGGATGTTCATGTTCTATTATTTGTCATCAATCGCCTTTACCTTTTCGTTTTCGAAACAGACTAGTAAGCACAAGCTCGTCCTCGACGAGAGCGGCTAGCGGCGTTTCAGTGCCCGCAGTAAACAAGCAGCTGCACTGTGCAGCTGCTTGCAGCTTGTAGCTTGCACACAGCGACGAGGTCTTTTTTTGAATTTTACCATATCATGTTCAAACCCAGGTATGGACCTGAAGCCGTTCGAGCCGGAAAATCCGAACCGGTTTGAGTGCTGCAAACTCTCTGTGCAGATCAAGGCGAAAAAGCCTATGTTCGGCACACCCACGTCTGAGAAGCCGCTCGTGAAGTCCATTTCCCTGAAAGCGTCCGGGGGGCAGGTTTGCGCGATGCTGGGGCCGTCCGGCGCCGGTAAGACCACGTGGCTGGATGCGGTCACCTTCAACCTGGCCGGGAACCTGCAGATGCAGGGTTTACTGTACGTGAACGGGCGTTCCGTGACGCATTTGAACGACCTCGCGCAAGACTGCGTGTACGTGCCGCAGTACATCCAGCTGATCCAGACCCTGACCTGCCGCCAGAACCTGGAGTTTACCGCCAACCTGGTGATGGCGGACAAAAGCAAAATTCCCGAGGCCGTGGAAAAAATGCTGGTCGCCATGGGTCTAAAGGACTGCGAAGACCAGAAGGCGGGCGGCATCCTCGGGAACAGCGGCATGACCGCGGGGCAGAAAAAGCGGCTGTGCGTCGCGTGCGGCCTGCTGCGCGAGCCCCGCATCATGTTCCTGGACGAGCCCACCACGGGAATCGACTCCGCGTCGGCGTACTTGATGATGTACTACCTGCGCAAAGTCGCACAACTGAAGAACATGGTGGTGGTGTGCACCATCCACCAGCCCTCCTACGAAATCTGGTCCCTGTGCGACGAGGTGGCCATCCTGGCTTCTGGCGAGATGGCCTACTGCGGGCCGCGGCCGGAGATTCAGCAACACTTCTCGTCCATCGGATTCACGGTGCCGGCGCTGACCAACCCCGCGGAGTACTACTTGGATTTGGTGAACAGCGACTTCGCTTCGAAGGAGCAGCAGGAAAAGATTTTGTCCGGTTGGAAAGCGAGCAAGAAGCACACGGATTCCGTCAACGGCGGCCCGCTCGGCGAGTTCACGTCCACCGTGGTCCCCACCGGCGCCGCCACGGAATCTACGGGGAACAGTCTGCTGCCCCCGTCCGGCGCGAGCTTGATCAAAACGCTGTTCTACCGCGAACTGCTGGTGTCCTGCGTGACCGATCCGACGCTATTGTGAGGCAAAATCCCCCCTCCTCATATCGAAACGAAGTTTCTGATGCTGGATTTGCGTACGCAAATCAGATTTGTCTTGCAGAAAGTGCTTGGCGGTATTTTCTAAGCCTGTCTGGGCATGCAGAAGGCTAGAAATTGCGCATGGCAAACAGCAGGCTTGCAATAGCCGAAGCGCATTACAGACTAGCTCTGGAATGCGTCAGATGACTCCTATTACCCCATATGCAAGACAAAGATGATTTGTGACCGCAAATCAGCATCACAAATATCCGTTTTGATATGGGGAGGGGGGATTTTTCATTTTGATAGACACCGTATCTCGGACGGATGATGTTGTACATGGGCTCCTCCATCTTCTTTGACATCGCGTACGCGGGGCACTTTGAGTGGTCCCAGGAGAACGCCATGATGAAAGCCTGGCTGATGGGGTGGATCTTCTGTGCGCAGACTTTGTTCGCCGCGGCCGCCACCGTGTTCTACAACTTCAGCTTCAAGCTGGTCAAGAACGAGATTCGCAACGGGTTCTACTCCGCCTGGATGTACTTGACCGCGATGACCCTGATCTCCATCCCCATGTGCCTGGTGCTGGCCATGTGCGTCTTGTGGATTCCGACCTACTGGCTGGGCAACATGCGGTGGAACATCGAGAACGTGCTGATCATATCAAATGCAAATATGCCTGGGGTCGGAAACTTGAACTTGTGATGGATGACGAAAACACTTCCGTACGCAGGAAAGTATGACAAGTTTGCAGAACGCTTTCTCATACGCACTCCGCATGAGAAACAGCGTTTTTGTACGACAAGAGAGGCTGCGACTTTTGTTGGTCATGCAGTTGCAGTACAGATTTCACAGGAATGTAGGTCCCTGTACCCTTAGAGTAGCCCCCCCAACTACTCGAACGCAACCGAGCGCCGGGAAATCAACACTCGAGGCACTTGCGCCCGGACTTGGATCAGCTCACAGATGCCAGAGAATGAATTAGGGATAAACCAACATTGCAAGAAGAGGAGGCTTCTCTGTCGTCGCCAAGGATTGCGCCCTCTTGTTATTATCGGGGTTCGCTGTCTTAGGGCGGCGTCGCGGGTGTCCCCTACAAACATAGAATCCGCAGAAAGCGGATCCCTGGTGCATTTGGCATTCCATGTACCTGGAGGGCGCAAGCCTCATGCCATGCCATGCCATGTAAGACCAGCATTACAAGTTCCAACTTTGCAGACCCAGACATATTTGCAATGCATAGATCACCCACGTCAACGTTTGGGTCTACTACATCTCCTTCGAGTTCTTCGCGCAGATGGCCTCGGTTCTGTCCATGAACGTCCTCATCGGACTCCTCGCCATGATCGTCTACTGGTAAAAAAGAAATTTTTCTTAATCCTGGTAGATGGTTTTACTTTTATCCTTGTTTCTGCTTTTTATCGTTGTTCCCAAGCCCAACGAACGCGCAGTGCTGTGGTGGAGAACTTGTCTATATAAATAATATGATACCCTCTCAACATCATGCTCGTTGTCCATGCCATCATGGAAAGTGAAAGGCTATACTAGTGATTTTCTTGAATGAAGATGCAAAAAATCAAAATAGAAACCTCAACCTTCTCTGTCGTTGCGCGTTCTATCAGGTACAATGCGTTCTTGTTCAGCGGTTTGATGGTGAACATCGACGAAGTCAACTACCCCTTCAAACTCTTCACTTACACGATGCCGACCCGGTGGGGCTTGGCGAACCAGATGTACATCGAGTTTGCCTGGACGGAGCGCAGCATTCCGGGCGCGGTTTCGTGCCCGGTGGTTGATGGCACCACGTTCACGCAGGCCCAAGCGGATCTGCAGCAGTGCCAGTACCCCGCGGGCGCTAATGCGGCCGGGTACACGTGCCTTGGCCATTCCGACGTCCCGGCGTACGAGTGCTTCGGAAATACGGGGGAGTTCGTGTTGCGCAAGCTCAATGCCCTGGCGTTCAAGACCTTTGAACCGGAGAACGATGTCGCCTTGTTCATGTTGTTGGTGGCCGTGATCGCGATCTCCAACAAGATGGGCCACGTTTTCTTCTTCTACAAGCACTGCTCTTCTTCCCCGCCGCTGCCGCCGCCGGAAGCGCCGGCTGCGCCGGTCTCTGCGGGGGAGTCCGAAAAGCAGGACGAGTTGTAAGGGGTCGTGACGAGTGGATCTGCTTTTTCGCTCGTCAAAGCAGGCCAGGTCGACTTGCTCTGGTGGAATTACTTTTCGAAAAGTAAGTATTTCCAAGAACGTTTAAGTTTTAGCTAACCTCAGTTGCGTCAACCTCAAGAAAAGGCGAACTGTGTATAGCAAAGATAACGTTTCGGTCCTGCTGATTGTCATTGATTGTTGCAAGCGTTGTTTTTCACAAGACAACTGAACAAGTTCAATTGAGAGCTCAGGTTTGATACTATCTATTGACCACAGAATCCGAACAAATCAGTGTTTTTTCGTTTCTATATTTTATTTTGGGAGATGTGGAATAGCGTACTAACTACAGGTTTCAGTTATGACAATGCAGCTTTATTTTTTCCTTCACCAACTATAAATATTCATATTGTAGTTAATGTTATCTATAGAATATTTCTGGTTGCACTTCTTTTAGGTCACTTTCGCTGCTTTTTATGCAAAAACGTGTTGAATATGAATTTCAACAACTTGACGCTGACGTTGGCATACCGACAACAGCATGAGCAGATGTCTACTTTTTGTGAAGACTGCTCTTCGTGGTCAATCGTGAATTTATTTTCCGTTTATTATTTTCAGCTTTTGAAGCTGTCATTTTTATTTTCATTTTCCAGAGAGACGATCGCTTTTCTGGTCAACAGAATATGAATAGAAGCGAACAACTTTTATTCTAGATTGTGGTCTCTGTCGTCAAGTGCCGGCCTGATCTGGGAGGAATACCAAGTTAGTACTCAATGGTGGAGGTATTATACCAATGGAGCTCGAAGCAGCATTATTAATGCTGCGTATGCGTAAAAGGGTCGGACGGTCAGACTTCTGAGCCACACTATTTATTAATTGGGATACGGATCGATAAGTATCTTCAAAGGACTACAACTATGCGAGAAGTTTCACTTTAAGTTTTACGGTTGCCGTTTTACTTTTTTTCATAAAAATGCAACTGCCCGCCCCTGGTGGGAAGGGAAGTCGTGACAAGAACCTGGAAATGTTCAAAGATATTTGTAAATATCGATCGCGCAACTAGGTGGTCAAGAACCATCGCTCCTGGTGAGTTTCACAAATGTCGGTGCACACATCGGTCAGTTTCGATCTCAAAGAACTCAAGTATCTATGTCTCGGTTCCCGCAGATCAATTGTTGCTCCTGAAGAGCACACCTCGGTCACAAAACCGGCTAGAAGTCGGGCAAAAACAGCATGGAATGCTGGAAAATTTGCAAATTTAGTTCGGTTGTCACTCCTGTGTAGGTGCTGCCCAAATTAAAATTATTAAAATTTAAAAATTAACCCTAGTATTAGGGTTAATGTCTCACCTTTGTCGGTTGTGCCACACTCTCGAGGGCCAGTGATATCGGTCTCCAATGCGGTCGGGTGGGTATCGCCCTTCCCGCCTATTCGGCTCGCTCTCTAGGAGTCCCAATCCCGCCGACCTGTATATGGGTTTCCGCATTCTTTACTACCCTTAAAGATGCTAAATACCATCATAGCACCGGCGGGTTAAGGACACAATGTAAACAGTTCGGTCTAAAGGGAGTGCGATAAAGTCGGAACACGCTTCCGCACTTGAAGAAAGCCTCTGAATCGGTAACTACTAGGTAAGGCTTTGTTAAGAATCCCGGCGATTCATCACTACAGTTCCAACTTGAACCTCTGCCTTTACCACCTCTAGACTGCACCTATAAACTGCACCGTCTGCTTGTCACAGCTCGCAATTTACTTAGCAACAAACCACACCTAAAGACGCGAACTAAACCGACAAACTAGACCACACTAGGTACGGAGTTAGACACTCTCAACATCACTACAGCTAATAACTACGCTTCACAGGCTTCGCCGCGAAGTCTTGCTTCACTAGACAGCGCCTGCACCAAGTTACCTTTTGCTTAGCAACTAAGCGCAGTCAGGTTATTGCGCTACAAAATGATCGGCTCCTGTTGTTTCCCGATGCAGCAGTCCGGCTGCAATGCTCCCGTTCTCTGCATGCGTCAGTCCCTAGGCGAAGGGATGCACTGCCTCTGCAAGCGGTGCAAAACGGTCGGCACTATGGGAACAGCGCCGCCGATCATCAATTTTGGAACGATGACAGCCAGCTCGTGCTGTCAGCATGACAGTTTTGTGAACGTGCCGCTCGAGAAGTGCATTGCCCTGCGCAATATGCAAGACAACCTGCACACGCCCTGGGGGCCGTCTACCGTTGTCTACACGCAAACGCCGACCTGCGGCGCGACAGAGCAGTGCTGTCGCAAGATGCCCATGCCTGCGCCTCCGGTTATCACGGCGCCTGCCACACAAACACAGACTGCACCTCACAAACACACCAGCACCAATCTAAGTCGCTCCAACCACAGCCACGCCGTCTTTCCCGCAACGCCGGCAAGCTCAGCCGGCACCACTTCAGACAAACACACCAAGGCAGAAGATGCGACGATGTCGCATGCCAATCTGCCGGGGAGGAATGAAGTAAAGCAGGTCATTCGGGAGGCCTACCTGCTGAACACGAGAACCACCAGCAAGCAGGTCCAGAAGATGCTGTGGAACAGATTCCACATTAGAGGACACCAGATCCGCGGCATCCTCCGCGACACGGTCGGGCAGTGCTTGTTGGCACTGCGCCCAAGAAATCGACAGGGGCAACCTAATGCACCGGCTCAAGGGGCTGCGCGAGAACGCAGCCCTCGACGCACCCAAAGAACTGCTGCCAGCCCTCCTGCTGGATCGACCGTAGGTCAGAACACCGGCAGCACAAACTCGGGCAGAGCGGAGACGACCAATACCGCGCCGGCGGTGGATAAAACGGCGCCCGGCAACAACGTCGCCTCCAGCAGCGCAGCAGCTGCTTCATCCTCCGCACCAGGACCAAGTACGGTAACCATGCACAAGCCGACATCTTCACAGCAATCAAGTGGTGCCAGAAGCAACAACATCAACAAAGCCGCAACAGCCCGCCCAGAACTGGCCGATCTTCAGAAGCTTCTTGATGAGTATGACCCCTGGGTCGCTCCAGAAGAAATAACGTCGCAGCTGTGGGTGCGGCTCCGCCTCCGCAGCCACGATTGCAAGCGGCTCTTCGGGAAAACCATCACGGAATTCCTAGCGGAACGCCAAACGCAACCAACGGAGGCGGAAAAGCAAACTATTCGGGACGTCGCAAAGTCTATCCTCGACCAACAGCCCGGCTTGCCGCAAATCGAGTGGTTACAAGAAATCGAGAAAGTCACGAAAGCCAAGCCGCAACTGGTGAAGCTCGCACATGGTTGCCGCGTGGACCAGCTTTACCGCAAACTGACCAACCAGCAGTTCCTGAAGTCGGCAGGCGTGGGCAACCAGCTGAACGCGAAGGAACCGTGCACGGGGTACCAGCGGACGGGAGTCTGCCCCAAGGGGGGGCCGCCTGCCTGCAGCAAGGACCACAATGTTCCTCTCCTGCTCGCTAAGCCGGGCGTGGCTACGCAACCGGTAGGCGACCTCCTCGACGGCCAGCAACTTCCGACGGCGGGCTTATCGAAGAAGGGGAAAACAATCTTCGCAAGCGAAAAAGTTGCCAGCGCAGCCGCGGATCGAGCTGCCGCTTCCGGCGCGGCCAGCAGCACAAGCGCAGCCGCCACCGGGGGCGCCGCACATGCTGAGAAGGCGTACCTCATCTGCGCCAGCGACACAGTGCACTACAACAGCATTGACGCGCTGTATGAGCTCCACGTCCGGGAGGGTGGACAGATGAACAAAGAAACCTTCAGCACGAAGGTGGAGGCCGGCATTAAGGAAACGGCCCACCCGAAGTCGGCAAGGACGTCCGACGTCGAACTACAGGGGGCGGCGCACGCTCTCGGCGTCACGATCCGTTTCTGGGGAGCGGTAGGGGGAGGTGTGTTTGACGACTCACAGCGGAAATACGACCGATCCACCTGCGACGTGAAGATCATTGCACCGAAAGACCGGGGTTTGCTCGGCGCAGCATATCAGATTCTCATTCTCCCGAACGGGAGACTGCGGGCTCTTCTGTGAACTCACGCTCACGAGTAACAACGATCCAGGTGACCAATCCGCCCTTCGGCTGGTTACCTGGAACGTAAATGGGATCCGCCGCAAAACGCACGGCATCATCCAGCGCTGCCGTGAGCTTGAGGCGGATCTTGTGGGCGTAGTGGAAACTCTGGCAGACGAAAAAGCGCTGAAGCCGCTCGACAAGAGTTGGGAGAAACGCGGATACGCCCGGGAGGCGACCTTTATCCGCGCTCACAGCAACAAAACTGCAGGGGGTCTTGCGATCTATGCAGGCCCAAGAGTAACCGTCTGCCCGACCACGAAATCCATCCCGCACTGGAAAAAAGGAAGCAAAATTGAAGTAGCTCGCGTGCGGATTATTCTCCCCGGTGGAGAATGGGGAACCCGCACAGCACTCATTTGTCTTGTATATATTGCGCCCGGCACGACGCCGCGCGATCATGAACTCGCGGAAATTTTTGCCCCCGCAGCACCAGACGAAGATGTTCTGCTCATGGGGGATCTCAATATCAATCAGTGGCACAGCCGCTGGCTGAGTAGCGGCGGTGGCGCCGACGCCGGGATGCTCGATCTAACGCCGAACGACAAAACCTATCCCGCCTGCGCGCCAATTACGACACCCGACCGCATTCTGTGGCGCCCCGGGTCCACCTGCATCTTCCCAAGGCTAGCAGAGCACGCATTCGGGGCAGGCGACGACTGGGACGCAGAACAAGGTCCGGGACAACCAGAAGCAGGGCCCATTCAGCCAACGTGGGTAGACCATGGCGCCCCGAAGAGCTGCGACCACCTGCCGCTTGTCACACGGTTGGAAACGTACCAGGACCCAGCGAAAGCGCGCTCCATCGCCCGATACGTGCTTCCAGATGCCACCAGCAATGACCCAGATGTCGTTGCTGAAGTTGCGCAACTCGACGCACGGCTAGCAGCTGCGATGGCGGAACAAGCTGCGGATGAGGACATTCCGACGATCAACGACTACACGGAGGCACTAATAGAACGGGTAGCGGAAGCAGTCTCGCCGTGGCGAATAACCGTGGAAGGCACCGGCCGCCCACCCACCAGGAAGCAGTTTCTCGCCAATCACGCATGGCATGAAGATGCTGTTGCACTCGAAGAGGCCTACAAGCAGGACGACCATGCCGAAATTCTTAGACTCGAGCGCATCATCCGGGCGGCAGGATGGCGCCGCTTTCTGAGGGGTTGCAAAGTCTCCGGCTCAATGCGGCCGCTCTGGCGCTTTCTGGCCAAAAGCGACGGCAGGCTTCCCTGGCTCAAGCGGACCGTCCGCTCCGCCATCAAGGACAGCCACGGGCGTTGGTGCAACACAGACCGCGCCAAGGCAGCGGCCCTGGGGGCACACCTCAGGGACAAGTACATGTTCCAAGCGGACCACCCGTCCCAACTCTCGCCGGCAACCCAGAGCGCGCTGGACATGGCGGCGCCGGTGGCCGAGGTAACCGCGACGGAGGTAGAGGCCGCATACAAGCTGCTGGGAAAGGGCAAGGCGCCCGGGCTAGACGACTTGCCGCTAGAAGTCTGGCGAGGCCCGACCTGGCACACATTGGCCGCACTCTACACCCGCGTCCTCCGCAGTGAAGGTCTTCCGGACGCTTTCAGCAACAGCAAGGTAATCTGGTTAGACAAAGCCGGACGACCGCCAGAACAGATGGGCTCCTACAGACCCATTTCCCTCATCTCCACAGTGGCGAAACTGCTGGAGAGGGTTGTGCTGGGCCGTCTTCCGGAAACGGAAGACGCGTCCCAGCACGCCTACCAGCGAGGGAAGTGCACGGAGATACTTCTCCAAGAGTTGGCGACCCACGTGGATGGGCTAGCGAAAAAGGGCAGGACGATCCTCATCGTGCAAACAGACATAGCCGGGGCCTTCGACTCGGTCCCACATACGAAGCTGGTCGATCAACTACTCCGGCAGGGAATCGACGCCGGTCTGGTGCGCTACATATGGCGCTGGCTGCGCCACCGTGCCTTCTGCTCCCAGGTGGGGCAGGAGCGGTCGCAGTGGTTCCGGCCTTGCACTGGAATCCCCCAAGGAGGGGCTTTATCCCCTTGGGCGTGGAACTCACTTCTCGCGGGTACGGCGTCAGAAGTCTCGGCAAAAGTCGGGGCGGGACTTTGGTTGCGTTTCTTTGCTGATGACGGCACGGCCATCATCGACGGGAACTCACCAGAAGAGTGTGCGGCTATCGCCGCGCAGTTCGAGGAGGCGCTCTCGGCGTCGCTTGTCGCACGTGGACTGCGGCTTGCCCCCTCGAAGATGGAGGCCATGTGGCTCGACGTTCCGAAGACCGGTGTGTACCGGCGACAACACGACACCTACGGAAGGGTGCGCAAAGACCCAACGCCGGTGGAGCAGCCACCGGCACAGCTTGCTGCGATCCCATACCCGACCAAGAACTCCCTCCGGGTGTTGGGGCTCCTGGTCGACCATCGCTTCACGATGTGTGCTCATCTGGCCCACATCGAGAAGAAGTGCACGCTGAGGCTCTCCATCCTGCGGTCCTTGGCAAACCGCCACTGGGGACTTGATGTAGCCACGTTGTCGCAAACAAGTCTCTTTTTGGTCTCGCACATCCTGGGGTATGGGGTGACGATTTACGGGAGCTGCGCCTCGCAGGCAGCTCTCCAAAAACTCAACACGAAGATCATCAACCCAGCAGCCAGAATAGTGCTGGGGACGTCGCGCACCCAGCGCCTGGAGTCGCTGTACATGGGGAGCAACCTCCAGAGCGTGTTTAACATATACACGTCGCGTCTTGCTTCCTTTGTTGACAGACTGCTCCGGGCCTCGTCCACGCCGCTGCGGGAGCGGATTGCAGAGACGATCCCGGGGTTGCGGTATGTCTATGAGCCGGCGTTGCCCCCGCGCGAAATGCGCGCGCAAGACCCGACGGAACTTGCGGCGCTCCGGCCTGACTGCCCGTACACAACGGCGGTCACCTCCTGGACACATTGGGTGGCCCTGCCTCCCGCGCAAGCTTCAACTGCACAAAGCCCCAGTGCTGAGCAGCAGCCGGCCCGCCGGGTGTATCATACCTACGCCCCTGAGCTGGAATCGGATCAGGAAGCCGACCGACAATTTGCGCCACCGGCTGCGCAGTGTCCCCCCTGGGCTATGGAAGCGGTCAAGACCCTAGAGAGTGCAGGCTGGAACCGGCACCAGGTGCAGCGCCTCCAAACCTACCGCCCCCAGGTGGGGCGGCTAGAGAACTTGCGGGTGCACTCGCATGAGCTCGCCGGGACCAGAGATGAACTAGCGGCGCGCTACAAGTTCACCGGGGCGTGCGACGGGGCACACCTTGCAGCAACAGGGCGCGGGGCCTCGGCTGCCTACCTTCACAGCAGCCGCGAAGCGAGGGTGCTTGCCGGAGCTTGGGGTGGGAACAAAAGCTCCTACCGCCCGGAGTTCACGGCCCTCATGGATCTGCTCGGCCTCGCCATCCAGGCCGCCGCCGAAGAAGATACTGCCGCTCAAGAGTTACTGCTTTTGTCCGACGCACAGTCAGTCCTCGCCCGCATTAAAACGCTTGCGCAGTGCGGCGGGCTGGCTACAGATGCAGAGTGCGAGATGATGGCCCGCCTGGAGCGGGTCAGTCGGCTCTACAAATGCATCAGGATCCAGCATGTGTACGGCCACACTGGGGTCACCCACAACGAAGTCGCGGACACCTTGGCCGACCACGCCGCCGCCCTCGGTCCCGCGCCAGCTGAGTGGCCACAGGCACCGACCCTGGACGACATGAAAGGACTAGTCAAGGCGGAACTAGACAGGCAAGAAGCGGACACCATGCAGTCGCTGAAGCGGGCGGCCCCGTCCGTCAGTGGCAGCCTCTGCAGTGTCTTCCTCCCGGACCGCCCGGCCTGCAAGAAACTGTACAAAGAACTCAGCGCGCAGGGCGAAAGTCGTGAGGTTCAAGTAACTGCGGCAAGCCTACTAGGCGCCACCCGCTTCAAGCAACTCACCCCGGCCGGGCTTCTCGGCCGTATGTGTCCCAAGTGCGACGCCGTTGCGGACACGCCGGCCCACTTCCTAGAGTGTTACGTAGTCGGGGACCTTGGCGGGCTATCGGACCCGCAGCGCCTGGCGCGCCTGTTCTCCTACGTCACATACGAAACGCGCGCACACCAAGACGAGCGGCGCCGTGCCGCCGGCGGCGGCGACGCAGCCGGGCCACCGCCGCCCCAGCACAGGGGCAATTTTTGAGCACGAAGGGCATTTTGCCACCTTGAACGTACAGCCGTCACTACTTCTGGCCTGGTGCCAGTCGCACGTGGAGCCGCTCAGGCAGCGTCTCCCTACACACCGTAGTATAATCATTCTGTGCTGCGCACCAGGAGTGCGCCCTCTGATTGATGAAACTATAAGGAACCAGCGCAAGAGCCGGCCCGCCATGGTCACACCCTCCAGCGCGATGTTCTCCTCCAGCCTCGCGTCTAGATGTCGTGTTGCGTAGGTGGGTTTCGTTTCACTGTGCTTCCACAACCTCGTTGTTCAGTGGGTCGCTGCAAGAACAGCAGGATCAAAGAGCGAGCGCCACGTCTGTTTGAAACAAGAGTGGATCAAATAAATAAAAAATAAAAATGCAACTTTATGTTATATTGACAACAGCACATAACGTTAACGACATCGAGGTTTCGATCAAATAACAATCTTCTGTATGATGCAAAAGGAGAACAAAATCATAGATTTTGGTCAACAACGAGTACACCATAAGATATCGGCTTGAACGAGGAGGGAAAAAGAATAGCTTGTTTTGAACAATCCGGTCGAATTTCGGAAAACCAAAATGTACAAGTATTTTATGTCGATGAATTGGCATCTTTTTCTTAGATAAATCTATCTACATGAAGTTGTTTATAAGTAGTGACGAACTTGTTTCAAGTACTAACTCTTTCTAACCTTATGAGTTTGATCACTCACGTTTAGGCCTCTACATAGATCAAATGCAAATCGCTTACGGCCTGGTCTTGGTTGCCTACGATAGTACTCTCTCTGCTGACTTCTGCAAAAATCTAGGCAAAGGTTGAGAATGTCGCTTGTTTTTAGAAAAGCATAAAAACATCAACCACAACCGCGACAGCCCGGGCATCGGGCCTCGTCTGACCCGACGGGTGAGGTCGGCGTTGTTTGCTTCAACCATGAAGCCTATTCGTCCACGCAGGTATGATTTGTCGCTGTGTCTGCGTTTCCTCGGTTTCTTTTATTTGCACTGTTTTTCGGATCATTTTTTTTGGAGGCGGCGAGAGACGTAGAGCGTTTTCGTTGCAAAAGCCGCAACATGACGAGGGGCCAAATTTGCTGAAGAGTGTTGAAGGTCACTTTTTCTTTCGTTGTGAGATGAAGTCGCATACCCAACTGCCTTTAACGCAAAGCTGCAACTCGAGCGGATTTTGATTTTGTTTGCAAAACTGACAACACGTTTTTACTTCCATTCGTCGCTCAAAGACTAAACAAAGCGAAAACTAACAACAAACCTCAAATTGAACCCAGGTTGTTCAACAAAAAAAAACCGAATAGACGAACACGCAAGTTCTTTATTTACTAGAAGCAGCATCAAAATTCAAAATCGAAGGCCACAGCGCGCAGACTACAGATGAGCCTGAACTGTCACATCGACTCGACCATCTAACAGCTTTCGAACGACAAATATCTTCTACCTAAAAGTAAAAATAAAGAGCCGTCTTTGAGCATGCCGAGACGACCCAACCCGAGCCGGCCGGCTCCGGCGGTAAAAAAACCCGCAGCCTCGGAGAAGACGAATACCAAGACCGGGAACAACTACAACAAGTTGCAACAAGGTCGTCCTCCCGTGGTGGGGAAAATGATGAAGATGTCGATGCCCTCTTCGAAAAATAACGGACAAAAGCAACAACACGCCTCTTCGTCTATTTCTCGGTCCTTCCAGATGAATAGATCCACCACCACCACCGCCTCGTCTGCCGTAGCTCCTGTGGCGAAAAAACAGCTGGCTCCGCGGTCGGTGCAACCGGTGTTCGAAATGCCACTGAAGCCGCAGAAACTCGCGGAGTTCAGGGACGAGCTCGACGACTTCCTCGCCTCGGCGCCAGGCGACCTCGACGTAAGCACCCTCTCGTCCTTCGGCGAGGATGAACTACAGAGCGCCACAGCTTCCGGGTCGTCATCTGGTGTCCTCTCTGCGTTTGCAGCGGAGGACCTGAAAAGCTCTGCGGTCGAGTGGATGGTCGGTGGAGCAGCTGTCGGGTTGAACAATAGGGAAGAAGCAATGCAGCTGAAGAAGAACGGTAAAAATGCAGCAGCACCGTCGAACACTGACATGATAAAATGGAACAAGGACACGTTTCTTCTCGTGTACAAAACCATCGCAAAAGCAGTTCCTGCTCTTCTCAGCAAGAAGGATCACGAATTGAAGCTAGCAGCTGGTGGCGGGTCATTTTTACTGGCGAAAAAGAACAATAAAGGCAACCATCGATTTTTGAGCGATACTTCCAGTGCTGTCGACAAAAACGACGCTACCAGTGTGTCCGCAATGGAACAAGAGTTACAATCGACCGATGAGCAGAGTTCGTTTGACGAGGACGCTGCTCCTGCGGCAGGCACGACAAAAGACAACGACTTGCTCTCCTTCCGGGACCGTCAGAAGCTCGCCGTGGTTTTCGACTCTGATTTCGTGTATAACCTGCTCAGGTGTTACAATCTCAAACGTTACAATAGAATCTGGAATTTGTGTTGCAAGAAGTGCATGATCTACTCTACTCCCACAGGATTGCGCATGACAAGTTCTGGAGTCCCAATCCGCACTACAATCTGGCGAAATTTGTATTGCAGAAAGTGGAATGCTGTCCGAGTCTGTCATGTTGATCATGCAAGACAAATCTCAGATTCTATTGTAACGTTTGAGATTGTAACGTTTGAGCGGGGCATATCGTGTCGCACACGATTCTGGACCCGCTGCAGACCACGACCACTTTTCCGGATCTGCAGCCGCTGGTTTTTCTCCTCGGCTTGCTCATGCAAATCCCTTGTCGTGCGGACGGAGAAGCGTCTTCTAGCGCTAGCGCCAACTATGGTGGTCGCCACCAGCATCTGGCTGAACAAGACCAAATGAAAACCACAAAAACACACTCCGGCTCGAAGAAAACCTCGAGCGGCAGCAAGAATAAGAAGCACGCAGCGCCGAAAAAGAACTCGAACAAGCGCAAAAACCCGCTAGTGCTGCACGACGACGATGATGATTTCAGCGCACTGAACGAGTCGTTTGTATCCGACGGTGGAGCTACAGCTACAACCTCGGCCGCGAATGAAAAAAATGAGAATTTCCACCCTTCCGGTCCTTTGCTTTCCGTCATTGCGGCCAAGACTTTGGCGGTCGTATTAAACTGGATAATGTCCTACCCGTCCCGCGCAGGGCGCGCCGGGCTTCCGCTTACCTCGGTGGCACTGTTCACGTACGCGAGGGAGGCGACTTTCGGGCTGTTTTCCGACCCCGCTTCTGCTCTGGCGCAGTTTGAACAACAAGACAAGACAAGAAATTCCGGGAAGATGTTGAATTTCTTATCTGAAGACCACAACCAGACGATTTTAGACGAGTTGTGGTGCGCGTTGATCGCTACGGCACCAAAATCAGTCAAGAAAATGAATGAGGCTGCGGAGGACGACGAAGACAATTTACAACAAGAGGAAAACAATAACGTGGCGTCAACTTCTTCTGTCACTGCTCCTAAGGGCAGCGGACGACCACGACAACAAGCAGCACAACAAGCTCCCGAAATCGTGACGTATTTGGTCACGAAATGGATGTTGCTGGCGAACCGGCTTGGCGAGATGTTCACGTTGAAGCACTCCGTTCGCGAGCGGTACTGGAGACTGCTGTTGCGTCAGCTGCGGACCTGGCACCAGGAATTTTCCTCGATGGAGAACAGCACGTCGACCTCCTTCCGTGATGTGCCGGTGGTCCGGTTCCTGCTGGAGGAGGCCCGCAATCAGATGCAGAAACACCGCGCAACAGCAGGAACTTTGTCTGGGAGCAGCGGTGCTGCTGGTCCTGGTGAGCAACAGGTGGTGGACATCGCAACAACGCTCAAAGTCGCAAAGAACGCGCAAACCACGTTTCGCAGCTTAGCAGGTACAAAGGTTGTGACCACGTGTAGTCTTCTACGCAATAATTTAGTATTGTTCCGCGCTGAAGGTGAAGCTGATAGCAGGATGACAGAGGATCATGCTTTTTTCGTACCACAATTTGTGTTTCTGTGCGTCGAGCTGCAATGCTGATAGATCAATTTGGAATAACCATTGTCAGGTGGTTTTTTTCCCTTGTTCGCCGAGGAGCAAAATGCCATGTTCGAGCAGAACTTCGACGAAATCTTGACGTTTCTTGGCGTCTGCCCCGATTACCAGGTGCGGCAGGACATTTTGACTGCGATTGTTTCGAATTCCCTCGGTTCTACTGGATCGGGTACAGAGACAAGCACGACGATCATGTTGAACAGCTCGTCGTCCAGCATGGGCACGAAAGAGAGCGCCGTCCTGGAGAATGGTACAATCCCCGCATCCAAAGAATCTTCTCCCATGAAGACCGTACTGGACAAGAACAGGAGCCAGGATGTTTTACTTTCCGCAGCCTCAAGCACATCGTCTTTGACAATTGCCCGCAGAAATAAGCAAATCCAAGCGACTCTCCTGCTGCACTGCGCGGACAAGGTGTCCTACGTCCGGAGCCGTGCGCTGAAGCTCCTGGGTGAGATGATTCAGAGTGCTGCGGGGAGGGGCGTGGAAGATCCTTTCGCTGTTCAACAAGTCGTGAAAGATGACATAGAAGCAAAAACATCTTCGGTTGATGATGTTGACAGCAGCGATCGCTATCCCGCGGCCACCTTCCACCTCGCGATTGCGGAAGAAGCTGCGAAACGGTTGCGCGACGTGACGTGCATCATCCGGAGGCAGGCTTTGAAGCTGTGCTGTGTTCTGATCGAGCAGGAGCCGTTTACTGCGTTGCTGGAACGGGAACGGGAAGCGAAGACAGAAAATCATGCTGGGGTTCAAAATCCTTCTGGTTCTGTCGACCATAGCGACGAGGGGAATAAGTCCGTTTCCTCCAGCGTCGTGGATGAGGAAGACGACCTTTTGGCCGACGACAATCCAGAAAATAAAAAGCGCAAGGAGCCAGCCAAAGACATGTCAAAGAAGAACACTTCATCGGCAGATGAGGAGATGGCGAATGTTATGGCCAAAAAAGAAGAAGTAGAAGGCGCAACAAAAGGAAAAGCAAGTACAACAACTAGCACTAGTAGTACACCTGTAGCTGCGGTGGAACAACGAACGTTGAAGGCAAAGCAGAAGCGGTTCACTGACCTCTTCGAAGCCGAAATTCTTCCGGCCATGGATCTGTTGTTGTCGAGCACCGTGAGCCAGGACGTTCTGGAAGTGATTTCCACCGTGCAGAAGATGCAGAAAACAACGTCTTCCTCCTCTTTCGCAAGGAATTTGCTGCACCGGTTGGCCCTGAAGGTGTACGCATTGGTCTTGAGTGACCGCACGGAGATCGGGAACGCCGCCTGCGTCTGCTTCAGCGAGGAAGTCGACTCGCTGGCAAAATTGCAAGACTTGTTTGATTCCGCGAAGACCCAGGCGGATGAGCTCGCGTTGGTCGCGCAAGTCAATCGCATGAAGGACCGGCAGCTGCTGCACAAGTTCGCGAAGGAAGTGTTTTCTTTCATGTCGACCAGTAGTGCTAATGTCAAGGACGGCGGCGCAATGAGCAGGGGGTCTTCTGCAGCTGCCAAACCCGGTATTTTTCTCAAAAAGATTCACGTAATCCTTGCCGGTGTCGGCGCCAGCGAGGAGATGACGCGGCAGGTGTTGTGGGTCAGCAACCAGCTCGCCACGCGGTCTGATCTCCCCATCTCCGTTGACCAGCTGGGTTTGTGCGCTGCTGCGGCAAAAGCCGTCGTGAAGAGAGTGCTTGCGGAAATGAAAGACGCCGTCGAACAGCTGGCCGCGATGAAGACCGAGGGAAATAAGAACCAAGGCGACAAGAATGCTAATGGCATGCAGCAGGTCGAAGATACGACCAGCAATCTCGCTGTACAAGTAGGTGGAAACAAGAAAGGCGCGAAGGGCCGTGGGAAAAAAGCTACGGCTTCAAGAGCTACACCAGTGAACAACGACCAAGACGCAAACGCCAAGCGACGGCGCCTGATGCTGCCGCCAGCGATTCATCCGGTTTTTGGATCGGTGTCCGCAAGTAACGCGCAACAGGTCAAGGAAGAGAAAGCGAAAAGGCTGGAGAACACGGTGATACAGTCTCGG